CGTCTCGTATCATCATCAACGCGGTTGCAGGGTGCAAAATGCCCCACCTCTTTGGGAATTTTTTCTTAAAAGACTTGTATTGAACCTCTATCTCCCCTCTCCTCCTCCCTCCTCCCACTATGTATGCAGTACGACCCCAACTTTTTTCCACCCTAGCCTCTATTTTCCCTTCATCCTCCCGACCAATGTCCCTCCCCTCCTACAGAAGATCTTGGAGGGGTTCATTCCTTTTTGTTCGTTTATTCTCCCGGGGTTGACCAAAAGGTAACGGTGGTTTGGTTCATCTTATCTCGCCGGTCTTGTTCCCCGTCCATCTTTTCCCAGAGAATGTTGGCCATTATGGTGTTCGGAAGTCCCATTTGCGTCCCCCCTCCGTCTTCTGACAATGGCGGTGAGGAAAGGTGCGTCCCATTCACATTACACCCGGCCCCGGATCAATAGAGAACTTCTGGTGGTGTCCTCCGCGAGCATAGAAGAAGACTAGTACAAAATGACGAGGCAACTTCGAGAAGGAAATGCAGAGTGAGGAAACAAGCATGGTTACACTGCATACGAAAAGGGCCACCAGCAATCGAACGCCAATGCAGTCCAGTATGTTTTCTGTCCCCAAACTCCTTCTACGTACAATGTGCAAACTTACTCTTCCTCAATTTGATCTGTCTTCAAACTCGTCCTATGTGAATAACGGGTTCAAGTGTAGGTGCGGGCTCAAAATGAGTGTCCCATGTGTCAAATGAGAAGGGGGGCAATGAAAAGCAAGTGCATGTTTTTACTTTTCTCAATCGAAAACAAAAAAGGATGTCTACAATGTCTTCGGTACAGAATCGGGCATAGAGCAAGCACAGAACGTCGGCAGCCAACCTCCTTCGCCGTCAACGCGGCCCAGTTCATGCCGAGTGTAGGCAACAGGAACGCAATGAACAGGAGTGGATACAAAGGGTTGTATGGTTGCAAATATGGCCTCATCGCCAAAGAATGGGAGGGTCTTGTATCGATGGCAATGAAGAGCGGGCGGCAAGGCAACCAACGGGCGAGGTTCAGTGATTTTCAGTATTTTTCGATACGTCTCACTTGCCATCCGTGTCTTCCTTGACTGCCTGTGAAGGTGCTTTTTTTTCTTTTTGGCTATTGCCCTAACAAGACAATGATCACGGGATGCAAAGTACATTTTGATAAAACCAGCCTCTTTATCTCGAACCCGTACTCGTAGGCATGATTTAAAAGGCGATTAAAGATTTGCTGCCGTCCATGTCAGTGAGGGGAACATATATGAAAAAAAATAGTAGGTAATATCAGAGCGAGCCTGGCTAGAATGAAAAATCCAAGTTAAAATCCGTTGGTAACGTCACACGGCAAAGCGGCAGACATTGTACATACCGGTCTCCGTCTCCTACTGTTTTCTATTTTTATTTTTATTTTTCGTGTTCTTTCTAGTTATAATACATGGTACCTTAAGATATAGGTTTTTATGGAAAAATATTACGAAATGAAACAGAATTTCATGTCAACGAATATTCTACAATCCCCGAGCATAGAAATTAGACAAAATGAGAGTAAAACCAAGCAAGCATCGTCGCCATGGCCTTCCTGCTCCCATTAACCGTATTTGGCCTTTCTGCCATACATAAATACGTTATATGACACCCATGCCTGGGACGTCTGTGTATATCACGAAAATGGCATAGCCTGCTGGACGAAAAAGCAACATGTTTCACATTGCACATCCGTCCATGCATAAGAGAGCCACATAAACAGAACCGATGGCTGAACGAGGACAGCAAAACCATCGCATGAAACGAAAACACAAAAAGAAAACACATTGTCGGATATATGTCAGATATATTGCGGGACACTTTGGCTTTTCATATGCTGGCTTCTCAAATGGCGAGCGGCTTCTGTCGTCTTGCAAGGCATTTGGGACGGCCCAGCAGTCTTGAAGCCCTGGTCCCTGTCGATTTCAAGTAGATGGAAAAGAAGGGAAGGAAAGAATAAAGGAAAGCGGCAGAACATAAAAAAATGATTACGATGACGACAGCTGTCGTGAATTGCCATATGAGGCTATTTTCAGCCCTTTGGCGGGGTGACTCGGTGAAATGTGGTTTCTATTATTGTTTTTCCTGTTGCAGCATCATTTTTTTGGTGATTTTCAGAGAGGAATGCTTCCTCTTCAGAATAGGAAACGAGGCTCGACGAAAGATGAGTGCAGGAATGAGCAACAGGGCAACACGCTGAAAACTGGTCACATAGCAGGCTCGTAGGGCGTACCCTTCCAAGACACATCAATCTCACTGATTCATCAAGAGTTTTCCCAAGGGATTTACATGTTCTTTCACGTTTAACTGCTGAGGCTCATTTCGACTACTGCCGGAGAACTTGGGTCTGGCCGCTCTTATGCATTTCTCCTCTGGAGAATTTCTCTTTTTTATAACTGGCCGGCGTCCGGATTGGTGCTAAGGAGAGCACTTGCTGCACGAAACCATCTTTTTGTCGTCCATTGTAAGAGGCTGAGATGATGTTGCCGTACGTCACAACTTGGTCGCTGTCACGTGCAGGACCTGCCTGTCTGAACGTCGAAATAGGGCAAGTGCGGCGGCGGGCAACGGCGGATGTCGATCGGCTCTAAGCCACCACGATAGGGGGAATATGGAGTCACTCTTCATTTAAAGCGTCACTGTGGGTCAAGGGCAAGCGCAACCGTCACTGTCGAACTCATCGGGGCGTTCCTTCCTCCGCGATTGCGGCTCTTTCCGTTTTCGAGACATTTTCGAGACGGTTTTTTTCACGACAAATTCTTTGTTCAGCCTCCACCGCTACCGGCTCTTCCAATGTTCGCGAGACCAATGCCCAGGTGATTCGCATCGGCCACCGCAAAGCACTGCCCCGTCTCACCATGGTTGGCGTGCCTCGAAGTCGCGGCTGCCTGCTGTGCGTCCGGCGCCGTGTGCGCTGCGACGAGGGCCACCCGGGCTGCGCCAAGTGCGCTACGTACGGTGTCGACTGCCCGGGCTACGATCGGTCGCTCAAGTTTGTGTCGGGCAAGCACCAGGTGCGGAGGAGGGGACAAAGCGGCAGGGAGCGTGCGGCGGCTGCAACCGAGCGCAGCGACAGCACAGCTTCACCGGCCTCCGTGTCGCCGCACTCCGAAGGTGGCAACTCCGGCCAGAGTAGCGGCAAAGACCATGGCAAGGGCTACGCCATGGGCTACAGCGACCTCATGGGCCACCGCCATGGCCACCAAAGCGGTATTGTCGTGCCTATATTTGTCGATCTAATGACCTCTGCGTATGCCAACGGCGAAGAATTCTTGTCGGCCGCGACCACGATCCCGCCGCATCTTCGCGATGACCGCGCCGCCTACGTCAACACGATCCTCGAGATGGTCGACATGGACCGCCCTCCCAAGGAGGCGCTCTTTTACGGCTCGTGGTTTCGCAGCGTGCCCGCACGGCTCGGCCGGAAAATCACGCTCGACAGCGCTGTGTGCGCGCTGGCGATGCATCTGCTGGGCAAGTCGCGCGGCAACGAGGTGATGGTTGTGCAGAGCCGGCATTTGTACGGCCAGTCGCTGGAGGCGTTGCAGGCGGCGCTCAACCACCCCGTCGAGTGGCGCTCGTCTGAGACACTGTGCACGACCATGGTCATGTGCCTGTTTGAGCTGTTTGCCGACACGTCGGGCAACTCCAGTGGGTGGCTGCAGCACTCGAGCGCGGTGTCGAGTCTGATGCAGCACCGCGGCACGGACGGGTTCGTCGAGGCGTGGGACCGTGCGATGCTTTTTTCGTTCCGGTCCATCATCATCATGAACGCGCTGTTTACGGGGCGCGACTGTTTTTTGGCCGAGAGGAAGTGGCAGCGGCTGCTCAAAAGCAAATTCGAGGGCGTCGATTTACCGCTCAACGACTTCCTGCCCGCCGACGCTGTGGCCGTCATCGACCGCCATGTGGCCCATCTTGCGCGTCTGCCCAGAATCATGCGCAACCTCTGGGTGATCCGCGAGACGCGGCAACACGACCTGCCCGTCGACCAGGCTCAGGTGGTGATGCTGCGGCGCGACGCGGCCAGCCTGCACGCAACGTTCCGCGCCTGGTATTCGGAGGCGTCTCAATTTCTCGGGGACCCTGTGTACACCGAGGTCCCATCCAACATGCCTGCCGACGCACCAGCCTCGCCCTATGCAACGGTGCTCGAGTACCCCAATCCGTGGATCTCCAGCATCTACCTGAGCTATGTGACGTCCATGCTGATTATCCAGGAGAGCCTCAACCAGTGCGCAGGCGCTCGATATGAGACAATTGTCGCGCAGGCTCGGGCCCAGGCTCAGGCCCAGGCCCAGACCCAGGCCGAAGCGGAGGCGAGTGTTGCACGTACGACGACAACGACGACGAGTACTATGACTACGGGTGGTGGCACAACCATGAGCTCACCGACTGAGGCACCTACCGTGTCACCCACCACTAGCGGCAGCGTCGGCATGCACAGCGGTGTTGGCTCCATGTATGTGCCTTCGGCGTCCCCTCTGTCGCCAGGTGGGACCGACGGCGACCTGTCCTATTCGCCCAACCAGCTCTTGCCCTCTTCCACCGACCCCTGCGACGCCCTGCGGCCACAGGACATTGACGCACCCGTATCGGCCGCGCGGCCGTTTGAAGCGTGCAACCGTCGCCTGTGTCGCACCATCTTCCGCTCGTTTGAGAAGCTTGGTGCTGGCCTCATGGGGCAGTACCGCATCGGCTTCGCCATGCGTGTGGCCTACGAGTTTGCCGATGTACCGACACAGCTGTGGATCCGCGCGCTTCTAGATCGCTCTGTCAAGACGTTTGCGTCCTCGCGGTCCGATACCTATCCATTGCCCAAGCCCAACGAGTTCAACTACAACTGAGAGGACAGCGTGGTGTGAGAACGCAAATGGTATATTAAAGATGCAATGCCTTCCTTTGCACAAAACGCTATAGCTAATGCAAAGCAGAGAAACCACCGTCTACCGCGCACCAGCCCTGCTTCTACAACAGCACTTTTCCCACGATAAACTGGAGTGCGTCCCCCCCGTTGCGCGTCCCATATCCTTGGTGGAATGCGGCGTCTGTGCCGTTGGCACAGAACGGGTCCGGCGAATCGCAGTACGACTGTATCCGTGCCTGGTACAGCGGGCACTGGAACCCCACGGGCCGCGCCGCGAAGCCGGGCGCAGTGGCGTTTCCCACGTTGTACGGCAGGCCTGCCACGTGCCGTGGGTTGCCCATCATGATAATCGCCGCTACGTTCTTGCCGATGGCCGTTTGGATGAGGGGTGGCGTCGCCAGCAAGCTGTCCCCGTCCGGCCCGCCGCAAAAAGCATTGTCTAGTATCTGCGCACCCTGCGAATAGCCGTGCATCACGAGAACGGTTCCGGGGCACTGCGCCGCAAACTGCGTCACCTGCGCCAGCACCGCCAGGACACCTGCCGTCACGCTGAGGCTGTAGTTTCGGTTGGAGTTGCCGGCGGCCGGGTAGACAATGGCCTCGGATGTGGCGCCGGGAAACGCTTTCAGTATCAAATCGACGAGGGTGCTGGCGGAACCAAAGCCGGGCGGCGCCGTGGTCTCACGGGCGGCAATGACGTGCAGTTGCGGACAGACGAGGGGCGCGCTGGCGTTGGCACTATTGTTGGCGCTGTCCTGTGAGGCAGCAGCAGCAAGAGAGGCTGCAGACATTACTGTACTGGCTGCCAGCAACACTGACGTGATGAACCCTGACCTGGCCTTCATTATTGTTTGGGCCTGTGCAAGTGGAGGGGCGAATTGAAGGGCTAGAAGGGCTAGTGGACAGGATGGGAGTCGGCGCACGCAAACTTGATGATATTCGGCATCAGAGGCGTCGCAAGACAGGGCAGGCTAAAGTGGTGCATAGACGGCGCTTAATAAAGAGAAATGGAAATGATCATTGACTGCGACTGACGAAGATGGTCAAGATACGGAGCCGTCCCCGGGTCTTGGCATCTATTTGAGAAAACCCTACCTACCTGAGAGAACAGACACGAGAACACAAAAGAAACGCCACAAACGAACCGCCTCGCCGTGTTTGCCCCTTTCCCTCAAACCCCTGATCCTTGCCTCCTGTTCAGCCTTCCCTCCTTCATCGTCGTGGTCCGGAATACGCGCTGGGAGAGTCGTGCATTGACGTACACTGAAGGAACAGATGCAACGTCGAATGAACCATTGTATACCACGATGTAGGCGTTCTGCGACGGGGGTTTTGTGGCCAGTATTGCCGCCTCCAGCCTGTGATCGTTTTTCCGGCTCAGTAAATAGGAACAAGACAGGCTATTATTTTTGATCGTCGTCGATCACGCAAGGACGCCGCAGAACGTCGAGTAATTTCGGCGGCACTGTCTATCTCATTTTGTCTCATCTCTTCTTCATCCCTTCTTTTTCTCAAGCTTGACCCTCTGGACAACAAAAATGATCTCCGTGTCCGAAACACAGCGCATTATGGGACGGATGGTTCAAGCTCAGTGAATATGGTGAAGAAGAAAATGAATGATCACACAAAAGTGGAAAGGGTAACGTGTTCCTTGTAGAACGTACGAGCAAGTACAAAATGTCAGGTGAATAAATAAACACACTCCTAAACCATGGTGCGTAATTGCCGGTAGACCGCTGAGATCATGGGGAAACCGAAAGTCAAAGCGTCTCACACACGTAGACTTGCCTTGAGACGGTTTTCACAGCATGATTTTGCACTGTCGCGTTTTTCATAAAGAAAATAACGAAATTAAAGGAAATAACATAAAGTAAAAGCGGTCAAAGTGGCCAAGCAGCCAAAACACCGTGTTACGAAACATGGTGGATATTGGCTTCAAGAACAATTGCACACCCTCACATACAAGTGCCACAGAGCTGCCATTCATTACACAACAGAAATGCACGCCACTGCACGATGCACGCGAAGCACACAATGGTATCGGAGGTCCGGGCCAGTGCATTCATGCACATGCCTCGTATCGTAGCAGATTTCTCCGGCGTCGTCTTACGCCCTCTTGCACTGCTTTTGAAACACCTTTTTTCTTCCCGTTCACCCGGGCCTCGACTAATTGTTCTGACCAAACTGATATTCACATTGGCTTAGGATACAAACATGCAATAGAGAGTATTATGCAAGTATATACAAAAACAAAATATAAAGACAGCCGACGAGCAAATTACACACGACAATATGGTGACAGCATCTCTCACCGAGACACGACGGGGTAAAGCACAAACAGAGCCGACAGCAAAGGCATCCAGAACACCGGACTCCATCCCGATGACGGCATCAACCGATCCGGAGCTCCATTCTTGGTTCCATTGCTTCCATCGCCGCTGTCACCGCCACTACTGGCGGTTCCCCAGACCAACACCGCCTGACCCGGCGCACTGCCGTCGTCGATGCTGCAGACTGCGCCGCAGCTCCCACCTCCGCTGCTCGTGTCTCTCACCGCGGGCGCATTCGTTGCCGTCGCATTGTACAGCACCTCCCACCACTGGATCTGGAGGTGTGCCTGGGTGCCGGGCGCCATGGTGCCTGTCCACTTGCTGCCGTCGCTCCAGGCGTTGAGGTGGATGCTCGTCGGGTCCCGCGGCGTCTGGAACGAAATGTTGGCAATCTGCTGGCCGTTGACGTACCACGTGCTCTGGCGCGGCGTCCAGTCCAGCCGGTAGACGGCCCAGTCGTCCCAGCCAAGGTCGTCGGGCAGCGTCACGTTCTGCGTCGCCGCTTCAATGATCTCGCCCTTGTCGTCGAGCGACGGCTGGTTGGTGCACTGGACGTGGTCGCGGGGGTACTTTGTGAGGACTTCGAGGTCGACTTCCTGCAGGACGACGTCCTTTCCCGGGGCGGCTTTGCCGGCACTGGCGCCCGGGGACGACGATGACGACGACGACGATGACGACGACGACGGCGATCCGTCGCGGTAGGTAAACATGCCCATGCAGCCGCCGGGATCGCCAATGGTACGCGCCAGCATGCGCATCGACACATACTGGAACGTGTCGTTTTGCGTGACGATCTCGGCGGCCGACTGGAACGCCGCGTGGCGGGCGGTGCGCAGCGTCAGCCAGGTCGAGCTGCCCGAGTTGTCCGCGTCCTTCTCAATGTAAATGTTGTTGAGCGAGTTGATGCGCAGCACCGAGGCGTTCGCCGCGCTGTTGTTCCAGTTCTGCGACTGCCAGAAGGACGTAAACGTGCTCGAGGTAAAGTAGCCGCTCGTGGCCGGAGCGTTGGTCGCGCTTCCTGCGTCCGACAGCAACGACGGAACGCTTTCGTACTGTGCCAAGGAGCGGAAGTCGTAAAAGGCGTGATGCGCAAAGTACGCCGTGTCGGAGCCGTTGGTGACGAAGCAGTCGCACTTGGCATCGTCGACGGGAATATGCGTGGTTTCGAGGGCCGGGGTGGGTGGTGATGACAATGGCTCGTCGGCGGCGGCACATTGATAGGAGGATACCGAGACACAAAGAAAGAGAAGCGTCGCAGCCAGAGACGTAGGTCGCTGCCTACGACTCCGGCGAGCCATTGCCATTTTCATGAAAAAAAATGCCTTCGAAATCCCAGGTAGGTGTGCTACTTATTAAGCTCCAGATCATATCCACCGTGCTGGTGATCCTATTGAATCCTATCGACTCAGGGCTTGGTCGTGTGCGCCCCGAGATGTCGTTCGGTGGCCTCTTGCTTTGTGCGATCGTCCGCCTGCCCGAAGTTCCGCTGCAGCGTAACTAGCGATGGTGGAGGACCGATGCAATTCTGCAGGGATATTCCTGTGATGCCTTTGAAAAGGCCGTTTTGCGATGATTGCGAGATACAGGAGAAAAGAGGACAGAAATCCAGAGAAAGAAGAAAAATAAAATATGAAAAATCAGGAAAGGTGGAAAGAAGACAAGGACAAAAGGGAAATGAGGCGAAATCTCATCGTTCCCTCTATCTACACACGGGAAACACAATAATGGGCAAGCAACGTTCGTAAGACATACCAAGGCTGTGCCGTCTTTTTGTTAATTCTGCTTTGGCCAGACCGTCTTGGGGTCTGGATCGGGTTTTTGGCTGCACCACTCCATATTTTAATTTAAGACTGTCGAGGGTCTCGAGATCAGCCTAAGATCAAATCACCTTCCAAGATAAACCGTCAGTGGATATAGTGACAACAACCAAACGCGTGGCAAGAACGACAAGAAGTCCAAGTTGCGAAGGTCTCGTGGGCCAATATCAACGCGTGGCCAAGTGATAGTATGGAAAGGAAACGAGCCTGCATAAAAGGAAGGAAAAGGAAGGAAAAGGAAGGAAAAGGGAAAATACATTCGTGAACGACGCAGCGGAAAGTATGTCGGCATGCCCAAAGTTCGTTCCGGGTGAATGTAATTTGACAAACGGTGCCTGGTCTGCGGTCTGCTTGCCGGATTATATGTGTCACGGACTTATTGATAACTCTCCTTGTCTATGCCTAGAACCATGTTACTGGTTTTGTTTTTTATTTCATTTTTATTTCCCTGTCGTTTAGCCACCACACACCACTTGCCACCCTGTCATGAAAATGTGCCAAAAATAGGACTTTGGCTTTACCTTGACGGTAAAAGCAACGATAGAGAAGCATATATGAATGGACGTATTTTAGTATGCAGGGACCGCGGTTGTGGGAAATTGCTTCCTGATGAAGTCAGACGGCTGCCTTGTTGCTCTACGCGGGTGATTCTCCCGCAGGAATATGCACTCTGGCACGTCCCGTTACTAGGATATCACTCTATTTATGAAGGATGGAGGCTAGATACGTATCCCGACATGTGCTCACAAAGTCTCAAACCCACTTAAATGGTATTTATCAAACTAGACTGTACTGAGGAAAAAAAAGAAAGGTTATGCACTGTCTTTATATACAAATCAAATTCTAGAATAAAGAACTAGATACAATGCAATACGTTGGAAATTGTGTGTGCGTGCTGATCAAAATGTGCATTTCTTCAACGGTAAGGAAAGAATCACAAAAGGTTTGACTTCAAACAAGACAGATAATAAAGAGTAATGTGCTGTTGCACGTATATGGGGTAAAAATCACAAGCTCGAAGATTAGTAGAAAATACGTGTCATGTCGTAAAACATGTTATCGTCTATCTACTACTGACCAACTAGGTTGACAGCGCGTATAGATCTTGGATGAATCCGGCCTGCAGGTTCTCCTTGGTCGTGCGCAAGTCCATGGGGCCGTAGCTCAACCACGACACAATGTTCAGCTCCTCGTCGTTGGTAGCCGGGATCGTGCCGGCCGACGCCAGCTGCTCAACGACCAACTTGGCCAGCGACTGGGCCTCGCGACCGTGACGCCTGAGGACCAGTGAGGGGTGCGACATGAGGCCCGAGTTGACACGTTCTAGATGCCCTTGTTGAAGACGGCTGACTCGGTCTTGTCAGCGCCAAACGGCGCGAGATCGGGGTTGGTCGGCCCAATGGCCATGGCGAGAGGCTTGGTCGTGACACAGTCGGACATATAAGCCTTGCAACATGATGAGAACGGCATATCTGACAAAGCAACTTCCTCTGCCACTTGTTTTAAGCTTGTTGATCAAGGCACATGGAGAACAGTGGGTCGGCAGCGCTAGTTCACAGGGTCCATAGGGCGGCGGTCGGCATTTCAGCGAACCGACGTGCCGATTTCACTGCAAGACCGCCTTGGCACCGGTCCTGTTGGAGAGGGAAGAGCGACTCATGCACATACTGCATTGAGTACCTGGTCATTGGTCGAGAATAGAAACATCGATACCTCTTCAGCGAGGCACATTACGGGTAGACGAAGGATTGATGACCAATGCAGCTCCCGCTGGAGCATGGCCTGGAACGGTCTGAAGACGATCCGACGACGTCATTCTTACATCCTACAACATACTCCGCATTGCTTACTTTCGCACGCACTTATCTCGTGAGGCTGAACGCTCACCTCGGCCTTTCTGGTGCTGTCTTTGAATACGAATAGCAAAGACGGTGCTTGCTGGGACGCTCGCCGTGCCTTGTCTGGCAGTGGTTGAGCGAACAGCGCCCTGGTAGCGAACAGACAGGGGCCAATAGCATGCCGTTGAAAATCACAAGTCCATGAGAGGCCGCGCCCACGTCAGTGACAGTCAAGCGAGAGCGGAATCTTTTCAGTCGGGGTTTGCCAAATGGGGCAGATACATACCCGACTCCTTAGCCCCGAGAGATACAGAGATCAGCGTTGCGTATTCTACGGACACGGCGCTTGTTCGCGTTGCCGATCTTTCCATGACGAGCCATAATGCGACGTCTTCAACTGAACAGGCAGACAGCTTACACAATCTGTTTGTCTGGACGAAATGGCTTTTGACAATCTAAAGCCAATTGTCTAATTCCTGACGGGTCGTGCTTGTTGGCGGAGGTTGGCAACGAAGCAGCGACAAGCAGCGACAGGCAGCGACAGTAGCGAGCAGTCGGATGTATTACGCCGCCAAGGAAGTGATTCCATACAGATCGGCCAGCAACAGGGGGAAATTCCTGCGCGGGGAAGCGCAGAGCTCAACTCTGACTTTCAACAGTTTGGAGAGTATTTGCGACAAGTGAGGCAGCGTCCTACTCGGGGCCCGTTCTTTTGTTGTTTCTTGTCTTTCGTAGACATATAAAGTAAGCCTGGAACTGCCGCCTTCTTGGGATTGAGAAAAAGGCTTAATTCATTCACACTCTCTTCATCTCCATCCCGTACGGCAGCAGCCATACTGTGCTTCAGATACCAACGCTCATTTACAAATCGTTTTCATCGCCATATCACCTTTCGTATCGTCTTCACAATGACTTCATCCGCCGATACCCAGCCCCGCCTTGTCGTCACGACCCACGCCAAAGACGGCACCTCTGTTTTTGCCTCGGATGGCCCTGCCGGCCTCTTCCGCCCCTTTGGTCCCGACTCCTCATCGTTTGCCGTCTTCGATAGCCGCCCCGCGGTGCCCATCAACAACCAGGTCGCCGTTGCCGAGGACAAGAAGCAAGGGCTACCCCGCTGCCCACCCGGCGGCGTCTTGTTCAGCATCACCAACATCAAGCCCGGCGACCAGGCCCCCATGCACCGCACCGAGAGCATCGACTACGCGGTGGTTGTCTCTGGCGAGATTGTCCTCGCCCTCGACAACGGCGAGGAGAAGACGCTGCGCGCCGGCGACTACCTGATCCAGGGCGGCACAAACCACTCATGGGCCAACCGCGGCACCGAGACCTGCCGCATCCTCTTTGTCATGGTCAGCGCCGACAAGGTCAAGCTGGACGACGGCACCGAGCTGTCTGCCACGGTATTCGGCCCGAGGCCGCCACAGGACGCGTCGCAATAGGTCGACAGATGGATCTATTGGGGAACTTCCCTTAATATACACAGTGCACGAAAAGATGCATCTTTATGCACAGCCAGATAGACAAAAAATCCTCTGTTTTCTTTTACAATACTACAATATTCTCTCTCCTGATTAAGAGACTCAAACCGTTTATGAGTCTTTCCCAGACTCTTCAAGACTGTCGAACGGTACTACGTCTACTTCAATGGTCTCTATACGATTGCGACTGCAACAGTACAGCTGCTGTTACTTGCAGTAGTATATTTACAACCTTTTGTTTTTGCATCTTAGCACCACCTACCCGTCTTCTTCTTACGGACCCGGGATTTCTTTGCTAAAGAGGTGGCTGGCAATCGTTCAAATCTTTCGGCTCGAGGCCGAAGAATGCCAGCTCAAGCGCATCGGCCTTCTTGTAGATCTGTTGCTCGTCCTCCCACGAATGCGCCGTCCACAGCGGAAGCTCAAAGTTGGGTGGGAAATACCCAGCAAACTCCTAATCGATAATCGCGACGATTTGAAAGGTGTCACAGTGGACAAAGATGTTCTGGGGTCCTAGATCGTTGTGGCAGAGAACAAAATCCTGGCTCTCGGATGTGATACGCGGCCAGGCCCGTCGGTCCCGATTATAGACACGCTGCGGTGGGAACACGGAGAGATGCTCGTCGACGCTGCCGATAAAAGTGCGCCGGAGTGAGCGGAGTTGCGGTAGGATGTTGTGCCTGATCTGCTTGTCGACGGACGCCATGGCCCGTTTCCGGGTATTCACGTCCATATCTATAAGGAGCACACCGTTTTTAACGCGCTCCATTTCGAGATGTACGAGCCCGTCTTGGACATATAGCCGACTGTGCGGCACAGGTATGGTTGTGTTGGACGCGATAAACGTAAGTGTCGCGGCCTCATTCTTCAGCCTCTCCTTCGCCCAGAAAGGGCGAGAATGTCACCGTTTGGGCGGCGTAGCAGCTCCCCCTCACCAAGCTCTCGTTTGACGACCCTGTCTTCTCTCATAGTGATAGAGCACTTCCATGTCTTTGTCTGATACTCTTCGGTGGCCGTCATTTTTCTTCCCGTAAGGTTCAATGACAGGAATAATTATCAGATTGACATATGCTGTAAAAGATGAGGCCTACGAAGTACTACGCCAGGGACAGGCGACGATAGGCGCTGTGGTAGGTTAACGTTAAATTATGGGGCGCCTGGTTGTACTAGAGTCTCAGGGCCTGGCCAAGGCGTACAACAGTTGAAATACACCGCAGACACAATTATAACCCGGATGACTAAGCGAAACATTCAAATTCAAAATCCATCCTGCGTCACATGTGGGGCCTCTGTTACGAGACGAATCGATTATTTTGTGTAGCTGCATTCTCAACAATCGTTGTTTTGTCGATTTTCGAACGATTTGCGATCTCGCCCCCGATTCTCCTCGACTCCCACAACGTTTCGACAGTCTCTTTCACTCCTTTTCTATTTATGATTGTACACTACATCAAAACCTGTCCGCCAACACACAGCTTGGGCGCCACAAGCAGCAAAAGCAACAACAATGCCATCCTCACCCGACACAAGACCTGCAGACGAGGCAGAAACCGCACCTTCTGCCGCGGAACACGAAGTCAAGATTTCTGAAGAAGCTGTCGAAGAGACAGATGTGCCAGAAGCAGAAGCCAAGATAGAAGAAGAGGATCCCACACAGGCCACAGGCGGGCAAAAAGACGAACCAACAAGGGAGAGCACGACAGGCGCAGAAGCACAAGAGAAGACAGAAGTGAAGACAGACGACACAGACAAGGAAATACACGGGCCCTCGATATCAACAGACACTACAACCGCTGCTGATGCCTCAGTATCCCCACCACCATTGCCTGACGAGCCCCTGCCCGACGAAGCAGTCGACGAAAATGACGACGGGTGGGATCCCATGTGGAGCGGCGAGCACCAAGCCTGGTACTTTGTCAACCGGTTTACGCAGCAGACACAATGGGAGAACCCGCGTGTACCAGATGCACAGGGGCCGGGGGCCAGTGGGGGTGGCGCGCGGGGCGGCGTGGGCGGCTACAATCCCGTCATCCATGGCGACTACGACCCGAACGCGTGGTATGCCACAGGCGAGGCGGCGCCCGCTGACGCTGATGCGTATGCCGGCGCAGACGTGGACGGCGGTGACCCGATTGCCGCGGCGGCGGCGGCAGCGGCTGCCGTGATCCAAGACAGTGCTGGTGCTGCTGGCAGTCGCTTCAGCCACGGCAGCAAGGCCAGCCGGCAGCTCAACAACTACTTTGATGTCGCCGCCGCCAACAGCGCCCACGACGGGCGCAGCCTCAAGGCCGAGCGGAGCGGCATCAAGCCGTCCAAGTCCGAGCTCAAGGCTTTCAAAGAGAAGCGACGCGCGCGCAAGGAGGAAAAGCGGCGTGCCTGGCTGAGGGATTGAACGAAAACGGGAGTGGGCTTTGGAGCACGGTAACCTGCTCGCGCATTTGATATCTATTTGACCGCATTATTTAGCACTTGAAAGGCGTTTTTACATCGTACACATTGGTCTTGTGGATCTTTTGGGTGTCTGATTTTGGGTAGTTTTTTTTTTTTTTTTTTTTTTTTTGGCGGTTTAGGCCCAACTGGTAAAGGCATGCTCGGGCGGAGGCTACAAATGTCTGTTTTGTTTGTTCTTGGGTTTAAAATGCTACTCCAGTTGTTCTTTTATATCATAGTCATCCTTGGAAGAATAACTAAAAAGTCAGATGCGCACTTCATTGCTCGAAGCAAAGATGTCGTGCCATTATACCTTTTCCATACTTACTCCTCATCGCCACTCTCATCGTCATCGTCAAAGGCCATCTCTAGCTGGACACTGCCGTCGCTGTCATCACCGCTATCGTCTGCTGCGACACCAGAGGGCGCAACAGCCGCAGGTATCTTAGCCTCCCTGCCGGTGTCTAGTTTCTTTGCAGCCGCAGAGGGCACATCGTCCTTCTCGTCCGACTTGCGCTTCAGTGTCAGCGGCTCAAATGCAGCCGGCGCGCCGCCCTCCGTAGCGTTCCCAGCATTGCCCAATGAACTGATGTTTGGCTTGCTCCGCTCAGCAAACACAGAAGGTAGAGAGAAGCCGCCCGAGCCGGCACCTGCTTCCGTCGTGGCCACCACACTAGGTGCACTTGGTGCACCACTCTCCGGCCCGTCCATCATTGGCTCAGGATCAGCCGCATCGTCCATCGCCTGATCCTCCTCCTCCTCAGCGTCCGACGCGTCGTCCTCGCCCGGCGCTGTGGCCGCGAAAATGTTGCCATAGTAGTGCGGTGCCGTCCGCAGGTTGCTGCGCAGAATCTCCATGCTCACATCGTGCGGGTACGCGCGCGCTAGGAACGGTATCGTGTTGGCAAAGTAGCGGCCGCTCTGGTCCACGTACGGCTGCAGCACGCTCGCCACCATGGCACCCTTGTTGGCACTCAGAATCGCCGTGCGGTCCAGCAGCGTGCGGTCGGCCTTTTTGACATGTTGTGGTGGTATGTACGCTAGCACGGCGGCCAGCAGGTTTTCCGCGGCGCGTAGGTGGGCGGCACTCAGTCGAGATGTTTTGCGCGCCGCGGCTGCCGCTGCTTGAGACGAGGCAGCGCCGTTGGCCAAGAACAAGTCGGCATTGGCCGACGCCGACTTGCCTCGTGCACCACCACCGGCGCCTCCTTTTGCGCCACCATTCTGACCCGCCTTGGACTTGTCGTCCGTCTTGTCCTCCTGCAGAAAGCCGCCGGCCTCCAGAATGTCCTGGCAGCTCGAGCGCACCACATTGGCAAGCAGGTCCACCGTGGTCCGTGCAAAGGATGGGCCGACCAGCGGCAGAATGTTCTTGGTGAGCACGTAGGTGTTTTTCCGAACGCGGGGAATGTGACGGTCCGACATGAACATGCGCACCGCGTCCTCCAGGATCTCCGGGGCCAGAGGCACCGTGCTGGCACCCATCCGTTTCACAATGCTCGACAACAGTTCGAGGGATGCCGCGTGCAGGCTGGGTAGGACCGAAAACAGCTCGTCCCGCTCTTCGCGGCCGATGCTGGTGTTGATGAGCGATGCGTAGTCCTTCTCTTGCGTGCTCGAGGTCGGCGCAGAGACCACGGAGATGCGCGACACCAGGCCCGATAGCAGCCCGAGTGGTACCGCGACGGGCAGTTTCGTCGGTTCCCGGAAGACCTGTGCAATTGTCTCTAGAACTCCAAGCAGGCGCTGGGCACCGCTCGCAAGACCCGTCCACGCCGGCAGCGCGTCGACATCGTCTCCGCCGCCTTGCGGCTCGCCTTCAAACGACACCGTCGTCGCCGCAAAGCCCAAACCAGGGTCCCGCGACTCGCGAATGGCGCGGAAGACCTGGTCGGCCGTGGCATGTGCGTCACGCAAGAGGCCCATCAGCATCTTCGACCAGTCGTCCGAGTTGCCGTTCTTGGCCGCCGTGTAGTGCAGCACGACCAGCAGCTGCCGCGCGCTCCGCCGCAGCGACGGCGGGACCACCACCCCGTCTGAGGCCGTCGGTGCGACGAAGCTGCGGATCGCGGCCCGAATCTGGCCTGCAAACGGCCGCAGCGTCGTCGGATACAGGGGAACCAACGCAGAGAGCGCGCGCGTTGCTGTCTCGACGACATTCATGGGCGCCTTGGGCGGCTGGCCGGGCGCCGCCGGCTTGATCAGCTGCAGGCACGCCGTCGCAAATGTGGGAACCGTGGGCGTGGCAATCTCGCGCACCAGCGTCGGATATGCCTGGAGCAGTGTGTAGATGCGGGTCAGCGTCAGGACGGCCAGTTCTTTTGACGCCATCGGGTCGGGCTTGTTCAGCAGCGACAGCAGGCCGCGCACCCAGGGCTCCGCCGTCCGCAGACTCTCCCAGCCGCCGACATCGACGATGGCCTTGGCCAGGGCCGTGCCGACAAAGCGGCCCTGGGGTGTCTTGCCTTGGATGAGGGTGTTGATTTGCGTCTTGAGCTTGTGCACCAGCACAGTCGCCTCGTTTGTGTTGTTCTTGCCTTGCTGCTCTGACGACACGGACAGGGGCTCACCGCACCGCAGGATATGGCCCACCAACACGGGACACAGCGTCGGGAGATCGGCCGGTGAGGCTGCGGCCAGCTTGCGACTTAAGACCCGGAGGTCTGCAGGCACAGACATTTTGTTGGTTCTGTCGTTTGTTTGGTATGCCGACCGTGAAACAATTGAAGCGTAATACGTTTCTTTCGTGACCAGAGGTACTTTTTGGAGAGTACAACCTTATTTTCGTTGTAACTATGGAGAGTGTATTTATTGTTGAGGATTTATATGATATACGCCGCCGTTTACTTTTTTTTTTTTTTTTTTTTTTTTTTTTTTTTTTTTAGTTTATCTTTTCACAAGCAAATAAGCTAGCTGGACCCGCTTTCAACAGCTCAATGGGCAACTGCGACCCGCAAATCAGTTCGCCTTTTACATCCCTGCAATTTGGTGCAACAGCGAAAGCGACCTGTTTAGGCTGTCGCTAGGCCTATCAGAGTCTCAGGAACAGCACGCTTGAGGCCTGGAGCTTGATGCCACTTCTAGCGTCAACCGGGTCGTCCCTGCTGGCCAAGTTTTGCGGCCAGCCCCCAAAAGCGGTTACGCCAACCATGGAAAGGGCCCCCCTTTTCAGAGTGAGAAAGAGCGAAACATCGAAACGTGGAAACAAGGAAACAGCAAAAGTCCTAAACCCACGATCGAATAGGACAAACACGACGCCTCGTCCTGCCTTCTGCTCTTTGCGTACCACATCGAGAGATCCCAGCGTGCGTCAATTCACCTTTACATCGTTGTCTGCGTTTTCGTCATCGCTACAATTCGCCCCCCTGGGTCGTCTATGCCTATTTCTGCACCACGCATTCCACTGCATCACGGCTCGAGACATGCACCTGAAGCCATAGGAGGCCAATCGTCCAACTACCTACGTCACCTTGCCCGCGCGTCGATCTTGCTGGGCCCTTGCCCCGGAGCCGCCTAGATGAGTGTAGGTTGCCTTACCCTTGTCGTCTTGTCGTGCCGAGCGTCTCTTGTCGACCATCCCGTCAACTAACTGTTCCTCCTCGGCAGCGCTCGGTGAGCAAAGCCGCCCACTATGCGCTGCAGCTCGACGAGGCTCGCTGCGAGGGCGACTGGGACGCAGTGCCGGAGTTTGTGCGGAAAGTCCGAAAGCATGCATCGAGTCGCGCCTGTAAGTGCTTGCCTGCTGCGCTCTCTTTCGTCTGCCATTTTGCCCTTGCCGTTGAAAGGCACTGACGTTGTAACGCCCTTTGTGCGCAGGTCTCACTCTGACTGCCGAAACCGAGTATGCAATCGAAAAGGCCACCCGAAGCCACCCTCCCTCCGGTCGCGCAGCTGACGCCTCGGACCCTGCTGCTGGCCTCGACGCTGCGACGCTGCTGCCCAAGCTGCAGGCCGTCATCGACCATGAAGACGTCTTCCTGCAGGACCGCTTCCAGGCGCGGGTCTGCGTCGGCTGGTTGCACTGGGTGGCGGGCCAGTACGATGCCGCCCTGGCCCAGCTCCCCGAAAGCCTCGAGACCGAGCTCACCTCCTCGGACCGCCCTGCCGAGAGCCTTGTTGTAACGGACTGGACGCGGGTGTGTGCTCTGAAGTCGGCGTATCTGAGAGCCAACTGCCTGGCACGCAAGGACCTGCGGAAAGAAGCGCTGGCAGTGTTCGAAGACGGCCTCCCGTGCATCACAAGCGCGCACGCTGTTCAGCAGTCCCGGAAACAGCTGCGGTACTGGTCGGAGCTGTTCCTGACCGAGTACTGCATGCTGCTGAGCCACACCCTGGAAAAGGGCGAGGCGAGCTTGGAGGACCCCAAGTGCCTGGTGAGCTTCCGCTCGTGGGCCAAGTACTGGGAAGGCACCAACGGCGCGGCACAGCTGGGCGGCTTTGGCTTCCGCGGCTCCGTCCCGCGCCGGCGGATATGGTTCGAGTACTACGCTCTCCTGTCCGCGCTCCTCGAAGACGACCTGCCTTATCCGCCTGGTTACGCACCGGTGGGGACGGGCGGCGAGTCGTCTGCACGGAGCCACCTACGAATGGAACTAAAAAGGGTCGAGGCCGTCTACGAGACACTCCTTCTCGAGGAGACGTCGTTCCCGCGTGCTGAGGATGAGCGCAAGGAGGTGGAAGAGTTTGTGCGCCTCGTCGTGCAGAACTGGTCTGTGCTCAAAGGGCGTGGTTGGCGCGAGTCAGACCTGGGTCAGGGTGGGCGTGAGTCGGCAAGCCGCAGTGTCCTCGACATTCTGTACCGCGCGTCGACGAAGACCTACCACTCCACGTCCATTCTGCGGTACCTCTTTACCGTGCACTTGGCTGTGGCCGAGTTCGACCTGGCCTTCAAAGCCTTTGACTCGTACCTCGGCCTGATCAAGAAGGGCAAGGCCCGCGTCGCCAAGACCGGCAAGGATGAGCCACACCTCGACGACGACGCCGTTGTGTTAGAGACAGTTTCGCTGTGCATCGTGGCACTCTGCCGCTACGGCAATCGGCAGGCATCGGAAAAAGCGCACGGGCTCGGCCAGGAGTTGGAACAGTGCCTACACGAGCTCAGCCATGCCCTTCCCGAGCAGGTCGACGAAGACAACCCGGCGCCGCGGACGACGCTCGTGTCGGATTTTAAGGGCACCAACATCCCGGTCCGTGTTCATGCTCTGGCCTGGCAGGCCGTCGGCCTTTCACTGGCACAGTGGTCACGGACGACATACGACTCGGCCTCGCGCACCGACATCCAGGCGAAAGCCGTCCGGTCCCTCCGCAAGTCCATGTCGCCCGAATTTGGACAGTCGGCGAACCTGCGCAGCGTGTTCTCGCTGAGCTTGCTGCTCGTGGAGCAGCGCGACATTGGCGCAGCCATCGACCTGGTCAAGGCTGCCCTGCTGTCGAACAAGCCGCCTGATGCAGAGCACGAGTACGTGCATGGGCCGTACTGGCGTGAGCGCACAATGATCCCGCTTTGGCACTTGTTGTCACTTTTGCTCAGTGCCCGTCAGGACTACGTCATGGCGGCACGGGCGTGCGAGGGCGCGTTTGAGCAGTTCAAGGACCCATCGGTGCTGTTTGGCAGCGACGCAATGTACCGCAGCGAGCACCTGAACGAAGCCGAGGCCAACGACGAAAAGAATGCAGGCTGGAGCCGTGGCCTTGTCGACGACATGGAAGACTTTGAAAAAGAGCGGATTCTCGAAGTCAAGATGACGCAACTGGCGCTTGTTGAGCTGCTGGAGAGCCCCAAGGTAGCCGTCAATGCCAGTCTGGAGCTTCTGAGCCTGTTTGCACGGTTGTTTGGGCCGCCGCAGGCCACCAAGGCGACGCTGTCCGTCGCTCCAAGGACGAACAGTGTTCCCAAGAGTTCGGCGGGCACGCTGCGCAGCATCAAAGGTAGCATATTTGGCCGCAGCGGTGAACGTGGCGGGCGGCCGACGACAAAGCACTCTAGCATGATCGGGCTGGATAAGAACGGCAGTGCAGCCGGCACGCGTCCGCAAACGACACAGACCGTGGCAAGCCGCGACGCGCCGACGATCCAGGTGACCAGCAACGATTTTGATGATTTCCGCCGGTCGCGGAAACCGGGCAACTTCAACGAGCGGCGCAGCCAGTCGGGCAAGCGCAACAGCCTCCGCAAGCGGGACAGCAGTGGCAGCCGGCGCCGCGCCGTTAGCAGTGGGGGTGCACCGCCGCGCAGCGCCGTAGAAGACGGCGGCCACGACGGGCTTGTTTCACCCCTGGGCGAGAGCCAAAGTGGCGAGTTCTTCTCACCCCTTCCAACCCGCCAGCGTGTCTCGTCGGCCGCCAGTGGACCTCCGCCGGTGTCGATGAGCCGACAGGCGTCGCAGGTGGACTCGATCGCGGCGTCGGCTTCACGAGCACGACTTGGCGGTGATGGGGACGGACGCAGCGGTCTGCCAGCCGCGCCGGAGAGCGTCGAGACAGCGCTGTCGCTGACGCCGATCGTCCAGTTCTCCAAGGACGACGAGAAGCGGCGGCGCAACACGGTCCTTGTGGAAGTCTGGCTGATGATTGCGGGCTTCTACCGGCGATCGGAGATGTTGGACGATGCGAAGCGGGCCACAGTCGAGGCTCAGAAGCTTGTCCAGGACATGGAGATTGACGCGTCGCGGAACCTTACGTCAGGTGCCTCGCTGCGCGACCGCGGCTGGGTTGGCAAGAAAAGCGTCGACGAACTGTGGGCCGATGTGTGGGCTGAGGTACGTTTGCGGCATTGCGGTTTTTTTTTTTTTTTTGTTTCCTTTTATTACTATCGTAATACTAACGAACTCGACAGATGGGCCACTTATCGTTGCACAAGGGCGCCCCATACAATGCGCGCCTTGATTTCGAGGCTGCGCTTACGCACTTCCCGGACCATCCGGCTGCAACCATTGGGCTGTCCAACATTCTGCTCGACATCTACAGCAAAAAGCTCCTTCTGCCGCACGCGATCCCGCGACTCGAGCTGGCCGATGGGACCATGTTCCCAGAAAAGCAGCGCCCGGCCGAGCACAGCGACAAGGAACTGCGGCCGACGCTGCCATCTGAACCTCTGGGCCTGTTGACGGCTCCGGCGGCCCAAGACAAGGAGGAGCGCCGGAAGAAGCCGGCCGCCGGCACTGCTACGGCGGCCGAGACCGACGTCGCCGCTGCGGCTCATGCCAAGTCCGACTCGGAGCTGCCACCGCCGTACAAGGCGTCGACACTACCTCCGATCGACCGCCTGGCAGCTCGGGACCGTGCATTTGCTCTGCTCTCGGGCCTGACCAAGCTGGGCAGCTCGTGGGACAACTCGGAGGCATGGTTCGCGCTGGCCCGGGCGCACGAGGAAAGCGGACAGCCGGACAAGGCCAAGGAGGTGCTGTGGTGGTGCGTGGAGCTGGAGGAAGCGGCGGCGGTGCGGCCTTGGAGCGCTGTGGCGACGAGCGGCTATGTTCTGTGAGGACGTGCTTGGGCGTCCCACATTACATCACAAGGAGGAAAGGGGAGCGAGAAGACGGGCACGGAGTGGTCATAGCAATTTAGAGAAACGAGAAAACGGCGAAAGCGCGCACTGCTTATTCTGGATACACAAACATTGTATTGTTAGTTTACAGTGTGATTTTGGACATGGCATATGATAATGCCGCCAATGGCCGTTGGTGGCCGTTGGTATGGTGTAAGAGCACAGTGCAATAATGCGTGAGAAGGCACTGTTGTTCAAAGTGGGTCCGGCTGCACCCAGCGACAAGACAAGTTCGCTCTCCCCCAACGGAGCTTGCGGAAGTCGAGCCGCCACCCCTGAAGCCCAGCTTGGAATGCACCTAAACGTGACAACTGTCAGCAGTTTCCAGCGTTCAACATGCGCCGTTCCCGCGCGTTTCCCAGCCCTGCTAGTTAGTCCTACGTTTGTGGTAATTTTCTGGAAATTTTTCGGCGAAGATTGCCCCGACCCCAACGAAACAAAAGAGCGAGAAAGCCCCTAAGCCGCTAAAACGCCCCAAACGACAGCAATTCGCGGCCAGCCCCGAGATAGGACCATCCGTGCCAATTGAGGTTTTTACCTTGCACTTGGAACTGGGACTGCTTTTTCCTCTGTCTGTTCATACTGCGCGCAGCTACTCGCATCGTCCACGACGTCCATTCACGGCCAATCCGCAGTACCAATTCGTATCCGAGAATCTAGGCGATCCGAAATACGGCCCGTTTTCCAGCTTCACAACCTCCTCGACCTCGCCTCCAACCCATCTCCTCTTCCGCCGGACATCTCCGCCACAGATCACGCAAATGGCGAGCTTCGCCGCAGCTGGCCGGTTCTCGCTGAGGCTGGCCGGACGCCGGTGGGCGCAGTCGTCGCGAGGTATGTGATGAACGGACAGCGGTCGCTGGTGGCGATTGACGTTGGGGGGTGAAGACGCCTGCTAAACAGACTTGCTTTTTTTACAGGCTTCAACGCGGCAGCGCGTCTGGCTGTGGCACAGAACATGACGATGCCGGCACTGTCCCCGACAATGACGGAGGGCAGCATCGCGGCGTGGCGTGTCAAGGAGGGCGACAAGTACTCGGTGGGCGACGTGCTGCTCGAGATCGAGACAGACAAGGCGACGATGGACGTCGAGGCACAGGACGACGGCATCCTGTTCAAGATTGTGCAGCCCGACGGCAGCAAGGGCGTGCAGGTGGGTACGCGGATTGCCGTGCTGGCCGAGGCCGACGACGACATTGCCACGCTCGAGATGCCCGCCGACGAGGCCCCGGCAAAGAGCCAGAACCAGAGTGCGTCGTCAGAGGCCCCGGCGCCCGAGAGACAGGCGGAGGCTGCCGCTCCCGCACCGAAAGCCGAGTCCACGTCGTCCGCCTCGGCAAAGAAGGGCGCTGCCGCGCCCCAGAACCGCCCACTCTACCCGTCCGTCGCACACTTGATTAAGCAAAACGGCCTCGACCCAGCGGCCGTCGTGGGCGACATGACACCCACGGGCCCGGGCGGCCGCCTGCTCAAGGGCGATGTGCTGGCGTACCTGGGCAAGGTGTCGGCGAGCGTGCCGTCCGAGCTGGAGTCGCGCTTTGAGCACCTGTCGCACCTCGACCTGAGCAACATCAAGATCGAAGAGGCGCCCAAGCCCGCGGCGCCAGCAGCATCCGACGCGGCCGCGCCCGCCAAAGACGCCGCGCCCGCATCTCCCCGGACGACGTCTGTCTCCCTCCCGGTATCGCTGGCTGCCGTGCTCGACGCCCAGGACAAGATCCAGTCGTCGCTCGGCGTCTTCATGCCCGTGTCCACGTTTGTCTCGCGCGCCACCGAGGTCGCCAACGACGAGCTGCCGCGGACCGGCCCGGCGCCGGCCCCGTCGGCCTCGCAGCTGTTTGACGCGCTCGTGTCGCCCAGAAGCAGCGCCGCCCAACGCCAGTCCGCCGCGTCCGCCAAGGTGTCCCGCGGACACTACCGCCCGCAAATCTCGGCGCTCCCCGCGACGGCATCCTCGGCCGCTCCCAAGACAAAGAAGCGCGCCGGCGCGGTCGACGTGTTGGACATTTTGTCCGGCAAGGTCAAGGCCACGACACCGGCTCGCCCTGCTTCGTCCGTCCAGCGCCAGCCGGCGGCCGTCTCGACGGGTATCAACTTCTTTACCGTGTCGGTGCCACAGGCCGAAAAGAAACGGGCCCAGGTCTTCTTGGAGCGGCTCAAGGTTGTCCTGGAGAATGAGCCTGGTCGGCTGGTCCTGTAGGGGAGGCGACACACTTTGAGTCGATGATGAGAGAGTACGATAGAGGGCGCGTGTGCGAGAGGAACGGATCTGAGGGGGATCTCAGACCAATGCGCCCATTAATTAGCCATGTCACTATCATTTATTTTTGCCTGTGACTTTTTTGACCATTTCATCTACTACAATCGCGTCGCTTCCGTCTCCCATACGAACTGTACTTATTATTTTGCGTTTTACTGCGTTTTACATGTAGGCAAATACCATAGCTGTCAGAACAACAGTGAGCAAAGAAGCGATTCTACGCAACTTGCATCCATAAGCATGAGTCCCGACTAGGACCGTGCTTTATCTGCACATCGCGAGTTCTGGTTGGCCTGACGGCCGAGCAGAAAGTGGACAGAGTGGTACCAGCTGTGTAAAAAATGTGCCATCACTGGGGATCCATAATACGACGCATAGCATTGTCAAAGAAAACAAAGTACAATACCCACACATGTACGACATACATCATCTAGATCGGTCGTATTTTTGGTTGGCGCAAAAGACCGGGTCAGGCCGCAAGACTAATGTAAACAAAACAATGCACGTAGACAAACAAAAAAACAACCGGATGCGACTCAACCAACGATGCGGCTCGCACGGCAATGGTTCTCACGGACTGTGAGAACAGCTTCCCCGACGATCCGCTTGGCAGATTGGCCTGGGCCTTGTGTGAGCCGTGCATTCGTGCATTCGTGCATTTGTTCACCGGTGGACTCGTGGACTCGCCCACAATAAACACCTTCCGCAAGGCAGACATCCGATCGGAAGCGGTCCTCGACTCTCGCGTCCCAAGACTATGGTGCAGCATCCGCCCCCACTCTGCCCACCGCCTGTCTTTTAAGACTTTGGCTCTCCCCTACACCGGTCGCTGAAGGCTTGCATCAATGTCTCATTTTGTTTTGGCTGATATCGTCATTATGAACTTTGGGTCCTGCGCATTTTGCAGCGCAATTCGTCGGTTTAGGTGTTCCTATGGCTCAATACGCATGCCACGAAGCGACACGAGAGGACGACCACGTAGCACAACCACCCTCTCCGTAGAAGCACATCCCCGGGGCTGGGGACAATGCACATCCGTTTGGTCCGGAACTGGAGTGGCTGGCCACCACAGCCTTGTTCTGTGCGTTTGCGTACGAGGTCAAAATACGACCTTGCCTTTGGGAGACTGGGAGAGGAGAAACAAACGGAGAAACGGAAATGGATGCACGGGATTATAAGTTGTATTACAAGATCCTGAAAACGGAATAGAGAAAAGGGACAGGCGTGATTCTAGGCGCCTTGGAAGCCAGTCTCGGTCTTGCACCTATCACTTGGGTAAGATGTGATCAAATAGGCACATATATTGAATTTCGTGCTTCTCGTGCGTCAGGCCGTGCAAGAGACCATTTCCAGCCTAGGCGTCTCAGCTCTGACATCGACAGAAGCGAAGAACAAATACCGAGAAAAATATTGGGGCATAACAAAAAAGGAAGTTGACATACGAGAGATAGGGTTAGCACTTTGACCAGCCCAGCCACCCAAGCCAGTTTTAAGCTCGCCCACTTCCTTGCTGCCTCGCTACAGCTTTCAAAGGAAATGGATGGTTGCACAAGTGACCAACGGGCAAGGATTAGAATTGACGTTTTGGCCCCAACTGCCCTGTTGTCTGTTGGCTCTCCTAGCCGGGTGAGGAAGCGACTGTATTTTGTCTGTCCCCGTCCAACGATCTTGTTTTCCTTCTTCTCAGCCTATTTGATCACAAACCCTCCTTATTGCTACCCATCTATCTCGCTTACCACGCTTCCCCCCTCCTTTGGGAGAATCCCCTTAGGACAGTTATGGATCGCCCGGTCTCTTTGGTACCCGACTTCGGCAAGTCGATGAAGGCTCATGTATCATCACAAGACGCATTCCGAATTGGTTTGTTATGGAGACACAGTGTGTGATGGTTTTGACACCCTTTTTAACATAAAAAAATATACAATAAAGACGGTTTCACATTATATGTGTATCGTTGAAATCATTATTATTCTGGTCCTCCATAATAGCTCTTTACTTAAGAATATGGCTTCACATCATCTCTTTTAAACTCGGCCATCTCAAGACTTCTATCGTCACGATTTTGGTGGGAAGTGTAAATGTGACTGCATAAGATAACAGAAATGGCCCTTCCCAGCCCCAACACCACCACGACAGAGTCTCTTGTCGGTGCCTGTAATTTGTACATTGGCGTTCCAACAAACGGGCCGGTACTCGAACGAAAGTCCAGTGAGTGGAAGTCGAGGACGAGCGAGGAAAAAATAAATGCCCCAAAACCATGAAAAGTATCGAAATGCACACAATAATAATCCGTTTGTCGATGCGGCCTCCATCCAGGCCGTCTGCGGGCCATCTGCAGGCGCCCAGCCAATCCCCGTCCCACCACGAAAAGGAAAAGGGTGTGGATGCTCTAGGTTTGGACAGACAAGAGAGGGAAGCAGTAGAATACGAAAGAAAGGAAACTAACGCCGACACTCTCGGAGCACTCTCATTCTGTTGGAACGCTATTGCGTCCAACATCCTGGCCATTCTCCCTCTCTCTCCTTCTGTCTTATATTCTATTGGGCCCGCCAGAACACTCGGCCTGTTGCACTGGGCACACTCCAGCTTTGCTGCGCCCGGCCGAGTTGTTTGAAATCCTGTTGCCGCTCTATTCCTCTCTCGCTGAAGAAAAAGAAAAGAAAAGAGGGGGAAGTCAATAGACGGTCGCAGAACAAAGACTGTCGACGAATGCCTTCCACGGAAGACGAAAGGGTGAATAGAAAAGGAAACGTGCACGCTTAAGCGAGATATGTTGCAAGGTTGGCCAGGAGAAGCGAATTTGTATGAAAAAGAGAGGAAAAAGCCAGTTCAAGTGTCCGCTCGTCAGGCACGTCTTTTTCTCTCTTGAGCGTTTGTCTTGTTATTTTGTTGGCCTTTTGTGCTCTGTACTGGGAAGCTTTACATCCTTGGAGAGAGCAAAGCGTAGAGAAAGCTCCCATCGTTGCCCTTCCCTCGCTCTCCTTCTCGTTCTGTCCTTTTCTCATCACTCTCGTCACTCTCGTCACATTTATGTTTTCATTTCTCCATTTCTTGTTTGCCTTCTATTTTGTCTTCCTTTCTCTAATTTGTCGTTTCTCAATCACACCCGCTCTCTCTCTCTCTCTCTCTCAACTCTTTTCTCGTCCTCCCCCCCCCAGCTCCCCTCCTTGTCTTCTGCATCCCCTCCTTCGGCCACCATCCCCTTTCATTTCTTCCGCTGCACAACGATCTCACCCATTCCGCCGACGCAAAGCGGCTCGTACAGAGAGCCCTGCACACCATTTTCACCTCTATCGTTCTGTCTCCGTCTCATTGTCTCACCATGCCTCGGTTCGCCCACCTCTTTTCTCCCGTTTGATCCCTTCCCATTTTACCCACCCATTTGCCTTCATCATCTTGTCAAAGGGTCTCACGGGCCTTCCAAGGCCTTTTTGTTTCTTGCCTCTTCTTACATGATGAGCCGCCAAAAGGTCCCAGACGACAAGCGCCAGCGCACGGCGCAAGCGTGTGACTACTGCAAACGACGCAAGCAAAAGGTATGCAAGGTCAAGGTCAAGCTTCATGGTGTACTGTATCCAAGATCTGTCTCGGAGGATTTTCTTTTCGTTTGGCTGTCGTGCCTGTTATCCTCCCCATCCACGGCCAGCCCAGCTCAATCCATGGCTGGGACAGTGTCTGTAGGACAAGCGGTAGTGCAACGATCGTTTCCCAGATGCTTCTTCTTCCCCGTTCCCTGTTTTCCCTTTCGACATTGAGTTTTGCCTTGCCCGTGGCTGTGTCGTGGAACTCGTTGCCCTTGCCCACCAACATCGGTCGTGCCATTTTACTGGGATCGAGCGCGATTGTTTGCTGCCGAACTTGTTTCTCCGTATATACCATGCCGTTTCTCATCCTCCTCCGCACGACCTGTCATTAACTATGGTCCATCCATTCATAGTGCAATGGCACAAAGCCATGCTCGACCTGCGTCAAAAAGAGGGTCAACTGTACCTATGCCACTGGGGCGAGCCAAGGTTCCGGCAATGCAGCCGGCACCGGACCCGGCACTGGCTTGTCCATGTCCTCCAGCCGGCCCTCCACGGACGACGCCTGTGACGGTTCCGCTGCCTCCTCCTCAGCCTCGCCACCCAAGCGCCGCCACATCGAGGCGCCGTCGTCCGTTTCGACCGACACGCACCGCCTGCAGCAGCATCAGAATCGCCAGCACCACCGCCTCGACTATCACAGCAACAACAACCGCACTGGCAACACCATTCCGCCTGCATCGTCCATGACACAGTCCAACGTCGAGGTCGAGGCAAAGGCGCGGCTCAAGCTGAAAACAGTGCCACACTCGTCGTCGGCGTCTCGGTCATGGGGCGGTGGACGGAAACAGAAAGTCGCCATCGAGCTGGAGACGTCGTTTCTGCAGAACCATGGACTGTTAGGGCCGGTCCAGGAGAGCGGGCGTCCGTCGGCGGATGGTGGGCTGGAGGAGCACACGCGGGCTAGTTCGTCGAGCGGCCATGAGGAGGAAGCGATTTTGCTCCAAACGACACGAATGCTGCAAGATCAAAAGGGGCGCCTCCGTGAGTTCCTTCCTTTTCTTTCCTTGGCCGTGCCCTTCGTTCTTTCCTACAGCAGACGCTCATCACTTTTCCCATGCTCCTTCCTCTTCTAGTTTTTCTTGTTTTCCTACCGCTCTTAGGTCGCTCCTTCCCCATTGTACTGACCATCGTAGTGTACATTGGTGATTCCGCCACTCTCTCCTTCCTCCACCTCTTCCGTCTTATGGTCGAGAGCATCAGCGGCCAGTCCAACTTCACTCTCGACCCCAGAAAGGAATCTATCGTCGAAAATGTCGTGTCTCTACCGCCGTACGTCCGTCCACCCTGCATGCTGCCCGACCGACACACAGCCGACTTGCTCGTCGAGTCCTTCTTTGTCAACACCGGCGCCATTATCGAAGTCTTTGACCGGCGCGAGTTTCTCGCCGAGCTCGAGCGCTGCTACGCCAATCCACTGATAGCGAGCACGCCTTTTTTGTGTCTGTTGTTCCTAGCATTTTCAATTGGCCTTGCCATGGCCACGCCCAATGCGAACACCGTCGACGCGACCGCTCTGCGTCTGTTGGTGGAACTGCCCTACGACCAGGCCGAGCTTTTCTTCCGCACTGCCAAAGTCATGGACGATCCACTCAACGGCGTCGAGGATGCCGAGTTGTGGTCCGTCCAAGCCCAGCTGCTCATGGCCGTCTACATGCTGGCCGTCTCCAAGCGCAACGCCGCCTTTACGTACCACGGCATTGCTGTACGGTCGGCCATCGCACTCGGCCTGCACCGCGAGGAGACCATGGTCAATTTCTCCGCGTCCGAGGTCCTCTTGCGCTGCAACATCTGGAGGAGTCTATATGTCCTGGACCGCTTCATCGCCGCCTCGCTCGGTCGCCCGCCCGCCATTAGCGACAATGACTGCACTGACGTTGCCTTCAAAGATTCCATGATGCTCCCGCACATTGCGCCCATTGGTCCGACGCAACAACCGAGTACAGTGGGACAAGGGACCATGAGTGCCGGTGGTCCTGGTCCGGCTCCTCCACCCTCGTCCTCTTCCTCCTCCAACCATGCAGCTATGACTGGTCGGTGCTCCAAGCCGATGATCAACTTTGGCTTCGACGCCTCTGTACGCAGCTGCCGAATCATTGGCATCATACTCAAGAAGATGTATGTGCGCCGCCGTGTCTCCTCGCGCGCCACAGCCGATATTGTCCGCCAATGCAGCGTCTGGACCAAGGAGATGACTGAGAATCTACGCTGGCAGCGCACCGTTGAGGCTGCCGCAGCACTCGACGCCGGCAAAATCATGCGCATGCCTCAAGCAGAGAGCATTGCCATCCTGCGCACTAACCTCTTTTACTGCCATGCTGTCATCCTATTGACGCGCCCCTTTTTCCTCTTCCTGATCCAAGCCGATCGCCGCAACCATACCAGCCCTGGCAACCTTGGCAGCTTTTTCGGCGCACTCAACAAATTCGGCAGTCATAGCAGTATCGGCCGGATCAATGGTACCAGCCGACCCGCTGGCTATGGCAGCTCCGGACGATTCTCGCCTCCCTTGCGCACCCGCACTGAAAGGTTTGCCGAGAACTGTGTCACTGCATCCTACCACACCATTGCTATGGTCGGCCAAGCTCTCACAACGAAGTACCTCCCTCAGCGAGATCCTTTTATCATGTAAGTGTGAACGTCGGTTTTGTTTTGAAAAGTTTTCGTCACCTTTCGTGTATATTTCTTCTCACTCCAAACAAGGCACTTTTTGTTCACGGCAACACTGCTCATCATGGCCAATGAGTTCATTGCCATGTTCCACAATACCACGTACGACGAACACATCGATCTCGCCTTGCATGTCATGACGTTCTTCTCTACTAGTGACCCCCAGGCACAACGTCTCGCGTGGATTCTGGATGCTCTTCGGGAAGCCGTTGACAAGCACGCAACAAAATCCAACACCGCCGATACCACCAATGACGACTCTGCAAACAGCGACCAGAAGAAACATACCCGTGACAAGAACCGCATGTTTCGTTTCGAGTTCCCCAGAGACTTCATTCCTGGGACGACGGATCCCATTGACACATTCTTTGTCTTGCAGCCTGCGCATGCAGCGGCTGGCGGAGGGGCAGTCCCATTCAGGGGCGGGCAGGGCGGCAGGACTCTTCAGGTGCCAAGTAGTCAGCTGGCGCAACCTCCTGCAGATGCAGGAACTGGAGCAGGATCGTCTCAACATGTGGCTCCATCGGCAGACTATATCCACGTAGATACGGGCTTCGCCACACACAGTCAAGGCAGCATCGAACAACATCAGCAACCAGGTCTCTTGGACTTACAAAATGTGGGTATGCCGACTTCAATGTCGGCCACGTCCGCGGGTTCTGCTCAACACCGTGGTGTTCTCTACGGAGGAGAAAGCAGCGAAGGTGCATCGGCTGCAAATCCCCTCCTCCTTCCGCCTCCATTCGCCATGGCAGCAGCAGTACCACCGTCTGACTTCTCGCCTCAGTATCAAACACAGCCGCAGCATCAACACAGTACGAGTACACAGCATCCACAACAACACCAGCACCAGCACCAGCATTCCGTGAATATAGCTGGTGGCACGGGCGGCGAAGGGCTCGGGCCGGATGCTTTCCAGTCTAAAGATAGCAAAGCAGCCAACGGAGACCTCGACGGCACCGACTCGATCGAGACGGATGGCGAAGGGTTCGACTTTGACATTCTCTGGAACTGGTCTAACCCGGTGGGCCAAGTCGCTGCCGACGGTACAACTGACGCTACAGTTGGGATGACCAGTGTCGGCTTGAACCTCACAGAGCTTGGGAGTGGAGCTGTTCCAAGCACAATGAACTTTGTGCGGACGGCGCAGCAACAAGGTGGTGGCACTAATCTGTCGGCATATGGGGATGCGACGCGAGGTCGGGATGGGGAGGAACCGGGGCAGGGGGGTAGTGACATAGACATGAACCATGCACCGGCGGCCACACACAATGCACCGATGCCGCTCCCGCCCATGTACTCGCCATACGGCATGGCACCGTTGTCCAGCACTGTTGGCAGTGCAGGGCTTGGGATGTCTGGAGTGCATGGTCACGGTAACCTGGCCGCGTCCCTAAATGTGCCACTCTATACGACGACAGATTTCGGATAGGTTGCTGATCTCTCCGCTGTTGATGCATTTTCTATTGACGACGTTATGATCGTTCACTGTCACCGTTTTTGCTTTCATATTTACCCACATGCTGACCTCGGACGGCAATTGGCGCCAGCTTATTCTTTATATTATATGGTATATCATACTGCATCATTTGGCCAACACAATACAAGTTCTGATGGACAGATAATTGGTGGTTGAACTGTGAGTATGAAAGAACGTGGCATTAGAAAATGGTAAAGAGAAGAAACCGCCCGCTATGTAGTATACAACTGGTTTTGCGTTTTGCAGGAAAGTGAGCCGATCCAATATGCAAACGTCACAACACCACTCAGTAATTCAATCCCAGCAACTCCGACGCCGACATCATAAACCCAAGAAACAATCAAAACCAAATCGAAACCAAATCGTAGGGACTACCATGTCGCCGGCCCAAAGGTCTGCCCAGGTGGTAGGACCACCTGAATCGCCGTGTCCTGGAAATCCATGGTGCTGGTGACAATGTTGTTGCCCCACCAGGAGGGCGGGTCAATGTTGTTGAGCGTAAAGGCAAAAAAGATGACGAGCGTGCTCAGGGCCAACCCGAGGTCCAGACCGGACGATGTCAGGTAGTTCAGGCGACTCCACCAGGAAAAGTGGCGCTTGCGCACCCAATACTGGAAGACGAAGCCGACGACGCCCCAGCTCAGGTAGTTGAGCGGGGAGGCGGGCGGGATGGCGCCGGAGCCGCCAAAGATGAGCGGGGCCATGAGGAACTTGAGGGGCGACTTGGGCCAGCGGCGGGCCGCAAAGTAAATGATGACGGGGACGATGGCGCCGAGGCCGAAAAAGACAAAGAGGCCCGAGTAGATCTGGCCCGGCGAGAACATGCGGGCCGGGCCGAGCAGGCCCCAAATGACGGAGGCGGAAAAAAAGACGCGCCCGCCGGGGCAGGAAAAGTGCTCGGGCTGGTCGCGTTCGCAGATGCCGTCAATGTTGCCGAGGGCAAAGTTGAGGACGGCAATCTGGATGAAGCAGGCAAAGGTGGACGCGACGACCTGGGCCATGAACATGGTGCGTGGCGGGATCTTCATGTAGTGGCCAAACTTGAGGTCGCCGACAAAGCTCAGGGCCTGGGCCATGGTGATGTACCCGTACGTCTTGAAGAGCATGAGAGCCAGCGGGCGGCCCGGCTGGATGTAGCCAAAGACGAACTCGGTCAGCACGTTGAGGCCGATCTGGTTGTTGGTGACGGCCTGGATGATGCCAATCGGCAGCGAGAAGGCAAAGGCGATGAAGACGGCCAGCAAAAACGCCCACCAGGCCAGGTTGGTCGGGTAGGCCAGGATCGTGAGGAAGCCGAGTGCCAGCGTGACGGCAAACAGCACCATGTACCACCAGCCCGGGGCCTCCTTGTACTTGCGCATCAGCTTCATGTGGATGTCGGGTTTCTCGGTGGTGCTGTTGCGGTACTGCTGCCAGATGGTGCGGCTGTGGTGCAGGTACGTGTAGACAATGAGCGAGGTGATGGCGGCAAACGAGAGGCCGTAGGACATGGCAAAGGTGGTGCTCAGAAACAGCGGCGAGTACGCTTTGTAGGCGGCCTCGTCCAGCGTGAACTGGGGCGTCAACACGCGCGACACGTTGTACGGCACCCCGGTGTTGTCGTACGTTCCCGAGTCGCTCATGGGCAAGAAGAAGCCGTACCACGTGTTGGTGTAGTGCAGAATCGACGTGGTAAGGATGAAAAAGGTCACGACGCCGATCAGCGTGTTGGCGATGGCGTGCCACGGCGGAATCAAGGGCGAGCCGACAAAGCCGGCAATCTGCGTCCAGTCGAGGGTCAGGGGCAGCAGCGACAGCCCCGTGGATCCGCCAAAGAGCTGGTTGACAATGGGGCTGTTGGGCGCGAGGAACGTCGGGATGGCCAGCACGCTGAGGAACTGGGCGAGGTAGCCCGGGATGAAATAGTACAGGCACGCGCCGAGCGTCACATAGGCAAACCAGCGGTAGCGCGGCATGCGGCCGCCGATGATCGTGGGGTCCGGTCGGGGCGCGGCCTCGTACATGGCGTTCATCAGCGTGACCGAAACAAGGTTGCCTGGCCAGATCATGGCGGCCGGGTAGACCAAGAAGCGGCGCATCATGCCGGCGATGCCGTAGCCGATGGACTGCGAGGACACGACCATGAGCAGCTGGAAAACGATGCCAAAGTCCTGCTTGTAGAAGACGAGCTGGGCCAGGACAATGTCCGTGGCGTAGGCGACGGTGAAGGACACGCCGGCCATGACGACAATAATGGAGTGCTCCTTGACATTGAAGGGCCCCGGGTTGAGGGACCAGCGCAGGCCGAACGTGTTGAAGCGGCGGCGTGGCATGACACGGGCCCAGGCGTGGCCCATGGGCCAGGCAATGATCTGGGCCACGAGGGTGCCGATGCTGATGGACGGCTGGCGCAGGGAGAAGAGCGTGTTCATGGAGGCGCCGACCACAACCAGCGTCAGGCCGATGACCCAAGCGCGCACTGTATTGCAGGGCAGTTCCTCGTCGTAGTTGCGGACGGCGGCACGCACCTCGGGATAGGGCGAGTCCTCGACCTCTTCGTCGTCATCATCGTCGTCGTCGTCGTCTTCGACAAGGCTGCTTCCGCTGCCGCTGCCACTGGCGCCGTCGGCCGTGGTCTTGGTCTTGGCTTTCGTCTTCGTCCGCTTGCCCTTACCTTTGGACACGAGGGTGTCGTTGTCGTCGAAGCTGGCCGAGTCGCGCTCGGGATCGCGGAAGGACGGGATGTACTCTTCCGGCAGGTTGGGATCTAAGAGAAGTTCGTATTCTTGTTCTTCGTGTGCACCTCCAAGGTCCTCATCGTCGTCTGGGGAATAGTACAAGGCCTCTCGCGCCTTGGTGGCAGCAGACTCACCCCACATGGAGAGACGGTGCTTCAGGTCGTCGACAGGGCTCAACTTTTTTATTTCGTCGTCAGTTTCCTGCTTTTGGGAAGAGGACGTTGACGAGGAAGAGCCCTTTGAGCCTGCCGTCTCTCGACCGCTCGATGCTTGTGCGTTGGTGCCATTGTTTGTGTCGTTGCTGTTGTTATTTACCACGTTGCCTGCCGGCGTGCCAGACGCCTTTTCCGTGACAGAGACCAGGTCATCGGCCATGCTGATGATGGCGCCGGTGACTGTACCGGTAGTCTCGGTGGTCTCGGTGGTGAGTGGCAGGCAAAACAATCAACAACAGAGCAACGTCGCTAACAACGACGCAACAAGCATGGAGGGTCCTATATATGTGGGTGGTCGCTTGTGAGTGCACTTTGTGAGTGCGGATTCTGTGTCAATCGCTCTCTCTCTCTCTCTCTCTCTCTCTCTCTCTCTCTCTCTCTCTCTCTCTCTCTCTACAACTTGCCTCCTGTTGGGCAGGCTAAAGCACAAGAGCGTCGATCACCCAAATGCATATGAAGCAGCACCGTAGTCGAGGATACACTGTCCAAGGCACCAAAACAGAGAGTAGCCAGTGTAGTAGACGGGACTGTTTGGCAGCTCCGAGATAAGGCTCTGGACGCAGATTCGTCCCGGCCTCCTCTTTGGGCAAGGCTCAAGGCTCAAGGTTCAAACTCCAAACGGATGTGAAAACGCCACACGATATGCGGGAAAACACAAATCGGCCAAGATGGGGGACACGACAAGGGTCCAAGAAACGATCTCGTGATCCTGATAAGTGCAATGCGAGAGACTGGTGGGAGATGGGGGACTAGAAGGAAAGACGAAACACGGAGGACGGAACAAAGAAGCGGTCGCTTTGCGAATGAGCTTGATTGTTGGGTGTCGAGATGCGATCAAGCATAAACCCGGAGATGGACGGCTGGGGGCAAGCAGTCGACAGAGTGATAAGAGAACGTCGTCAGACGAGGATCAATGGACAGACTCAGGCAAAGCCAACCAGACAGCCGGTAAATGGCAAATCGGCAGGTCAGGGGTAGGCCGATAAGGTGGATGGTGTTCCACAAGATGGGATGTTCTGGATATAGGTATGCGGGTTGGCAATTGAAAAATTGTGTGATTCTGGCAGCTTGGCGAGTGTGAGGACAATAAATGTCGTTCTGCTCGCGTGCTGCTGTCGTGTCCCAGGGGCTCGGCAGATGTGCCTTTGATGAAACAAAGCTGCGGCGTAGCCAACCGTGGAGCAACGACGAAGTAGAGGGGAGGAGGGAAGGGAAAATAAAAATAAAACGACTCTTTTCTAGAAAGAGTGGAGGGTGTTCTTGCTGCCCACAAAGTGATATTCCCAAGTCTCCGCTGATATGCACGACGAAGGATGGCGATGGAGTGATGAGCGTAAGGGATGAGGATGAGGATGAGGAGCGAGATATGAGAGTGAGAGGTGCACAGATGCAGAATGAAAGACGGCTGCAAGCTTTCCTGGATGAGGCGACCAAGCGGCACCAAGGGATGGGCTAGGCGTCACCGGAAGCGGCAAAGGAGAGCTGAAGTTCCTTAGTCTTGGAGACGGATGATGGCTGTATCGAGCGACAAACGACGAGCGCTCCTCACCAAGCCAAGCGTTCTGCAGAGAGACCAGCTATGTTTTGCGTTTCGAGAGATGCTGTGCCGATCTGGCCTGCTCTTGGGGCGCAGGTCTCTGGTAAGACCGTATTGCATACCGGATAACAGAAAAAGGGCAGAGCTACAGTACTGGCCGTGGATGGCCGTCGAATGTCGGCCAATGCTGCGTCGTCGGCGAGTTGGTGATGTTCTCAGCCGCGGCGGCGAAAGCTGTCCGTTCCAGATGCTCAATAGAGCCTAATCCGTTCAGGTCAGGGGTCTCCACCACTCGCGCCTTCCCCCGTGGAGGTTGTCCTGGTGTGTCGTAGAGGGCAGTTGCGCACTAGTGGCTCCGGGGCTTAGTGCGCCTGCTCTTTCCAAAACGCGATACCAGTGCGACACCAGTGCCGGCAGAGCAACAAGACACTGTACGGGCACTGTATTACGTCGCCCCATCGGGGGACCATCTGCTCGGCCTGCAATGCGCCAATTGACGCCCGTGCGCCTCGGTATGATTCGAACTAACACGACAAAAGGTCGCGACCGTTCGGCTAAGAGCATCCTCAGCGTGTCGGCAGCACGGGGCAGCCTTTTCCAGCTCTTGCCAAAAGCAAAAGCAGCAGCCGGAAACGAAAGACACCAGAACGAAGTGGTTGTTGGGTGTGGTTTTCTATCTTCTTTTTTTCTTTTCGTTTCTATTTCCCTTTATTATTCTGTCTTTGTTTCCTGCGGGTCCCCTTCCCCGGCATCACTTTGTCTTGCCAGCCTCGCCGACATGCTCAGGCGGGTCGTGGTCACGGGCCTCGGCGCCGTTACGCCGCTGGGCGTGGGGGCGCGCTTTGCATGGAAACGGCTGGTGGCAGGCGAGTCGGGTATTACCAGCGTCGCCGACCGCACGCCCATTGAGCAGTGGGAGCGTCTGCCGAGCACCATAGCGGGCGCCGTGCCCGACGGCAAGAGCAGGTCGCGCGGCCAGTGGAATCCGGACGACTGGGTCGACGAGGCCGAGCAGCGCCGCATGTCGCGCTTTACGCAGTTTGCCATGGCCGCGACGGACATGGCGCTGGCCCAGGCACAATGGCCAGGTCCAGAGGCCGTGGCAGCGGCGGCACGGAAGGATGCGGCCGCCCGCACCGAGTATGCGCCCGACGACAGCCCCGAGGCGCGCACGGGCGTGTGCATCGGCAGCGGCGTCGGCAATCTCGAGGCCATCTACGAGACCAGCCTGGATCTGCACCACAGCGGCTACAAGCGCGTATCGCCGCTCTTTGTGCCGCGCATCCTCATCAACATGGCCGCCGGCCACGTCGCCATGCGCCACAACTTCCAGGGCCCCAACCACTCCGCGTCGACCGCCTGCACCACGGGCGCCCACGCCATTGGCGACGCCGCACGCTTTATTGCCCTCGGCGACGCCGACGTCATGGTCGCCGGCGGCGCCGAGGCCTGCATCCATCCGCTGACCTTTGCTGGTTTTGGCCGGTCACGATCCCTGGCCGACCCCGTCTCGGACGACCCCACAAAGTGTTCGCGGCCGTTTGACCGCGAGCGGTCAGGCTTTGTCGTGGCGGAGGGTGCTGCTGTTTTGCTGCTGGAAGAGCTCGAGCACGCGCTGGCGCGAGGCGCGCCGATCCTGGCCGAGCTGCGTGGCTACGGCTGCAGCGGTGACGCGTTTCACATGACGGCACCACACCCCCACGGCGTCGGTGCACAGCGGGCCATGCGTGCGGCGCTCAAGAACGCCGGACTGCGGCCGCGCGACGTCGACTACATCAATGCACATGCCACCGGCACGGTGATTGGCGACCGTGCCGAGGCGGCGGCGATCCGCACGCTGATGGCCGACGACGACGTGACAAACGAGTCGGCCATTACCGTCAGCAGCACAAAAGGCGCTGTGGGCCATTTACTGGGCGCGGCTGGCGCCCTCGAGGCCCTCTTCACCGTCCTCGCCATCACCGATGTACGTACTTGGTGCCGTTTACAACTGCAAACTGGTGTCTCTGTGTGTGTCTTTGTGTGTCCCTCTCTAACTTGTGTAGAATCTTGTCCCACCAACACTCAACCTCATCACCCCCGACGTGGGCCCCAACTTCAACTTTGTGCGCGAAAAGGGCCAAGAAAAGAAGGTCGACGTCGCCCTCACCAACAGCTTTGGCTTTGGCGGAACTAATGCCAGTTTGGTGTTTTCCAAGTTCAAATGATGCCAAGAAGAAAGAAAGAAACAGAAAGAAAGCAATAGCGAAAATGTACATATGAAACACAACGTAGACGGTAAACAGAAAACAAGATCAAACAGTGTAAAGAAGCGGTAGGTCATAGGGAAGCTTGACAGCGAATGTTGTGACGAGAGAGTTTTGGTATTTGTTTGCATTTGTTTACATTTGTTTTACTATTATCCTTGGAAGGGTATCATGAAACACGGGCCACCACTGACAGTCTACTTCAAAAGGTCGCTGATGCCCACCTCGTCCTTACGCCGCCGCACCTCCTCGAGAGCGCCTGCCGGGTCCGTCTCCTCCGGGTTGCGCAGCTGCCAGGCCATGCAAATGTCCATGGCGGCCGTCATCCACTTGCCCGGCTTGATCCCCAGCGCCGCGGCTACCTGCTTGCCGTCCAGCAAGCGCTTAATGTGCGGCGCGTCGAGCACGTCGAGCGTCTCGAGGTGGTCCAGAAACACCTGCCAGTCCCGCATGAGGCTGTCGAGCTGGGCTTGGCTGGGCGGGGCGTCCTTGGACGCAGTCGTCTGTGCGAGCAGCAACACCTCCCATAGCAGAGCATACAGCACCTGCAGGCGCCAGTTGCTGCCCCGGGCCTCCCAGCTGCGGATGGCCATGCCGAACCGGTCGCGCTCGTGGATCTCCGGCGCCTTGCGGTCCAGAACAAGCTGCTTGAGCACCAGGACCTCGTCGCGGTGGCGGTAGCCGCCTTGCACAACGTCGCTCAGCTTGTTGGGGGCGCGGATGCCGTCCCGTAAAGCAAGCACAACCGGCGGCGGTGGGGGCTTGCTAGGGAGGCTGCCGGCGTTGCCCTTGTTCTTGATCTTTCCATTCGTAGGCGGTGGTGGTGGTGGAGGCGGAGGAGGAGTGGGCGGCGGTGCGACCTGACCCCATGGCACGGCGGCGGCCAGGACCCAGGCAAAGTACTTTGCTTCCTCGGTGTGCACGAGCACATCGTAGATCGATCCTGGTGTCTTGGTTTCGGCCAGGGCGTGCAGGCACTCGTAGACAGAACCCCAGCCCGTAAGATTGGGCCGATCTGGCTCTGTGTGTTCTGGTGTTGTCGCTGGTGTTGTCGTGGCGGCCCCGCTCGCGTCTGTCCCGGCCACCAGGTTGGTGAAGATGGCGTGGTACAGCCCCAGCCGATCGATCAGGGCCAGAGCGTCGCGCGGATGCTGGCCCTTGAGCATCTTTTCCACCTCAATGCCCACACGCTCACGGCTGATCTTGAGCCGCAGCGCGTCAAGCACGCGCGGGTCTGCCATGACGGCCTCGACGGCCGGGTCAATGGTAAACTGCAGGCGGCTCGCAAAGCGCACGAGCCGCAGCACGCGCAGCGGGTCGTCGGTAAACGTCTGCAGCGGCTCGAGCGGCGTCTGGATACGCTGAGCCGCCATGTCCGCCAGGCCGCCCGTGAAGTCTTCCACCAGACCCGTGGACAGGTTGTAAAAGAGCGCATTCACCGTGGCGTCGCGGCGCAGTGCGTCCTCCTCGGCTGTGCCAAACTCCATCTGCGGGTTGCGGCTGTCGGCGGCATATGTCTCCTTGCGCAGGTTGACAAAATCAATGTCCATGCCGAAAATCCGCACGGTGGCCGTCTCGAGGTGCTTGGACTTGTCCGGATTGGCCTCGACCTTGTGGACGCTCCCGAGGTCGCTGGCGGCCATGCGGTGGCGGTCGATATTGTCGGGGTCAGCGCAAAAGGCCTGCATCTGGTGTGCAAAGGCGTAGCCGGTCATGGAGTTGATGGCCGTGTCGATGTCGTTGCTGGCCTGGCCCAGCAGCTTGTCGCGGACCCAGCCGCCGGCCCAGCGCAGGACGATTGGTTCTCGAGATTGCTGCTCGCTGAGATTTTCATTCTTGTTGACAAAGGCAGCCACATCGAGCAGCAAGTTCTTGAGCCGCAGCTCCTGGTCGGTCAGCCGGAGCGTGGTGGTCGCTGGTGTCGCCATGGCTCTGGTGCGATGCCTCCGCTTCTTGGCGATGCTTTCGCTTGGGAACAGAGAAGCACGGTATTCCGCTGCTTGATTGTCGTCGTTGTCGGCCAGCTTTCTCTTCATAGAGCTGGCCGAAAACAAAAGAAATCGAGACGCAAGGTGCCGCGGTCGACGAGGAAAAGGAAAAGTTTCCGCCACTGCAATTGGTCTCCTCCCGCGCAAAGTCGGACACAGGTTAAGTCGACAAGCAGACCATAGCATGAGTCAATCGAGCCAGGGTGTATTGTAGCCTGGGTATTGTCGTGGCTGGTCGTTTGCTGTTTATCGTTTGTCGATTTGTCTGCGGGATCGTTGTTGGGCTGGCAGAATCCATTTTGGAACTATCAACTTCTTCTATGACTCCAAACTGCCCCAACGTTGGCGCCATCCCCGCTATACTGCTTGCTTTCGACGTGCTTAGGGCCTGCACGTGACAATTATTGGGACCAGCCGTAGGTGGGCTGTTTCAGCCTTGTTCAGCCTTGTGGGGAAGGCAGTCATACTGTTACAGAAGCTGTAAATACCTTCGCCGTCTCTTCATTCTTATTTCCTATTCTTGTCTTTAATGATGTTTATACTTTGACAGATTTACATCACATAGCCTTCCACTTATTAAAAGGCAGCCCAGCCTAGCTATCACTTGCTCATTTCTCTGTCGAGAGTTTCAAGTTTTAAGAGTCATACGGCTATTTTCTAGATGCCACTATTTGGCTGTCCCTCGTTGCGAGTCCACGTTGTCAAACAGTCTTACAGATTGGAGAGCAACGGCCCGTCACTGCTTCTGTTTTCGTGGTCTCTAGTGTCTAGCCCTTTTTTTCTTTCTTGAAGATTTATCTCAAAGTGATACACATAACGTCTTCGTATTGTAGGATTTCATATCCGAAGGATGAGTGCATCAAGTTCCGCCGAGAGAGAACGGGCGTGGGGGCACTGCAGCGTGTCCGTCATTTAGAGTTTTATTGCGTACGCTGGCCTTTCCCGAAGAGCTTTAACCGCCTACTTCTATCCACAAAACTCGGTGTCCAAGGAGCGACTCGAAGGGCCGCCCAACAGTTGGGAATGTCGGGGGATCCGGGCGGTAGAGCCACGTCTGCCAAGCCAGTTATCGGAACAATTGAGAACACGCTCAGGCATGACGGGGTGTTATTGGGGTCAGTCGAATGCACCTGTCCCATGTGATTGTTCGTAATCATGGATGCCGGCGGATACTGCGCAGAGTCAAAGTAGGTGGACAAAGGTGCGACGAGTGCGGATGCCTAAAATGCAGGTGTGGTTGCCGATGGCGGCTGTCACCGTTGTTAGCCGTCCACATCTTCGCTCTTTGTTCTTGTCGCAATCTAGAATAGTGGGAGGCTGTGTAACCCATAGGGCAGCAACGACGTAACTGCGCAATGCAGCCAAGCAACTGCATCATGCTATTGGTAGTAGTGTATTAGAAGCAACACATAAGTGAGTAGGTTGCAGAGATAGTTGGTACTTTTGCATTCGATATGCGGCATATTATTCTGTAGATTATTATGATTTTATTTGATTTTCTACGAAATTTTATTACTATAATTATTTATTTATTTATTATTATTGTTGTTGTTGATTTTGTTGATTCCATTTTCTTTCGACTTTGCAGAAATTCTGGATTTTGTTTCTGGATTTATTCCGACAGGAACTGGACAGCTTTACGAAAGTTTGAGCGAAATAGCATAAAAAAAGCCAAATGAAACCTCATCGCCAGGTCGAGAATTCAAGATCAGCCTGCCAAATGAGCTGGGCGGCCTCTTTGATCCTCCATTGCCCGGCGGGTTGCCCGGTGGTCGACGATCTTCCTTCATACACTCTCACATTTCTGCTGCAGTCTAATATTATGCTTTGGTTTTGTCTTTCAGACACAGCACAACCCCCGAGACGTCTGTAGGCTGCCATTTGCAGATTGTCGCAGTTCAAGTCTGTACAGCTTCGGCACCTCCACATGAAGTAGAAGGTCTATGTATATTGTGAATCCTCCATGCTATTCACAACACTTCAACCTTCGTCAGATCCTGAAAAGATAGTAATGAGCCTGGCTCGTTCACCCCTCGTGAGGAACAATAAAATATAAAGCTAAAATAAAAGAGTAAGCTTGTTGCACGGCATTCAATTCCCTCTGCAGTGCACAGGTACCGTTTTCGTGTCATGGAGGCGAAATGACGAATCATCTCGGCAGCCAAGCATTGCGCCCAGCAACGGCGTTCTTGTCAATTTTGTCCCCCGCCCGCTCTGCCATCGATCTCGGATTGCCATAGACATCGTACGCAGGAGATCAGTCGCGTCTGGTCACGCATTTGGGAACAAAATGCACCAAAAAAAAAAAATAAGTTGGCTGGCATAAATCACACGGGCCCGACGCCTGGGCGAAAGTCCAGAGACAAGTATTGACGACAAATGATAGTTTTCGCTAAGGCTTTTGGCATGTCTTACTTATCTTTTGTTTCGGGAATTGTAGAAATGGACTATGTCTCGACCAACATCCAGCGGTGACGACCGTTTCTCCCCTTTTGCCCTTCACATTTCCCATATTTGGCAAATCGCGGCGCCGTTCTGAGATCGCTGGGTGTTTGCTTGGCAATTTTAGGCAATAACAAAGAGCCGAAAATTCAGGGCGACAGAGGAGGGAGGATGGCCGGGATTCAACAGGTTCTAGGGCCTATGGATTCCTTTTACGCGATGAATATATACATACCCCCCCCCCCCCCCGAGACCACCTGGGCCTGTCAAGTGACATTCGCAAACAGTTAGCGAGTTGCTGGGTGTGTGTTAGTGGCGTTCGCCCCGTCTAGACTTCTCCCAAAATTTGGTCTCCAAAGAGAACGGGCACCTGGATGAGATGCCAAGAGATAATGCTGCGCAGTTTTCGCCTCCTTTCAAAGGATCCGCCTCCTATTTCTTCTACGATAAAATGACAAGCCAGCGCACAGCCTCGACGAGTACGTATACGCGGAACGATGAAAGACACCAATTTTACAAAAAGACCCCGGGGCTTGCAACATTATGTTTTGTCGTAATAGTGACGATGTACAAAGCGGGACTGTTATTATGACGTAATCCCACCCGCGTTTGTAATGAGACAACTATCGAGGAACTGAAAGAATGAATGAAACGATGAAACGCGCGAGGCCATAAAGGCTCGACAGGCACATATTAACATATTACGTGAATAGAAAGAGGATACGGTGCTATATGGCGCAAAGAATCATGCAAATCACTACGAGTGGCTTTTCACGTCACATTTCAATGAGGTCAGAACGAGCTAGAACCAAATGACAACCACATCCTAACCCCAGACTGGCAATGATAAGACAGGGCTACAACGGCGAGCATACGACATATTACGACCGAGCGACCTTTGCAAGCAATCTGCAAGACGAATGTCTTATTGGTCCCCGGAAAGAAAAGACCAGAAAGTGAGACTAGGATATACCAGACGCGGACCTGGGCTGTGGCGTGCATCAAAAGAGAAAAAGAGCTGCAGAGCTCCTTGGTTCATGAGCAGCTATGGGCACAAAGAGGAGGGGAGGGGGCGGGTTTGGAGTGGTTAGGCGCATCTGCGGGTGTGAGCAACATGAGGAGGGAAAGGAGTCAGAGATGGCCTAGCCAAAACAAAGAGCCCAATGGGGACGGCCCCCTCGTCCTCCCTTGTGTCCTCTCAACACCCTCTTTCTTTCTCCTCTATGTCTGCGTACATTCCGCGTCGACCAGCATCCCCTCTTCTTAACTGTTTTTGTCGTTTTTGCCACCTCCGACTGTATGCTGCCGCATATCGTATGTTGTCTCCAATGCTACTTTCTTGGGACACTCACACCCCCTTATCAGTTGGTAAGGCAAACTAAATTCGGGCAGTTGAGGCGGGAAACGAAACAAGAAGACCAAGGGAAAGCCGACTGATTGGCACGAGACCAGCTCGATAGTACCAGAATGACGGCCATGAATTAGCTGTTAGCTGATCTCTGCCTGCTCTGGACTGTCCCTTTTGTCACTATTTTCCTGTTAAGCTTTAAGCATTTATTTTGATTCGTTGGTATACCTTTTGGTTCGTCCATGAGGCAGCAACTGGACAAGTCCAAGCCTTGGCCATTCATGGCTATGTGCCGTCTTTTTGTGTGAGGTATGGTCCTTTCAGTTCAGATCCACGTAGTTGCAATAGCCTCCTAGTATAAAGAGGTCGGCTGACCGCTGTCTGTCGCTATCGAATCTTTCTTTTCGTTTTTTACGTGTCCCATACAATTCCTCAACTTCAGATCTTGTCTTTTTTTTTCATTTTTCATCAGATTCCCGCATCATATCAGACACCATCCCCCCTCTCGATATCCACGTCCGCTCTTAACCGTCAGCACAGCCGTCTCGACGATTCCGTCTTGGACGCCTCATTTTACCATCCTCCCATCAAAACTCCTTTTCCCCGTTTCATCATGGCCGCCCCCAACTCCCAAACAAACGCAATCAACATCGGACCCGATGCCGGCCCGTCGAACCACACGAACCTGGACGCGGACCGCGCTTTCCAGATGACCAGCGGCTCCGTTGGCTCGGCAGGCGGCGACGCCTACTCGCCACCCACTATTACTTACACCGCTGCCGCCGACGACGCCCCAGCCGGGACCGTATCCAATATGGACGGGATGGGCCTGGCTGGCAGCAGTTCCAACAATGCCGGCGGCGGCCAGTGGGACCGCCGCCACAGCGACGAGTGGGACGCTTCCAAAGTGCCTCCGAGCCGTTTCCAGAAGCGCAAGGGCTCGATTTACTCGACACAGGGTTCCCGCGACGGCCATGTTGACAGCAACTATGCTGCCAAGTTCCACGCCAAGCATGCTGAGCTGGGCTATAACAAGCTCAAGTGAGATGGGGGGCGAAGCAAACGAGATAAAAAAAAGAAGGAAAACGAATAAAAAAAGACGAATTATGATATTGTTGGTTTAGTCTGTTTTGACCTGTGATATGCCCGTCTTCGCACAGAAGACGCTGGCAGCAGCAGAGAGGTTGGCGTTCTTGTTATCTATTCTGGCGATACATTGGCAATGGTTTATCATCAACTGATCGTCACTTCATGTGACTCTCATATCACACTACTGTTTGCGTTGTTTTTTTGTATTTCTCCTAGCTATTCGCCCATATCTGCTGCATCCAAAGGGTGTCGAAAATGGGAAACCGATTTGACAAAAGAAAAGTCGTGGAAAGGCAGAGGAACTCGAGCAAACTCCTCAAAGCAGAGACGCCAACCACACCGACTGTGAAACCTAGAAACATTTGATATATGAAAAACCTGTCCAAAAAGTAGAGAAGATGTGCCGTTTTTCGTTGACCAGTAAAAATAGGAAAAGGAAACCAATGAAAGGACAATTGAAATGACAATTGATAAGAAAACAAAGGAAAATGAAAAGAAAAAGAGAACATGAGGATTAGAAACGAAACGATTGTGAAAGCCTGACATCTTGGAGCCATATAAAAGCAGGAAGTAAAACATAGAAAGGGGGGAAAACAGACAAGGAGACACCGTTACACCCTCTATTCGTCATCTTCATCGTCCATGTCGATGTTAATGGCATCCGGATTGGCCACCGGTTGTGGTGCTGCCGCAGCCGCCGACACAATGGGCGCGTCGCTGGCCGCCACAAAGCCCACGGGCGCACGCGCCTGCCGCTCGAGTGCTGCCATGGCGTCGGCCCTCTCGCCCTCCGCGTCGCCATTTTCGCTGCCGTCGGCGTGCTCGCCGTTGGCAGCGGCGGCCGCGGCCGCCTGGCGCTGCTGCTGGCTCTTGGCCAGCGCCTGCGACGCCACAAAGTTGACGTCGGTGTTGTACTGCGCCTGCACGCTGCGTTTGATCCGCAGCATCTCCTTGAACGTGTCCTCGTTGCCGTGCTGCACCTCGAACCCGTGCCATTTGGCCCAAAAGTCGGGGTTCGTCCGCGGGTCGCAAAACTGCGACGCGTGTCCGTAAATCGCCCGCGCCCGGTCAATCTCGCCGAGCCGCTTTTCCATGTCGGCAAACTTGAGGCACATGTCGCGCGCCTCGGCGTCTGGCAGCGTCGAGATGGCGCGCTCGTAGATGGGCCGCGTCGACGCCATGCCGAAGTTGGACGCCGACTTGGTAATGTAAAAGTTGAACATGTCGGCCCGGTCCTCGTCCGACACCGCCCGCGTCGCCCGCTCGTAGATGCGCATCGCGTGCCGTGCCAGGCCGCGCTCTTCCTCGAGATTGCCGTACATGAGATAGATAACCTTGGCGAACCGCGGGGGGCATCCCTCAATGGCCTGCTCAAACAGATCGCGCAGCCGCTCGATGCCAATCTTGCGGTCCACTGCCTTTGTCAAGTACAGATTCCACAGCTCAAAGGCCACCGGGTAGCTGAACAGGTCGAGGCCGCGCTCAAAAATCTTGAAGCAATCCTCAAAGTATTCATGCTCCTCCAGCAGATTCGCATAGTTGACCACCGTCTGCGGCGTTGCAATCCGCAGCTCAAAGATGCGCTCGTACACCTTCTTGGTCTCCTCGAGTGAGCTGACGCTCTCGACAAGGTCGACGTAAAAGCTCCACAGCTTCCAGCTCTTGTGCACCCGCTGCTGTGGCGACAGCGTCTCGTCAAAATAGTCCACTGTCGAGCGCTTCGGCGCCTGCACCGCCTTGGCCATGACGCGGACCGCGTCGTCAAAGTTCTCGTTGCGCAGCTCCATCTCCGCCCACTCGATCCACATGTCTGCCAGCTCGGCCACCGACCGGAACGGCACCTTGACGGCCTTTTCCATAATAACGCGCGCATTCCGGATGTCGCCGCCTTGGTCGTAGAACTTGGCGTAGTTGGCCCACAGCTGGTGGAACACCCCCACGGCCTTCTTGGGCTCGATGGTCGCAATCGCTTTCGTGTACGTGTTGACCACCTCCTGCTTGTTCTCACCCCACAGCCCGACACGCTTCTCCCACTCGGCCACGTTGTTCGGGTTCTGCCGCAGCAGCACGTCGTTCAGCAAGAATGGCCGCCGGTCCATCAGATGCTCGAAGCGCAGCATGCGGATGTCGAGGTCAAAATCCGCCGCCTCGTCAGCTACGCCCTTTTCGGCACGCGTCGAAACGAGGTCCATGAGAGCGCCAATAATGGACTCTTCAAACTCCACGTACGAATCGAACACGAGCGTAAAGTCGCGCACCGTCATGACCGTCGTGATGGCCTCCTCGAAGATGTCGCGCGCCCGCTCAAAGCTGCCCCGCCGTGTCCAGTACGCGGCTAGGCCCGACCACAGCTTGCCCCGCTGGTCTGAATACCGGTCAATGCCACTGCGGATGATGCGCTCGACGTCAATACCCGTCTCCTGGCCGGTCTGGATCTCGTTGGCATGCTCCACGAGCAGGTCGATCATCTCGCTCCACAGCTCGTAGTGGCCCTTGGCCTTTTTGCTGCGGAACCGTGCGTTGTTGAGCACCTTGATGTACGTCCGCACGGCCTCGGTGTAGAGTCCGGACTGTGTAAGGAGCTCGATAAAGTCCTCGGCGTCTTCCGGGTGGACTTGCATGTAGCGCCGCCAGATGCGGACCGCTGTCTCGCCGCCGGCGGAGTTGGCAAAGGGCCGGTACAGCGCCCATATTCGGTTATGTTGGGCGATTGGCAGGGCGCGCAGGGCGCGGTCAAATGTGCGGCGTGTGAATGTGACGAGCGGCTGCTGCATAAGAAACTTGAGGTAGAGTTCCCATATCCGTGGCATCTTGTTGAGGAGGATGATGGCACGCTCAAAGAGCGCGTTGACCTTGCGGTACTCGGCAGCGTAGGAGGCGGCGTTGAGCTTGGATACGTGTTTTGTGCGGAAGACGAGGTACTGCAAAGGTTTTGGTCAGCATGGACGATGCATGAGTGGTGCTGGGGGGGCGACTCTTACCATCTTCCACAGCTTGTAGGAGCGCGGTAGTTGTGTGCAGGCCCGTTCCATCACGTAAGCCTGCTCCTGAACGGTGCCATGCTGGACTTTGTGTCGAATGTAAGAAAGCCACGGCCGTGTTGTGCCTTGGTTGCGGTATATGTCTTGTTCGTAGGGTGCATCGGCGTCGGCCTGGGCATCAGTTAGCGGACGAGTGGCATATTGTCGGTTGGTGAATGTAAGGGGAGCTCACCAGAAGATGAATGTCTGGCCTTGGGCCGGGAGCAGTGGCCACAGCTGGAGTAGCAGATGCTGCCATTTTGGGCTATGGGCTTGTAGGTGGTCGTGAAGCGAGCGGCTGGGACTCCGGAGGGACGGCAGAGTCGAGAATTTGAACGAACGCTAACGTTCGCCTTGTGCGAAAGGGAGAGGTAGAGAAGAGCGCGAAGCGGATCGAACGACGGCCGAGGAGGGATGACGGAGAGTGAAGGAGAGTGGAGGGGAAAAGGCTTCTAAGAAAACTCAATTTGAGCGCGTCCTCACATCATCACGGTCGCAGCCATTGCTTGGATGAAACCAAAGCTGCGAGAAAAACACACCAATGAGGCCCGAGCAGACAGCAAGAGGATGCGCCCTTGGGCTTGGGGCAGCGCGGGCGCGATTCGTCTGTTGAAGCTATCGTTTCGTTGTGCGTATCGTTACAAAGTCGACTTTTGTGGTTGTCTCGTCCGATTCCTCACTCTCGTCGTCCTGGCTTGTCGGTCGCTGTTGCCGTTGTCGTCGTCTGCGTTCCTCGCTCCTGCCTTCTCTGTTTTCCGATGGAGCCTGCTTCTATTTTTTCCCGCGTCGTTGCCCAAAATGCCAGCCCTTGTTCATGCGTCCCAAAAGGGGAAAGCGCCATTCAATGCAACCTAGGAACCAATGGAGCAGGAACTGATGATGACTAAGGACCGAAGCCAGTCCCGAAGCTAATCGAGGGGAAAGGACCTAGGCAAGCTATAGGCCTATCTTTCACTGGACATCTCATCTGTGTAACTCGGCCTCTTTGAGAGACACATGGGAGCTCCCCGTCAGCCAAATTGACGACGAAACATCATTGCGAACTTTAGCATTGTCGCACTCCCACGACGTGCCTTCGTCACGTTTACATTGCGAAGCCACCGACTACATCGGATACGACTCGGAGCCTCCGTGTGGTTTTCTTTGTCCGACTCGTTTACTCTATCCCATCTCGTGCCGGCCAGCGACTTCTGTCAGGCAACCAAAAAGCGCTCATCATGTCTGGAGCCGCTGTACGTTATGACGGCAAAGACGGCCGATTCTATGGAATACGTTAGGAATAAGGAACTGACCAAAGACTTGAATGGGTGGATAGGATCGTGAGGCGGTTTTCCCGACCCGCCAGTCGCTCGGCATAATGAAGGCCAAGCTCAAGGGTGCCGAGACAGGCCACAACTTGCTGAAGCGCAAGAGTGAGGCTCTGACAAAGTGCGTGATGATAAGAAGTGACTTGAGAGATGCCAGGTGCTGCAGTATTGGTGAGAAAGGCTGACCATTGTGTTGACAGGCGATTCCGAGGTATTTTGACACTCCCGTTCCTACGATGACGTCTGAACATGCGACGCCAGCTATTCCGACTCTCCCTCGATGTCCATATCGCTAAACAACATATTTCCCTCCCTGTACAGAGATTACCCGCCGAATTGACGAGGCGAAGCGCAAGATGGGCCGTGTGATGCAGATTGCGGCCTTCTCGCTGGCTGAGGTGACGTACGCCGTCGGTGGCGACATTGGCTACCAGGTGCAGGAGTCGGCGCGGTCTGCACGGTTCCGCATCCGCGCCAAGCAAGAAAACGTCTCTGGTGTGCTCCTACCGGCGTTTGAGAGCTTCCAGACTGAGGGCAATAACGACTTTGCCATGACGGGCCTAGGCAAGGGTGGCCAGCAAGTGCAGCGGTCTAGGGATACCTATGCAAGGGCCGTCGAAGCTCTCGTTGAACTGGCCAGTCTACAGGTAGGCACCCCTCGTGTGCATTTAGGGAGATGTGAGGTTGCGGTGTTTACTGACAACTACAGACCGCATTTGTTATTCTGGACGAGGTCATCAAGGTGGTCAACCGAAGAGGTGAGTTTACCCTGACAAATACTTGTATAGTGTGCGTTGAAGCATTTGCTAACTTTCTATGTAGTCAACGCCATGTTAGTTTTCCGGCTTGTTATTCTTCTCATCTCCATTTTGCACAGTAGTCTAACCTTTGCAGCGAGCACGTTATCATTCCTCGTACTGAGAATACGATCAAATGTAAGAGACCTTTGTTTTCACGCGCCCCTTCAGAGAATGGTCCCGGAAGCTGACCACGACCTCCCAGACATCAACTCTGAGCTGGACGAGCTCGACAGAGAAGAGTTTTATCGACTCAAGAAGGTTGCCGGCAAGAAGCAGCGAGACACAGCCGCTGAGGATGAAGAGCTCAAGGCTCGGAAAGAGACTTTGCAAGCAGCCAGGGGCGCTTCTGGTGGCGGCAAGAAGGAGAAAGACGGCGAGCCCTCGGATCTGCTGGCCGAAGGCGACGACGACGTTATTTTCTAGATGGCACTGGGATTGGCAGCATAAAGCATACGTTCCTATAATTATGTGCAGAGAGGACGTGGACCAGTATAGGTGTGTGGACGTTGTTGTTTCGCCACACATCACACTGTTGTAAATTGTAACGTTGCGCTTTTGGTATATCATAGTCGGCCAGGAAATCATTGATCTAAATCCTTGCATTTGACTTGTTATTCTATTTTGTGTTCACTCGTTATATGGTATTGTACAGTTTCCGGAGTGCAATGGAAACTTTGCACTAGCTATTTGTAGCCTTGTGTGAACCCCCGTTGACCGAAACATATGCAATACAAAGGACGCTGAAAGAGGGAAAAAAGAAAGTGTGGTATATTGCAGACAATAACAAACCTCGTAGCGTGGAGCAGAGCCGTAACAAGAATGTGCTGGTCTACTGCCGCTGGTAAGTCACCTTGATCGACTTCTTGCCGCCCTCGTCGCTGTCCTCGCCCAGCAGCATGCCGGCTGTGCTCGTCTTGGCCGCAATGGCGCCCTGCTCGGCCTCGTACTCCACGAACGCCAGGCCACGGCCAGGCACCAGGCGCACTTCGCGGAAACCCTCGAAGCGACTGAAGATCTCGGTGAGACGGTCGGAGTCGATGTCTCGTGGAAGATGCTGCACGAAGAGCGTCTTGTTGGGTGGTAGGTACTCGTCGGGGATCTGGGCCGGGGCAGCAGGCGCAGCCGCACCACCAAGAGCCGCGCCGCCGAGTGCGTCTGCTTGGGGCCGCAGGAGCTGGCGCTTCTGGGCCTCGGCGGTCTCGAAAGCAAGCTTCTTGTCTGTATGTGTCAGCGACCATACGCGTGTACCCAAAGAATCCCGGCCGCGCATAGACTTACCCCTCTCGGCCACTCGGTGCCGCTTGTGAGCCTCGAGCTCCTCCGGCGTGCCCGTTTGTTGCACGGTAGCGTCGCTGCGCATGCGCGCAATGGCAAGCACCATGGGCTTACCGAACAGCACGAAGCCCTGGGCTTCCTCGACGGCGCGCTTTGCAGACTCTGGGCTGTCAAAGGCAATAAAGGCCTGGCCCTTGGCACGCAGGTTCGTCTTGGCAACAATGTCGATGACGGTGCCAAACTCGGAGAAGATGGCCTCGAGGGCGTCGCGCAGAGGCTCTGGCTTGATGCGCTCCTCAAGGTTACGCACGTAGACCCTGGGGAAAGAGACGGTGTATGTTAGCCAACACGGTTCAAGCACGAAAGACGCATTTGGTACCTCATTGTGGCAACTGGGAGACGCTGTAGGAACGCTGCGGAGTGTCGGTGAAAAAGGGCAAAAACAGGCGAGAAGATGCAGTTTTTCTGTGCAATGACACAACGTACGTGGCTACAGGCGCGTCGCTCGACATGGTGGCTGGTGTTTGCGGTTTGGAAGGCCGTCGAATGAAAAAAAAGGTGAAGGTTGAAGCATGGTGGAGATTTAAAGGTTTCCCGCTATGCGCAGTGGCTCGTGGATTTTGGGTTGGTTGTGTCTGGTTGAGCCTTGCGCACCACTGCAGCGCTGTGATTGGCTAGCGAGGCTTCGCTGAACAAAACCACACTGCTTTTCCGTAATAATGCACTTCTTTGTAAAACTTGTAACTTCTAATTCAGTGAATGTCTATATACCATTACACGGATTGAACTTTTCCGTTGGTTTTGTTTGTCTCCTCTCCTCCCATATTTTTACCCCAAAATATATATTTAAGTGATAATACACTCGTAAAAGCAGATCGTCGTAACGCAGTTCCGAACGTTATTTTTTACGCCGCGTCTGTTGCCTTTTCGTCTACCTCGGTGGATTCCTCGTTTTCCCGATCCTCGCCATCCTTTTCGTTCTCCTCGTCATCGGCAACAGCCCCTTCCGTGGCCTCCTCCGGCGGCGGCGACTCGTCTTGGCTGTCGTTGGTACCGTCGAGGGCGAGTTCGCTCTTCAGGTCCGGCAGGAATCGGTCGATGCGCTTCCACGTCTCGACCCACAGCTCCTCCTTGGATTTGTCGATGCTGGGCGCCACCAGGTAGCCGCTGCTCGCCATGAACAGCAGCACATTCTTCAGGTTCTCGGGCACGGCCTCCTCGAGACTGTCGCCTTGGCCGCTGTTCATAAGGCGATCGAGAATATCAATAATCTTCAGCCACAGATCCAGCATGCCGTCCCAGGCTGACAGCAACACAAGATACTGCAAAAACACCTTGCAGAGTAGCGACGCCGCCTGGACGCGCGTCTCGCTCATGCCATCACGGTCCGATGAGTAGACCTCGGGCAGCAAGAGCTTGAGGATGAGCGGGAAGAGTACCTCGCTGAAGATGGCCGTCCACTCGCGGTGGTCGCTTGACGTCAGTTCGGGCGACAGCAGGGACCGTTGCAGCGACGAGAAGGCGAGGTGCCGCACTTCACGGCATGGGTTGGTGCATTGGTTGGTGAGCGCCTGGAATATGGGCAGCCAGTATGCAGACCATGCTTGTTTTGTTAGTAAACTGCCATGAAACAAGCAAGAAATTGATAAGAGCTCTTCTTACCTTCGCTGCTTTCCAAGTGCGACTGCTTCATCAAGTAGGGAATGCGCGACGTCATGTTGTAGATAATATTGATGGCTTTGATGCCCCGTTGGACAGCCGCATTGTCGCTATAGGATATGTTAGCCACATCTCCAAACAAGGGCCGAGGAGGGAATGTGGGATGGGGGAGAGCGTACCTCGCCTTCTCCTGTCTGGGCGGCCGGCTCACGCGACGGTTCTTACGGTCGAGCTGCTGCTCGGCTACGGCGCCAATGCTGGCCGCCGATGCAAACTCGTTGCACAGGATGATGGCGGCTTCATAGTTGTCAGCCAGAATAGCCGGCGGCGAGCCACTAACGCCGCTCTCGAGAATCTCAAAGACGGTCGCGGCCGATTCTTCGTAGCCCGACAACGTCCCGAGCACGGCCCAAAAGTCAGGCGACGTCATGATCTCGCTCCGTAGAGGGCCGGGCGTCGCGATACAGAGCTTGAGGCCCTTGAGGATTACCGAGGCCGTGGACTTGAGCGTCTCCTTGTGGAAGCTGGAGACGGCGTGGAGCAACATAGGCACACGGACATAGTCGAAGTTGTAGCTTGCGCGAAGGAGGCTAAAGAGGTAGTACGTGGCACGGCCGATAAAGATGGGATGGAAGCGCGACACGTCGCGCAGGATGCCCTGCAGTGCGTCGACTACGCGCTTACCGACGAGCTGGACGCTCGCCTCGCTGCGGAGTGCCAGCACGGTGCAGAGCTCGAGGATATAGACGGGGCTGGGCTCGTAGGGAGGCGTATTGGGCGGCTTGTTGTTGGGGTTGGCGGGCGAGGTCGGTGGGACGTTATCAGACTTGACCTTGATCACGACGCCAGCGGCATTATCCTCCGGGATCTGGTCGAGGAGCGCATCCACGAGCGCTTCCAAGCTGTCGCCAGACAGGTTCCTGATTCATTTTATTGTTAGTCAATGTCATGCGCGAACCAACGCGATATAAAAAAACAAACAACAGAGGAGGACGTACGAAATGTTGGCAAAGACTTGGTCGACGTGGCACGAGCTCACGCAGTCGATAGCACTAAGCGTGCTCTCGAGCTCTTCGTCAGACGGCTCGGGCGGGTCGTCGGCCGCGTAGCTCGATATGTACGACGTAAATGCCGAAAAGAAGCCGCTCTCGTTTTGCTTGGTGCCACGGTCAATCACCTGGCCAGGACTCTGCAGGGGAATGGTTGGCAGGTCATTGACGCCAGAGTCGCTGAGGGAGAAGACCGGAATCAACGAGTTTTCAAATAGGTTGAGCCAGATGCGGATGACATGCTTCCAGCTGTTGCGCAGAATGTGCTCGTGGTCCGACACGACGCGGAAGAGCACAAGAGCAGCCAACTGGGCGCGGAAGTTGCGGCCGAGCTTGACGGCCAGCTCGCTGACCATGACGCTGCTCTTGTCGACCTGGACCACGGTGTTGAGGCTCGTGTTGGACTGTACGACCTGCGAGAGGGTGGACATGTGGCTGAGGCAGTACACGATCTGGTCGAGGGCCTCGGTGTTCTCGTACTTGGCCGCAATTAGCGCGCACTCGTCGAAGCCCTGGATGACGCGGCTAAAGACCGTGTCGTCGGTGGCGGACATGAATACGTAGGAGAGGGTGGCAACGATGGGCCGCCAAGTCGTCGCAAACATGTCGGCGTCGTAAATGTTGGTGTCGGGGATGATGAGGGGGCCAGCCGCATCCGTCTTGCTCAGAACCTCGCGCCATGCGTAGTCAAAGGCATGCTTGTTGTCGTGCTCCTCGGGCAGAATGATCTCGTTGGACTGGATCGAGTCGAAAATGTCCTGCAGGTACTCGGGCGCAAAGTCCTTGCCGCCGTTCTGGCCGCGTAGATTGCGCGCAAAGTCGCCGACGGCCATGCGCTTCTGGGTCTTGGACACATTGGGGTTGTGCTGGTCCGTGTTGAGCATGATAACGGCATAGGTTAGAATATAGACGGCATCCTTGTCAGCCACATCCTCGGGCATCTCGCCTGCGCAGTATTTTTCGGTAAAGGCAGTAACAATCCGTTCAATCAACGGCGACTCGCCCGGCAGACGGAATGCCTCCAGCATCATTCGCAGCGCCTCGTCAACGCGCTTGTCTTTGAAGTCGAACTGGTCCATAAACGCAGCCAGGACAGCGTCGTTGCCCTTCTTTGAGATGAACTCGCCCACCATCTTCTTGGAGATACGAGACGTGCCCTTGAGGAAACGGGCGACAGACGTAGGGTTGGTCGCATCGTCAATAATGCCCTTGTCCTGGAGCAGGGCCAGGCCGCCCTTGGGGTTCTCATTGAACTTGTTGGTGGCGCGGATGATGATCTTCTTACGTGCCCGTGATTCGCGCAGCTTGGCAGGATCCGGCAGGCCCTCGTAGACGGGCGGCAGCTCGAGGCGCATAGCCATGAACTGCACGAACCGCAGCAGGGCATCCAGGCAGAGGGGCGGGACGCTGGTGGTGCTCCATGTGGCCGAATCGGGAAGCGCATTGCGCGACAACAGGCCGATCATGTCCTCGCACAAGTCGGTGCGATCGGTGTCGCAGTCGTAGTTGACAAACAACTCAATCATAAACGTAGGCATCCGTGCCAGGACGCCAATGTTTTCGACCATGGCCTGGCGAGCCTCTGGTTTCCGCATGCCACCCTCCATACCCAGCTTCTGGCGGTCCTTGATTTGCACTGGCGTGGAGCGGCCGCTACTCACTTGTGAGGGCGGCGGCTTCACCAGCTTCGGAGCCTGTGGGATGCCTTCGTACAGTGACGGGTCGATGTTGGCTTCCCGAGGGATGTCGACGGCAGGGTGGAGGCAGCTAATGAGGTAGGAGAGGTAGAGCTCCTGCTGTAGCTTCAGGACGCCGCGACAGGTAGACAGCAGCGTGGAGGCGACAATAAGCGACTCTTGCAGAATGGCCATGTTATCGGAGCGCACGAGCTGGAAGAGGTAGCAACAGAGGCGGTCTTGGGCAACCGACGCCAGAGCAGGGTGGCGGGCGATGGATGGGCCAGCCACCTCGAGCGCCACGTGAATGATGCGGAGGGCCATGACAATCATGGTGTCCGGCTGCTGCTTGCGCTGGTTGGGGTTGAGGAACTCAACCAGGACGCGGAACAGTTCGCGTACAGACGGCAGCGAGTAGGGCCGCAGGTCGACAGACTCGGAGTCCTCCGTAGTCGAGACCATGCTCTTTTCCTCCGTATCATCTGTGGGGGTGTCGACGGACGGACGGTCGGCACCATCCATGCCTACAGAACCACCGTCAACAGCCTGCTTCTGAAGGGGCTGTACTTCCTCAGCGTCGCCAGTTGAGCCGGTAGTGGCGGTGCCATCACCATCGCTGCTGGAGCTGGTACGTCCTCTTTGGACTGGCTTTTCGGCCACTGGCTTCTTGACCTCGCTGGAAGATGGCACAAGCGCACCGGTGGAGGCCAGGACGGCGGTGGGCGTAGAAGACGCACCCGGTAGCGGAGAGGGGTGTGTTTCGGCGCCTGGCACCATCTTGACACTGTCCATGTCGGCGTTGGTCTGGCGGTCCAGGGCATCCGCCTCCTCACCGGCCTCCTCTTCCAGGTGCTTGAGATCCTCAAAGATTATCTGGCACATGCGCACCATGGTGGCCTCGGCCGTTTGGCGAAGCACCTCCGAGTAGCGCGGACGAGAGCATATTGTCAAGCCGCGGCCCATCATGTCGCAGACACTCTCGTCGCTCAGAATGTCACCGCCGGGACCCGACAGCATGTCCTCCATGAGATTGAGGATCATGAGGAGCACAACCTCCTCCTGTGCGTGGTCACTGATGTCAAACTGGCAATGGGTAATAGCCTGAGAGAGCGCCTGCATGGCCAGCGGGAAGCGAGGGGAGTCGGGGCTGATGAAGCCGTAGGCGAGGAACTTCCGAACGGCGCGCAACGTGAGAATGGTAATCGGGGCGGCCGTGCCCTTCGCTTGGATGATCTGGAGGAACGGATAGAGTAGAGTGAGAGAGTCGAAGCTGTTGATGTCTGCATGTGCCGTTAGCATTTCCCTTGCACACCAGACGTTGATTCTCCGTCCTTGGCTCTTCATATTCGTCTTACCTTCGACACCGGCCAACTCTTGGCGCAGACGGCCGAAACCCGAGATCAGCGGGTTGTCGGCCATGCTTTTGCCCTTTTTGCCACGCAGGCCCCAGCGGCTAGCCGGGCCAAAGTCGCCGTCGGCACCGCCACCAGCAGAGCCTGGCCGGCTGCGAGCACCGGCTGCGCCCCGACGGCCGCCTGCACGACGGCTGGCCGTCTCTGCAGAGTTTGCGCCGAGCCGGAACGACTGAGCCACGGTTGTATTGGGCGCGCTGCCGCCGAGGATGGCCGACACGGACAGGTGCTGCGAGCGGGCATATTTTTGTATGGCCGAGGTAATGTTGATGCACTCTGAGATCACGAGCGAGACGGGGTCGACGGCCACGGACACGGGCCGGCTGCGGTACTGCATACGCGACGAGGCGGCGGCCGACGTCAACACTGCCGTGGAGGGAAAGGCAGCGCTGTAGTGGTAGAGGTTGTTGTGCGTATGGTGGTGTTGGCTCGCAGGTCTGACGGGTACCGACGTGGTAGACGGGCGCGAGTTCAAACCGGCCGTCAAAGGCAGTTCGTCGATGGATGCGTCCATGGGGGCCAGATTTGCTGCGGCCGACGCGGGCGCGCGCGCATCGCTGCTCATGCTGGGCGGATTGCGTCCAGTAGGGAGGAGGATGTCGTGGGGTGCCGGGTGCTGTGTCGACGCGGAAATGGCAGATCAACAAGATAGTATGCTGCTCAAACGCAGGCCAAGCAAAAAGAAGCCGATGGTCGAGATGACGGTCGCCTGTCGAGGAGGGAAGATCCGATCGACGGGCAATCCCAGTGGCCAAGTGTCTGGGCCCTTGGCGCAGATGTCGATTGGGTCGAGAAAATCCGTATGCGAGAAAGAGAAGCAAAGAATCGACAAAGGTGAAAAGGGGATGCAGAAAGAAAAATAAACCCGGACGGCAAAATATACCCAAAATGGCCAATGGCTGTGGCTGCAGGATTATATATTTTGAACAACGGCCAGGAGAAATTGGCCAACGGCGGTAGAACGTGGCGGAAACACAAACAGCCTGGTGCGGCAGGCAACGAAGAAAAGAAAGAAAAAAGGAGCCAGATCGTCTCTTTGAGGCGATTGTTGCGCTGCTTGGCTGCGGGGAGGACGAGAAAGGTTCGAGATGACAGCTGTCTCGGCAGGGGAAGGCAGCAGGGAGAGGCACGGAAACAGCGAAGCTGCCAGCGTTGCAACTGTCACGAGCCTCTGGACTAGGATGGAAGGAGTAGTGTAGCCAATCAGCGGCTTCGGCGATTAGATAACAAGTATGCTGGCTCGATTCCCAGGCGAGCTGTGACGCTGGGAATACAGTTGCTACAGGCCCTGAAGGTTACTTAGCTTCCAGGGGATGAAGTTGACCCCACTGACCCCTGACTAAAGTGCTCAATTAGAAGGCTTCCACCAGAACAAAAAAGCAGAAAGTGGCCACGGCAAGTGAAAGGCTACAACAAAAACATACTTCTAGTATAGGATCATATACTTGTATTTCAGAAGGGTTTGAATATCTGGGACAGACCCAAAGAAACGTATGGAAACATGACAATGAAAAGACTAAAAACAAAGCCAAACAGGCAAAAAATGGTAAAAGAAAAACGGAACAAGCATAGTGAGACGGATTAAAGGTAAGTAACAAACACCAAACGCCTTGTCCATGGCCTCTCTACAACCTTCAAGGCTCTCTCACTCTAGTTGTACAATAAATTAGCAGTGTTCCCTCCTCCTGTTTTATAATGGACAGCGTTTGTGTATATAGAGCCTCTCGTCGTCCCCGTCGTTATGATATGGAAAACGCCAATAGCACATGGCCAAAAGTCTTGATGATGAAAGTGGTTGCGAAATGTGAAGTGGTAGAAGAAATGGCCGCCACGAGCTGCGCTCGATACGGCGTTGTAGTGGTGGTGTTGTCTGGCCGCGGTGGTCATGGCCGCTGTCGCATCGTATGGTCGCCGTGGCGAATAAAATAATGGCGCACTGCCGGATAAAAACTGGACAAAAGAGAGGGCCAGAAAAAATGAAGCAGCCCAAGGATGGCAAATACGCGATGGAAGGTCGGGATATATTGCGCTTTCGTTGAAGGCCCGTTTATAGTACGACCTTGCCTGCGTCTTGGGCGTTCTCAGCGTTCTCAGCGATGACAACTTTGTCGCCAACAACCGGGACAGCTTTGTTAGGAACGGCGGCATCAGGGGCCGCAACACCGCCGGCCGGCACGCCTGCCGCCGGGACGCCACCAGCAGGAGCGCCACCAGCAGCACCGGGAGCGGCATCACCAGCACCAGCACCACCGGCGGCGCCGGCAGCAGGAACCCCCGCACCAGCAGCACCAGCCGGAGCGGCACCACCGGCAGCTGCGCCAGCAACAGGTGCACCAGCGGCACCAGCGGCAGCGGGAGCGGCGGCACCGGCACCACCAGCACCACCAGCAGCGGCACCAGCTCCGGCAGCAACAGCGGGTTCCTCAATGACAATGTCCTGCAGAGCAGCCTTGTCCTTTTCCCACTGGCCACCGGCGTCGCCAAAGGTCTTCTTCATCCTCTCGGCCTTCTCGGCCTTTTCCTTTTCTTCTTGCTCGCGGGCAATGCGCTCAGCTTCCATTTCCTATAGAACAGGATAGTTAGTATCGGCGGGAAGACAAACTACGTGAACAAAATAGATGTGAGCGAAAGTACGCACCTCCATGTGCCGGATGTCGTCCAGACTGGGCTCGTACAAATGCCAAATGGTGTAGTGTGGCAGACCAACCACCGAGAAACCCATACGCTTGGACATCTGTGACAATGTTAATATGCTTACTTTGACCAACGCACACAATTCCTAGACAAAGACACGGGCGACAGAAAACGAACCTTGCCGAAACCTTCGGTCTCTGCGTGCTTCTCGAAACTGAACGCAGGGAAATGCACACCATGACGGAAGACCAGGGCCTTGGCCAGAATACTGACGCCGCCCACGCCATCAATCTCCATTTCCATATCCGGGTCGCCGTAGGGGTCGCGCAGGTAGGCAAGATGGGGTCGCCACGTGGCGTACTCAGCGTAGCCTTCGACAATGACGGCATCCTCGTCCAGGGTGTCGGCGAGGGTCAGGGCCGTCTCGGACTCCTGCCAGGAGTTCAGATCGTACGGCTGTTCGCCGCCCAGCCAGTCCGGGAGCGGGCGCCAGACGTTGGGCACAATGACATCTTTGTTATGGCGCATGAGGTCTTCCAGAATGGTAAAGGGCGCGGTCTCGACGTCTACATCACGCCAGTACACCCACGAGTGGTAGGGGCGCAGCGAGGCGCTGAGCAGCCAGTTGCGGGCCTGGGCCATGAGCTTGCGGCGGCTGGCCTGGGCAGCGAAGCCGTGGCGACTTTCGACGTCCTGGTTGACCTTTTGGCCAAAGTCCTTCTCCAGAATGGAGATCTCGCCAAAGTGCTCGGTAGGGTCGGTGTCGGCCTGGATAGTTTCGAGGTTCTTGACAAGCATTTCGAGGGTGCGGTCCTTGGAGTCGGAGACCAAAAAGGCAAGGTCGATAAGGTGGTGCGGGTAGGTAAAGTTGCGGAGGTGCGAGAAGAACATGGGCAGATGGGGCTCGGCGTCGCGCAGAGGCACGCACAGCAGGATGCGCTCCTCGCGCTCCCAGCCGCGCGCGGTGCCCTGGACATTAGACAGGTCATAGTAACGGACGGTCTCGAGGTCGATGTAGTCGCCGGACGAGAACAGGTTCAAGGAAAAGAGAGACAGGACGGGCGCCGCGGGCCAGACGAAGACGCCGAAGAGAACAAGGACGACAACAATGGCGAGCCGTGTGAGCAGCTTGCGTCGCCGGCGAAGGGATGGAGGAGAATTGCGTGGTTGAAATCTGGAAGAAGGCGGTGATTAGTACATGAACAAGACGACAAGTCGACACGCCGACACGTCGACAGTTGAGAAGCCATCATACCTATGCGGCGAAAACTCTAATGTGTTGGAGGATCGTGGGTAGCCGTTGGAGAAGCTGGCGGCGGCAGCATTGTGTCTTGGGGTCACCTTGGACCCCGAAGCAGCGTAGGAGGGCAGCATGGCATGCGGTGGTAACGGATGGTGGTGATAGGAGGCGGGCGGTGCGCGTACACAGCTTGACGCACGACTCGTGGATGGGTAGGGGATAGACGAAGAGCTAGCTCTTGCTGTCGTCGAGAATCCCGCGTTTTGCGCCCTCTTGCTCTCTCGTCTCGCTCCTCAATCTCCCTCGCTCTATCGTGAGAGGGCGCGTCTCGATTCGATGTCTCGCGGCGCCGTCGCGATATGTCGACAGTCGGCTCGGGATGGTCGACGGCAAAACAGGTTTGGCGATAACTCGATTCGGAGTTCAACCGTTGGTGTATCGTCGAAAGGGGAGGGACGGATAAACGTTGAAAGTAAAGATAAAGGTAAGAGGATTTAATCCAAGAAAACCCACACGTCCACAACGGGACACCTAGCAAGCAGCGGCACTGGGTAAAAAAGGGGGGCGTCGGTGGTAGCAAGCCTGCGGACGTGCCAGAAAGGAAGGGATAGAATTGAAAGCGGGCCTGAAAATGCAACAAAAAGTAAAAGACAAAACAAGAGAAGAAAAGAGGAAAGGCAGACTCAGGCCAGTCAACAGTATCTTAGCACATACGCAGAGGGACCAAACAAGAGTAAGAAAAAAAGAGGTCGCTGCTCGAGGGGACCATGAGAGTAAATTGGGAATGGTTGAAATGTGTGAATTGGCGACCAAGCCAGGTTGGTCGTGGTGGCTACGGTTGTCGTATGAGTTGTCGTATTGCGTGGAACACGAAAAGGATAGGTGGACGTTGCGTCGTATTACGGTTGCGTTGTGCGGACGTTACGTATTCAGCAGAAGGATGGCCTGGGCAAGCAGGGGGCAAATAGGGTCTCTAAAAAAAAAAAAAAAAAAAAAAAGGTACTACGAAAGACGTGCTGCATCAGCCTCGCGAAATTGGGATTCGCTGTGCTGTAGTGGAAGGCACAGCTGGAATGCCCACTTGCCTGCTTGTGGGGGCCTGTCATTCTACAACCCCTGTTTCGTTCCTTCTTTCACTTGGAGATGTGTTCTGCGCCGGATTGCGCCTTCCACGAAAACTCCACGTTGCACTCTTTCCGTCATGGCGCGACGAGTAAATCGTAGATACCTAACTGTCCTCGTACAGTTCCCATAGTCGTAATACCAATTCGCTGAGCGAGATCCTTAGAACTTAATTGCCGCGCCCCTATTCTTAGCGCTTGATACCAGCGCTGCATCCCCCAATCATAGGCCCAAGTGCACCCATCAAGAGCTATGGATTCCAAAGCCTAGATGTATCTTACAGCGGCCCACAGGTGTGTTCCTGGACTTGGAAAGACCCCTATTTTCAACAGTTCCAGGGGTTGACATGGTCACGTGTTCCCATATCGAATGGCGCAGGGCGCAATCTGAATCTATCCCGACGAAAAGAAAAGCTTGGTATCAAAGGGCAATTTCCCGGTTTTCATCATGTTTTGATGCAGGTGGAGTCTTCTTGGAACAAGAAAATCGAAATTGTACAATATAACACGTCTGAAACTACTTCGTAGATCTGAAGTGGGTTTCATAATTCTTTATTTTATTTGACTATTTTGCAATCGTTACGACATATTGAAGTCTTTCGCGGTCATCTTTTATTGCCAAAAGAGGGAGCTGAGACTCTGACCATTTCAAATCTTGTATCTCGACACTCGTCGAATTTTAACCGGTGGTTGGTGCCTTGTTTCCCACATGACATCGCTATGCTGTGCACAGTGAAATACCAAGGCAGGTTTCTCCGACTATCTTGACATCTTGTTAGCTAACGATTCTCAGAGACAGCCATTATCCATTTGAGGGCGGCGTGTGAAGGCGAGAAAGCAGACGACAGTGTCAAAGTTGGTTCAGACAAGCCGTTTTAGTCCTCTACCCAAAGCCGGCCGGGCCCGTCATGCACACCAAGACGATGTGCACGGAGGCCCAGCTCTGTAGCCAAATTACAAGCTCCCAATGACGGAAAGCAAGACTCCACCACCGTTCCTCGCAGCGATCACATCCCGACCGCCCCCGAAGGAGAGAACGAAACACAACCGCTACTCGAGTGTGGGAGGATAGCACGGCTCCGGGTATAATTGAATGGATAAGCGAGTGTCATCATGTGCTTTGCTGTCGTCGTCGCCGTCGTCGTAGTTGCAGTGCATGTGAACCTTGCGGTAAGGGATTCCTCAAACTAACCATTTGGAAACATACGGCGGACCGGCGTTGTCTTTCGGTCCGCTTCGTATTGGCCCGAGTATATCATCTGTCAACGGATGTTAGCCTCGTCGCCAGCAACATTTGACACGAGTATAGGTAAAGAAAAGCAACATCGTCTCTTGTGGATCAGATATGTTTGGTAAGTGGTATAAGTTTGTCATCAAGAAGTTCAGAAGCAGAACTGTTAAATATGTGTATCATCATACGAACACGGGGCGATGTTGAGATGTTAAAACGCCTAATGGCAATGTCGGTGCGGAACTTACACTTTGGTGTGAATACATAGGGTCGCGTACCATTTGCTTGCTACTGGCAAGAGATCTGTCTTCCAGCAATGTTAGCATAGCTGTCCAAAGTTTTGTCTGAGGAGAAAGCAAGTGAATGGGTATAAAGAGCTTCAGATGGTAGTGCATGTTGTTCGATCGCTCACAGATAGTCGCGTGAACTGTGGAAAGTGAATCATCACTAGCTATTGGGATGAAGGTTAAGAGGGAGTAGGTCCTATGCGAGCTTGCTTACCTTGGTTAGCTGTGCCTCCAATGAAGCATCTTGAAGCTTGAACTGGTCGAGATGTGCTGTAGAACTTTCTACAGTCGATGCCGAGGGCAGCTCCATGTAGTAAATCGGAGAAAGAAACAATAGCATGATCAATCAACATCAACAAGCCTATACCGGCCTCTGTTCCAAAGCCCAACGGCTCAGAGGACGCGGTCGTGCATTGTCAATATTGCTAGCAAAAAGTTTTTTGTGAGAGAGAACACAAGCGACAAAAAAGTAACCAACAATTTTTCGAGAGGAGATTTTATTGCAGCGGTGGGGATCCGTTCATGTGGCTGAAGATTGTGGCTTGAGCTGTCACTGGAGAATGCGCTAGTCCCATATTGGGCATTCTTCAAAGGCTGTTGCCAAAACTTCAGTGCAAGGCATTAAAGCTTCGAAGCTTTTCCACTGGATATGACACGGGATATACATCACAATTTCACACTCAGTTTACCGACTTCGTCCACATATTTACTGAGAATACAAACACAATCGTCTATGATCTCATCGGGCGCCAACACTGCACCTTCACCGACCTCAATTTTCTTTGTGAGGCATTGCCTCTAAATTCAACACTCCCACTCCCTCTCTCACATTCATATTCACATTTCGTCCCGAATGGCTGACCGGAGACGAGTAAACGGACCGGTCGGGGCCACGTTTGCGCCGGTGTTTGCAAAGGAGGAGCAGGCCAAGGTGGCCAAGGTGCCTGAGAGATCTAGGCCCAACGACATAATACGAAAGATTTGTATGTGACCATGATTCAATCGTTTATTTAAAAAGGCGATAGAAAACGTACAGGAAAACTAACCTCGATACAGACCTCCAAACGGGCGTCACACCGTCTGCCTCGGGCTCGGCCTACCTGGAGCTGAGTTCCGGCGCCGTCCCCGGTACCTCGGGCCTCAAACTCAGCTGCACAGTGCACGGCCCGCGCGCCCTACCGCGGTCGGCGCCCTTCTCGCCGCATCTGATCCTGTCGACACACGTCAAGTATGCGCCGTTTGCCACCAAGGAGCGTCGCGGGTACCTCCGCGACACGTCGGAGCGCGACCTGGCCGTGCATCTGGAGACATCGCTGCGTGGCGCGATTCTTGGCGACCGCTGGCCCAAGAGCGGTGTGGACATTGTGGTGTCGGTGATTGAGGCGGACCAGGACCGGTCGGCGCCGTCCGTGGACCCGGATGAGGAGCTGTGGGGTCTGATGAGCGTGCTGAGCGGGTGCATCACGGTGGCGTCGGCGGCGCTGGCAGATGCTGGCATAGACTGCGTCGACACTGTCGCCGGCGGCGTGGCGGCGGTGGTGGAAACGACAGAGGGTGTTGAGACAGAAACAAGAGACACAAAAGAGACGGTTCTTGTAGTTGATCCGGTGCCGGCAGAGCACGGCAGGATCGTGGCCGCGTGTTGCGTGGCCTATTTGCCGAACCGCGACGAAGTGACGAACTTGTGGCTCAAGGGCGACTTGCCAGGCTCGGCCGGGGATGAGCTGCACCTGAAGATGCTGGACAAGGCGCTCCACGCTGCACGACAGGCCGACCAGGTTATTGTTGCCGCTCTCAAGGATTCGGCCGAGGATAGTGGCTGAGGCGTTGTATATTGCCTTGCCTTTACTTTGATTTTTTACCGTAGACTTCACTCGTGTTGGCGCTGGGATCTTTTAATTTATTTGGGATTTTGTGGGAGCTCGCATCATGGAGAAGTCATAACATTCAAAAGTTCATGAAACTCTTCATTTGAAAATTATTTCATACACAATGAGTCTAAAGGGGCTGTAAATTTCATCGAGAATGTTGTAGCGCTGCTGCAAGCCCTGCTGCAGTGGCGATTTATGCAAACGACGCTTATGTCCACTGTAAGGTGCTAGCTAATGCGCCCACAGCCTTGCGACGATTTCCCACTTAGCCTCGTCTGCTCAGCATTCATCTCAACATCCAGACTCGGTTGAACCTCTCGACACGTCTGCCACCGTCACCATAGCCTGCTTTGAGTTGTCGATATAGCTCTACATCTGGTTTAATGCAATGTCCAGCAACTCCCCGTCGTTTGGTGGCCTGCGACGGGCCGCCGACCAGCTCCAAGGCAGCAATCTCTCATCATCAAAAGTCTTGAGCCCACTCTCCCAACGTTCGTTGAACACCCTTCTGCTGCTGCCCTTACGCATGAGAATTGAAATCTGACATGACTTGTAGATTTGCCTCCGTCTTTCACATGGAGTGAGCTTGCCAGAGAGTTGGCGCAACCAGAAGACCAGGTAGGTGAACCACATCGACGTGACACAGGTTACAACCGCACAGCTGACAATCGAAGGATAAACCGCACTATGTACTTGCTTTGAGGGCGTCATTAGAGGCGGATCCAAGCCGAATAAAGCCGTCTGGCAAGGACAGCGCAAAGGACGCTGTAGCCCGCCGGCAGATTTGCCGGTTTGTTGCGCGCATGTTGACGCCCATCGACGACGCCACATACGACGCTGAACTAACGCCTGGCGAGCACACAAGTGGCCAGCGAGACCAAATAGCGCGCAGGTGTAAGTCGGTGGCCGACGATGGGCTGGCCGTCTTGGAGCGTGTCGGATTGCCTTTGGCGGACGAGACGGGGCACGCAAATGAGGAGAGCGACGATACAGCCGAGGACGATGCGCAAACGCTCTACACGATTACAGCACTCGCCGACGCCGGCCAGCCTTGGACGACAGACACTGCCGCTGCCACGGCATCGAGGCTACTCACCGATCGCTTTGCAGACGCAGACAGCAAAAAGAGCGAGTGGATTGCCGACGGCATCTTGAAGCGGTATCTGCGGCCGCTCTTTGCACGCTCGCGGCCGGCCACGGTGACCGAGTCTGGGCGCAAGGCCGCGTTTGCGAGCAATACGGGTGGCAGAAGTACCAGCACCGCTCCGCGCGACACGACAACAAATCGGGAATCGCACCAGGCCAAGCCCTGGAAGTACGTGGACATGCGCGCCATCTCCGTTTTCGCCTGGGCCGTTCACGAAGCCGACGGGGCGCTGGTGCGCACCAACTGGCCACTGTTTATTCCGGTGCTGCTCGCGCTTGTCGAGGACGCAGACACACCTGTGCGCGCGCGGGGATTGCGCCTTCTGACGGAATTTGTCGCGGTGGTGCCCGATGGCGGCGGACTGCTGCATTCGACTGGGCTGGACAGCGTGCTGGCCGACGCCGTCTTCCCGACTCTTTTGTTTCTGCCACGATTGACCCCGGAGAACGAGTCGCTGCAGCTGTTGGGCCCGGCATATTCGGCCCTCCTCAGTTTGGCAAAAGCAGCGGGTGCTGGCTCGAACACAAGCACGGCCGTCGCAAACAAGGGCCTACCGCCCAATGCCGCCGCAATTCTGCTGGACCGCATTCTGCGTGAAGGCATCTACGCTGGCTATTTTCATGCAAGCGAACACATCCACATTGTAGAGGAACTCATGCGGCAGGCGGGACGCATCGTCGAGGCCATGGGCGTCTACGCTGTGAAACATTTGAAGGTACATGAAATTGCAGTCATTATCACTATATTAACCCAGAGTATATACGGCAACGCCAATGCTAACAGACACACACAAAGGACCTCATGCCCATGTACGCCGCGGTCCTCACGGACCCCTTTGCCATGCGTTACAAGCCGGCAGTTGCTGCGGCCCTGGACGCGCTGCAGACGACTCTCACAACGTGCTGGCCGCGACTGGCCAGGACGCCCTGGCAAGAAGAGACGCTCAAGATGCTGATGTTGTGCTGGCTGCATGTGGTGGAAGAAGAAGACGGCCAAGGGACGAAGGTCAATGACAAAAAGGAGACGGCCGGTCTCAAGGTGCAACTCGTGCGCGCCGCCAACACGTTGCTGGCCATCTTCAAGGCATCCGGTGTGGATATAAACGCCGCTGTCGGGCCTCTGGTTGAGAGCGAGAACCGACTCGTGCCTTTGTTCAGGATAGAGTAGACGTAGCAGACGTTCGACCACAAACGGACTTTATGCATCCACCATTTGCTGCTTAAAGAGTGATTTGCCGCGCAGCCACTTGCGGTACGCCTTGTAGCGCTTCTTTTGCGCGTCGCCCTCGGTGACTGTCAATGGGTTTTCGGGCACGCGTATGAGCTCACCGTAGACGGCCAGCTCGTCGTCCGGGCGGTCCTGGTCCAGGCCGGGAAAGGAAGGGATCGAGGACGCCACGGCCGCCGGCAGGAAGTTGGCTGAGTTTGACCGGGGCACCTGTCCAGGTTCCGAGAAACTCATGCCCAGGCCGTCCGTCTTCCAGCTGCCATTGACGTACTCCTGGTACTCTTCATTGCTGGCCGCGCTGATGCCAGCCGAGGGAGAGAGCCCGCCCGGCAGGCCGGCGGCAGGGGCAGCACCAGCAATGACGGTCTCGTCGGTCGAGACGACAATCTGCAGATTCTGCGGGTGGCTAATGTATCGTTCGTAGTCCTCGGTCTCCTGCACCGACGGATTCAACGAGTCCTGAACCATCTTCGCAAACGTGAGCTGGGCCTGGCGTGCCTTGTCCACGGCCGACTGCTTTGCCTTTTGGCGGGGTCGGGCTCGAACAAAAGGCCGCCGTTGGCGACCATGGTCGTGTCGAGCGTCGCGGCAATGCTGCTGCTGTTGCGCACATGGCCACGGCCGTACGCGAAGCCCTGACTGTTGGCGGTGCCGTTGCCGTTGCTCTCTCTGTGCAAACTCGCGGCACTGGCTCGTGACGGCGACGATAAAATGGTCGCCGCGGTTGTGACCGTCGTAGCGGCTGCCATCGATCCACCCGTTCCCCCGCTGCCCGCCACGGTGCCTTCTTTCAGGAGGCCATGGACGCCTTTCTGTTGCTGCTGTAGGTATTGCTGCTGCTGCTGCACGCTGGGAATGCTGCTGGCAAACGACGCCGCGTCGGACGGACGGTCGTTTCCAGACGACGGACTCAGCCAGCTGCGCAGTCCGCTCGCCGTGCCGCCGCTGGCACCGCTGGCGATACTGGCTGCGTCGTCGGCCGTATTGCCCGAGGACACACGCGCTCTGACCACGTCTTGCGGCGTGACAAACGAGACCTCTTTCCGGTGGCCATTCCCACGCCACCGGCCGTTGGTCTTTCGACTACGCACTGAATCGGCATCGCCGTCTTTCCCACCTCCACCGTGCTGGCTGCCAATCTCGCTGCGCACCTTGAACGGGCTCAGATCATACTGGCCGTCGCGCGTCGAGCGGATGGGAATATACTTCATGGTCGACTTGATCTTGAAGGAAAACATCTTGGCAAACGACGACAGGAAATACGGCCGATAGAACTCGAGCCAGTAGTCGTCCGTGGCGAAGCTGGCGGTGTTGGACCCCGCAGACAGCAGCGAGCTGTTGGTCGTGCGGCTGGTCATGTTGCGCCTGAACTTGGGCTGGCCGCTGCGTTTGCGCTTAACCTGCGGCTGGCTGCTCACTTTGCGCGCCGCCATGGCCATGGCTACATTGTACGCGTGTGTGTTGGCGGCGGGCGGCCGAAGAGTCGGCAGGGGCGGCAGCGTACGCAGTTTCAGGTGCTCGGGCGTGAACCAGTGGATGTAGTCGCGCCCGCCACGGCCGCGGCCGGCCCCAGCTGGGCGGCGCCGCGGGTCGGCATGGTGCAGATGGTAGTCGGTGGGCAGGTCCCACAGCATAGGCTGCCCCGGTGTGTATATGTAGTTGCCGAGAAACAGGTTGTAGGCTTCCTGGCGCTGGCCGTCCAGGAACGAGTTGTTGTAGTAGCGCTTGAATGTCTCGAGCATGTCGCGCGAGTGGCTTGTCCACTGGTTGATCTTGCGGTACGTCTCCATGGTGTTGACGAGCTGCGACCCGCCGTACTGCACGGCAATGGTGTCGCCGTGGTCATGATACATGTGCGTGAACAAGTTGACGGCGTCGGTCTCCCAGTTGACGGTTGGCTCGTCCAGGATGCCGAGGGCGTGCAGCTGATGGCCGAGGGCGCACTTGCCAATGACAAACTGGGCGGCGTTGGTGCGGTCCAGGCAGTCGATGCAGTTGGTGCGTGCCACGCCGTTTTGTACGCGGGCCCGTTGCGGGAAGTTGAGGGCGCCGTCCTCGGTTCCTGCCGATGGTGATGGGGGAGGCATGTTCGTGCCATCGCCCTCGCCGTTCCGGAAGAAGCCTGTCGTGGCCACGACCGTCTCGGCAATCTCCTCCAGCACGCGGATCACGTTGACGTCGTGGCTCTTGTTGGCGCGCGACATGTCCCAGGCGTGGTGGATGATGTGCTTGTCCTGCGGCAGGAACTGGTTGAGGTATTGGATGGCGCGCGTAAACTCGACAAGCAGCTTGCTCTCGCGTGGTGTGCTCTCGCGCGACTTGACCAAGTCCAGCACGTAGATGGGGCCGCCATACCGCGCAAATAGGTTGTCAAAGTGCAAGGCCGCCGCACTATAGAATGGGTCGACCAGGTTCAGCTCGATCGGCGGCTTCGGCGTCACGCCCGTGTTCTCCTGCGTCCAGTAAAGCGGAATGCTGCCACGGTGCTGTACATACGAGGTATACTGCGGGTTGGCAAACAGGCGACGGCCAGGCGAGTGAAAGGACGTGGTGCTGGCCTCAGACACGATCTGCTCCGTCTCGACGTCGTTGGCCACGTAGCCCAGGTCGTTGGCGCCTCGCTTGAGGAACCGGGCACCGGCAAAGTAGCGCGACCGCCGCGCGATGATAGCCACGTAGGCGGTGCGGCCATAGATGGAGATGGACGCCTGGTCAATATAGCCGTGTGTGATGGGGCGGCACCAGTCAAACGGCGAAGCAAGCGCGTCGATGGCCGGTTGCAGCAGGTGACTGTTCCACACGAACATTGTGTTGTGCGCCTCGTCGCAGGACCAGCGCCGGCCAGCCGCCAGTGCCGCACGCTCCTGTGTGATGTTGTGCTGCAAGGTGTTCGTAATGTCGTACGAGTAGCTGAAATAAAACGACTGCGTCAGGTTGACGTGGTTGAGGATGTTGAGAAAGCGCACCTCATCGGCATGTGTGGCACCGTGGCTGCCCGTGCTGTGGCCGCCGTCATTGCCACCGCTGCCGCCACCGCCGCCCCCGGCCGCCGCACTCCCGCCGGCTCCACCACTCCCGCCGCCACTGCCGACACTCATGTTGGTGTTGGCCCCGCGTCCGGGTGTCAATGGAATCAACTCGGTGCCGGCTACCTGGTAGACGATGTGGCCGCCGATGACAGCCACGGTCGACTTTTTTGTGATGAGCATCATGTAGTACGGCCCCGTGAACCGGATGAAGCCCAGCAGGCCCCAGGTCGTGCAGCGCAGCTTGATGCCGCCGGTCCCGCGGTTACCGTCGTCTATTGTGTCCAGGAGCTGCACCATCTCTTTCTGGCTGTAAAAGATCTTGTCGTCGGTCACGCCCAGTTCGGTGTCGTCAGCCGCCGTCGTGCGGTCAATCTTGAGCACACGGAACCGCCGCCCCGTGACATCCTCGCCGACAATGTAGTACCGGCTGGCCGTCTCGTAGAGCGTGAACTTGTGCATCTTATGGCCCATGCGCTCGTGCGTAGCGGCTGCGCGTGCTGTTCGGGCTGCTTTGGCCGCGCGAGCCGTGTGGGCCGCCCGCCGTCGGGCACGATCACCGCCGGCGCGACCGGAGGCACCGGCCCGTCCAGCAGCGTCGCCATCAGCACCTGCCTCTGCCTCAGTCGGACTCGCTCTGCTTTGGGGCGCTGTCTCTTCTTCGCCCAGCGTCTCCTCAGCGTCTTCGTCATCGTCTGTGAATGCATCATCTCCGTCGCCATCATCGTCCTCGCCCTCGCCCGCACCTTCGTCTCCCTCCTCCTCGTAGTCGTCGTCGTCGTCGTTGTCTCCACCCCTTCCTCCGCCATTGTCAGGACTCGCGGTTCGCAGAAAAGGCCGAGCTACAGCCGGGTCCTCGTCGTCGTCGTTGTCGTCGCCTGCACCAGCGCCGGCGTCCGTCGCCTTGGTCATCTTGAGCGTCTTGGCGATCGACGGCCCCGTCTCGGGCGACCTCTCCGGGTCGCCGTCACTGTCTACATCGGCACTGGCATTGTCGCGCAGCTGTGGAAAGGGCTGGTTGGAGGGAATGTTGTTCGAGCTGTGGTGGGTGGTCGTGCCCGTGCCCGCCGCATGGCCGCCTGGGAGGGTGCCGGTACTATGGCTGCTGGCCAGACTTGTGGCGTCCGCCGGGCTGTCGACAGTAGAATTCAGCACAGCCATGCCAGGTTGTGGGTGGTCATGAGAAGAGCATATCGTAATGTGTATTTATGAAAGTGGTTGGCGAAGACAGACGGTTTTGCTCTTGGCAATGTTGGAGAAGGAACGAGCGTCGACGTCAGAGCGGCTCACCGTACTGATACGCCCCACAACGCCAAACGCGATAGCACGTGCTAGACACTAAACCGCCCAAAGACGGCGCCGATAAGAGAAAACAGGCCCAAATTTACAGGCGATAACAGCCCCACTCCAGGCCCTGCCACCCGGCGACCGAAACCAAACAAAACATCCCTGCATCATCGCGGAACAGCTTCAGGCAACAGACCCTGGGACCCTCCCGGCTCTCGATCTCGACTTCCCCTGTGCTACCTGATACGGCTCTCTGCCGACGAATAAAACGCGTCCATACGCGGGCCATCGCGCCATCTCGCTCGTCGTTCGTCCCTTCATTTCCGGCCTTCACTACATCGCACCTCACGATGGCCACCAACGCGCAGCGCATCCAGTTTCTCATCGCGCAACAGGACGGCTTCACACGCTCCCGCCTGCCCGCGCTCTATTCCGACTTCCGCAGCCTGCGCACGACCAACCCTGAGGGCTATGCGGCCAACGTCGCCGCCTGGCGCCGCGCACTCGGCTCGCTCGTTCGTGGCGGCATGCTCCCGGCAACGGCAGCTGTGCTCGCTCCGTCCAAGTCCAAGGGCACACCCTCGGCAAGCACAGCGTCGACGGCCGCCCGCAGCTTCCTTGTCCTCGCGGCCGGCCAGCCTCTCCTCGACGCCCTGCAGAGCGACCGCTACGGACGGCCGCTGGCTTTGGATGCCGTTATCCAGGAGGCCGTGCTGGAGCGTGACCTCGTGCCTCTCGAGGCCTTTTTGCGGGCCAAGGAGAGCATCTACAACCGGCGGTCGTGGTCCGCATGGGCCGCGGGCTTGCCGTGGCACGCGGTGTCGTGGGGCCTCCATCGGCTGGGCGTGATCGAGGGCAACGGCCAGGTGCAGCAGAATGTAAATGCGGCCGCAGCCGGGAACGCAGTGGCCTTCTCATTGCTTCAGGGCGGCGGCCGTCTTGCGCCCGACCAGCATGTTGTGCTGGCCAACGTCGAGACGGCGGCTGCCGCGTTTGCCGATAAAACGGCCGACGCACAGTCACCATTTGAGCGCGTATGGTCCGTCGCTCACTTCAAGCGCATATTCTCAGCGCCGGGCGCCGTCCTCGCCGAAGACAGCGGTCTCCCGGTCGGGTCGGCCGTGGAGCAGCCGCGCCTCTCGGACATGGACCTCAATGTCCTGCTCGCCTTCTTGTCGCGGGACAAGAACCTGGTCGTATTTGACGGTCACGTCGTCAAGCTGCGCGGGGCATCGGCCGTCTCTGGCCACGACAACGTCATCACAGAAGAAGACCGCGCCGTCGCCCAGCTGCGGGAACTGATCGACTCATTGACGCATCAGACGGGCGTCCTCAGCAAACGCATCGACGACCTCACCGTCACGGCGCGCGACGCGGTGCTGCGCAAGAACCGCGTGGCCGCGCTGGCGGCCCTCAAACAGAAGAAGCAGGCCGAGGGTGCTTTGACGACACGCTTTGCGACGCTCGCCCAGCTCGAAACCACAGCGAGCCAGATCGAGCAGGCCTCGGGCCAGGTCCAGGTCGTCCAGGCCATGGCCGCCAGTGCCGACGCTCTCAAGTCGCTCAATGCACAGGTCGGCGGCGCCGAGGGCGTCGAGGACGTCGTGGATCGCCTGCGCGACCAGATGGATGCCGCCGATGAGATCAACCGCATCCTGGTCGACCCGACGTCGGCAAATGGCATGGTCGTCGACGAGGGCGAGATTGACGACGAGCTGGCGGCGCTCGAAAAGGAGGAGCAGCAGGCGTCCGAAGAAGCCGAGCAGAAGGGCAAGGAGGAGGCCCAAAAGGCAGAAGCCGAAGTGACCCGGCGACAACTGGAGGCTGCCGGCGCTGTCCCCGACAACGTGCGCCAAGAGGCTCCAAAAACTCAAGAAGAGCTGGAAGAAGAGACCACCAAGAGCCTGCGCAATCTGTCGCTCAAGTCCGAAGAGCCGCTGCCGGCAAACTGAGTGCAGTACGGCTATGTGTTTTTTCTGGCAGGTGAGAGACGGCTGCACTCTCGGTGGTAACGTGTGTTTTGTTTGCGACGATATATCCTTTGCATAGTTGTGGCGTTTTATGGCTTTACTGTGTATGGTTCCCCTTTCTACTGTTCACATTGCACTGTTCATGGTATGCATTTTTGTCGGAGTGGTATGGATTCTATTATTCTAGGGTTGTCTAATTCTACTTCTATTAAACACATTGTGTCACTCGGTAAGTCCCCTTCCTTGGAAAACAATCTATACAGCGCTGCTGGCATCCTCGCCGTCTTTTGCGGTAGTGGCAGCAGCCGGCTTCTGGCCCGCCATCATGGCCTCCCGCGCCTTCTTGACGCTCTTCCACTCAAAGCACAGCGCGGGAATAATACCGAAACAGGCCACGGCCAACGGCACGTAATATGCCGTCGTCAGGGCCTTGTTGTACTCCACCAGCGTCGCCGGCAGCAAGCCCGCCGACACGGCCGACCGGATCGCCGTGGCGCCGGTGTTGACCAGCTGCCGCGCGGCCTCGGCCGGCATCACCGTGGACAGGTCCTGGAACAGCTTCTGCAAGAAGATGCTCTGCGTCACGGACAAGAACACGGAGCCGCCCAAGCCCTGGCCAAAGAACATGAGCGAGGCACCCACGGGCACGTCCGACGGCGCCAGCACCGTCTGCGCAGCCAGGCTGGACATCTGCATGCCAAAGCCCATGCCCAGGCCGGCCACCACCTGGTACCCAATCCACATGCTGTGGCCGCTGTCGACACGCAGCGTGGTGGCGAGACCGACGCCAATGGACAAGAGGCACGAGCAGGCAATGGCAAAGGGCGTGTAGTATCCGAAACGCGTGGTGAGACCGCCGCCGATGATAGACGCGACCACGAGCGCCAGCACAAACGGCAGCGACCGGATGCCCGACTGCAGTGCGTCGACGCCCTGGATGGCCTGGAACCAGACTGCCAGGTAGTAGGTAAACGAGAGCAGCACACCGCCGTTGCACATGGAGAAGACAAACCCCGCCATGACCGACCGCTGGCGGATGATGCGCCCGGGCACTGTGGCATACTCACTACCGAGCCATGCCTGGCTGGCGACCCAGGCCACAAACAGCACGCCCGAGACCACAAACAGCGCAATCACGCGGCCGCTGTTCCACGCGTACACCGTGCCACCCCACTCGAGGGCGAGCAAGAAGCACACGACAGCCGGCGTGAACAGAAGCGTGCCGATGGGGTCCATGCGCTTGGCCTTTTCAAGGGCAGGCAGCGCCTGGGAGCGCGGCGGCTGGGGCAGGTGAAGGAAGAGCACAATGAGCACAATCGACGCGCCTCCAATAGGCAGGTTGATGTAGAAGCACCAGCGCCAGGTCAAGTGCACATTCGAGGTGAACGCGCCACCGATGAGCGGGCCAATCGCAGACGACACGCCAAAGATGGCACCGAGCATGCTCTGGAACATGGGCCGCTTGTTCAGCGGCACGAGCGGGATCGAGAGGACAATGGCACCGGCCATGACGCCCGCCGAACCGGCACCAGCCAACGCACGGCCCAGGATAAAGGCGACCGAGTTGGGCGCCGCACCACACAGAGCCGAACCAGCCTCGAAGAGCACAATGGCGGCGAGAAAGACAACCTTGTTCTTGTAAAAGGCATAGATGCGGCCGAAGAGCAGCTGCGTCGCGCAGCTGGATAGAACATAGGCGCTGCCGTACCAGCCAATGTCGTTGATGGAGTGGAACTCGTCAGTGATGCGGGGGATGGCCGTGGCAATAATGATACGATCCTGACGAAGAAAAGTTAGCAACAGATCAGTTTCTAAATGAACAATTTAATCAGGGGCAGGGCGGATACTCACAAGAGACACAAGGAACATGGCAAGGTAGAGAGCGGCCATCACAACAAGAACAGTCCTCAGGGGTGGGTATGTTTGCTCCGCTGTCTTCTCAGAAGGGGCGTCCCCATCTCTAACCACATTTTCAGTTCGGTCTTTGTCATTGTCGAGCTGGCCTTGGGGTTGCTTTTCTAGGCCGTTGGTTGCGGCCGTCGTTGGTCTAGATTCCATCTCGATATAAGACATGTGTAAGTTGCTGTTTGTAGTTTGATGGTCTTGACAAAAATGAAGAATAAGAGGGAAGAACGTATAGAATATATAAAGAAAGAAACAGATGTTTGAGGGAAGTCTGGATGGACGAAAAGTAAGAAAAGGACGTCCCCTTGAAATATAGAGGACCGTGGTGATCAAAAGGAGGAAACTCAAATGACCGAAATCTCCGATTTTGTGTACAATAAAAACATCCACTAAACCAAATGTCCGAAAATGCCGACTTACAGGTCAGGCTACCAAATTCCTGAAGCGCTGTCACCAAAATCTCAAAAGTAAGCACTGCGTAAATTAGTCCGACTGATCGCCACGGAAGATTGAGATTGAATATCCCGGATCGGTTTCTTTGCTGCCTTTTCGTCACTTTCGCTCGGACATTATGAGCTTATTTCCCATTCGATTGCTTTTGACTCTTGTTCCTTTGCAATGGTAGTCAACTATCCAGCATCAGGCTTGGCCCTGCAGGAGCTGGTTCCAGTAGCCCCACGAGTCCCAGTCTATCGTCTCCCAACCCAGCAAGTCGACATCGTTGTACGACGAAAATGGCGACGTGTCAAGACTGGAGGACCCAGGTCCAGAGTATTGTACGTCCGGCGGTGGTGCCAGATCCGATAATGTTTCGTGCATTGTCGAAACGACGGCTGCAGACTCAACAGCCGTGCTACCAGGGCTTACTTGCAGAGCGGATTCACCGTCGCCGTCGGGCCCGGATGTGTCGTCATTCGCACGGGGTCCTTCTCCATTTGTTTGCGTCGGCCGGGTCCTCCTTCTCTGTCGCATTTCTGAGAGCAGTTGTGCTACAGAAGCAGGCGGCGTAGGTAGTGCCGCCCCTGGGTTCTGCTTCCGCGCCCGACGCTCACGGGACTCCCAAGCTCGGAAGACGAGTTGCCTCACCGCTCGTCCCAATTCGTCGTCTTCCTGCACGAGGTCGCGCTTGAAGTGCAGCACCGACGCGACGAGCTCCCACGCCCTGTTGACGAGCTCGCTCTCGGGTGGCTGACTTTGCGACTCGATCAGCATAAAGACAACTGCGTCGAGCTGAAAGTAGACGTCAATGTGCCATTTAAAATGCTCAAGGTACCGTGCGTCGAACCCTTGCACGAGAATGTCAACCATGTCGATACTCGTCTTAAAGAGCATGTCGTGCTCGGCTTGCGGCATCGACTTGCCCTTGTCTGGATATTGGCCCGGGTGGTGGGCCATGAGACGCATTTTGTCGACCGCAGCGTGAGCACCAGCCTCGGCAATGTGATGAAGCGGAATGGCTGGATCGAGATGATCGAGGAACTTCTCTTTGAAGTATGCGGCGATGTCGTCAATAGCGGCGTCGCGATCCGCCATCTTAGATGTCGGGTCGTTGAGCAGGCTGCCCTTGGCGAACATAAACTTGCCCATCTCGTAGCGCAGAAGACAAAATACCATCTCCGTAGGGCGGTCCTCGATAGGTGGAGGGGGGCTCACCATGTCGGGATTGATGTCGCTGTCGCTGAGGTTGGCCGGCAGCGGGTAGTCGGGCAGTGCGCTATAGACAATACGTGATTGGCCAGACAACTGAGCGACACGCCCATCAATCAGCAAGATCTGCCACCACACGCGCAGGCGCATTTGTGTCTCGAAGAAACTCGGCGCCTCTGGCTTGCCGCCTTTGTTTCTGTCTCTAGGCCTGATACTGTGGCTGTTTCCATTGGCATCACTCGTCTTGGTTGACTTGGCAGGCACCGTCGCCAAAAGCCGCTGCCCCATCCGCAAGGCCATACCCGTCAAGAGCCACATAGAACTGGCGTCGTAGCTCTGTCGTGCAGCAAGCAAAAAGATAGTAAATGCCTGGACGAGGGCCAGGTTCGTATAACGCATGAAACCGGCAGCGGCCAGGGCTTTTTGAGCACACGACAGGTATCGCTCCAGAAGAGTCTGTTTGGCCTCGCCGAGCTTGGCCACGCACTCGGCCTCGGACATGGCCGAGACCGCAGCAGCATAGATGGAGAACAACAGCGCAATGTTGACCGTCGAGAGACTGTCGTAACTACCCGCGGCCTGGATTACGAGATCCTGCACCTGTGGCGCGTAGATGACCTTGGACAGGGGATTGATGCTGTGAAGATATGTCTGCCAAAGCAAAAACGTGTGAACCGGCTGTGGGTGTGCATTTCTGAGACTGGCATTCGAGAACCCGGCAACGCTTTGACCAAATAGTAAAGTACTAGCATCTGTCAGTGGCGTTGCCCCGGAACCGACAGGCGGCGCGGATCGGCCATCGGAAGCCGGCGTCTCGACAGATTGTGGCTCGCGGAACTACAAATCAGTCAGCAGGGACATACAATAGAGCCTACAGCACGGTTGTGTGCCAACGTAGTGGTGTCTGACTATTGTTGCTGTCTCCCATACGTACATCTTCTGGCAGTCCTGTCCATAAATGTCTTGGCAAAGGTTAGCAATCTGGCAGCACGGAGGGGGGCAAGGCCACATGTAAACGTACTGCCCAAAGGCGAGAAGCGTGGGCCGTTCGGTGGTCGCATCAGTCTGTTGGCGTTCTGGCCCCATTCGTTCTTGCGGAGAATCACCGGTACGCGATATCGGATGGTTGTGCGGCCGGGGCTGCTCGGAGCTTTCGGCTTCGCCTTGGCCCCGTCTCCGCTTCCGCGCCGCGTACGGTTTCCTGGAAGACGGAACACATTCGACATCCATGCGCACGCATTCGGCGCAGGGATACTGGCGGCTGCATCGAACTTTGCGCTGTTTGCAGGCCACGCAAGAGTAGGCCACAGCAGTTGGCGTGCCAGCGACGGGCGTGCGTGCAGTCGCGGTTTGGGATGTTGACGGTGCTGGCGTGTCGCCAGGCATCGACGTCTGCAGCGATTTCCGGGCAGGACGGGGCATTGTACGGGCCTATTTGGTAGCCGCAGCAGTATGTGCGTCGTGGAAGATATCGGTCGTTGCTTGAATTGAGGAGTAAGTCGAGCCTCCTTTTCGACGTCAAGTTTCCGACATGACATGGAGATGGAAAATGGAAAGCGCGATCGTCGGAAGATTCGGCACTTTCCTGATTTGATATTTTTGACACATTCGTCATCCGGAGTCAAGTCTCCCGATTCGGACTAGCGTGTCATCGGCCACAAACACATCCACTCACTTCCTTCCAGCGGTACCTTCTGAACTCGGACAATCGCCATGCCGGACACCCGAAATGCTGGTACTAGTATTTGAGCTGCCTGGGCAACGTAAAGACTGGGCGAAACAGCAGGAGCGAACCAGAGTCATCCGAAAGGGAACCAAAAAAATCTCTAGAAAGTCCAACGGCTTCAAAAGTGTGAATCCTGAAGAGACAATACATCACAGCGACGACTCAGTACCAACGGCTCGATTTAGGACATTTAGCGTGCTCCAGTGTGCTAAAAACCACTGGCTACAACTGCGGCCAGACCCGCGACGATCCCACCCCAGAACGGCGAAAGACCCCACGACCACCACCCCTGCCAGCCCCAATATGAGAATCCTCTGCCTTCACGGAAAAGGCACGAGCGGCGACATCTTCCGGTCGCAGACGGGTGTGTACTTGGTTCCTGGGAGGGCATAGACGGCGAGCAGGTCGGTGCGGAACATGATCTAACAAAAGAGTCAACAGCGGCCCTCCGTGCCAAGTTGGACGCCTCGTATGTGTTTGATTTCGTCGATGGCCCGTTCGCATCCGCGTCGGCGCCCGGGGTGGACAAGCTCTTTGATGCCGGCAGCGGGGCGTATAGTTGGTGGCCTACAGAATCGGCACAGTCCATCCGCTCGGCGCATGCCTGGCTCGACGACTACCTGGCCGCCCACGGGCCGTACGACGCGCTCATGGGCTTCTCACAGGGCTGCCTCCTAATTTCGAGCTATCTGATGCACCGGGCCCGCGACCTCGGATCGGCGCCGCGGTCTTCTTCGTTCGGCGCAAACAGCCCGCCACTGCCGTTTTGCGCCGCCATTTTTGTCTGTGGCGGTCTGTCCTTTACGTCGCTCGCGGCGCTCGGCGTGGCCATACCGCCCGAGGTGCTGGCGCTCGAGAAGCGGTCCGCGGAGGCCTTGCACGCCAAGACACGCATGTTTCGCGAGCTGGCGTCCCAGCCGGACCAGATCCAGCGCGGCGTCGGGCTGTGGGACGACACCTCGGGCCTGGTGCACGAGCTGGGCGCGCCGCTGCCGTCCGACGAGGACGTCTTCGGCATGGACTTTACGGCCACGGGCCCTTTCCCGGCCGACTTGTTCCTGACAATGCCGACAGTGCACGTCTTTGGGAGCCGGGATCCACGATACCCTGCCGCACTGCAGCTGGCGCATGCGAGCCGGGTGCGCAAAATGTACGATCATGGTGGCGGGCACGACATCCCGCGCACAACGGAGGTGTCGGAGCGGATTGCAGGACTGATTGCGCAGCTTGGGCGGGACATTGGGCTATGAAGGAATGGGTAGGGAAGGGATGGGTCAGGGTTGTTTGCATTTGCATGTGCATTTGCTCCCTCCCTCTGCTCTTTCTTTCCCATTCGACGGGCCCATGGTATATACACACGGCGAAAAGATGCCGGTTGCGTCACTGCTGACAAGGCCAGGCCAATATGTGTGCGGGATGGCAAGAAGGAACCTAGGAGAGAAACAGGGACGCGGGGATGGTGCAGCGAGAGAGGGGATTCCAACCCTACTTTACGAAAAGGGCATGTTCATACGAACCACTATCGACAATGCGTCCCGGGGTCGTTGTGCAAGTCGATACGTTGCAGACAAGGAGTGCATGTCGTGTAGGTGGTCACATTCACATAATCATCGCCGGCAAAGAGAAACCGAGCGTATGCGGATACTTGAATAAGAGAAACCAGTGTTGAGACATCCTGTCCGCGAGGACTGTGTATCACGAAGCCGCAGTTGGGAACAACAGATCAACGCCAAGAAGAGGTCAGGAGCAGATACGCCTGCCTAGATGGGTATACGCAGAGTGCGTCCGCCATATGTGCGCTGTATCTTTTACTCTCCTCCTCTCCCCAAAATGACTCTCTCCTTATCACATTCTCCCTCCGTCGTCTCTTTTCACGTGCATGCATCCATTTATACTAGAACACGCGTCGCCTCGCCCTGGCGGTCGCCTCTGGTGGTCTGCTGCTACGTTCCATATGCGCAGGGCCTGGTCCGTTTGCAGGCGCAGCCTCTGTTCCTGTGCCTGTTCTGGAAGAATATCGCGGGAGTTTGCACAGGTAAAAGTCGGCCGACGCGGCTCACTGTGCCGTTGTCGATCGGTATGATTTTATAACATACTGCGCATACCTATGTTACATACCACATATACCACGTACCACTATGATTCTCGCCTAAGCACGCAAATGAAGCGTCTTCGGAAATGCACTTTCGCCGAGCCTCGTTTTCCGCTTGGCGCCGTTTGTTCCAATTGTTCCTGTGTCTGGGTCTACGACGTGCTTCCGATGATCCTCTTGGCTCCGCCTTTTTCCCGAGTGGATGATTTGGGTCCATCTGGGATCTGGAGCCATCTCCCGTTCAATGGAGTTGTGCCTATTTAACAGATTCTATTCTAATGTTTTACGCCGTATTGCTGAACATTTCAAGGGGCATGGAAGCTTTTTTTTTTTTTTGAAAATAGAATTAAAAATTAAAAATTAAAAAAGCAGAAAATATTCATAACATTTTTTTATTTCAAGCATTCTCACAATATTAAAAGTGGCCAATCAGGTTACAATACGTTTGCTTTGCTCCAAGATATACCTCTTTCTTGCCCAGCAATTCTACCAACGTGTTCTTTTCTCAACGTCAACTCCAAAGCCCAAACACTCTCCATTCGTCTTGGCAAACAGCATGGCCAGGCCCAGACGGGGGCTGCGACGACTCTGCGCAACATAAATAAATGCGAATAAATTGTGTAGAATCTCGCCAGGAGGCAGGGGCAGACACAAACAACCGTTTTGCGAGTCTTGGCAAGGCTTGTTTTGCAGCCCTTTCGCTGTTGGTGTGGTAGTATGGGTGGGCGGTCGAACACGGCAGAGGTTTCGATATTGGGAGAGAGTTGGGAGGGAGCGGTTTTGGGCTGTCCGAAAATCTTTCCGCAGGTTACGCAGATGACGGTTGTTTATATTGCTTCATTCAGCCGATTCCTTTTTTTATTCTGTCCCTTTGGAGATATTGATAGAGATATTGATAGTTTTGACAGGTTGAAGTGGCATCCGCAAGAGCAACTGAACAAACGGAATTGAAAACGGACATTGAAAACGGATCTCAATGCCATGAGAGCGTTCCTGAGCAATTATCCAAAGAGGCTACAAGGGTCCTTTGCAGGGAGAGAGAAACATTATCTCATAAGACAAAATCAAGATACATCTAACAGGCAATTATACGAATAATATTAATCAAGATCCGTAAAGCACCAAGAGAAAACTACTGTCTGGGTTGGAATCGCTCGGCTCCACGGCTCTGGCGACTGCCCACTGCCTGAAGAATATATATCTCCGTACCTGTCGGTGCAGTCTATCATATTACCGTGTCCCTGTCGCCTCTCCTTCCTTTCCTCCTTTTCTCCTTCTCCTTTTTCCTCTCTCCTTTCTCTTTCTTCTCTCTCCTTGTCTTCCAGGCTCGCCGTTACAACCATCACCAACTCTCGCCATGTATGCCAAGCAGCTCCTCGCGGCCCTTTTCGTGGCCGGCGTGCGCGCCGAAGCCGCGGCGCAGTGCACGTCAGACCTACAGATTGACAACTTTGCCAACTTTGCCAGCCTGAGCAACAGCCTGAACCAACCGGCGAGTGGTGCGTATTGCGGGAAAAGAAAAATACAAAATAACAAAAAAAAAAAAAAAAGAAAAAAAAAAGAAAAAAACACCTCCCCTAACACACACAGATGACCAGAGCATGGCGTCCATCGCGGCGTCCGGCGGCATCCTGCAGTTCACGCCCAGGGACGCCAACTCGTACTTTTACGAGACCTTCCCGTGCCAGAAGGCGCAGTCGTCGGGGTACGGCGGCCTGCAGTTCACGCTGACGTACCCGGCGGGCACGGACTTTACGCTGGAGCTGCAGACGGTGCCGGCGGCGTCGGGAGGCTGCAGCTCGTCCAACTACACGAGCGAGTGGTTTGAGATTTCGGGCCTGACGGGGACGCAGCAGGTGGTGACGCTGGACCTGGGCGTCTACGAGGCGTCGAACCTGGACGCGATTACGGGGCTGGTGTTTGCCAGCTTCAGCAAGGTTGGGGCCTACACGCTGAGCGATCTCAAGTTTGTGTGCCGCAACCTTGAGGCGCGGGCGGTCCAAGGTGAGTAGTGGGAGGGGGGGTTGTGTTTGGTGTGGTTCGTGACCATAAATGCCATACATTTGTACCCGCGTGTTCGTACCGGACAAGACGTCTAACTATTCTAGAGCCACCCGATTTGAAGCCTAGTTCTGCACAGGCGCCGGCGACGCCCTCCGTTCAGGACGTGCCCGGGCTCTTTGACAGGAGCCGCACGGCGTCGCCGGTGGACGGGCCGTCCACGTTTGTTTCTCGTGTTTTGTCGCAGTCTGTTTCGCCTGTTTCGCCTGTTTCGCCTGTTTCGATCGTTCCCGTTTCGTCTCCTTCTCGTGTCTCCTATGCCGCCCTCACATACCCTGCGGCGGCCTCTTCAACAGCGGCCGCCGTGCCCCCCGACGCGCACCGGCTTGAACGGCTTCGCCGGGCCGGCGCGGGCGACAACCGCAGCCCTGCCCACCCCCACACCTCCAAGATCCCCAAAACCACCATCACCGCCATCGCCACGACAACGCGCAGGCCCGTGATCAGCTCGACCACGTACCGGCCCAAGCCGACGTCGGCCGACGCGTGCACCGACCTGCTGATCGACGACTGGGAGTCGCAGTCGCGGCTGACGTTTCTGTACTACAACTCCATGTACCAGCCGTCGAGCGACGACGGCACGATGAAGTCGATTGTGGTCAACAACGACAACACGGTGTCGATTGCGCCGGTCAGCACGGACTCGTACCTGTACAGCCAGATGCCGTGCGTGGACACGGTGGGCGCGTACGGCGGCGTGTCGCTCCGGATCAAGGCGGCGCGCGGCACGCAGTTCTCGGTGCAGCTGTCGTCGGTCGACGTGTGCGGCAGCGGCAACTACACGCAGCAGCAGACGCTGTCGACGGCCGACCTGGGCTGGACGTTTGACGGCAGCCTGCGCGCGTACTCGTTCCCGCTCAGCAAGTTTGGCCGCGTCGACCCCGCCAAGGTGTCCATGATCTACTTCTCGTCCCTGACGGCGCCCATCACGCTGGGGCCGATGGCGTTTTACTGCGGCACGCGCGTGTCCGAGATCCCGGCGCCGGCGCACCCCGTCAACCCGCAGTCGCAGTACTCGGTGCCGGCGCCGGCGGAGACGGGGTCCGCGCACACGTCGCTGCTGATTGACCACTTCGGCAGCGAGGACAGCAACGCGCTGGGGCAGTGGCACGGCTGCGACGAGGACTGCGTGACGTCGGTCATCCAGGCCAACACGGTGCGGCTGCAGACCAACGACTCGGACCTCGCGTGGTACTCGTCGCTGGCGGACAAGTGCGCGGACATCACGGCGTTCAAGGACGCGTACCTGCACATTCCGTACAGCGGCAGCAACAAGTTCTCCATCTCGCTGCAGCAGGCCAACGCGGACTGCAACCCGGACGCGGCGCCGTACCCGGAGACGTGGGACTCGCTCGAGGCCAGCCGGTACGCGACGGACACGGACATCTACATCCCCATCGCGCACTTCAACGTGGACCTGAGCCGGGTCACGACGTTCGCCTTCAAGGGCTTCTACACGCTCGCGCCGACGACGCTCAAGCGCATCGAGATCGTGCCGTCGGTGCCGGCGGACGTGACGATCCCCAACAAGCTGCCGTCGGGCAACCTCGTGTTTGCGTGCAAGCGGCCCAACTCGTTTGCGTTTGCCATTGACGACGGCGACCCGGTGCTCGCGCAGCAGGTCGTCGAGATTGTCAAGTCGGAGAACATCAACGTCACCTTCTTCACCGTCGGCCTGCCGCTCGAGGACCCGTCGACGAACCTGTCGACCGTCTACCTCGACATGCAGGCGCGCGGCCACCAGATTGCGCTGCACTCGTTTACGCACCCCAAGATGGAGGGCCTCGCCGACTACGCGGCCATCGACTGGGAGTACAACAACGACATCGCCGCCGTCTCCAAGACGTTCAACGGCATGCACACGCCCTACTTCCGGCCGCCGTTTGGCACCGAGGGCGCGCGCATGCGCCAGCGGCTGGCGCTCGCGCTCAACGTGACGGACCCCTACATTGTCATGTGGAGCGTCGACGTCGAGGACTGGCTCTGGGGCCTGTCGTCGACGCCCGAGAAGCAGCTCGACGCCTTCAAGCGCGACCTGGGCAACGGCGGCAACCTCGTCGTCATGCACTACCTGTACCCCAACACCGTCAAGTACCTGCGCCAGTTTATCCAGCTGGCCAAGGCCACGGGCAAGCAGCTCATGCGGGTGGACCAGTGCATGATGGATCCGCGGGCGCCTCCATTGTAGGGTGATGTGGAAGCAAAAGAATCTCAATCATACGCAAAAACAAACAAAAACAAAAACGAACATCAAAGGATGGCGGTGGGGGCACCTTCAACTTGGGATCCGAGCATAGCGTATTGGCATCACTCACATGGTAAGAGAGCACACACTCATAGGACGGAGAGACGAGAGGAGGCGACGGGAGAGAAAAAGGAAAACAAAGAACGAGAAGAGAGCAGGACAAGTGAAAGAGACGAAACAAAGACAAGAGAAAAACACCACGGCCCGGCATAAAAGTCCTTTCCTCCCCTCTGCACTTGATTTGCTTTCTTTCTGGAGCTGTTCGTCCATTTCGGTTGGAAAACAGTCTCGACTTTCTTTCTTGCTTTCCTCGTCGTTTTTATTCCTTCACCCTTCTTCCCTTCCTTTGCCCCCTTTACTATAGGTTTTTCAATTTAATTCCTGACTGCAATACATTTTACATATATTTTACATATATGAACAATATCAAATGCATGGCAATCCTGCCGGCATCACAACTCGCCGCCATGAAACACGATCCCTGACTTATACGGACGAGACATGGGCGCGCACACTAAAAGCTGACAGCTCCCCGTCCGTTGACAAATTATGTATTGGGTCTAGACCCCGAGCTCGCCCGTTCACGTCCTCACTCAGCACCATCCGTATAGTCTTTCAAAGCCGGTAGCGTCGTGGTGCATTTTGCGAGATGGTGTGCTACAACGGCAACAATGGCATGCTCGTGCATCCGTCGCGCTCCCCGCAGCCAATCGTCGGTCACTGATTTGCGATGGCCACTGCAAGTCGCATGCAGCCCAGGCAGACGGAAAGGGTGGTATTTGAGTTTCGTATCTGCAAATGCCCTTGAGGGGCCACCACGCGATGACGGCATTCTCGACAAAGATGGCCAACCGCTGATGTATAAGAGGCTGTCGTCCCGCATTCGACGACGTAGACAGCAATGTCATGCCGTAGCCCCAAGAACACTTACGCACATTTGTTCTCCTCACGTACAAGGCATCCAGCAAAAGCCACCGTAACACACACAACCTTCTGAACACCCCGTCACGATGCCTCTTTCTGACGATCCCAAGACCAACGAGTCCGCCAAGGACATCCTCGGCGTCTTCAAGGACCTCGCCGGCGGACCCAAACCAGGCTTCCGGCCGGCTCACGCCAAGGGCCTGCTGGTGCAGGGCACGTTTGTCCCGACGCCCGCCGCCGCCTCTCTGTCGCGTGCGCCGCACTTTACCAACGGCGCCGGCACGCCGGTGCTGGTGCGCTTCTCCTCGTCGACGGGCCACCCGACGCTGCCCGACTCCGACCCCAACGGCAACCCCCGCGCCATTGCCCTGCGCTTTGTGCTCGCCGAAACGCCCCGCCGCAAACACACGGACATCATCGCCCACAGCGTGCCCTTTTTCCCCGCCGCGACGCCCGACGAGGCGCTCGCCTTTTTCCGTGCCGTCAAGGGCGCCGGCGCTGACCCCGACACGCTGACCAAGCACATTGCCGCGCACCCGGCCGCCCAGGCGTTTCTGGCCGCGCCCAAGCCGACGCCCACGGCCTTTGCGCACGAGGCCTTCTACGCCCTCCACGCCTTCAAGTTTACCAATGCCGACGGCAAGGCGACGTATGTGCGCTACCGGATCGTGCCGGTGGCCGGCCACAAGACGCTGGACGCCGACGCGGCCAAGGCGCAGCCAGCCGACTTTTTGTACGACGGTGTGCGGGCGCAGCTGGCGCAAGGCTCGGGCCACACGATCGAGTACGACCTCGTGGCCCAGGTCGCCCAGGACGGCGATGTGACCGACGACAGCACGGTGCACTGGCCCGAGGAGGGGCCCGACGCGCGCCAGCTCGTCAACCTGGGCCGCGTGACCCTGGACCGGCTGTACGGCGGCGGCGGCGGCGGCGGCGACGAGGCGGCGGAGCAAAAGTACCTGATTTTCGACACGGTGCCGCGCGTGGACGGCGTCGAGGCGTCGGCGGACCCGTTGATTGACTTGCGGGCGGCCGTGTACATTATCAGCGGCAAGGAGCGCCGGGCGGCGTAGGAGGCTGGCGACTCGGGAGTAGACACAAGGACAGCCGACTCTAAGTCGCCGGCAATACATACACCGAAAACAATATACTATATCCTCCACATGTATTGGACTCTTTTCTCGGCTGGTCGTACCTCCCGTTGACGTACGGCCGGCTTGGCAAAGGATCTGGAACACATCACATGGAAGACAGGAAAGACGGCGAGTGACAGTGAGAGTGGACAGTGGCAGTTTACAGAGATACAAAACACAAGGAAAACAAGAAAAGACAAGGAAAACAAGGAAATACAAAGCTGAGATGGACAAGCTAGCAGCTGGTGAGACACAATGTCGATTCCTCCACCGTTGCACGTCACTTGGGTGTCTTGCGCTCAGTGGTCATATTGTCGCTTGTCTTTAGACTCAACCTATGTAGTAGACATCAACCACTGTCAGAATCAAAAGTAACACGTGAGGACAACAACAGACGGCAACCGGACACGCGAGAGGGCCAAACCCGGCCGATTCTTAGTCTTGCTTTTGTGCCACGGACATCAGCCCACGTATCAAAACAGCTCCCTCTGATGGATGCTGCCCTGCGTCTCGACAAGAAACAGGACGATGCGGCACAGGAATGACGACAGAGGATCCCTCCACAGCACAGAACGATGCCACAAGACGGCATCTGGAGCCGACTTCGGCTATCAGAGTGACGGACGGAGCCAATGAGATAATAGGAAGGAAGACAAAACGTTGCTCGACATGGCTTGTCCTCCGTCGACCACTCTCACTCTCAACAAAGGTGACAGCTGCAAACAACGGCTCGTCAATACGACCTACAGACCCAACAAGCACACAGCCTTGTGCCACTATGTGATTAGTCTGTGTCCTTGCAAGATAGGGGGTGGGCTACGCTGTACATACGGTGGAAAGAGTGCAGTGGATGGGCATTTTCCACGTTGTTTTTGGCATTATTTGCTCTTCTCTCGCACAGTTCCCGTCCACAACCTTCGTATCCCCTCCCGTACGTACAGCATACACTGCCGGCAGATCTAGCGATGGCGTGCTACAAAATAACAGGTTACTTTGAAGAAGATAATCATCCGTCTGTCGAATCGGCGACAATAAAAGACAAGACGAGGAAGATGGAAAATACGGAAATATGGGAGCCTGTAGTCTACATGTCTAGTCCACAAAGCAGAAAGGACGACATCGGACAAGAACTGAAATGGCGCACGAATAAATGGAGTATTGGAAAAGAGCCGTTGGGATGCGCGCAAATGACGTCTGCCTAATGCATGCAACCTTTACACGGTCTCTGTGTTGGGCCGCTTGCTACCATTGCGTTTTCCAAAACGGGACAAGTCACAGAGACTAGAAGACTTACAAAAGACGTCGAAATATACTGGCAAGAAATTAAAAAAAAAAAAAAAAAAAAAAAAAAAAAAAAGTAAAAAATGTATGGCCACTTCCGCCGTCATTCCAAATTCGGGAGGACTAACAGACTGTTACGAGCCGGGGTCCACTACTGGATGGGAGCGACGAGCAACCTTTCCAAAGTTGTCATCTGCCAACAGGAAAACCAACTGCATGGCCAATGCCAGGGTCTGCCGCCACAGAGAGATCCTGTCGAATGGGAAGAGGTAAACGCGCGCGACAAAGAGAGACCAACCCAGACGGAACAGACGACGTCCCGCGGAAAGGGTGAGAGATAAAAGAATAGTAAAACAAGAAGCACGGCAGGCCGTAGCCTGTGCGACCTGGCCATGCCCTCCCTTTCCCTCTTGCCCACGTCGTTGGTGTAACACCTACTATTGGCCTGCTTGTTGAGCCCGGTTGCTCAATGAGCACTGGACACTGAGCACGACCGGTGTGTGGAGAGGAGAATGGATGGGAGACAGAAGGACGAGGAGACGAAAAAGGTGAGTGACGAAAACTGACCACGAACGGCCATATAAATGCACCCTTGCCACATTGCCTCATGCACGAAGCATCGTCTCTTTTCCTCCCAGGACAGCCCTCGGCAGTTTTCCCGAGACACCGGCTGCCATACGCGTTGCACATATTTTATACCAGCTGCGGAGTCATACATACCACATCGTCATCTGGTCTGCCCTCGTCTGGCCATGGCTTCGGCTAGGCCTCCGAGGGGAAAGTCGGTTTATACCGGGCAAGGGCAGGGCAACGACCGGAGCCGTCTCCGCTACACTCCTGCGGGCCGAAATAGCACGCAGAGTGCCAACCGCCGCTATCCATCGCCCGACAGGCGGCCACGGCTCCGCAGCAGAGGTGCCAGTCCACCTCGTCGCTATCGGCCAGCCTCGCATACGCGACAAGACGACTCTGACAAATCTCGTCGTCGTCGACCCCCGGGTGTCGCTCTTGAACGCGGTCGCGAGACAGGCCGCGAGCCTCGGCATCCGCCCGAAAGACGCAGCAACAATGTCCAGCGTGGCGCATCAAGCACCCTGAAAGGCGTGTCCTCTTTCCTGCAGCGCCTCGGCATCATTGACGACGATCCATTTGCCGAAAGCGCGGGAGACAATTATGAATACGCCTTCCAACGGCGACCGCCGCACGATCCCATCCAGCAGCATCGCCGCCACCACCACGACAGAGACTCCTCGCCATATAGACGCTCGCCAGTTTCTGCGCATTCGCCTTACAGTCGAAGAGATGCGTCGCCGCTGTCAGACCACGATTCTGATGCTGGGGTGGTGTCAAAACACGACGACGTTCGTGGCCGTGGCCGTGGCCGTGGCCGTGACTATGACCGCGATCGAGACCTGAGCCGCGACCGTTACAGCGACCCTTATGGGAACGATCGACACGACAGTGATCGTCACCGTCGCCCCAGCCAGAGGTCATATCCCTCCCGCGCACGCTCTGCCGCCGGCCACAACGACGATCGTAGTCCCAGCCGGTCGCACCGCCGGTCGCTCAAACGCGGCCGGCCGTCCTCGTCGTCCACCTCGTCGTCCTCTTCGGCATCCATGGCGTCTTCCACGGCATCGTCCACAGCGTCGTCATCGTCCACGTTGTCGTCTTCCGCCTTGTCGTCGACGCGGTCGTCCCCCTCGGAGCCTCCCATGCCCTCCTCCAAATGGGAGTCCGCTGCGCGCAACGCCTTGCGTGCGGGCACCATGGCCGCCCTGACCAATCACGGCGCGCCCGGCAGCTGGTTCGGCGACAAGGGCTCGCGCGTGGCGACGGCGGCACTGGGTGCGGCGCTGGTGGACACGTACATGGGCCACCGGCATCCAGAGAGCCTGAACGGCGTCCGACACATGGCGATGCGGCAGGCTGCCGAGTATGCGATCAACAGCATTGTGGCGGAGCCGATCCTGGAGCGAGCCGCACGGCGGAAGATGGGGCGGCGATCGGGAGGAGGGCGAGGATGAAAGATGAAAGAGGCTGGAGACAAAAGGAAATAAAACGGTATAGAGGACAGGACAACGGCAGAAACGTAAACACAAACAAAGCAAGCAACGATGATAGACGACGCCATGATTCATGAGTAGACACAGTACCAGTACAATTTCGTAGACATATCAAATAGATGGAAAATAAAATATAAAAACTTGACAGAAAACACTCGCGGAAAACGTGAAAAGTAAACAAAAGAATCAAGTTTATGTGGGAAGCTCGAAAGCTCTGCGACGCAATGAAGCTTGGGGCACTAAAAGCTGCCACCAGGCGCTAAAGACGCTGTATTTGGGCAGGCTGGCAGGCTAGGGAGCATTCACTATCCGACTACACATAATTACATTGTGTTACTTGCTCGCCCCACATCTACACGTGACGCTATCGATAACGCTCAGGGTACGCTGGGCAGGGACCATCGGAGTCTCTGAGATTCATCACGATCCTGGACGGCGAACAGGGACCTTTCTGCACGACACCCTCACGCCGTACAACCACACCAGCCGACCTGTTCCCATTGCCGCCATTTGACATCACTCGTCTATACTTAGACCGATCATCTTCTTCGTCGTCCCTTACAGCCTGGCCTCGCTTCACCCCTGCCAATCCGTCGTCCAATCCGACGTTATTCTTCATCGCCCCCTACGACGTCAGCCCCTACGCACGAGCCAGGAATCCACGGCAGCACTGGCTCCTACCGTCCTCGATACCGCCTTGATACCCGCATCCTCGCTCTCCGGCCCCGTCTCCCTCCACTCATGCCGCCTTCCGACAATGTCCCTCCACTATCCGAGTCGATACAGTCGCTGCCCCCCGCAGCTTCCTCCCTAAGAATGCCCAAAATTCGCCAGACGTCCATGGGTCCGCTGGGTCACGCCGGTGCCGGCGGCAGCGATCTTCCCATACGCGCCCGGCCGTTGCCACTGTCTCAGTCCGAAGCCAGCTTGCCCGTCCGCCGCAGCACGCCCAACTCCGCTGCCGCCTCGCTCTATGCCTCGACCTTGACGCCGCCCGAATCGCGGTCTATGTCGCCCGTCGGTGGCGTCCGCGCCGGATCTCCCGCCGGCCGCACACTGTCCATGACGTCAAATGCGAGCATCGCCACCACCGCCTCGGCCTCCTCTGCCACCACCATCACTGCCCCCTCTTCGCAACGCCCATCGTCCTCTTCCTCGGCCGCCGCCGCCGCCACGCCCGGCGCCGCCTACGCGCGCTCCCTCCTCGACCTACCCGCCGCCGAGAACCCGGGCGACCCGCTCAACCTTGTCCTCAAGGCCTTTGTCCCCCACGTCGCTGTCTACTCGTCTAGCGACACCGACGCGCTCGCCCGCGAAAAGGGCTTCCCCAACGGCCTCTGGGAGCTGCTGCGGCCCTTTGGCGAGCGTGTCGCGGGCCGCGTGCATGTGCGCGACAGCAACGGCGCGCCGCGGCCCTGGGACGACTTTTCTGTGCGCTTCACCAAGTTTGGCGACAACATCGAGGCACCCGAGTCGGCCCAGGGCATCATTCAGCCGCCGACGAGCCCGCCGCCCCAGCTGGTCAACGACAAGCGCTTTCTCCGCCGCCAGCGCGGGAGCAGCAGCGTGAGCCATACTAGCCATGCCAGCAGTAGTGCCAATGGTGGGCGCAGCCGGGCGGGCACCGCCGACGCGCGGAGCAATGCGACTGCTGCGCGCATCCCGATTGTCGAAGCCATCGTCGACAAACACCTCACCTACGCAGAGAGTGCCTTTTCCGGCCTGCCGCCACCACCGCCCACACCCGGCCAGGGCCCGCCACCACCACAGCAGCAGCAGCAGCAGCAGCAACAGCAGTACGACGTTGATGGAACATCTCCCTACTACGCGCTGTACCTCCGCCGCATGCTGTCGGGCCTGCCTGTCGCCTGCCACGAGACGTTTGCGCACCCCGTGGCCTGCGTCATTGCCATCAGCTCGCGCAACCCGGCCCCCATCCAGACCTTCCAGGAGCTGTACCGCGACATCAGCCAGGGCGACCGCCGGCTGCCGCCGTGGGTCGACGGCGACTTTTTACGATACTATGTGCTCGTGCACGACGAGGAGAACGGCGACATTGTGCAGTCCATGGCGCTCTTTGAGAAAATGAAGCGCAGCCTGGGCCTGCACTGCCACCTGCTGCGCCTGCGCAGCACCCAGAGCGCCGAAACAGACGACGACAGTCTGCTGCTGCCGCGCAGCGACTGGATGACGGCCGTCGAAGAGTACGCCGACCTCGTACGCAGCGAAGCCTTTGACGAAGGCGATGTAGCAGCGAGTGAAGCGGAGGGCGGCGAGGACGAGCAGGCAGGCGGTAGCGCGGCAGCAGACAACGACATTGTCGACGACCCGACCACGCGGTACATTTTCGAGTCCGACGCCACGGCCATCCGCACCTTTGTGCGCGAAATGGTCACCCAGTCCATCCTGCCCACGATGGAGCGCAGCGTGTCCCTGTGGAACGACCAGGTCGCGTCCAAGCGCAAGGGCCTGAGCGGCCGCTTCATGAGCCTGTCGAAACGCTGGGCCGGCTTCGGCAGCAGCAACAACAGCAACAGCAGCAACGGCGGCGGCCGCGGCGACAGCGGCTCGTCCAACTACGACGCCGCGCGCGGCTACTACGGCGCCGAGGCCAGCGAGGCCATCCTGCGCAAGCTCGCCGACTACGCCTTTATGCTGCGCGACTGGAAACTCGCCATGTCCACCTACGACATTCTGCGCACCGACTACACCAACGACAAGGCCTGGAAGTACCACGCCGCCGCCAACGAGATGTGCGCCCTGTCGCTGCTCATCATGCCGCCCAGCCTGTCCTCCCGCACCAAGCTCGACTCCATCAGCAGCATGCTCGAGCAGGCCTTTTACTCGTACCACACCCGCTGCGGCAGCGCCTACGGCGCCACCCGTGTTGTGGCTCTGTCCCTGGAGCTGCAGCGCCTGCGCGGCGGCGCCTTCGTCGACGAGGCCGTGCGCTGGGGCATGCGGCTGCTGGACGCCCGCCTCGTCGGCCACGTCGGCGACCCGCTTCTGCGGGAGCGCATGGCCGTCTGCTGCGCCACGCGCGCCGGCCGCGGCTCTCTGGGCTGGGGCACCTGGCGCCGCAAGTCGGCCTTTTGGAGCGTCCTGGCCGCCGAGGCCTGGGTCGCCCAGGCCAAGTACATCCAGGCCCAGCGCTGCCTCAACGAGGCCCGCCGCATGTACTCCATGCTGCAGAGCGACGACGGCATCAACGGCTTTGCCCGTGCCCGCGACTATATGGCCGGCCTGCAGCAGCAGCTCAAGCACGGCCTGCTGGTCGCCGGTGAGGCTGCGGCCGCTGCGGTCGCGGAGCATGCAACGGAGGCGGGTGCAGACGTCGACCTGGCCGCATCCACAACCACCGTCGCCTCGGCGAGCTCAGCAGCAGGCGGCGGCGAACCGGCTGATATGGCAGCAGCAGACCCCGAGACAGAAGTCGACGTCGAAGAGGTGCAGCTCGCCGCGGACGAGACCAGTCTCAAGAACGCCCGGCGACGCTCCCGCCGTGACAGCCTGCTGGGCGGTAGTGGCGCAGGACAGGCAGGGCTGGAGTCGGCACCACTACGGACGAGACGACTGTCGGCCGCGGCCGAGCACGAGGACGATGTCGGCCAGGACGAGTCCGGATTTGGACAAGTGTAAGGAAAGAAACGAGTGGCGAGAAGCGGGAGTAGGAGTGTGCACAGACACGAATAACGCGATTTTTGTTACACACTACACAGTGAGAGAGCATGGGACCTGGCGTTCGTCTTACCATTTGCCTTGCTGTTTCCCTAGATATCATGATCTGCCATGAAAATAATAGATTCAATATGCCTCGTGACGTATCAACTTTTATTACTATGAGTTTACTGAAAATCTGGTTGAGCCCTGTGACGTAAAACTTCTCACAAAGAACAAGATAGTGAATGGGAACGAGACAAATCGTTGCACAACTCCGTCGAGTGAGAAAAAACATGTCCAATAGGAACAGCCACATTTGACTGCGGGTGAGTGGGAAAGCTCGTCCGTACTCCCGCCCCATTTGCATCTTTATCTATGCTCGAATATTGAACCAATGATTGTCTATTTCCGCCAATGCAGCTACAGATCTCATCTTATCTCTTATATCTTCTTTAAGCTCACGGCAAAGAGGAAGCTGCAAGAAGGAGCCATTTCCGCGGCCGAGATAACATCCACTGATTGCTTTTGGCGTTAGGTGACACCGAGGCCGCTGAAAGGTGTTCTTTTTGGCTGCATACTGGATATGGAATTCCGCCACACTGACACAGCATCTAAGCCTATTGGCAAGATAAGCTGAGCCAGCCTTTCCACACCTTTGAGTATACACTTGCTTTGTGAGTGGCTTCAACGTGGCTAGCGTTCTTTCCAGTCGTTGATCGGGTCGACCGTTCTTGCTCGTTCTGGATCCCGACTCGGCCGCCACCGATAAGCAACCGGCAAGAGCAACCGACGAGTCGAATGGACAGCGAAGGGTCTGGAAAGAGCTATAAGTAGCTTCCTCGTCGCACCCTCTCGAGACATTTCCTAGCATCTTCTCAACGGCAAGCACAACTCTCAGACCTAGCCTATACCCAAGGGACTCTCACACCAACTCGAACTTACCATTGTCTCTCCACATCGACAGTCCCTATGTCTGCTATCCAGATCTCGGCCCTCAAGCCCGCTGAAGGCTCAAAAGTGAGGTTTGGTGCGGTCGTCTCCAACGTCGATATCGAGAACCTCACGAGTGAGTAGAATGTGGAGAGCGTGAAGAAGCACAGCTCTTCGTGTTAGAAAGAAAATTGCTTTCCATGCGTCTTGTCTGCTGGGCATCCATCGTCGGGCAACAGCTTGGGAGAATACCCGTGAAATCGGTAACCTCCCGGTAAGATATTTATTCTCCTATTTGGCACTGTCTGCAAAAGCATGATCGGCTGACACATGCTCTTCATTCCGTACAGACGCCGACTTTGACATCATCCGGGAAGCCCTGTTCAAGAACCAGGTGCTTGTCTTTCCCAACCAAGGCCATGTTTCGCCCAAGAAGCAGTTCGAGCTCACCCAGCGCTTCGATCCGGCTGGCGAATCGTATGGACACGGCAAGACGCTTGATGCCAAAAGATCCGTCCTGCACCCGGACCTCAAGACCATCCCGCACCAGCCGCAGGTCCAGGTCATTGGCAACGGCCTCGTGCCCGAGTACGAGGGCCTGACCAACATCCAGCTGCGCCACCCGCACCACCGGACCTTCCATGCCTCCGTCATCCCCGACGAGGAGGATCTGGACTGCACCCGCTTCTATCGCTGGCATATTGACGCAGCTCTCTACGGCATGGCCCCACCCGTTGCCACGACGCTACTCGCCGTCAAAGTCCCCAGCGGTCGTCGCCAGACCTGCCGCTACGACGATGGCACGGGCGACGTGCTCGACGTGCCCCTGGGTACCACAGCCTTTGCCTCGGGCGAGACCATGTTTGAGCTGCTGAGCCCCGAGGACCAAGAGTTTGCCCGCACCACCCGTGTCGAGTACGCCGCCCATCCCTACATCTGGATGAGCGGCGCCAAGTCGCGCTCCAACGGCCTGGGAATGGTGTCCGAGGGCAAGGAGCTGACGGAGGCGGAGCTGCCACCCATTGAGCAGGACAAGATCCAGATCCTGCCCATGTGCTGGCGCAACCCGGTGACGGGCAAGCTCGCCCTGCAGGTGCACCCCAGCGCCGTACGCCGCCTGCACCTGGCCAACGGCACCGTCATTGACGACCTCGCCGAGGTCCGCGAGACGATCCACCGACTGCAGCGCCCAGGCATTGCACCGGAACTCATCTACCCGCACGACTGGCAGGAGGGTGACTTTGTGCTGTTTCACAACCGTGGCCTGATCCACTCAGTTGTGGGCGCGTTTGCACCGGAGGAGGTGCGCCTCTTCCGCCAGTGCAACATTGCCGCCAGTCACCTGCCCGAGGGTCCGGCAACTATTGTTGCAGCTGCCTAGAGGACGGTGTTTGTCGAGGAATCTTTTGTCTTTGGCCCTGCTCTCGATCGTTTAGCGTCGGCGCATTTTTGTTTTCTGCTGATGGGCTACTAAGTTTGCCTTTTTATGGAATTGTTCTCTATACCTTTTGTTTCATAGTCATAGATGTTTACACATAGATGGAAATTATAGAAGTATTCTTGCTCGACTCCCTTTTATAATACCAGTGTCGTGCATGCACATAACGTATGGTTGAATTTCATCGCTGTCATAAATTCTTTCCAAGACATCCTATCCAATATCAAAATCCCAAGGCTTGTTGCATAATTACCAGGCCATTTAAAGTTCAATTGCTGTACTGTCATCAGTCGGCCCATTATCTCTTGGTGCTTGTGCATCTGACCCGTCCAGCTCTGCTTGCTTTCCTGGTTGTATTGATGACACAACGTTACTCCCTGCGTTTGTATCAACAGTACTAAGAACACCAGAAGTTTGCTGTTCCTCGCGCGGTGGTGTCTCCGCAATTATTTGCTCCGAGGCCGCTTCGGGCCCGGCCTCTTTCATTTCTACCTTGTCTTCTTTCTCGTCCGCGTTTGCCTGCGATTTTAATCGGGATTTTCGTGCGTTGGCAATCAAGTCCTGGAAGGACGTGCTGTGTTTTGCCGACCAGGCGGCCCCATCAAATTCCTTGTCCTTAATCTGGGCCGCCTGCTGGGTGGCAGCCGCGACAGTCCGTGACGTCAGGGTCGCACCGCGGCCACCTAGCATGCTACCGGTGAGGCCACCACCCGCGCCGCCTCCGCCGACCGTGCGCTCCCAAATGTCCATGTCGTGCAAAAGGTCTGCCTTGCGCTTCGGCCGCGCCGAATCGCAGTTGGCGTTCCAGATGGTCGTCCACTCCTTGTGCCGGCGCTCCAGCAGCTGGCGGGAGCCCGACGTCGCGAGACCCAGAGCTGCCATTTTCTTGCGCAGAGCGCCGTCGTTGAGCAGCGAGTAGCTGACGGACGGCAAACGTTCTGGTGGTGGTGCAGGCGCAGAGACTGCGGAGAAAGGATGAAAGGAGGAGGACGACGAGGACGACGAGGCGTCTCGTTGTCGTATACTCGAATACGAAGAAGGTTGTTTGGAGAATGTAGACGGTTTTGGCTTTTGCGGCGAGCTGCCGCAGGACGAGTCGAGGTGGCCGTTGATCAGTGTCATCTTCATGCGCCGTTGACAAATAGGGCAGGCAACAAGACCGTCGTCTAGAGAAGGCAAGGAAGACATTAGTAAAGATTGTGTGGCGTAGCAGAGAGACCCATTGCCAGATTCACGCAGGGCCACACACCTGGTTCATAGTCCATATCGTCACTGTCGCGGCTGTTGCTGTCGCTGTCCGGCACCTCCGCCTGCACCTCGTCCTGCGCAATGGTTGTTACAGCTTCGGCAGCCTTTGTCTTGCTTAACCGAGCTGATGTCCGCGTCCGTTTTGCCTGTGGCGTCTGCTGGCTGCCACTTGGCTGTGATGCTGTTGCCTCGTCCGTCACCTTCCGCTTTGTCTGTGGAGGTGTCGGCGACTTGGCACGTGGTAGCGGTTTCTGTGCCACTTCGAGCGTGGCCGGTCGTGCCTTGCAGAAAGCGTCAACGGCCTCACGCAGCGCCCAGTTCCCGCGCAGCTTGGACTCCTGGTCGGTCATACGGCACAGCGGACACTTGCCGTCGACCGACAGGCACCGCCGGATGCAGAGCGAGCAAAACGTGTGGTTGCAGGACGTTATCATGGGCGAATTGTAAAAGTCTTTGCACACATGGCAGCGCAGCGCCTGCTCAACGGGCATCAGACATGACAGCGTCGTCGTGAGCCAGTCGGTCGAGTCGGCGACGCCGCTGTTGTCGCGGGGATCCATCGAGGCGAATTGGGCAGGGGGACGACTGGCGCCTGGTTTTTGATCTGCGGAGGTTTCAAGGATTGAAGGCCATGCAGTCGGCCGAAAGGTAGATGATGTACAATGTCCCTGTTGCGCTCTCCGTCGTCAGGTTGAGAGGCTGAGGCTTGACGATATTCAACTGTTAACGCATAAAGTGGCGGGCGCGACGCGTCGGATTTGGCAAGCAGCCTGGTAGCCTCCCTGAAAAGAAAATTTGCAGGGGTCTTGCAGCCTGGTGTAGGCGCATTTCCAGTGAACGCCCGCCGCTTCCTCTGCAATAGCCACTTAAATTCACGTGACCACGCGACGCCAATTGCTTCGACGTGGAGGGGTGCATATCGCGACTCTTCCATCTGCACTCGACTGTAACGCACTCGTACCCAGGACACCATCAACGCCGCATTTACGTCGTATAGCAGCCATGGCGTCACCAAACGAATTTCTCGCCGAGGAGGTTCTTGTTGAGAAGAAAGTGGTAAGTACAGAACAACGTATCATGGCTGTTCCTAGCTGTATAAGAAACAAAGCTGACGCGCCAAGATCACATATCGCTACCTAAGCAGAGCTCTGAAGATTCACGTCAATGTTGCAAAGAAGTTTGTGAACGCCTATGATGCTGCCATATACGTCTGTTCAGAAGCTGACAAGTTATTTAAGAGCACTCTTTGACTTCCACGCAGCCCAGAACGCCAAAAAGGCCGGTTCCTTGCATGCGACCTACCTGCTCTATGGTGCAAAGTCTTTAGCCGATGCAAGCCATGCACGGAACGGTGGCCTTGGTGAAGAAGACATTGACATGGAGGACGACCTGCCGGACTACCTGCAGTCTGAGGCGGTCCCTACGAGCGTGATAACTCTCGTGGCCGAGGAGAACCTGGAGAGTATGGCCGTCTTTTCGGAAGTCGAACTCTAGCGGAGGTGTTCGTGCTAACGGCTCTTACTACCCAAGCAGGTGCACTTTCACAATACGAGTCGCTTCGCTCCATTCATGTGTACAGTTTGTCGCCTCAGCCGATGAGTGTACGTAGTCGCACTGCTTGCATTTCATCACGGTCGCCTCCTCAGCGATGCTACTGATGTCGTTATTGACATCGTCACAGGATCTTCAACTGCTCGCAGATACTACCCGCCAGCTTCGTGAACTTCGCGGGGCTGCGGCGCCAGAAGACTCTCCCAAGACGTTTGGTACAATCCCCAACTCCCACGTGAGGCGCCGCCAGCGTAAAGGCCAAGCACCCATTGCGGCTGCTGCTGCTGCATCTTCTGCGTCTACGCCCGCGGCCACACCATCTTCCGTATTTTCAAAGGCGTCCAAGACCGAAAATGCGCCCGGACCCAACTCCATCTGGAACAAGGTGAACGCCGCAAAGGACGATACGAAGCCGGACGCTGCGGCTTCCAAATCCGCAGCAGACAGCGCCACGCCCGAACCCAAAGATGCGAAGAAGCCCGTTGCCGCCGCTTCGTCTTCCGCGGCCGCTCCACCGGCTCTAAAGAGGGCGGGTTCGTCAGGTGGGCCTGGAGGCATCATGCAGGCGTTTGCCAAGGGTGCCAATGCCGCCAAGCCGAAGAAAAGGGAGACCGCGCCCGTCGCCAAGAAGCCTGCTGAGGAAGATACGTCGATGGCCATGTCTGACGACGGTGGTGATGACGACGACGACGAAGACATCATTCCCAAGGCGCAACAAGTTGTGGGTGGAAAATCCCGCCAGGAGCGGCAGGAAGAGCTGCGCAAGATGATGGAGGATGACGACGATGACGATGGCGACGATGCTGAAGGCGACAAGGACGAAGACGAGCGGGAGGACACGCCCATGGAAGATGTGGAGGACGACAAGCCCACCGAGGCGGCAGAGGCCCTCAAAGACGACGGCCCTGGCGAGGTCGTCACCGCTAGCTCGGGCGACGGACGTCGGCGCGGCAAGCGGCGCGTGGTGCGTAAGAAGATGATTGAAGATAAAGACGGCTACTTAGGTAAGTTTCCAATGCCGCGTTTGCTCCGGATCCACGCTGCTTTGCTAACATTTTCCAGTCACTATCCAAGAGCCCGGCTGGGAGTCGTTCTCTGAAGACGAGGTACCAGCCAAAGCGGCACCAGTCTCTTCCACTCCTTCTTCGTCTGCACCAAAAGCAAAGAAACCGGCGCCGAAGACCGGCCAGGGCAGCATCATGTCGTTCTTTGGAAAGAAGTAACAGAACAGGAGGAGACGTAAAAATGTAGGGTTGTACATTTTATTTGCACATTGTTGGGAACCTGGCTAATTAATCCTATGTAATGAATGCGATGCTTTGCTTTGATATTGGGCAAACACAGAAAGTAAACATGACTATCAATATGAGATGAACATGGAAACGAAACAATAGCCATGTGGCGGCGGTCACTGAAGGGATGATTTTGACAGGGGGCCGGTGTTTTCGGTAGTGGCCGCAGTTGCTCTTTAGGGCGGCCGGTAAGCTCCCTTGTCACACAATCAGTGATACTAGCTCGTTGTGACAACCAGTCTCTGTGACGGTGTAAGGGTAATTACAATACGCTTAACCGTTTTAGCAGTCTCCAGCGTCTTTAGGGTCAGCTAGCGCACGAGCACCGATGTTACAGTGAGCAGCCATATCACGAACCGCTCTTTCCTTTGTTGTGCGTCGGGCAGACGGACATTTTGCCGCTACCGACAACATCGATGGCTACTTCCTCACTCTTCTCTACCTTTTCGCTCCTCCTTCCTTCATTCTCCCGACACCGTTTCTCGGCACCTCCTCTCACTCTTTTTCTCTAACATTCAAAGGCTCCTCGATCGGCGGCCGTCTTCAATTCGATCCTCGCCATGGCGTCTCGATTCCTGGCTTCGATCGCACTGGCGCTGCTCGTGCAACAGTCGTCCGGCCAAATCGACCAGTCGGTCTTCGAACTCAATGCATGCCCCGACTACGTCCTCTACTCGACCTACCCACAGTAAGTTATTTCGAGCATCGGCTGTTTATTTGCGACTGCTATTGTCACTTTGTGTTCGCTGCAAAGCTAACCGTCGTTTTCTTCAGCCGGCCACTCACCAAGGGTCCCCTCGCCCTGCCATTCCAACGACCACACAAGAACTGCCGGACCTTTCACTCGGACGCCATCGAGTCCGTCATTAGCGATGTGACTTCACGCATGAAGGACGTCGACATGGCCCGTCTCTTTGAAAACACCTTCCCCTCGACCACAGACACCACAGTCAAGTTCCACACCAACGGCACCGACGGCAAGGTCTCCGAAGCGGTGCGGGCCAAGATCAAGGCAGCGTCGGGAGGCGCATACGACGATGGCAAGTGGGAGGGCGCCCAGTCCTTTGTCATCACCGGTGACATTATTGCCGAGTGGCTGCGCGACTCCACCAACCAGTTGTCGCCGTACCAGCCCCTGGCCAAGACCGACCCTGCTGTGTACAACCTCATCCTCGGCGCCATCAACACGCAGTCCGAATATGTGATTGAGAGCCCATACTGCAACGCCTTCCAGCCGCCGCCTATTTCTGGTCTGCGGCCCAGCCACAACGGCCAGGACGACAAGGTGCACCCGGCCTTTGAGCCGTCGTTCGTCTTTGAGTGCAAGTACGAGCTCGACAGCCTGGCACACTTTCTGGCCCTCGGCAACGACTTCCATGACCACACGGGCTCCACCGACTACCTGAACCGGCGCTGGTACCGGGCCCTGGCCACTGTGCTGCGTGTGCTCGACCAGCAGTCTCTGTCGACGTTTGATCCGGTGACGAACCACTACCGGCGCAACGAGTACACCTTCCAGCGCCAGACGGACACTGGCACGGAGACCCTGAACCTGGCCGGCATTGGCAACCCGCTCAACAACGGCACGGGCCTGATCCGCTCGGCATTCCGACCCAGCGACGATTCTACGATCCTAGGCTTCTTTATCCCGGCCAACGCCATGATGGCCGTCGAGCTGAAGCGCACGGCGGCTGTGCTGGCGAAAATTAAGGGCAAGGAGGCACTTGCCAAGGCAGTCGCTTCGTGGAGCCAGGAAATCACCAACGGCGTGTGGGAACATGGCGTCGTGAAACACCGCGAGTTCGGAGACGTTTTTGCGTACGAGGTCGACGGCTACGGTTCGCACATCATGATGGATGATGCCAACTACCCGTCTCTTCTGGCACTGCCGCTGATGGGCTTTCTTCCGGCGTCTGACCCGACGTACCAGAACACGCGGCGTATGCTGCTGAGTAAGCAGTCGAACCCGTACTACCTCAAGGGCCGCGACTTCAAGGGCATTGGCGGCCCGCACATTGGACTACAGAATGCCTGGCCCATGAGTCTGTTGATCCAGGCACAGACATCCGATGACGATGCTGAAATCCAGGAGTGTCTCAACATGGTCCTCAAGTCGGCCCCGTTGGGTCTGATCCACGAGAGCGTTGACGTCAACTACATCACCTCCTACACACGGAGTTGGTTTGCATGTAAGCAGTCTTTTTCATATTCATACAGTATGCACCAAAAACACTGACAACTGCGATAGGGGCCAACGGCGTGTTTGCCGAGACCATCCTGGACTTGGCCAAGCGGAAGCCGCACCTCATTTTCAAGGCGCCGGCCGAGGCATACGAGATTTAAATGATGGCATAACCAGCGTGTATTTTTAGTTTCTTGTCTTTTGCCTTGCGGCGTTTTTCTTCGTGATACACATGATATTCATGACGGCGTTCAGGTCACAGAGGCCACAGCACAGTAGTAGCCTACCCGAATGAATAAAACAGGAGGGTTTTGAAAAACAAACATTCAAAAAGAAGTTGGTGAGCTATTTGCAAGTGATGGTACCTTGGCTCGCGCTCTATGCAATGATGCACCTACAATAGAAAATCAAATCACAACAAGGGAAGGCTTCCGTCTCAGCACCGGAAGTACCGGCGCTCGATCCACCGCTCCTCGATATCCTCCACCAGGTGGCACACGACGACCGAGATCGCCGGGAAGCAGCTCGTCAGCCGCTGCAGGCCCATCCGCCCGGCGGAGTACGTCGCCAGCACGATGCGTTCCGGCGCCACGCCGTGGTCCAGCAGCACCTGCACCGCCATCAGCGCCGAGCCGCCCGACGACATCTGCGCGTCCAGCAGCAGCACTGTGGCGTGTGTGTCAATGTCGCGCGCCAGTTTCTGGTACCGCAGCTCTGGCTCGCCCGTGCGCACGTTTGTCTCGATCAGGATGTGGCCCAGTCGGCAGTCGGGGATGACGCGCTGTAGGCCCGTCTTGAGGGCCGAGCCGCCTCGCTCCAACACAACCGCACTAACAATACCATCGGACTTTAGGCCCTGGTAGGAGTTGCCCTGGGGCGTCTCGACGACGGCAGGTGCAAAGGTGGCATTGTTCAAGGCACTGGTGGTATGTTAGCGGACGTCCAATAGTAAAGGAACTGGTTCCCCCACAAATACGCACAGCTCGATGAGAAGGGCCGAGAGGCGATCAAAGTAAAAGATAAAGTCCTCACTGGCGGTCTCAACATCATGGATGATGGTGTTCATGCCTCGCAGCTGTGGCGTCGGAGGCAAAAACACAATCCGGTCTGACAGCGACGTCATCTTAGACTCCCGCTGCAGCCTTGTCAGGGTGGCCTGGTGCTCTTTTGATTTTTCGCGAAGCTTCTGCTGGATATACTGCACAACCGTGGCTTTTGTGTGTCAGATGGCGTCCCTACAGACATTTCAGTGGTATGGAATGCACATACTGATGGCAACCTTGTTCATGATGCCACGCGGCACAATGATGTCGGCAACCTTTCGTTGCGGGTCGACGTACTATAGACCGTCAGCTACAACACACTCATATACTTTCTGGCAGCACAGGTTAACTCACCTTGACAAAGTTGGGCTTCACAAACGCGAGCCACTGCTTGATGATGCCCTGGACATCACGGCCACGTTCGTTCACATCACGGATGACTGTCATCAGGACGGTTAGGAAGCTATTACACAACACACGTCACGTACACAACACGCCCGGGTTGGGATCTATCGTCCATACTGCGCCTTGAAAGACACACATCGGCGTCCTCGTCACAAAAGATCTTTCACATGGTCAGCCGCAATTTGCTCGTCGAAGTTAAAACTACATGGTAAACAAACAACGTACCTTCATGTCCATCATGTCCAGAATTCTCTGGTCATGCAGCGCCAAAATACCCTCGAGAATGATGACATGAGGCGAGTATATGGATGTTGTTCCCTTGAGGCGTTTGTGTTCGGTGAACGAGTATTGTGGGATCTCGGCTCGCCGTCTGTTGGTTCATAAGTACGTTCGTTCGACAAATAAAATGCAAACACCATGAAGGCAACGCAACTTACCCTGCTTTCAAGTCTTTGAGAACATGCAATAACGCGTCGAAGTCAATAGCCTTGATTCCTGTTAGATGTTTTATTTGACCACCAGTCCCAGGACTTCTTTGTATGACGAGCCTACCTCCGGCGAGTCAAAATCAAACTCGTTCAAAAATGCCTTGCGGGACGACTCAGGGTCCAGGCTCTTGTAAAATGAATCCTGTACAACTTTGTTAGATTTTTCAATTCTCGCAAAAAGTGGAAACCAAAACAAGACTCAATCGCTCGGTTCTTACCATCGACACAATCACCACCCATGGCAGGTTCAACTGGCTCACGATGCTCCTCGCAATACTCGACTTGCCAGAACCAGAGCTACCGGCAATGCCAATAATGCTGAGGTCAGACCATGGTGGAGCATAGCGAGCCTTGCTAACGATCGCCTTGGGTGTCGAGGTCATTGTGCACAGTCAAATGAGACGACTGCCTAGGCACGTGCGGTCTTGAGATTCAGAAACGGTTCAGAATCGACGGTCGCCAAGTGTCGATGTTTTGCTGACCACTCGTCTTAATTCCAGGTAAATAGAGCTCTGTGCTGGTGTCCTGTCTTATATTCACAGGACTTCATAAATGAAAATGCCTTTCAATATGAAGCGAGGTGACAGAAAGTGCATTCTCACGGAGGCAACGTCGAAGCCTCGTCGACTCTCATCTTTGCACTCGAACTCTGCCTTGAGCCGCTGCCACGCCCCGCAACGTCCACTAAAGATTAGCACCGACAGCACAGTGACCTGCCAGAGCTTTCTCGTGTGTTGATTGGCTGCTGTAGAGCTGACCCGCCCGCCCACTCAGCGCCGAAAGGAAAGAAGCGCCCCGCTTTTCTGCTCCTTCTGCCCTTTTCTTCCTTTTCTGCTGCTCTTGCCTGCGTTGCTATTTTTTCTCTCGTGCGTCGTCCACATCCGACCTATTTAACCTTCCAATTTTCTTCCCTCAACACAACTTCTTCCTCCTTTTGTCTTCTTTCTTCGCCCACCCCCCCAAAAAAGCAGTGCTCTGCCACTCCTCCCGGTCTTCCGCGTCGGTGACTCGAGGAACAAAGAGTGGTTTGACTAGGGGATCGCAATACCCGCCCACCAATGCACATTCCACGAGACTCGCACGCTTAACTGTCGCTGTCGAGCTCTCTTGCAGCCTTTGCTGCCTCTTCTCTCCATCGTCTACCTCGTCGTCCTCCCCAGTTTTGTCTCCACCGAAGAAATTTCTTCTCAGTTTCTCTCGTACCTCGCACCGACTCGAGATGGTACGCGTCTATCCCTCGCAGTCGTCACTAAGTCATCGTCCCGTCGCCGCCGCATCATGCTAACGTCCTCCGCAGGCGTCCACATCATCGACAGCTACACCAGCGAGGATGAGCTTCCAGAGCCGGGTCAACGCGGTGAAGACTCCTAAGAGGTGTGTATTAAGTACCTCTTCCAACACCTCATCCTACGCAACACCCCCCCCCCTCCCCTGGCAAAATGATGATGCAAAATATAATGGGAATCTCTCTGAGTAATTACTATGCGGAGTAACATATTACTTTGTCCAAGCGGTCTGATATTGCCAACGACACATTCTTTCACTGTCTACTCTCTTCGCGACGCGTCTCGCGCGGCTAGCTGGCTGAGCCTGTTGCTAACAATGTTACAGTGACATCAATGCGTTGATCCTAGACTACCTCACCATGGAGGGCTACCCTCAAGCCGCTGCAAACTTCTCCAAAGAGGCGAACTTACCACCGCAGCAGGACAAGTCGTTTGTCCACGCGAGGCAGCAGATCCGGAGTGCCATCCATAATGGCAAGATCGACGAGGCAATCACCCTTCTCAACCACTTCAACCCAGAGGTAAGCATTGGACAATCGTTTTACACGCCCGTCCTTTATAGTTGTCTTGTTCCCTCCGTCTCGCTATGATTATAAACCGTTTCATGCACCACTCATAGGCCTCGTGCCACTGATGAGTAACAAACCACACTGAAAATTATGAGCGACCGATATTGCAACCATGTTATTCATCTTTCCGAGCATTTACGCCTTCCTTCTCGGTAATCGTCCTTGGCTAACAGGTTGTTATTCAGATTCTGGATCAAGATCCGCCCCTTCACTTTGCTTTGCTGCGTCTACAGTTGGTCGAGCGCATTCGTCAGGCGAATAGCAGCGGCAACGACTTCGCACCGGTCGTGAAGTTTGCCCAGGACCAGCTCGCGCCTCGTGCGTCCACGAAGAAGGAATTCCTCGAGGACCTTGAGGAGACCATGGTCATGCTCTTCTTCACCCCAGACAAGATGCCGGCGGCACAGCAGAGGCTGTTGTCGCCAGATCTGCGTGAGGAGGTTGCCGACAAAGTCAACAAGGCCATCCTATTCCACCACAGCAAACGCCGTGAAGCCGCCATCCGCCAAATCGTCAGGATGCGCGCTTGGGCTGAGAACGTGGCCCGTGAGAAGAAGCTGGATGTGCCTGATATCATTGATCTTGGTCTGAACGCTACTGCAGACAACCGGTTCCACGACCACGAACACGAGGCTATGATCACCACGTAGTGGCCCTATACCCCTGGGTGTTTTTTTGTGTTTTTTTTTATTGTTTCTATGTTTGTCTTAGTATGTTTATATTGACTAGCTGTCAATATTCGGAGTTGTATCGGTTGGTTGTTTTGTCAACTTTCATCGGCGTTCACAATATCGGTTTGAGTAAGGGGTGTATTTTATCATGTATTGTGTTTTCGAGCGGGCATTTGATATTATCGGTTCTGAGCATGACGGCATAGCATCGTCTACTCTAGCGGTTACTTATTTTCTGGCTTTCTTATTGGGTCGGCGAATGAACACTCCGTCACATGGACGAACAATATTATTATCACAACTAGCCGTATTGGCTAATTGACCGATGAAATCTTTAAGTGATTGTCAACGATTGTGCAAGGCAATTGTGTGTTCGTTTCGTTACCTTTACTAAGCTAATGAAACCCGACAAAACTCATATAAAAATGTCTTCGATTATATGTACAGAAGCAATCGCATAATGAACTACTGACTCCTACGAGCAGTAAAATATATCTATCCACGCTCCTGCCTCACCGGCCGCTCGTCTGCCCCGTCTCTCGTTCTTCCTTCGCCTACTTTGTCCGGATGTGCTTCAATTTCTTCGCCGAGTACAGGAAGTTGTTGGCATACGCCTTGGGCACAATCTTGCGCTCCTGCGGCTCCTGTACAAAGTACTCGTAGCCCTGCTTCTCAGCAAAGGCAATGGCATCCTCCTTGGTCTTGAAATGGATGTGCGTGCCCTGCATGAAGTCTCCTGATGACTGCCAGCCCATCAGCGGGTTCTCCCACCGGTGGCCCTTCTCCAGGACGTCCCAGTCCATCCGCCACTTGGTGCCGTGCCAGTCGCCCGACTGCGTGGCCGGCTTTGTGGGCTTATAAATTCTGCATAAGAGATGGTATGTCAGTAAAATAAAGCTGAGAATCAAGTCAGAGGATCATACGCGTCCAGAGAGAGTGAGGCATACCTGACCGTCCGGGCCTCGAGCTCCATCGGGGCGCCAGAGAGCACGGCTGCCGGAAGAACGTCATTGTCCTCGCTGCCGTCCAGCACACGCTTGGGGACAGGCGTGAAGTTTCTATAGTAAAAACGAGTCAGCAAGATCCTTTCCCTTGTTGGATTCCGTCTCCGGAAGGCCTCGCGTCGCCGAGAGAGACATACGATGTCGCGCGGTCCGTGTGAGCAGTGTAGTCGGGAGCGTTGTTGGCAGCACGGGGAGTTACCGGGGCAGCCGTCTTGGGTGGAGCAGGCGTCAATGAGCTCTCAAGCCGCCGCAGGGCCAGGGTCGCGGCGGCGGCCACATTCGGCCGGCGAGTGATGGGAGCAACGGAGGCGCTTCTCAGCATCTGGGCGGCAGCTGCCGAAGCCGTTGGGCGGATCGCAGCCATGGGAAAGAGTGGTAGTTGGGCTTGTAAATAAGCCCCAAGACGTGTAATAGATTCGGACGACTCAATTGGGTTGTGGATGGCCGTTCGTTGTTCGCCTTGTCGCCGTTTGCCGACGCCGAATCCGTTACGTGATGGCTACGAATTTGCTGCAGCCGTGGTTCACGCAGTGCCGTCTCGCGAATAGCAAGCAAGGTAAACCGGAGTACTGTAAGCAAAAAAGATGTTCCGGGACTTGTTGTTGCGCTACAGTTCTCCTTCAACTACCCTCTAGCCGCTCCGTAATTCCCTCGAGAAAACGCCCCTAACGACTCTCCGCTCCCCCCAACGACGTGAGCCTCACGTGACTTCCTACCGGGAACAACCGCTAATCCGAGGGAAAGCTGTCGGAATCTTCGTTTTCCCTGGCATCGCGAAACGTTTTCTGAGTGACGACCCTTCGCACCCAAATCACCGGCCTTCTCCCCATCCACCCGCAAGCCACGTTCAATTGTCGTCCGGCACCGCCACGGATTTCAATTCATCTTCTAGTCTACGAGAAGTCTCACCCTTCTCGTAACTCTCCTCGCCCCTCTCGACCCCTTTCTCGTTTCCGTCGGTCCGCAAATTTTTTTTCAACATGAGCTACATCACTCGCCGAGCGCTCTCGACGCTCATCCCCCCCAAGGTTTGTTCAATGCATTCGGTGGTGCCGACATGGGCAATAGACTGATCAGCTAACACGGGTTCTCCAGGTTGCTTCGCCCAAGGTACGTTTTGAAATACGACGGACGACTGGTTGTGGTGGATGTTTTGGTTTGCAGGAAACGCGCGACTTTTCGCCCAACTCACGACAACGGCCGCCACAATCAATTTGACCTTGCGATATTCGACGATTCATAAAATCCCATCCGTAATGTGGCAGAACGCCGGCATTGTCGACAGGTCGGCGTGCATATCGATTGCGAAGACGGACACCGAGGCCCCATCAACGATTTGGCGACGGAAAAGAACGGCGCAACCGAACAACGTGATCGAACGATGCGAGACGACGCGATCAAGCGATGTGACCGAAGTGAGAGATAGGTCAAGAATGCTAACGACTGACTCAGGCCATTGGCGCTGCTCCTGATGCTGTCCGCATGCAGCGTGTCGTGAGCTTCTACGAGAAGTTGCCCCGTGGCCCGGCCCCCGAGGTCAAGGCCAAGGGCCTCCTCGGCCGCTACCAGGCCAAGCACTTCGGCAAGAACCCCACGGTCAAGCGTACGTGAACGAACCCCCCGAGCTGAAATGGATGAGCGTATCGGCAAGGGCAAATGTGCTGCTCGTCGTAAAGACACAATTACTGACAACTACCTTAGCCATTATCCAGGCTGTTGCCCTTCTGATTGTCATCGGCTACGCCCAGCAGTACTACTTCCACCTGCGTACGTACCTCCCCACTCTGAGACGAGCAACGGCTACAATAGGCCAATCACCAACATCGACGCTCTTTGCATAACACTCTATACTTACATGTCCGTTTGTCACAGGCCACCACAAGAACAACGCCCACTAAGCGACGTCTTACCTGAAAGACTAAAAAGAAGGCTGGAGCTCAGATTGGCGGGGGCGATGTGGTTTCTGCCGAGCCTCCGTTCCGTTGTACATATATCTTGTGTTGCCGAATAGAGAGATTGTGGAAACACCCGCGAATGGCTTCGTGCATATACGTGCTTTGCAATCATATTTATCTCATTTGTACCAAATCGCATCGATGCCATCACAGCAACCCGTGAAATATCCAACCCAAGCGTGCCCATAAACAGGTCATTAAATGTAAAATAGCGGCTTTCAAACTCATGCCGGACAGTGAGTCTTAGCGCCAGGCAACAGCTAGGATTCTAGCAGACTTTACATATTGGCGCTGCCAAGAAGCCGCCTTGTTGATTCACGCTTTGTGATAACGTGTGGTAGTTTGGCTTGAGCAGGAAGTCGTCACGCAGAAGACAGCCGATAATGGTACGACAAGGCCTTTCAAAATGCTAGCATTCTATTTGTGTAAAAGTTGATCAACTCTCATATAGAGTCGCAGAGGCATATTCAACAATGGCACGGTCATTCACCTGCCGTGCTGTGCCTGTAGCTGAGCTGGGCTGTTCCTTCTTTCTCGGGTCATTTCCTACCTCTCGCCCAGTCGCTCCTTCCATTTGGCTGTGGGTCGCGACATGAGCTAAGCCTAAAATAGCCATATCGGCCCCCCAGCCAATCAGCGGACGGCGACGCCAAAGCACTACCAAAGCAACCCAGCACCAAGGCAGGTCCCCGTTCCTTCCCTTTGCGCTCTGTCCAGTAGGAAAAAACGAAGGCAGCCCAGCCGCATTTTCGACATCTTCGCTTTGTTTCTCCTCCTTTGCCCATCATCACGAGCTGTCCCTCTGCTCTCTCCTCTGCGACACTCTCGATTCCTACATCAGACGCAACAAGCATTCCCGGTCACAGGAACGCCGAGCTCTGAATAGTACTGATTTCGCATCCGCGCCCTGGCCAACAGACAGCCATTGCATCATTTCGCCCTGTTGCCCCAGAAGGTGCTTTTCTCAACACAAAGACTTGCCTAGGTAATGAGCCACCCCAAAGCCAGACCAACGTGACTGCTAGCCGGATTTGCCTTCCATCTTCTTCCTCTTCGTCTACAACGAAGCTTAAACGACTCACCCATTTCTCTTTCTCTTGCAGTTTAGGTGAAGGCCACCCAACATCGAATCCGCCACCTTGCGTCAACTGCGAGATCCGCTTTTCTCCAGTCGTGAACACAGAGAGAAAATCTTCACACCTGACCGCCTCTACGCACCCCGGCGACGATACCGTTTCAAAGGCTCCATCACCTTCTGCTCTGCCGATTGGTGACTCGGAAAGCTGTCCCGCAAACGGTCACCCTCTTTTCAACACACATTGCGAGCTAAGCGCATCGTATGATGGCTGCTGAGATCAATGAATCTACACCCGTTGAAGCTCCCGCCAACTCCGAACCTGAAGCCGTGAGTTTTGTTCCTGGCAGCCCTGCGCACCGTAGCTGTCGATGCGGCTCCATAGACCCTCGCCCCGCTAACCAGGCTTCTTTTCCCGCAGGTTCCCAAGATCAGCGACGACTTGCACAATGGCGGCTCAAATCCGCCTTCTGTGAACGGCACGGCCACCTCCGGCTCCCCAGACGAACTATCCAACAAACACATCGCCGATATTGTTGACGACCTGGTAAACTCTGCGGAGCCGAGCATTAGTGGGGGTTCGGACACGGAGACTTCGAGGCTCGACGCGGCCAAAAACAAAGATGGAGACAAGGGACACGTGCGGACGTCGTCCACGGCGAGAAAGCCCACCACATTCAAATCAGTCTCGGTCAACAAGACCTTCCTTGCGGCCAAGGCTGCCGGTACGGCCGGCGTGGCCAAGCCCGGTGACAAGGCCTCGCCGACTCTCGGTGTCGCTTCCCTCACCTCGGCTTCATCCGCCTCGCCTCGCCCGAGACTGGTGGCCAAGACTGGCCTCGTCAAAGGTCCTGGTGCAAACGGACGACCTGCTGCGGCGCCAGATCCGAACGCTGTCTGGAACAAAAACAGACGTAAGTACTCTTTTTTCCGTTCCTCATGGGTCTCATTAAGCTAACGTTGCTTTCCCTCAGCCGTTGTCCCCCCGGACCCACGCAAACTCACGGACGAAGAATTGAAGAAATATGGAATTCACATTTCAACACGTCTTCAGCAGAACGACGACGCCAAGGGCCAGGCGAACTGGGCAGATATCGACGACGACGATGAAGACTGGGCTCCCGAGGAGATCACGTGGACGGACGGCACGAAGTCCACTATTCCGCATCACGATGAAATCCAGCCGTCTCCACAACCTCACAGCGTTCAACCGGATATGTCCCACGCGCAGTCGCAGTACTATTTACAGGCTCACTCGCAGTCACCACAGGCACAGCAGCACTCCTTGGCATCTGCTACCCAACCGTCGCCGACTGCCATTCCGTCCTCTCTATCGAGAGAAGTCGACGCCAATGACAAGCCAAAGTCGCCCGCCCCGACAGGCGTGCGATCTGGCGGACTGCCGTCCGGCAGAGGTTTGATTTTGAAAGGTGCACCTGAGAAGCCAACACTGGTCGCAAAGCCTCCAGCGCCTCCGACCCCGGTCAAGTCGCCGTGGGCTTCTTTGCCACCGGTTAACAAGGCGTCCCCTATTACAATGGACCTGCCCCCTTCCATTGGAAACTCACGCCTGCCTTACCAGCAGTCGCAGTTCCACCAATATCCTCCGCGAGACATGTACGGCGGTCCCCCGAGAGGCCCGACACCTCCTCCACCGTTTAAGGAAATAGCCGCCGACGACTTCAGCCGTGGTGGCTTTAGGGATAGTCACCCCTATGCAAACCGAGAGCTGTACAACTCGCAGTCTGGCCGGATGGAGCCTGTGCAAGATCGCCGCGGCAGCATGAGAAGCGATTTGCATCACAGGCAGCCACCGTCAGCACTATTGCAGCGACAGTCCCATGGGTCGGACCAGCAGCCTGAGCCTTCTGCCGCATTCCAGACTCATCGGTCGGCCCACGATGGAGGCCCTTATGGAAGACGCCGGAATTCATCCAATGTCAGCGGTGGCAGTGGCAGCTTTATGCAGCGTCTTGGAAGACCGCATGACCAGAATGTTCCTCCCGAACTCCTCCATGCCCAACAGCCATCTCTCGCAGATAGAAGCGATAGTCCCACTTCTCCGAGAAACTTCTCTCCGTCCGGCACACGGTCGTGGCAAGCACACGGCTCTCCAGCCGCAACACATGCATCCACGCACTCGAACCCCCAGTCCAACGCCCCGCCAGGCTCCACGCAGCCGCATACACAGGGGGCGCCACAGGCTGCAACCGCCAACATAGAGGACGAACTCGAGATCCAAAAGAAGATTATGAGAGAGCGCCGCGAACTTGCCAAGAAGAGACGCCTTGAAGAGGAAGAGCGTGAGGAGGCCGCGAAGCGTGAGCGCATCCGGCTCAAGCTAGAAGCAATGGGCCCTGCACCGGAGCGAAAGAGCGCCAAGAAGGAACCATCCAAGGATGAAGCGGCCCCAGCAACAGCAGCCGCCGCGCCGGTGACTCCTATCCAGGCCAACGCAAACTTAAGCACACCAGGCGGAGAGGCTACGACGGACGCTGGAGCTTCGGATAGCAATCACCCCATGCACGCCACGGAGCCCCATAGCGGTGCGCCGGCGACTGCTGAGAACACCCATGACCAATCGCAGCAACAACCACAGACCTGGCAGAGCCCAGTTCCGCCACAGACCGAGCGCATGGCCTCTTGGGGCAGCACGAACCAGTCTACCCGGAATGTATGGGGCTCGCCAAACAACCGAAGCCTCGGAAACGGTACATTCACGTCTGACCTCGGACCTATTGGGCCACCGTCTGTCCAAAAAAATGCCGCGGCTCCTCCTATGGCACCAATTGGCCCCCCGAAGTCCACTGTGGCGCTCCCTCCTCCACCCCCACCGGCTGACGTCCAGAGAACGGCAGCCCGCTCCGCAGTGGTGCAGCAATCTGCCGGCGGCAACTCGGCTGAAGTGGCACGTAGCGCCTGGGCTAACGCTGTCAAGGCCAGCGACGAAACCCAATTTGCGCAGCAAAAGGCTCAACGTGCCGAACAACAGCGCGAGGCTGAAGCTCGTGGTCTGGGTCTGAAAGATCTGCGCCCGGCCATCAAGGATACCTGGTTGCCGACCCGCATGAACGAGGATGGCAACCGGGTTGAGGACAAGGCCAACCAGTCAGTGGTGCACCGCCCCGGTACTACGGTGGGTGGGAGCAGCAGCCCGGGCTCGACCATTCACTCCCAATCCAGACCGTCACGGTTCTTCCCTACCCGTGACACTCGTCTGGAGGATGCCGTTGCCGCCGCACAGGGAACAGCCCCTGGTGGGGCGTCGGCTATAAACAGTAGTAGTCAAGGACGCCCCGGCTCACCATCGCCGCCGCCTCCCGATATGGACGGCCATCCGGCATTTGACGGTGATGCAGCACACCCGCACGTTTCTCTTCCGCGGCCGCAAATTGTTGTACGGCTCCCCCCCAAGGACTCGACAGCTGCCGCCGAACACGCCCCTGCTTCTGGGTCACATGCAAAGCACACACAGCTACGTAGCGCCGCCTCGCATGCGAACGAGTCCCAGTCGACACCTTCAGACGGCGCCTCATGGCAAGCCAAGTTTAACAACCTGTTTGACCGGAAGCCCGCTGTCTCCCCGTCCAAGCCAACTTCGGGCGCTGGGCGGCACGACATGCAAAACCGCACCAGTTCTGAAAACACGGCACCCACGCCTACGAAAGCACCTGTTCCTCCGAGAAGCGTGAAAGCAACTCCCAAGGAGCCTTTTACGACGCGCCTCATGGCAGAGGACTGCTTTGAACGACAGGAGATGGGTTCACTGCCCCCAGTCCACCTGCCTAACAAGGTTCCCGAACTGGCATGGACCCCGCCCCCATTCCTAAGCCTCTTGCCAGACGCTTCTTGCTATCGACCGCCACCAGCGGCGACCATGAGGGCTTCTTGAAGGACTACTTCGGTGTACCTCATTCCGTCAGCATCCAATTTCCAGGTATGGCAGGCAATGGCAAGTCCGTCAACCTGCCGACTCCACGCACGAACAGCAACCCGCGCCGGACGACATATGGACGCAGTGGTAGCGGCCGCCACGGATCATCTCACAGGGGCGGGAACAAGAATCGCGATGCGTCCAGCACGCACTCTGGCAACGACAAGACCACCCCGCCCAGCACCAGACAAGGGTCGTCCGGTGGCCGATCTCGCGGTGGTGGAATGCGGCACCGTTCTGAGAATTGGACCCGAGGCACATCTGCACCTGTCCAGACTTAAACGGCGATCGTTCGAAGCAATGTCATTCTGATGTCCCATTTGGGTTTTAATCGCAACTTGAGTGTCCTCTTTGCTCATTCCCAGCTTTCGTGACTTTTGGTCCCGATTTGAGCCAGACTATGTCTTTTGAGCAAGGGAGGAGGATGCGGCGTCTGACATGACTCGTCCCGTCTCCTCTTGTCTCTCGGGTCACGTTTACTCTGGTTGTTCTTTTACTATTCTATTTTAAAACACCTGAGACCATGCATGCATTTTATCATGGCTCTCGCACAATTCTTGTACTACCTCTTCATTACTATTTTATTTCAGAGCAAGCACCGATTTTATTCTATCGTGGAACTCTTGTTTTCTTCAACTGCTGCTACTTTTTGACCCTGTTTTGGTCTCGATCTGGGCTCGGCGTTTACCTCTAACCAACCGAACCACGATCCGTTTTTGATGGTGCTATTCGGACTCCCTTGATGCTTTGATTCGAAACCCCATGTTCGACTATTGAACTTTCTCTGATATTTTTCTTCCAACATCCTTCCGCGACATGATCTCTTTCTTAGGAAGAAAGCGGCCCGATTTATGCGGTTTGACGCCTGGCGCTGCCAAATCGACAAGCTTGCCAATGGGACGAGGAGAGCACGAAAATAACAAGATGATGACTGGTTTAGAACAACATATGACGAGGCTTGTGGCCTTTTTATATAGGGAATGGGGCAACGACCAGGCGGACGACAATCACTTGACGTATAAAAAAACAAGGAATTTTGAGAACACGCGTGTCTCTCAGCTGAGCACCGCGAGTATCAACTAACTGGAAAGAAGAAAATACACGGCGCGTCTCGGAAATTTCTCATGGCCTACCATCTTTCTATCAGCATTCGGTAAATGGGATCATGGTTATGGAACAAATGGGACAAGGCGGATAACGTGCTTCTTTACCAGGGATACATGGAAACGGAGGATACCTTGGAAGCCTATACCAATGAATAATAATAAAAACAAGGACATTTATCCCACCTCTTGGACGTAGAACTGGGTGACATGAGGTTCGTCAAAGCGCTTGGCGTATCGAACTTGGGACATATGCCTACGGCTCACATTGTTTCTGGTCGTATTTGGTAGCGTCGGCACTTGTCCCACATGTAATAGTATAGAAACGACTTCTCTATAAATCACTTTTATTTTAATGTTAACTTTACTTGATTTTATTTCGGAAACGATCATAAATAATTCGTTATTTATTTATTTTATTTTTATTTTTTATTTTTATCTTTTTTGCAAAAAACACGACGTATGAAAAAAAAGTCATCACCTAAATAAATCATGAAGACCAAGAGACTGTGATCCACTAACAAATATTTAGAGATAGTTGCAACAAGGCGGGAACCATTTCGAAGTTTATTGTCATCTAATATTTGAATTCATTCCGAACAAAACATTGCGCATAGATTGTACATGAGGCTTTCCCTTCAGCGGACATACAGATAAGCAGGTGAACATGAGAACGACTATCAAACAGAAAGTAAATATAAAATAATCGTCCCACAGCCAAAAAAAGAGAAACTCCTAGACTCCCTTCAACCGCGCCCTGCACTCCTCATTGTATACCTTAGTTTATTATTTTCATTTCTGACATCATCTTAGCATCACTGATCAAATACTAAAACTCCTCGAATGCACAGTTGGGGTGTAGCACATATATGATCTGCTCATGTGCGTTCGACGCCGGGCCCTCCGTAGCATTCTCGTCTGCCATGCCCTGGCCGCGGATGGCCATGAGAATGTTCTCCTTGACCATCTTCTTGAGCACCATGTTCACGAGCGACTTCTCGCGGTGGTAGTCCTCTTCGGTATCGAGGTCGCCCTCCTGCTGCTCAAGGTACCATGTGGAGAGGACGTCTGCAGCGACACCCTCGCCAGGGCCGGATACCTCGTCGTCGCGCACACGCTGGACAATCGCATTGACAATGGCAATGTACTTGTCGTAGGTGATGGCGACCTTGTTGCGGCGACCGGTGGCAGCATTGACAGCGGCTGTGTCGTGCTCGTCCATGGCGACATCACTGTTCGGGTCGGGGCCGTTGGCTGCGGCCGCCAGGGCAGCGGCCTCGGTGGCTTCGTCGGCGGCACCGTCCTCGTCGTCTTCGACCTCGACATCGTCGTGCTCGACGGAGATGATGCTCTGGCGCAGAAGGTTGTAGGCCTCGGTGACCATGTCCGGGGTGATCTCGTCAACGCAGTTGGCCTTGGCAATGGCTTCACTCAGACGGATCATGGACTCGAGCTGACGCACGGTGATGCGGTACGAGTTCTTGCCGACACCGCCCTGGGCATCGTCGGCGCGCAGGTCGCGATAGCGGTCGACAAGAAGCTGCTTGGCCTCGTCGGTAAACTCGGGCTGGAAGGTGCGCGCAAACTGGATGTAGCGCTGCAGCTGCTCGGTGGTGAACTCGGGGGTGACGGCCTCGTCACGCAGCTGGTGGATGCCGACAATGTACTCGGCCAGGCGGCGGTCGACGCTCTCGTTGCACTCGTCGAGGATGACAAAGAAGAGATCGAAACGCGACATGATGGGCGCGGACATGTTGATGTTGGCGCGTAGCGTGGCTTTGCGGTTGTAGCGACCGGCGACTGGGTTGGCGGCGGCCAGGATGGACGTGCGGGCGTTGAGGGTGGCCTGGATGCCAGCCTTGGCAATGGAAATAGTCTGCTGTTCCATGGCTTCGTGAATGGCGACCTGGTCGCCAATGTCCATCTTGTCAAACTCGTCGATACAGCAGATGCCGTTGTCCGCAAGCATCAGCGCACCGGCCTCAATGGTGAACTCGCCCGTCTCCTCGTCCTTGACAACGGCGGCCGTCAGACCGGCAGCGGACGAGGCCTTGCCAGAGGTGTAGACGGCGCGCGGCGCGAAACTGCAAATGTACTTGAGGAACTGCGACTTGGAGGTGGAGGGGTCGCCGACAATGCAAATGTTGAGGTCGCCGCGCAGCTGCATGCCCTCGGCGGTGGACTTGTGCACACCGGACACCAGCTGCAGCAACAGACCCTTCTTGACAATCTCATGGCCGTAGACCATGGGCGCCAGCGACTTGACGAGACGCGAGTAAATGTAGTCACTGTGGACCATCTTGCGCAGGTCGTCAATTTCGGCCTTGGTGTAGGCACCGAGCACGAGCTCCTGCGCCTCTTGTGCAGTCATGAAGCCGTTGGCCGCATTGCCGCCTGCGGTGCCGTCGCGCACCGACGCCTGAGTCAACGCAGCAACAATGTCGGCGCCCGAGGCGTCCGGACCGTTGGGAATGCTGCTGCTGCCACCGAGACTGGTGGTGTCGGGCAAGACCATGCAGGCCAAGAAGGCCATGCGGTAGGTGAGGTCGCGCACACCGAGGGCCTTGAGGCCCGAGATACCAGAGCCGCCGGCGTCGTTACCGGCACGTGCGGCGTTGCGGTCATCGCGGATGGCTGTGGGGCGCACACCGGGCAGACCCAGCTGGCTGACGTCGGGCACGACCATGAGCATGCCGTTGAAGATGCACTTCTCGCCGGCCTTGGCGCGGTCGACCATCTCGCCACGCAGGATGACGTCCATGGTGCGCGGCATGCTTCCTGTTGGAATCTCGCTGCTGTTCTCCTGGATGCGGACTTTTTGCCAGTCGACAAAGGTGCTCTGGCGGATGTCGAGTTGCCAGGACTGGCGGTTCTGGCAGGTGGTGTTGGGGCACTGTGTGGGCTCGGTGTAGCGGAAGGCCTGCTCGACATTGGGGACGACGACCTTGCAGGCGGGGCAGATGAAGGTGGCCAGGGACAGCTCGGGGCGGACTTCGGAGGTGCGTGTGACGGTGCCGGAGATGCTGAGCAGCTGGCCAATGTTGGCAGCACGCAGGGCGCGGATGCGCGAAACGAGCGGCATGTTGTAGATGGCGACCGTGAACAGCTTGTCGGTCTGCTGGTTGCTGGTTTTGCTGCCGAGGTCGGCCGACTGCTGCGAGGCGGAACCGGCGTTGCTGGCGGCCGATGTGGTACGGTTGGTGGAAGCGGTGCTGGACGTGAGCTGGCGATGCTGGCGGAAGTAGTGGGGCTCGTACTTGGCGATCATGTTGTGCAGGCCGGCGTTGAGGTAGGGCAGCAGCCGGAAGTACATGCGTAGGGCGGCCTCAGAGAGCACGCCGTTGTTCCAGGAGGTCAGGTGCTTGAAGTCAACGTAGAAGGTCGACAGTTGGTAGGAGCGCATGGCGTGGATCTGGGCGACGTAGAACTTGTCGGTGACGGGGGCGGACGGCGTCTCGCCCGAGGCGGAGGGCTCCTCGATGAAACTGAAATGTCAGACAAAAGACACACAGAGAAAATAAACAGAGAACGATGGGGCAACGCACTCCTCGATAAACGACTCAAAGTACTGCTGCACGGCGAGACCAATCTTGTCCTCGACACGCGGGATGGGCTCGCCGTTGTTCCGCCGTACCCGCTGCGGCACCTTGTCGTCGGCAAAGCCCTCGCCCTCGTCGTCGCTCATGGCACCGCCAACGCTCTCTGACGGCGGCCCGCGTGGCCGTGCCGAGGACGAGCTGAGGCCGTGGAAGCGCCGGGGGGTGGGTGCGGCCGAGGTGGCGCGCGAGGGGCCGTCGGACATGGCGAGGCCGAAGTCACTAGACGGCGTAGCCATGGCTGTTTGTTGTGGGGGGGTATCACAGGGCGAGAGCAGTAAGGAAGAAATGGAGAAAAGAAGGAAAAGGGGGTGAGGTCAAAGAGCGTCGAGGAGGGCCGATCCAAAGGCTTCGTCTGGGACGAGAGCGACGATGTCAAGGGAAGAGAAAAAATGGCAATGATCAAAAATGAGGAATGACGAAAGGCAGAGTCAAAATATGCGCTGGACAAGGACAATGACAAGGAATGATGATGTCTTGTTGTCGATGGACAAATTGCTTTCGCGGGAGACGCGATTTGGCCCCTCCCTATCATGTAGAGTGGGAAGGTACGCGTCCAGGACGCGTCGTAGTGGATCCAATGACTAGCTCTGATTGGTGTGACGCGAAAACAGTAAAGTGGTTGCAGCCAAATTGTGGGCGCCCATTAAACTCGGATGAGAGACTACGATTGCACGCGATACACTTTTGTGTGGCTCAGAGTGTCTTTGACAGGGAGCATGAGCTCCAAAGGGTCTTGAATTTGCAGTCAACGCTATGTATTCTGTAATTGCCGTGTTTCCCAGATAAAAAGCAACATGTCGTGATCCCAAACGCCAGGTCCCGTGACCAAAATTGTCTTAATATGAGGACATTATTCGTACGAGTGTATCTGCTTTGTTAGCAATGACACGGAGGGATGTGAATGCGCCTGTAGACTGTACACACCTTGTCGGACAATGCTACCCACTCCTCCATGCTGCGAACATACGGGTCGGTAGTCGCGTCGGCCGTGGTCTGGTGGCCCCAGATCACGATCTTGTCAAACTCGGCCTGCACCGCGAGTCCGCCCGAGTCCAGACGCTGCCGTTGTGCCTCCTGTTCGGCCGCTGTGGCGTCAACGTCGACAACCTCTTCGGGAGCGCTTGTATTGCTAGCACGGGCTTGTTCGCGGGGCGAGCCGCGACGGACGCCTACAACGCCCCGGTAGTCGGCGGGCAGCGTGACGGTCTGGCCGTGCAGCTTGCGTCCGCGGAAGTAGGCCGTAGCTTGGCCGTCTGTGATATTAGCAGGTGCTGAGTTCGGCAAAAAGCCAACCGCTCCCAGGGAGAACACAACACACCCTTCTCTTGTGGCCGCCAGAAGGCGTCGACTTGTCCAACCGGTCCGTTGTGGTGGATTTGGCAGGGCAGTAGGTGTGGTGTTGCTTGTGTGGGTGTGGAAGTGGCACTGTCGGCCGTGATTTCGAGAATTGGCTGCGTCATGTTGGGAACGTGGACGAGTACCACTGTATTTCTGTAACGTTGTCAATAGATATGTAATTGACAAGAAACTCTGATGGTGTTCGCCGATACGCGTGGGAGACGCGCCGGGAAGGTGCTCTAAACCGCCCCGCTAGCTGCACACCCCAGTTTATGTCCTTAGGGGGGCTTGACAAGTGTGGGCCGCCCAAACAACGACTCCTTTGTCATTGCCGTCCCGTTCACCTTAATCAACAGCACCGCCCCCAAGCCAGACATTTGTTTTTGTTTCAGGCTTGCCCACGACCACTGCCGCTTCACTCTCGTGTTTCCGTTCTCCTCTTTTCTCTCCCCATTTTTCCCCACTGCACACGTCTGCGTGGCGGTCTGTGGGTGTTGCATCGTCTCTGCCCGCATTGCATCAAAACCCCCAGCCGCCAGCATTCTAGCGCAATTAAACCAGGCGGCGTGTGCGCAGACTTGGACCGTCCAGGAGGCGATACGAATGATACTTGTCTGTCGTTGGCCTGCCCCTCGATCGACAAACAGATGGCCGTCTATGTCAAGCGTTGGGACCGACGCCGTCGATGACCGCCTAGGCTGCCTTACTGTGGCCGACACGAGCCCAGGGCGAGGAGTTGCGTGAACTATGGGGGCACGGAGAATGCGGGACGCGATCTTCTGTCTCAAGACTGCCCGGCAGCTTCGACGTCAAGCGCCTGGCTTCTCCCCTAGTCACCCCTGTTCTGGGTTCGGGCCCGTCTTTCGAAAAGCTTCTAGGCAGGCATCTGTAGCCATCCTGGCTCGGCAACGTCCACTTCCGACCTATTTTGAAGCCTGTCTTTATTATGCTGTTTTGTTTTGCAATACTAACCCCCCTTGTCTGCTTTCTTCCATCCCTTTACTCTGCTGGTGAGAGGAAAACATGTTGTATTTCGTCTTGCCTTCGAAAAAGCTCTAGTGGGCTTTAGGCCTGATAGTGTCCTCCTATGACGACGTCTGCCACGTCTCAACGGAGATTTAATTCCTCACTTACACATATTCACGCGATTGGATTCAGCAATGGGCCGATTCAGGCTCGCCCTGGAACTTTGAAGCTTCACACATAGGGCAGTTCTTCCCGTCGACAAACGGTAACAAGTGTTGACACTGAATAATAGCAGAACAAACGCACTCTAGTGTCAAGCGAAAGCCAGGGTCGTGGCAGGACGGGGAAAAAAAAAAGAGAAATCACCGACAGGTCATTGTACCCCGGTTTCGTCCGTGCAGCTCACAAATACAAACCACAAGACACGGATAGCGGATAGACAAGACAACGCGGAGGACAAGATGCGGCAGGAAAGAGGCCCCAACTTATAAGCATAAGGAGTGCTATAAGACGGCCAACTGTGTGTACCGCTGTTGCAGTCTCTCCTCTCCGAGCTCGGCCTGTGTCGTGTGCCCTTTTCTTTTTGACCAAGTGTTTCCTCTCTGGGACGTGTCTTTTTGTACCTGTTTGCGACGTTGTGTTCATTGTCGTCTCAAGTAATTTTGTTGACGTTTGCTGGCTGTTGATTTCCCTCCCACCTTTTTGGCCCAATATCTCGCAATCGTCCTTTCATACGTCTTCACCTTTGGATATCACACACATTATGATATCGTCATTGTTACCAGACATGGTGGCCCGGCCGCTGGCCAAGAGCACCGAGCTTGTCCGTAGCGCGGTGGGCAGTCTCACCTGGGGACCTGGCATCGCTATTGCGAAGCCGACAGTGATGGCGGTTCTCGAACAGATCGAGATTGGCACTCTGATTCTGGTAGACGAGCCGTCAGGCACGCGAGATGTGCTGGGGGAACATGTACCGCTCGGCGCTGTTAAGGCGAACGGAAGTGGCACCAAGACGAACTGGGCCAAGGCCAATGGCGTGAAGGTGAAGGTGAACGATGCCAAGGTGAATATCGTCAATGGCGTCAACGACATCAACGGCATCCACGGCTTGAGCGACAGCGACAGCGACAGCGACAGCGACAGCGACAGCGTCCGTGACGCCAACCACGACTACAACAGCCGCTCAGCCACGACAGTACCACGGGTCGAGCTCGTCGTCCACAGCGAGGCCTTTTGGATGCGTGTCTTCCTCTTCTCCGACATGGGCTTCGCCGAGGCCTACATGCTGGGCGAGATCGAATGCTCAGACCTGGCCGCCTTCTTCCAGCTGTTTATCCTGAACCGTGACCGCCTTGGGAACGGGAACACGCGCCTAGCCTCGCTCTCGCGCGGTCTGGCCAGCCTGGCACGCACGACCAACACGCTCTCCAACGCACTGCTCAACATTTCGGCGCACTACGACATCAGCAACGATATGTTTGCCGCGTTTTTGTCGCCGGACATGACATACTCGTGCCCGATATGGGCGGCAACGCCGACGACAAAGAAAACAAACGGAATCATCGTCTACGATGAGCCGCTCGAAGAGGCCCAGATGCGCAAGCTGGACCGCTTTATTGACGGCGCCCGCCTCAAGGCCACCGACCACGTGCTTGAGATTGGAACTGGTTGGGGCTCGCTGGCCATACGCGCCGTCCAGCGCACAGGCTGCCGCGTCACAAGTCTCACGCTCTCGCGCGAGCAAAAGACGCTGGCCGAGGCACGCATCGCCGCCGCCGGGCTGGCGGACCGCATCACGGTTCTGCTCAAGGACTACCGCACCCTGGCGGCTGAGGCGGCGGCCGACGGCGGGCGCACGTACGACAAAATTATTTCTATTGAAATGCTTGAGGCTGTCGGCCAGGAGTACCTGGCGACGTACTTCCGCTGCATCCACAATCTGCTGAAGCGCGATGGCAGCGGCATCGCCGTCTTCCAGTGCATCACCATGCCCGAGGGCCGCCACGCCGCCTACTCCAAGACCGTGGATTTTATCAACCACTACATCTTCCCCGGCGGCTACCTGCCCTCGACGACGCAGCTGCTGCACCACATCACCACCGAATCAGCTGGCACGCTCATTGTCGAGCACATCGAGAACATTGGCGGTCACTATGCGCGCACGCTGCGGCTGTGGCGCGAGAATTTCCTAGCACGCTTTGACGACACGATCCGGCCGGCGCTGCGGAAGGAACACGCAGGCATGTCGGACGCCGAAATCGAGGTGTTCCGGCGCAAGTGGGAGGTATGTCACTGCCGTAATGTGGCCATGTTCCCTCGTTGTGTATCACGACTGACCTTTTTAGTACTACTTTACCTACTGCGAAGCTGGCTTTGTGACCAAGACGCTGGGCGACGTGATCATAACTGTCGGCCGTGAAGGCGCATTGGAGTTGATGGAGGGCATTCCACTGTGAGGGTACATTGGCATTAGCTGAAAGGGAATCATCAACATGACTATGGCTATGAATGGGGTATGCAAACAAATGATAGACTAGACGCCAACATGAAATGCGCTGAATCTGGAAACATTGTTCTCTCTTCCTCCCTCTGTCCCTCTGTCTCTTTCTCCTTCCAACGTTATCTTCGTGTTCACCTCTTCTTCTTTTTGCCTCCTTTGCTTTTCGTTGCGCCCGACGTCGGCTCCGGTCCAAACTTGTTGGCACACTCCACGTCAAACGCCGGTTTGTGCTGCCGGAACAGCTGCATTGTCACCCGCGCGTCCTCGACACTCGAGTGAGCGCCTCCCTGGATCTCAATGCCCAGAATTTCCCGCGCCAGCACCCGCAGTGCCGGCTTGGGCCCGTGGCCGTACTTTTTGAAACCGGAAAACTTGGCCGTGTCCCGGATCAGCCGTGGCGGGTGGCTCAGGCCCAGCACCGTCAGATCGTGCTTTACGTCGTGCCCGACAAGGATGCGCGTCTCCTTTTTGGCTCCGCCTACATCGTCCTCCCCCCGCAGCAGATCCTCGATGGCGGTCCGCACCTCTTCGAACGGCCGCGCCAACCGCAGATGCCGCGCCGACACACCGCTGACATGTGTCCGCCAGTCCGTTACCCGTTGCCCTGCCTGTGGCTTCACAAACGAGTCGTACACCTGCCGCCCAAAGAAATCCACCACGCTGACCCGCGCCAGCGCGTCGTCCCGTCCGTCCGCGCCGACGCCCACCATCTCGCAGTCCAGCGCAATGTACTTGCCGACCGCTAGGTCGGGCGTGCGACCCGCGTTTTCACGGTCCGTCACGGCGGACGAGGCTGCTGCTGCAGTGTCGCCCACGGCGGCCGCGCCGACCTTGGCCCGGCCCCCAGACAGCGTTGACGTCGCTACACCGCCCAGCCCGTACGCCTGCGCCATGTCCTCGGCCGAAATGTCGTGGTCCTCGGCCCACAGCGCCAGCGACGGCGTGATGCCCTTGGGCAGCATCTGGCCCTTGCCGTTGTGGTCGTAGGCAGCCTCATTGGATAGCTTCGACGACTGTGCCACGCCCATTGTTTTGGGGCTCGTTCTAGGTTTTGTCTTTCCGGTCGCAGATGCGGTTTCTGGCCGAGACCTTTTTGCCGGCGGTCTGCCCTTGCGCGCCGAGTCCTCGCCGCCGTGTGGTCGTTTCTTCCCCGCTACCGCCTTCGCTGCCGGCTTGGCCGCCGTCTTCGGCTTGTCTGCCGCCTTTGGCTTGGACGGTTCTGCCTTGATTTGGGCCTGCAGCTTCTTCCAGTTGGACGACAATTGCGCGGCCATGGCGGATTCTTGTGGTGGAGCGCTGCTTTGGTCGCGCCCAGATATGTGCCGCTTTCTATAAAATCATGGCGAGTCCGTGTGGAACATGAATAAATCGTAGGACTGCTGCTGAGTATCTGTTGTGCTGGTTTTGTTGTTGGACTTCTCGGAATCGTCGAAATTTCATGGAAAGTTTGAATTTAGTATTTATTTTGCGGTTTAATTTTAATCCAAATGCCGGCAGAATTTCAGCCTTTCCAATAGCGGTGCAGCTTGCTCGCCCGCAGTCATTCTTCAGGGCTTTACTAGCCTCGGATTGGTCGGTTCAGAACGACCTGTGGTGGCAAGTGCGACTCGCCTCTTCTGTCGCCTTCCTATTTTAGCGTCTTGTTCTTCCCCTCGCCAGAGCTACAGGGCCTAAAAATCTACAACATTCAATTGCATCGTCGCATTTTCCAGCTCCATCACCAAATCTCAAAATAAAATTGACAGTGCTGTGCAGCAATTTTCATCGACGTTCGGCCACGCGCCACCCATTTTCATCGCGATTTCACCGCCTCTCATCGCCAAAAATCCATACCAACCCTCGTTTTCATTTGCAGACGCCTACGATGAGTCCCCACGCCGCTGTCGGCTCCAGCGAGCCTCGCGAGCGTGGCAAGGCGACACCCGAGACGCTGAAGATTGGATGCATTGCCATGGTGCTCAAGGACGGCGTCGCACGCCGCGCCGAAATTCTCAGTATCCGTGACAAGAAGAGCGGGCGGCACTATTACTGCAACTTTGACAACTTCAACAAGCGTCTCGACGAGTGGGTGCCGGTGACGCGCATCGACTTTACGCAGGACGTCGAGTGGCCCAACCCGGAAAAGGACAAGCCCAAAGACGCCAAGAACAAGAAGACGACGGCCGCTGCACAATCCAAAAAGGCCGCCATCGCCAAAAAGACCGCCCAGAAGCGCCTCGGCAAGCGCGAGCAAAGTACGGCATCCGAAGCCAGCACGCCACATCCGTGGACAGAGTTTGTCGAGTCGCAGCACAAGGGCACCCCTGGTGGCGAGGACGGCTCGGAGGACAAGGCCACCGGCACAGACACGGGCGCTACATCGACGCCAGCAGCGACGGGTGGAGCGTCCAGCGAGGATGCGGCGGCGGTTGCCGCTGCCAATGCCGAAGACGCGGCCAACGGCGATACGAATGCGGCGATCCGCGCCGAAGCCGCCGCCAGCCTGGCTGCTGCGGAGGCTGGTGACAAGAGTTTCAGTCGCGAAGAGGAAGTCGAGAAGCTGCGGACGGGTGGCTCTATGACGCACAACCCGGCCGAGATCTCGCGTATTCGAAACATCTCCAAAGTGCAGTTCGGCAAGTTCGACCTGTACCCGTGGTATTTCTCGCCGTACCCAGAGGCGTTTAGTATGGAGGACGTGATTTACATTTGCGAGTTCTGCTTGGGCTACCACGGCGACCTCAAGTCCTACACGCGCCACCGTGCCAAGTGCACGCTGCAACACCCTCCCGGCAACGAGATCTACCGCGACGACGACCTGTCCTTTTTCGAGATTGACGGCCGTCGCCAGCGCACGTGGTGCCGCAACCTGTGCTTGCTGTCCAAAATGTTTCTGGATCACAAGACGCTCTACTACGACGTGGACCCGTTCTTGTTCTACGTCATGACGCAGCGCGACGAAAAGGGCATGCACCTCACGGGCTACTTTTCCAAGGAAAAGGAGAGCGCCGACAACTACAACGTGGCGTGCATCATGACCCTTCCACAGTTCCAGCGCCGTGGCTATGGCCGCCTGCTTATCCAGTTCTCGTATGAGCTGTCCAAGATTGAGGGCAAGCTGGGCTCGCCCGAAAAGCCACTGTCCGATTTGGGTCTGCTGGGCTACCGGCAGTACTGGACCGAGAGCATCATCAACCTGCTGCATGACTACAACGAGCGCGACGACCGGTGCAGCATTGAGGCCATTGCAACCACGCTGGCCATGACGACACAGGATGTCGAGCACACTCTGCAGGCGCTCAAGATGCAGGTATACCACAAGGGCGAACACAAGGTTGTCATTCCGACCCGCTTGCTTGAGCAGCGCCAAGTCATCAAGAAAAAGAACCGCCGTGTCATTATTCCGAGCCAAATCCAGTGGAAGCCGCCTGTGTTTACGGCGGCGTCGCGTACCTGGGGATGGTAATTCTGTTTTCGCTTGTAGGACTTCCCTTCTACGCGGTTTCTTTTGTGCTACTTTATGTTGGTATTTTAGCGGGTTTGTGTTTTGGATAAGGCTCCTGGTAGTATTTTTGGTTTGTACAATAAAAAAGCGATACCCGGTTTTACTCAGTACGTCAAGTGGTTCCAAATATTTGTGCCTGTTTTGCCGTATATGCATATACATGTCTGTCCAAATCATTTAAATGCACCTGCGTCGATCGAATTCGATGCCTTTGCTCGCGGCTGGTCCCAGTTGCGCAGCACATGTGCCAGCCGTTTCACGCCCTCCACAATCTTCGCCTCGTCCTCCCACGCGAAACATAGGCGGATATGGTCGTCGAATTGCGCGCTTTCTTCGTCGCCCTTGACCTCAAAGAGTGGCCCCTCTGCAATGACGAGGTTTTCGTCAGCGAGTGCCCGCTTCGAGATGGCGGCCGCGCTGATGTCCGTCCGGCGCAACTTGAGCCACAAAAAGTAGCCGCCAAACGTCGCCATCGTCGACGACGGTCCCGTAGGCAATGCGCCGCACTTGATGTCCAGGAACTCGCCCAAGTGTTCCTGGACAGCCTGTGCCAGCAGGCGGTGTCGCCACTGCAGTGCGGGCCGTGCTACCTCCCGAAGATGTCGGTCCAGCTCGCCCGTGTGCATCAGCACAGCAATCGTAGCGGCACTAAACTGGCTGGGTGCACCGCCGCTCTTGGTACTGCCTGTCTGTGCTAGGCCGTACGAAAACGCCGGCGTCGCCTCAACCCAGCCCGTGCGCATGCCTGGTGCCACGATCTTGCTGAAAGAGGCGTTGGAGATGGCGTTGCCGAAGCGCCGGTCTTGAACGTCTCTGCCGTCGTTCTCGTCGTCCTCGGCACGCGGCAGCATGCGGTCAACGTCGACAAGGCGCGGCAGCGGCGACGGCAGTGCGACCGACCCCTGCTTGTTGGCCAGGACGGCGTCTGCATGCGGCACATCCCACTGCAAGAAATCGTAGACGTCGTCGGCAATCAGCAGAGCATCGTATTTGCGCGCCAGACGCACCAGCTGCTCGCGCCGTGCGACCGTCATGCTGCTGCCAGACGGGTTGGACGATGTCGGCACTACGTATACCACATGGCGGTAGGCCTTGCGGTCTGGTGCCAGGTTGGGCTTGTAAGAATCCGACACAGGCGGGCGAGGTCCAAACTCTTGGAATCCGCGCTCCAGCGCCTCTACATCGGTACCTTTGTCGTCTTCGGGCACGGCACGCAACCGGCCTGCGAAACCCGAATCTTCAAAGATGGGACACATCAAGAAGTAGCACGGCGCCGACACCCAGATACAGGCCGTGTAGGCCGGGTCCGTAAACGACTGCAAGATGCACGCCGCGTTTTGGCTTGCGCCGCCGGTAATGCAAATGCGGCCAGGGTCGTTGGGCACGCCGTACGCCGAGAAAAACCGGCTCAAGTATCTGGCCAGCAGCGCGCGCAGCGGCTGAAAGCCCGCGTCGGGGCCGTACTGCAGGCTGCTGACGGCCATGTCTGAGTCGGCCAGGACATCAGCTGTGGCTGCCTTCAACTGGGCAACCGGCAGCACAGATGGTGCTGGCCATCCACGGAGGAGGTTGATAAGCGGCTTGGTACCGGGGTCCAAAGACCCCCTATCCGATACCGAGGTCCTGGCAGGCCGCATGGCGCTAGGCTGAAGGGGAATGACCACCATGGACGCGATCGTAGACAGATGGCAAGTCGAGGCTGATGAAAGTTGTGACGAGAGGACTTGGGAGATCTCCAATATTTGCCAAGTTTCAAGTCCAAGTGCTGGTTGATGTGGAGGTTACGTAACGCCGGATCTCGATGTCGTGCTTTGCTAACCGCAGCGTTGGCAAGGGATATAAGTCACAGGCAAGTGCCATGAGCGCGCTCGGGTGCAGCGTCTCAAAATGTCTGTCCGGACAAGGCTCGCCTTGCAGAAAATGGACTACATGCCATGTCCGACGACCTCAGAGGCTGTTGTGGGTGTTTTATGGCGTGTTGTTGGTCTCATTGGTGAAGAAGGCGTGAGCCACGCTATCTTTCCAGTTATCGCCACTAAACGGCAAGAACAGTGAGGCTGTCCCGCTGGATTCAAGACGCCGTTTGCCGCCGGCTTCTACACTGAGGATAAGCTTCGCCTAGTTATTTATGCGACTTGGATATAAACCGCATTCACTCCCGATACATTCTCTTCGACACAAAGAGACAAGGTCGCTTCATTTAAAGCAGCACCGCCTCACGGGCTCGGAGCCAACTCCAGGTGTTGGCTGGACTGGCCGACAGTGTCAGTGTCCAGTTCAACAAAGCCAATCGCATTGGCAGCTCTGAAGAATGCCATTGCTCTCCTGCAGCAAGCATCACGCAGACGAGTCAGCACCAGAAGCGCTGGAAGCACAATCGGCGATGCATGCAAAACTGAAGACGAGGTTTGCGATCAGACGTAACTGTGCATGGCTCCGCCCCAGCACATGCAAATAATACCGCATTGTAGCCCATCGCCGGACGCGCCTTTCTTCATTGTAGTTTAGCATCCTTGTCGAGACTTCTCAACTACCAGGCTGATGACGTTCACTGTCCCGCTTCAAGCCCCAGCTGCCATAGTCCAGTCGGCCCCTCCTCAGCCATGCCAACCCCACTGTTGATTGAAAATATGACCTAATCACCTTGCTCAGCGCTCCAGTGCTGCCAGTCCCGTATATTTGCCCCACTCCCAGGGAGTCGGTTTGCTGACAGAGGCACAAAATTCACCCCGAATGGGGCAAGAGCGCCACCGCGTTCGCGCAACGGCGACTGGGAAAGCGCGAAGGGTGCGCCGGAGGCAAAGACGGCTTACCGAGTGGGTAGTAACCTATCGTACAGTGAGGCAAGACGTATTACAGCGAATATTTTCAGTTGGCTCTCCACTGGAGCTTCCGTCACCGGCCCGGTCGTGCCTTCTTAGACCAAGGAACTCGCCGTAGTGCCACCGCTCCTAGTTCCGTCGCTCCTGCTGTGCTGTTGATTGTTCCTGCCCTACATATTTGTCACTTCGTTGCCGCTCAATAGCCTCTCCCCTCTACGTTTATTTTCCTCTTCCCACCTCTCCTTTTTTGTCGTCTCTCGTTATTCTCACGATCCCCGGCGTTCCTTTCTCACGGCATGCTTCTGAGGGCATTGGCTTCGTCACTCGCATCGCACTCGGCTTCCCACTAGCGACTCGAGCCTATCCCGCTCACGATAGCGGCCTTCATCAAGATCGTGCGTCGCGCGCTTTTTCAACGGTGACATCATTCTGCCGTTGTTTCCAGTTTCTGCCAGCCTCTTACATCGTTTGCGGCAGACCAAGGAAAGTAGCTCTCGTTTCGCCTCACACAAACTGCCGTGGCCGCAATCTAGACAAGTCGCAGAGCGCTGTGCTCTGTCCATCTCCCGTCTTGGTCATGACCGGCGCTCCTCTTGTTTCGCGGGGCAGCGTGGTCCTGCGACACAGCCTCGCGAGACCGGTAGCCCTTTGCAGCTCTCTGACTTCGTCCTCCGCCATCATCCCCACCTCCTCGTCGGTCGCGAAGCTCTCGGCCTTGCATAGTGGTGCCACGTCCCGCGCCTTTTCCCTACGAACCTCACGGCGTGCGCCGGTTGCCCCGCCCAAGAATGGTGCGAGCCTCGTCAACGCCGCAGCTCGCCAGCCGCTGCCGGCGCAATTCTTCTTCTCTCGGCGCCCTGGAGCCGCTACGTCGATAACCAGCTCCAGCACGATCGCCGCGATTCGGAATGCTTCGACGAAGCCTGAAAAGCCTACGAAGGACGCCAATCCCGCAGCAGCTACCAGTGCGGCTCCTGCCGCCAAGCTGGGCGGCCACACGTTCAAGAGCTTTACGCAGTTAGCCCTCGCATGGATCGGTGGCTCGTTCGTTTTCATCACCTTGGGCGTCGTGGGTTTCTTCCTCTATGATGCAACGACCTACAAGGAGGGCGCCGATCTCGAGGACATTGCCGTTCCCCAGCTTGCCCTCAACCCGCGCCGCGGCGGTCCAAAGAACTTGCCCCTATACGAGGTGCAGATCGATGACTCCGACTGCGAAGAACGCCTCAAGACCAAGGACAAGCCCAAGCTAGTGATTCTTGGTGGTGGCTGGGGCAGCGTGGCCATGCTCAAGGAGCTCAACCCGGACGACTACCATGTGACGGTCATCTCGCCTACAAACTACTTTCTCTTTACGCCCATGCTTCCGTCTGCCACTGTTGGTACGCTTGAGCTCAAGTCTCTGGTCGAATCGATCCGTCGCATCCTCAGGCGCGTGAATGGCCACTTTTTGCGGGCCCGCGCCGAGGACGTGGAGTTCTCGTACAAGCTGGTCGAAGTGTCCCAGGCGGACCAGAAGGGCAACGAAACCCGTTTCTACGTGCCCTACGATAAGCTTGTGATCGCTGTTGGCTCCGTTACCAACCCGCACGGTGTCAAGGGCCTCGAGAACTGCTTCTTCCTCAAGGATATCGACGACGCTCGCAAGATCCGGAACAAGGTTGTCCAGAATCTCGAAATTGCCTGCCTGCCGACCACACCCGATGAGGAGCGCCGGCGCCTGCTGTCCTTTGTCGTCAGCGGCGGTGGTCCTACCGGTGTTGAGTTTGCTGCCGAACTCTACGACATGCTCAACGAGGATCTGATCAAGAACTACCCGCTTCTGCTCCGGAACGAGATCTCTGTCCACCTCGTGCAGAGCCGCAGCCACATTCTGAACACATACGATGAGACCGTTTCCAAGTACGCGGAGGAGCGCTTCCTGCGCGACCAGGTCGATGTCCTGACCAACTCCCGCGTCAACGAGGTGCGCCCGGATCGCATCATCTTCAGCCAGAAGACGGACAATGGCGAGATCATCAAAAAGGAGCTACCCATGGGCCTTTGCCTGTGGTCGACCGGACTGTCCCAGACCGAATTCTGTCAGCGCCTGGCTGCCAAGTTGGGTGCCTCGCAGACGAACCGCCACGCCCTCGAGACTGACACGCACCTGCGTCTAAACGGCACCCCCCTTGGTGACGTGTATGCAATTGGTGACTGCAGCACGGTCCAGAACAACGTGGCCGACCATATCATCAGCTTTGTCCGCAACCTGGCCTGGAAGCACGGCAAGGACCCTGAGACTCTCGAGATCCACTTTGCCGACTGGCGCAACATTGCGGCCGACGTCAAGAAGAAGTTTCCGCAGGCCGTGGTCCACCTCCGTCGCCTCGACAAGCTGTTCTCTGAGTTTGACAAGGACCATTCGGGCACCCTCGACTTTGGCGAGCTGCGCGAGCTGCTGAAGCAGATCGACAGCAAGCTGACCAGTCTGCCGGCGACGGCCCAGCGCGCACACCAGCAGGGCCAGTACCTCGCGCGCAAACTGAACAAGGCGGTGCGGGCGTCGCCTGGTCTGCACGTCAACGACATCCAAGACGGCGATCTGGATGCTACCGTATACAAGGCTTTTGAGTACCACCACCTGGGCAGTCTGGCGTACCTGGGCAACTCGGCTGTGTTTGAGCTGGGCAACTACAACGTCTCTGGCGGCCTCTGGGCTGTTTACGCATGGCGCAGTGTGTACTTTGCGCAGAGCGTCAGCATGCGGACGCGCATTCTGCTGATGATGGACTGGTTTAAGCGTGGCCTCTTTGGCAGAGGTAAGGACCATCCTTCCTTGACTTGCATATATCTATGTTTTGCGTGGAAATATCTACTAACTTTGTTGGCAATAGATCTGATCAGCTTCACCTAAAGTTCTTCAATGGGGTCTTTTCTACCTTTTTGCTGGCGTTCAATCTTGGGATTTTGTCTATTTTTTTCGCCATGAGTATGTGTCCTGTTTGCTACGATTTTCGTTTGATTCTGGTGATTTCCTGCACTTTTTGTGCACTCTCCTGAGCTAGAGTAGAATACATCTTCTTTTAATTCAGAGCTGGCAACGGATGATCCCAAAGCTGGCTTTGACAATTTTTTCTCTTTACTCCGGCCTTGCAGTTTCCATGCACTGCCGTATAGAGACAAAGAAAGAGGAAAACGAAGTCATAAAATGAGAAAAAAACAATCATCTATAAATCCAAACACGTACCAAAACTAAATCCCGGTGGTATATAGCGAATGACGTGGGAAAGTCCCGAAATCAATAAAACCAAAAGTAACCAAAAATTTCCATATAAGCTAACCAGTGAAAGCAAAACACAAAATTTAACAAAATCGAAGAAGCAAAAAGAAAAAAAATCCGGTAGACGCTTTAAAGAGTAAACCAAGGCGAGTTTGTAGACGATTGCGGGATGTTGGAAAACAGCTCCGCCGACTGGTCGGCGGACCACGGCGGAATGGCTTCGTTGGTCGCAGCCACGCTACCAGCCAGTCTTGGATCAAGGGGCGGCACATATCCACTACTGCTGGCCGACGTAGAGATGTTCATGGGGTCGGGAGACAAAGAATGGCCAGGAACGGCATTGGGGTGCAAAGCAGCGGACACGGGTGGACCAGTCATGGAGCCGATGGCGCCGGCAGCACCCGGCTGCTCGGTCCCAATAGCGGTTGGTGTCTCCGGCGCGTTTTCCACGCACGAACTGAGCGCCTGGATCATGCTGTGGACACTGTTCGCGGCAAAGTGCGGAATACCCTCCATTGCCTTGTCCACACCGGTCGCACACTTCTCGCGCACCATGGTCGTTCCCTCGCTGATCCAGAAAATGGGTGACACGTCCAGCTTGGCGTTCTCGTGGGCCTCGACCTGGCTAATTTGCTGGGGCGTGCCCGTCTCGCTGTTGACGTGCTTGTTGTACCAGTCGAGGCTGAGTTGGAAAATGTGCTTCATCTGCCAGAAGAGGTCCTGCTTCTCCACTTGGCCCGTACCGGACGAGCCGCTGCCGCTGGTCATGGCATCGGTCATAGTCACAAGCGACGCCATCTTGCGCTTTGATGCCTCGAGGTACCGTGCTACATCGGCCGCTTTGAGAAGGTCAGCGCGGCCTATAGCCATGACGCCCTGCTGGAAATTTTTGGTGTCAAACCCGAGACCAGCACGCGTGAGAATGAGGACGGCGTCGACGTGACGGCTGACTTCGACAATGGTGACGTGGCGCGAGTCGTCCTCGGACAAATCCAGGTAGCTGCGGATGTAAGCCTGTGCAGCGGCGACACACTTCATGAGAATTTCCAGGCGTATCGATGAGCAACACCAGTTGCAACATTGTGCGTTGGGTGTCACTTCAAGAAGAGCTTGATGTTCCGGTGGGATGCGTAGGGCGACCTCGTATATGACGACAGGAAGGTACATCATAGCGCACTTCAAAGCAGCTGTTTTTATTATTTATTTTGTTAGCGACTGACATACTCTGACCCGGTCACAACCAAAACGTACCATTGTCCCAGGATTGCGTTGTCATGGAGTTCCGCAGTGCATCGTACTGGCGCTCGAAATCCTTGACCATAGCTTCAATGTATCTCGCGTCCAAAGTGATACCCCCTTGGTCCAGGCTGCCAAAGACCCGGTCCACATCTTCAGAGAGTTTCCGTATTTGGACGTGGTAGGGCAGAAGATGGGTGTCGGACGGAATCTCGCGCGCATTGGTGAGGAACTGGACGGCCTGGTCCATCCGTCGGTCGTACTTGAAGTGCGTCGGCTTGCGGTGCGCCGTCGCAATGCTCGCCGAAACACAGTACGTGCCGAGGAAGGTACGTGCGCGCTCAATCTCATTGGCCATTTGCTCTGTCGGGGTGCGGCTGCTCCTGGGCCGCTGATCCAACGCCTGGTGGTGAGGCGCCATAAGGCTGTTGAGCGTGGGCGACATTGAGCTCGGAAGGTTGATCTCCACCGCCATCGTCACGGCGATCTGCGACAGCTGGTACAACTGGCTGCTGTAGGGCCGAAAATAATGATGATGCCTAGCGAAACTGTTAGTTATCTGAGCAGCAGGTTCCATGTCTTATAGTTGTCCGGCAACAGTCCTTACCAAATGCAGAAAATAAGCACGCTCTGGAGCAGGTCAAGGCTGTTGCGGGATTCGACGAGCATTGCCTGGGAAAGTGCCTTGCGGTACTCAAGGGCTAGTCGCGCCTGGAGAGACGTGTCAGCCGTTACCGTGAGGACGGCGAGAAGAACGTAAGGCCGGTCTCGGCGCATGTAACTCAGGGAAGCGTACGACGGCATTGCCACAAAGGGAAACTGCTTTTCCGAGTACGTTGTGAATTCGTCCAGGAGGACAGAGGCGAGCTCCTCCTGGACTAGGCCTCGGTCAATGACATCACCGTACGAGGCAGTCAGAGAGTGGCTGGAGTGCATTGCAATGGGCGCGCCAGAGCTATCGAGGTACGGCATTTCGTCAAAGTTGAGATCGAATCCGATGGGCGCAGGGTAGGAGATGGGAGGCAGGTTATTCAGCGGCTGCGAGTAAAAGTAACTGCTGCTCAGCGTGGAGGTCGCAGCAGGTGTCTGTTCAGACGGGCCTGCGACAGCCGACCCCGACAAAGATGCCACAGCAGATGCTGGCACGACAGCGCTGGACGAACCTTCTCTCCTGGACGAGATCAGCGCAATGAGGCCGTCCAGCTTTTCCTCGACATCCTTAACTCGAGTGCGACTGGTAGTAGTTCTACGTGTCAGTGGCAATGGACATCGATAAGCGGCAAAATCAAGAGCGCATTAGAGGGAAGTAGAAAACTTACGCCGTGTACTTGAGCTTTTTAGGACGCGCCAGAGCATTTTCAAAGTGGCACTCAATGCCGTGGCTCAAACACCTGTCCCCAGCACAGCGTCCCGTTAGTTGTTCGTTGGTAGTAGTATGTCGATCTCGTACAATCTCGTAAATATACACGGGGACGATCTGGGCTGGAAGGAAAGGGACGTGTCAAAAATGGGGGGCCGTATGAAGCATTACCTTTTGCAGTACCGTGTCTGGCCAGGGGTTCCATTGGGCGGTTCAACAACGCAACGGGCCTTGACCGCCCTGCATGCTTCGCAAGAGCGCCGGAGCGTCGTGGTCCGCTGCCGTCCATCCGCGTCTGGTGGAGGGGGCGTAGCGGCAGCACCTTCTCGAGGAGTGCCGGCCATGATGCACACTGCGAGCAACAAAGGAAGCAGCGGTCACGCAAAAGGATCCGGAGCTGGGAGCGTGCTTTGCTGCAACGAGACGCCGAAGCACGGCGAATTTCCACAAAGCAGGCTGCGCTAAGCGGAAACGGAACGTATTTGACACCTTCCAGTGGCGTGGAGGAGCGTCAAGGACTGCCAAAGAGGGGGTGCCTTTGGGCGTCAATAGGGCAACAGTAGGTGGTGTAGAGGGCGCGTAAATTCGTATATCTCCGTATATGTGCTTGCACATGCCAATGCGGGTGCTAGACGATAAAAAGATGTGCCGGCGTTGCGGTGGGAGAGAGCTCAAGGGCTTTGAAGTCAAATAATGTTCCGACGAGGGCGGCTGCAGCGACGCTTAAAAGGAACGTTGAAGTCTAGTGGAGATGTTGGGCAACGCCTTAGACGCGCGTGTAGTAGCTGGTGAGCACATGGGTCGTCAACCTGCGGCAACGAGTTGCCAACACTTGTACGAATTAAGCAACCGGCCATATTGCCTCCAAATCCGATGTGATATGGCCGGATCGACAGAGTTGCGCCGAGATTCCGGAATAGTGGGCCCTCTGTTTTGGAGACAGGCGACCGTCGTAGCGGCCATAGACTATCAGCACGCAGTGCACGAGGGCCCGTGTGCCGAGGGGCAGGTTACTGTGATATGATGCGGATGGAGAAAAGAGTGAGCAACCAAAGCAGCATAGGAAAAAACAAACGAAAGGACGGGACCAAAATGCTTCGCCATCGAGATAGGCAGCAGATCGCCAGTTGCGAACACGAAACGGAAGGTGAGACGGAGTTGCAGCGTTGTAGAGCGCGCACGGAAAGCGCGAACAAGATGATTCAAAGCCCGCCGAATAAGGAAGTTACATCACGTGCGGCAAAACAGGCATCATCACGACGAACAACGCCCGATTCCAAAGTAGACGAGAATACGGAGCCGGGGTGGCTGCATGGGTGGTTCTTGCCTCAACGGCCCGCATGCTATTTTTACAACCTGTTCCTAGATCTACGGACGAACAGCGATCGCGGCGGGCAGATACGGAGAAGGAATACTTTGCGTATGGAGCAGCCGGCGGGCTGCTAGCGCTAGGCAGGCAATGTTTCAGTGGCGGTCAAAGCAGCCGCAGGAACAGCCGCACGACATCCGACGCCAGGCAGAACAATTCGCAGCAACTTGACAGGCCAGACAAGCGACGGACTCGACGAGTTGTACAAAAATAACAATTGCTTTTGATAAAGATGCAGCATGCGCCAAGTGCGGAAGGGCTTGATAGCTTTGAAAGGGACAATAGACGACAGGGGCTAAAGCTTAAAGTCAAAAATAGAACACTGCGACCCAAGAAACCCACTTCCCCATAACGCCATTGAAAATAAATAGGCAGCAGAATAACAGTATATGCCGCACAAAAAAAGGTCTAGAAATGGTTTGAAAAGCTGTGAAAACGCGGGGAGAGATCCGAAATGGGTCTGTAAGGATCTGACAAATGTTGTCGAAAAGCACAGACTCCCGTTACACACATTGTCGTCTTAAAATAGATGGAAGTCTTTGTGAGCCCACTTCTCCGTGATCTTGGCCTTGGCCTGCTTCTTGAACGGCCGCTTGCGGCGCGCCTCCACCTTGCCGCGCACCAGCAAGCTGCGGTACCGGTCCTTGAGCAGATTGCCCTCGGGCTTCAGCAGACGTAGTGAGTCGGGCAGCTCATCCGGCAGCATGATCTCCAGGTCCTTCTCGGGCAGGTGGAACTTGCCCAGCTGCCGCCGCCGCAGCGCATTGTCGTCGCCGCCCTCCTCGTCGCTCTCGTCGTCGGATGAGCCTGCTGCCGCCGCCAGGGCAAGAGCCTGCTCGCGCTTGAACTTGTCCTCGGCGAGCAGCTTCTCAATGTTCTTGGCCTGCTCCTGCTTCCGCAGGGTCATGGCGTCGTGCCGCTTCTTGGCCTCGGCCTCCTTGCGGCGGTTCGCACGATTGCGCTGTGCCGGCGTCTTGCGCTTCGGCCGCTTGGCGCTGCCTGTGCCGTCGTTGTCCGTCTCAGCACCGCTCTGGAAGCCCTCCCAGGCGGAGTCCTCGTCCCACTGAGAGAGCGCCTCGCGCGCCGCAGCCTCGTCAGCCTCGGCCGCCGACCGTGCCACGCCCTCCATGCGGACGCGCTCGGCCTCCTCGTCCGCCAGGCGCTTCTTCTCAGCCTCGACGGCCTTGTTGCCCTCGAGCGTCAATCGGTTCTCGTAGTCCTCAAATGCAGGGTTGTAGCTCATGTCGCCTTTGGGCTTCGCGATGGCCGGGACCGCCTTGCCATTGGCCGCCAGCGATATGGGTGCGTGCTTCATTGTGGCGGGGACCTTGGCACCGGGAACGCGGGGGATGAAAGTGTACTTGTCGTCCTTGTCGGCCGGCAGGGAGGTGGCTGCGACGGCCTTCGAGGTCGGTGCTGCGCCCCACAGATCGTACGTCGCATCCTGAATCGTAACTGTTTCGGCGTGGTGTCCGTCGGCGACCTTCTTAAGGTGGGCCAACTCTTTCTGGGGCACGTAGTCTTTGCGCTGGCGCTTGGCGGTCAGGACACCGTCCGTCGTTTTGTTGCCGTTGTCTCCTGCCCGCTTCCGACCCGACACGGCTGGGACGGCCGACCGCTGTGCGAGAATCTCGTCGACTTTGAGCGTCTTTGTCTTCTTGGAAAGCTTCTTGGCGACCTCGAGGTCTCCCGTCTCTTCTATTTGGAAGAGGTCGGCCGATTCTGTCTCCTTCACCAAGCCACTGCGATGGGAGAACATAGTGTCAGCACGACGGGAGTATACAAACGGAGAGTCCTGCTTTTGTGTTTGTCCTTACCCCTTAATAATCTCTTCGTTACGCTCTTCCAGTCCCCGCTCCACCTCCGAGACGTCCACGTTTTTTCTCCATGCCTTTCTGCCCTTTCTCGACGGCTGCTTGTGTTGCTGCGGCGCCGAGTATGAGCCAGCCTTGGGTTGTATGACCGGCATCGCGGTGATGTGAGAGTCCCCTCGGTAATCGCAATTGCAAACTATGCCGCTCGTCGTCAAAATTGGATGGGATTGCTTAAAAAAAGGGCGTTGAAATCCTGTCTTCGCCGCTGCTGAGTTTGCTTGGTGTTTCTGCGTCTATCTCTGCGACTGCCCGTCTTTTTTTTCTGCCGGGTGGGGCTTCTAGAATTTTTGAGCCTTTTGCTAGCTCGATAAGAAGTTCAGACGATTTATCGCCACGTGATTGTCGTCGCTGAGGAATTAACGGCCAGTTCGGCATCCCTGGCGCGTCTTCACTGGCTCACTGGCTCAGTGGCCAAATCGAGGCCCCGAGTTTCTGTGTCAAGCCCAAGCCCAATCCAGACTCGCCTTTCCCCCCCTGCTCGCGCATGTTGGAATAAACTTTCGTCGACAGCGCCACAAAAGCGGTTGCCTCTTTCGACCTTTTTTTCCTCCTTCCTGTTCTTCGACGGGCTGCCAGTACTACTTTACGCTTTACGATTGACGATCCGACTGGCTCCTTCCTTCGATCTCGTCCGTCCGTTTTCTCTCCCTGCTCCTTCTTTTCTGGGGACTCCTGACCTCCCTTTCCGCATCTGCCTAGCCTTCTCCACAGTCGACGTCGACCAAAAGGGGCGCCATTGTGCCACCAAAACTTGTGCTGCTGTTTACCCCGTCTTAACGTTGTCACCAATTTCTGCTGCCCCGGGACCTCACTCGGCACTGCAGAACGACGTCTCGCACTCGACCTACTCTTCCTCTCGTTCCTTCGCACAACCCCCCTCACAACTGCAGTCATGGCGCAAGCCGCTGTGGGCGCGTCCTACAACAACCCGCTGAAGAAGTTCAAGTATGGAAGCCGTGGCAAGCGTTTCTTGAGCAGAATGAGGACAGTATACTGACTTTCTTCTTTTTGTCGCGCACCAGGCTGGTGTTCTTGGGCGAACAGAGTGGTATGTACACCGTGCTCGCCGCTGCAATTTTCAAAAGGGTGCCTTTGTTAGGCTGCTACCAAATGTCTGCGGTGATAGAAAAGACCCAGGACAAAGGCTAACCCGGGATTTATATGCAGTCGGCAAGACATCTCTGATCACCCGGTTCATGTACGACTCGTTCGACAACATGTACCAAGCGACGATCGGCATCGATTTTCTGTCAAAGGCAAGCAATCGGCGGTGTTGTGGCGTCCCGGCACTGGAATCGGCATCCGGCGGATAATATGGTATCATGGGCTAACTCGGGCGGCGCAGACAATGTATCTGGAGGACCGGACGGTGCGGTTACAATTATGGGATACGGCAGGCCAGGAGCGTTTCCGGAGTCTGATCCCCTCGTACATCCGCGACTCGAGTGTGGCAGTGGTTGTTTACGACATCTCGAGTAAGTCACGCATGCGCATTCCCCGGAAACAGTTACCAAACAGCTAGAGGGTGCTGACCGCTCGTCTACAGACGCAAAATCATTCCAAAATACGCGGAAGTGGATCGACGATGTCCGGGCCGAGCGCGGCAATGACGTTATCATTGTGCTCGTGGGCAACAAGACGGATCTGAACGACAAGCGTGAGGTCACCACGCAACAGGGCGAAGAGGAGGCCAAGAGAAACAACCTCATGTTTGTTGAGACAAGTGCCAAACTGGGGCACAACGTCAAACAGCTCTTCCGGAGAATAGCACAGGCCCTGCCTGGCATGGAAGGCACGGATGCTGCCGCGCAGGCGTCTAGTCAGAGTAAGTGACTTGTTCCCTTGTCTGGCTGCTACTTGTTGTCTCGAAGCAACCGTTTTGGCTAACCACTCATCCAGTGATCGATGTTCGGACAACGACTACCCCTACCAACCAAGACGGCTGCGCATGCTGAGCCAAATCAAAGCGTGCCGGGTCAACTGTTGTTGCATCGCATATACATAGCACTTGAGGGCAGGGTTGAACTACCGCACTTTTTCAACCCCAATCGCACAAAGTAAAGAAAACAAAACTATTCCCACCAAATCCATCAGTTCCGGCAGAGGTCATGCATAAATTAAACATTGTATAAGTAGCATGACAAACACCGACCAAGGGCGGTGAAATGCCGTGTGCTTTCTCTATAACTATACATCAGACGTCGCAGTCTTCTTTCGTTTCCCACTTAATAGCATTTTTTTTTGTTGAGATACGGCATTGTCACTACCGTTTCCTTTTGTTTATTCGTTTCTTGTATCAATTTATTCGTTTTCTCTAGTTGTAATCAAAGCCGGTGTGTTTGCCTTGTTTTCTAATATAACCAATATGGGCCTACCTCTCAATGCTCCAGGTAGACTATGTCTCTGTTCGCTCTCTTGACGTCTAATCCGGCATAACTCACACCCAAAAATTCATTTTCGCGCGATGCATCATACAGGAAGCAGCATTTATGCCTTGCGCACTTGCACACTGCCATCCGCCATGCCAAAGTACGCCGCGATCGGCTTCTGCGCACCGCCAGAAACGGCCTTGGTTTCCAAGCCGTTGAAGCCCGCGAAGAGGCCAGTCTCGACAATGCCGGGGATCTTGATCAGGCGATCGGCCAGGCCGTCGACCGTCCAGACACCACCCTCACCGTCAGCACGGGTCTCGTTGGGGTCCCTGGACAGCTGCAGGGGCTGGAACGGTGCATCGATCAGCCACATGCTGTTGTCCGTCACAACGGGGCCTGCCTTGCGCGGGACACCCTGGCGGATGACGGGCAGCTGTGCACCGATGAGAACAAGCTCGCTCAGCACGCGCTTTGCAGCCAGCGGCAGGACCTCAATGGGGATGCCCTGTTTCCAGGTCGTACCCAGGCGCGGCGACAGTTTGCGGTAGTCTGGTCGTGTTAACTGGGGTCTTCGCTCCACGGAAATACTGTACCATCATACATACCTGCTACGCAGATGAACTTCTTGGAGGCCGTGGCCACAATCTTCTCCTGGAACAGGCAGGCGCCGCCACCCTTGATCAGGTTGAGGTTCTCGTCGACCTCGTCGGCACCGTCGAAACAAACATCCAGGCGGCTGTTGAGCGGGAGCTGCGAGATGGAAGCGAGGCGCAAGTTGGCGTCCTCGATCAGGGCCCGAGACTGGTCGCCCGTCGGGTAGAAGATCATGTCACGGGTGGCGTCAGCACCGAGTGCGGCAATGGCCTCGACGATGTAGACTACGGTCGAGCCGGAGCCAATGCCGATGTGGCGGAAGCTGGGCTCGAGGTGCTCCTTGACGGCCAGGTAGGCGGCCGCCTTCTTGGAGCTCTCTATGAGATCGGCCTGAGAACTCATGGTGGCTGCAGACTGGAGGTTGCCGTAACGGGGGAGGTGGCGTGGAGGGGTTCGGAGTCGTTGCAAAGGACGGAATGACGACACCAAAGTTCTGGTGGTGTGTTTTGACGCGCTAAAATTTTGTTAAATCAAATATTAAATACATATGCGATATTTTTTTTTGCCGTTTTTCAATCCCAAAAGATGAAAATCAATTGCAATTGCAACAAAATGAAATAACCTGCATTATAAAAGCACGACTGCAATATTTTCCCATTTTCTTTTAACGAGCGTCGGAGACTAGACAAAAAAGTCACAACTCACCCGGTGGAACAACAGCTTAGAGTCTCTGCGATGAGGGGTCTTGATAATGCCGCAGAGTGATGTGAAACAGTGTTAAAGGTCGACAATTTGAGGCTGGCGGCTCTTGGTTTCATTGCTGGACGAGGCAAGAGAGATATCTCAAAAAATACAAGATCAAAACATTTGCGAGGACAATACGCTGTTCAATGTTCCTTCTGTTTAGAGGACGAGCATTCATCCACAGGTCAATTCTAGCTGTTGCTACTCTTTTGGTCGCGCTTTCCTGATGCTTGAGCGCGGCTGCAAGTTCGTAAAATCTGGGTCGATGAGTCAGCTTACTTCTTAGTTTAATAACGGTATGGGTACACCAATTTGGTACTTATAGTGTGTGTAATTAGGTACTGGTACCTGGGTCCTTTCTGAACCCCTTTTTCAAGTTTGCTGTTACTAAGGGTATCCATTTTTCCGCCGCAAAGACTGACGTTCTCCAAGACGCTTCGGACCGCGCGGACGAAGTCTCACGACACAATCGCCCATGACGGATTGCCGGCGTCTCGTTCTTTTTCCAGGTACACGGTGACGCGACGAGAAACGACCATGAGACTGCTGTACGCACTGCGCAGCCTACGGCCAAAATTGGCCAGGCCAAGGGTAAGGTTTGGCGCCGGACATTTTGCAATGTAGAAAATCCCCGTTGGAAACCCGGAGGCAGATATACCACCCGCACCTTGTGGACCGCGCCGCTTGCTAACGACACTCTGATGAATAGACCTTTCTTGGCTTTATTCCCATCCAGATGGGCACTGAGATCATCTCGGCCACGCTCTTCTTCAACAAGCTCACCGGCGCATACGGCCTGCTGGCCATCCTGACGGGTTACTCGTTGTCCTTCATCCAGCTTTCAGCATACTTGTACAATGTCGCAATCCTTGTTCTTCTCGCAATCTGCATCCCGCATATCCGCCGCGAAACGCCGTTGCCAAACCTGGTCCTCGCTTGGGCCTACACAATCGATACCCTCATCAATGCGGCGTACACGGCGACATTTGCCCTCCGATGGTACTTTGCATCGAGCTCGGCGGCGGTGGCGGCGGCGGCAACTTCGTCCGCAGCAGCTGTTGCATCAGCAGTGAGCACGTCCGTCCCGGCGACGATGGAGACGGCATCGGCGACCTCCGACGCGATAGTTTCAGCCACAGCATCGGCAACATCAACGGTGGCATCAACAGCGACGGCAGCGTCGATTTTGATCCTGCGTGACGATGCAATGGGGACGGCAACAGGGTCAAGTACGAGGGCCACGGCTATTGAGGCCAGCCCAAGCGCGGTTCCGACCGCGGGCGGCGGCGGGTGGATGGGTGCGCACGAAACGACAGCGAGCTTAGCGCTCATTATTCTCGTGACCGTGGTGCGCTTTTATTTCAGCTTCGTCGTCGTTGCACACACCCGGCAGGCTCTCCAGCGGTACGGCGACCATGTTGCCGAATCGGCCGCGGCCGCCGACGGCGCTCTCGACGACAGCGAAGAATACAGCGGCGTCGAAGAGTCCAAATACCACAACGGGGGAGAGGGAAAGAGCGAGCGCAACAATGACATTGACGAGGAGGAGGCGGGGCTCAAGCCAGGCTCACGGTCTACACGTGGCCGTCGCCACCGTCGGCGCAACAAGCCATCGACATTCCCGCGGCTGCGCCCACAGGCGCCGCTCCCGTCCAGTCCCAGTAGCACGAATCCGTTTGCGGAGGGCTCACCCGCCGGCGAAGGCTGGAAGGGGAAGCTTGGCCGGGCTCTGGTGGGGGTGGGCCGCAACTTCTGGCTCGGACGGCAAAAAGACGACGATTGGACGCGTGACGTCAACTCCCGCTTCCGGTCGTCGGCCACGGCGGTATAGACACTGCTTGTCGGGTCATGATGAGATGTGACGCGATCAACGCGGGGCCGACATGGAACGTACCTCGTTTGTATGTCGCTTTCCCCGATGCGACTAATCTACGTCGCGTCACGGAGGATGGGCCCGCAGAACGGGCTCTGCCCTTCACGCATTTACTTACATTTCTTTTGCACATTGCTCTTCTTGCTATTGGGTAGGGCTACGGTCAGCAATTGTACACAGCGACGGCGTTTGATCTTTTTTATTATCTAGACGGCCTGCAGCATTTTCACTACCACGGTGTATATAATTTTGATGGGCATACACAAATCCCGTTTAACGGATGTATATAGCGTTGGGTCATATTCCATATAAAGACTACTTTGTTTCACGTTGCAGACTGTCGTCTTACAAGTGGAAGTGTACTGTTATTGATTGTGGCTCTCATGAACAAAGCTGAGCTAACATGAGCTGGTAAAGATACCTATGGACATGCGTTCGACATGCCTCGGGGCTCAAAGTGCGGAGTGTCACACCCTACTCACCCCTAGCTTGTGTTACGTCGGCGGCGGCAGTCGGAGCACTCCATCCATGACTCGTCATTAAAAAGAATGACAGTCGGACCCACATCAAACAACTTCATTTCACGTGCGTCAACATTTGCAGGCAGGGAAAGGATGGGTATATATCAATTGATCAAGTCATTTTTATCGTAGATCTATCTATATATCTATATATCCTTTAAAATAACTAAACGAGTACATATCCACATAAGTGTTGGATTCAAAGCAGGCTGCTAAAACGTCAAATTCATCTGATATGTGGCGCGCGAGGTTCGGACGAAATGCCACGAGGCAGCCTCATGTTTATTACCAACTGTACCATCAGCATAGCACGGCGTGTCTAGATGGTGCTGAGTTATACGATAAAAGTTTTGAGGAGACGTCTATGGGAACTGTCCTGATGGTGTAAGTCACTTTGTGTGTTCGCTAAGATGTGCATTTTGCCAAACTTCAGCGCAATTTTGCCAACTGCACAGTGGCTCACTACACAGGGTCTCAGCGCGTTGCTGTCAACATGAAGTCTCACCGTTTCCGGCCATGCATTCCGGCGCCACTTGGACGAGAATTACATTCCCACCGTACGATCGTTCTTGCGTGCTTCTGTCTTTCGCATGTCGAGGACGGCCTTGGATTGTCACTGCGAAACACGCGGGGACTACGCGACGATACTCCGACTACGGCATTCGCTGTTCGGGATTTAAAGCCTGTAATTAGTGTACTGCAAAGCACTGAAGAATCGGACGAGCGTCTTCAGACAGCTTGTCATAAAGTGACGGGGACATATGTCGTATGTCAGTGATTTGCGAGAACGCTCATTGGCCACTTTCCATTTGTCCGCCTGTGGCTACGATGCGCTTGGCGGCACCTTGGGTCTTGAAGTTGAAAAAGGTGCGATCCCGACACGAGCATCTGTAAAGTTGAGAAAGGACCGGCGACGGAAGCTTAAATTGACATTTCCTTTGCTCCGCTGGAATGAAGCTTATTCCTTCCTCGTTCGTGCTCCGTGCGGCACCGTCAACATGTTTACCTCCTGCCAGTTCTGCCAGAGCCGTCGAAGACCAATGCCGGGAGCTCTTGCCCAAATGCGGCACTTTGCACGGTTGGTCCAGCTTTTCTATAGATATCAAAAAAAACCCTAAATCGGTGCTGGGGGACGATTTGCGCCAACCACGCTAGAGCGATCACGCAATCGGCGTACGTCTTTTGAATGGCCGATGGCCGATGAGCCGTCTTGCCGCCGTCGCAAACTGCACCCCAAAAAAATCGTCATGAACTGGAACTGCAATGACACAAGTCTATGGCCGTCACGTTTCCATGACTGGCCGCCTCCACCTCGACAGACTGGCCCACCGTTCTCTCCGTCGAAAGGAATTGCTAGACAGCGACAGCCGTCCCGGACTAGTCTGCCGTGCTTGCTTATTACGGTGCCAGGCTGTCGCAAAGGCAGGAGCGACCGATGGCGGTATTGATCATATGAAAGCAAAGCAATTAAATATTGGTCGATTGCCCAGTTACCCGGGGTACATGCGGCGTTGCATAACTGTTAGCGGCTACGGGGCAAGCTACCATTTTTGACTTTTTTTTTCTCTTTTGTTCGTGGTCTCTTTTATTGATTCTCTTTTTCTCCTCCCGTCTTGTGCCTGACTTCTGTTCCTTCCTTCCCCTCCTCACCATCCTTCCCTCCTTCCTCGACAGCCCGTTCTTCCCCCGTTGCCGTCACCAGGGAAGAAGAGAAGTCACACATCCGCCGCCACGATGGCTTCGTCACATCCAGTGAAGACTGCTGGAGAGGCCGGTAAGTCCTTCGAAAATACGGCGCACTTTATGCCCGGTGTCGGCATCTGCCTACGACTCGGTGATGGAGTTTGGCTACTGCAATTCGCTACTGGCTTTGGGCCGCCTGTCTGTCTCCTGTTTTTTGGAGCTTCTCCATCGTTCTTTCCCTGCGCAGACACCGGCGCTCATATCGACCAAAGAAACATGGAAGGAGCTTCGGCAGTTGTTTTGCTACTCGACAGCTGCCAGAACAGGAAGCCAGCCAAATCGTGTTACCGGAGGCATTTACGAAAATTGTCAACGACCCAGTAAAGTATACTAACAGAAACTTCAGTTGCGCGTATCGCGTACCTTGCCAGCGACGTCGTCGTCTCCGTCCAGCCGTCGCTTGCGGCCGACTCCGAGTTCTCGGCTACCCTCAAGAGCCTAGCGCAAGCGAAGACGGCGAGCATCGTCGCCAACTCAGACGACGGCATCACCGAGGTAAAAACCATTCTTCGTGCACCTTTTGCATAGCATCGACAAACGCAACGCCGAGCTAACACCGCTGCCAGATCCAATCCGTCCGTCACAATGCCGACCCTCTTCTCTCCGTCTTCACACCAATCCGTGCGGGGCGCCTGGTCTCGGTCACCACAAGCTCTGTTATCCTGCTGTCCTCGGTCGCCCGCCTCTACAAGCTGGCCAACTACCCCGTTGTCCTGCACGTCGCCCTGCACCCAGACAACTACCCAGACTACTCTGCTATCACGGCCGTCCGCAATGCCGGCTGGTCGTTCCTCCAGTCCGGCTCGCTCCAGGAGGCCCAGGACATGGCCCTGACCGCCCATGCTCTTGCCGTCCGCTCTGGCAAGGGTGTCATTCACTTCTTCAACCCTGCTGCCGTCGCCGAGGACAAGCCGATTGCCGCCGAGGACCACGACGTTGTCCTGGACGCTCTTCATATCGAGAGCGTCCGCCGCTTCCAGGCTGCCCCCATCCCCGGCCAGAGCGTCTACGCCGACGACGGCCGCATTGCCACCGTGTCTGAATCCGTCGAAGCTGTCGCCCCTGTGCCCGCTTCCGCTGGTCAGCTCACCATTCCCCTGGACGCCAGCACGTCCAAGGCCAACTCGTCTCGCGCATCCGTAAAATCGAGCGAGCAGAGCACGACGAGCTCGCCCCCCGCCACGTCGCCAGCCACCACGATAGAGCCCAGCGTTCCTGCCGTGACCTCGGAAGACATCTACCAGTATGTGTCGTCTGTCTGGAGCAAACTGGAGGCCGCCACTGGCCGCAAGTACAGCGCTTTCGAGTATGCTGGCCCTGCCAACGCCGAGAACATTCTGTTTGTCTTCGGCTCCGACGCTTCTCTGTTCACCAACCGTGACTTTGCCGCCAAGAACAGTACCGGTGTCCTGGTCGCGCGCCTGTACCGGCCTTGGCTGGCCGCCAAGCTGCTGGAGGTCATTCCCAAGTCGGCCAAGAGAATCGCCGTCCTCGAGCCGATCAGCCGCAAGACCACCAAGTGGGGCCCGACCCTGCTGGACGTTCTGACGTCTGTGAAGAGCGGCCCTGTTGGCGTCGAGACCATTGTCGGCTACCACCTCGGCTACCTGACGCCAGAGACCATCGACCAGGCCCTGCGCGGCATCCACCAGAACCTGACTGCGACCAAACCCATCCAGAACCTTGAGGTTGGCGCTCAGGAGGCTCCTGCCGCCGAGGGCTCGGATTACAACCTGGAGAAGCCCAAGGTTGAGACCGCTTATAACAAGATTCTGAACCAGCTGTTCAACGATCGCCTCTACGTGGCCAACGCTCTGGAGTCAGACAATGCCGGTGTGTCCAACACCATTGCCGCCACCCCCGAGTTCGGCTTCGGCTCGCTGCTTGCCCGCAAGGAGCACCGCCAGCGCTTTGTGGCTGACGTCAAGCGTGCTGCCGTGTCTGGCAAGTTCGGCTCGTCTGCGCCCAACTCCCTCCTGGCCCGTTGGTCGTCTGTGGCCGACGATGCCAGGAAGGCCGATGAGGTCGCTGAGGAGATCGAGACCCAGCTCGCTTCCGACAAGTCCGACGCGGCCCGCAGCCTGCTGGAGGCCAAGCAGTTTTTCCGCAAGGAGTCTCTGTGGCTGGTGGGCTCTGACGCCTGGTCCTACGATTTGGGTAACTCCGGCGTGCACCATGTCCTTGCCTCGGGCGAGAACGTCAACGTGCTCATCATCGACTCGACGCCCTACTCGGAGCGTGCAGCGGCCGACGCCAACCGCAGAAAGAAGGATATCGGCCTGTACGCCATGAACTTTGGCAACGCCTACGTTGCCTCCGTCGCTGTCTACAGCTCCTACACGCAGGTCCTGCAGGCCATGGACGAGGCTGACAAGTTCAACGGCCCGTCCATCGTTATGGCGTACCTGCCGTACTTTGGCGAGCACGACTCGCCCCTCACCATCCTGCGCGAGACCAAGACGGCCGTCGACCTCGGCTACTGGCCTCTGTACCGCTGGAACCCCGAGAACGAGGCCAAGGGCGAGCCCAGCTTCTCCCTGGACTCGGAGCGCATAAAGAAGGAGCTCAAGAGCTTCCTTGACCGGGACAACAAGCTCACTCAGCTCATGCAGAAAGAGCCCAAGTTTGCCGCCAGTCTTGCCCAGGACTTTGGCACCGAGGTCCGTGAGCAGCAGAAGAGACGCGCGCGCGACGCCTATAACGTCCTGCTCGAGGGACTGTTCGGCGCTCCTCTGACCATTCTGTACGCCTCGGACAACGGCAATGCCACCAACCTCGCCAAGCGTCTTGGCAACCGTGGCCGCGCGAGAGGCCTGAAAACGGCTGTTATGGCTATGGAGGACTACCCCGTCGAGGACCTGCCGGCAGAGGAGAACATTGTCTTCATTACGTCGACCGCCGGTCAGGGTGAGTTCCCGCAGAACGGTCGTCCCTTCTGGGATGCCGTCAAGGACAACACCGACCTGGACCTGGCCACTGTCAACTTCTCCGTCATGGCCCTTGGTGACAGCCACTACTGGCCCCGCAAGGAGGACCGTGTCTACTACAACAAGCCCGGCAAGGACCTCGATAAACTGCTCGCCAACTTGGGAGGCAAGCGTCTTGCCGACATTGGTCTCGGTGACGACCAGGATCCCGATGGTTTCCAGACCGGCTACCAGGACTGGGAGCCCAAGATCTGGCAGGCGCTCGGCGTGGACAAGGTCGAGGGTCTTCCGGAGGAGCCTCCACCGTTGACGAACGAGGACATGAAGATCCAGTCCAACTACCTGCGTGGTACCATTGTGGAAGGCCTGAACGACACGTCTACGGGTGCCATCAGCGCGTCGGACCAGCAGCTCACCAAGTTCCACGGTACCTACATGCAAGACGACCGCGACATCCGTGACGAGCGTAAGGCCCAGGGTCTCGAGCCCGCCTACTCGTTTATGATTCGGTGCCGTCTGCCGGGTGGTATCTCGACGCCGAAGCAGTGGATCCAAATGGACGACATTGCCAACGAGCTCGGCAACGAGACCATGAAGCTGACGACCCGCCAGACCTTCCAGTTCCACGGCGTCGTCAAGAGCAAGCTCAAGCCGGCCATGCAGGCCATCAACCGCGCCTTGATGACGACACTGGCGGCCTGTGGTGACGTGAACCGTAACGTCATGTGCAGTTCTCTGCCGACGCAGTCGGCCTACCACCGTGAGGTGTTTGCCAGCTCGAAGCTCATCAGCGACCACCTGCTGCCGTCGACGACCGCCTACCACGAGATCTGGCTGACGGATGACGATGGCAAGAAGACCCAGGTGGCGGGTGACACCGTGCAGGACTTTGAACCTCTGTACGGCCCTACGTATCTGCCCCGTAAGTTCAAGATCACCATTGCCATCCCGCCGCACAACGACACCGACGTCTACGCTCACGACATCGGCCTGATCGCCATCAAGGGCGCCGACGGTAAGCTAGCTGGTTACAACCTGCTGGCTGGCGGCGGCATGGGCTCGACGCACAACAACAAGAAGACGTACCCGCAGACCGGTCGTATGTTTGGTTTCGTCGAGACCAAGGACGTGCACATTGCGTGCGAGAAAGTCATGCTTGTGCAGCGCGACTTTGGAGACCGCAAGAACCGCAAGCACGCCCGTCTCAAGTACACCATTGACGACATGGGCGTCGAGACCTTCAAGGGCAAGGTCGAGGAGCTGTGGGGCAAGAAGTTCGGCGCCCCCAAGCCGTTCCACTTCGACTCCAACATTGACACGTTCGGCTGGCTGCGTGACGAGAAGGGCCTCAACCACTTCACGTTCTTCATTGAGAACGGCCGTATTGAGGACACCCCGACGTTCCAGATGAAGACGGGTCTGCGCGAGATTGCCAAGGTCCACAAGGGCGAGTTCCGCCTGACGGGCAACCAGCACCTGATCCTGAGCAACGTCGCCGACGAGGACGTGGACTCGCTCAAGGCGCTCATGAAGAAGTACAAGCTCGACAACGTGCAGTTCTCGGGCCTGCGCCTGAGCTCGTCGGCCTGTGTCGCCTTCCCCACGTGCGGTCTGGCCATGGCCGAGTCCGAGCGCTACCTGCCCGTCCTCATCTCGAAGCTGGAGGACTGCCTCGAGGAGAACGGCCTGCGCCAGGACTCGATTGTCATGCGCATGACCGGCTGCCCCAATGGCTGCGCCCGTCCGTGGCTGGCGGAGGTGGCCTTTGTGGGCAAGGCCTATGGCGCGTACAACATGTACCTGGGCGGCGGCTACCACGGCCAGCGTCTCAACAAGCTGTACCGCCAGAGCATTAAGGAGGACGAGATCCTGGCCATTATGAAGCCCCTGCTGAAGCGGTACGCCCTGGAGCGCGACGACGGCGAGCACTTTGGCGACTTTGTCATTCGCGTCGGCATTATCACCGCCACGCGGGACGGCAAGGACTTCCACGACGATGTGAGTATTCCGAACTAGCTTGCCTAACGTGCTGTTTTGCGATTCAGGTCATTGTGTACTAACATATCCTTTTGCAGATCCCTGAGGACGAGTCCGACGAAGAGTAAAAAGGTGGAAGAATTGCATAAAAAAGCACACACGGATGAAAAAACATTGGCACGACAGACCACATACATATTGTTGGGTTGGCATTTTGTGTCGGCGTTTTGTTTTCTATTAATACTGCGAATCGGGTTTGATAATTATACCACATTTAAAGCCTTTGAACAGATATAAAATGAGTGAGAGACCATAAGAAGCGTATAACTAGATAAAAGTATGTGAATGTGCAGACATTCTCTCCAGACATATCCATTAATTTGTGATATGTAATATTGATGACTTTACATTGTCGAATAATTTATGTTCGTTTTTATTATATAAAATGAGCCTTATTCATCGAATTGAAAGAAGAAGTAAGCTTACCATTTACAACGTCCAGTACGCCCCCGAAATGTCCAGCTCGTGTTCGGCCTATCACTACGTTGTCAAGACGTCGTCGATATTCGCCTCTTTTGTCGGAATTCATTTGTTCACGACAAACCCAGTGGAATTCGCGTGTTATGTCGTATTTTTAGATCTTTTCGTAGATGGGCGTTCTTTTTTGTTGTTCCAAGCTCGAAAAAGTGGAGCCTATCGGGGCGGCTAGGTAGCGCAAGCATGTTGCGGCATCCTTCCCAATTGGGGCGTCTCCCCAGCAACGGCCATCAACATTCTGTTGCGACCCCCCATTCCCGGTCGCACCTGCTCTCAAAACAAGTGAGATCTTGTTTGGTGTCTGTTTCTATAGCTGAACTGGGCATGAACGAGAACACAAGAAGGGCAACAGGACAGCTCCCTCTTTCTTTCCGCATTTACCAGTAGTCTGCTCTTTCCTGCTCGGGCCACTTCTTCTTCACCCACCCTCTTTCCCTTCTCCATAGACACTTTGTTTTGCTTCATTCAATTTACAGTCAGTACTTTTGAGCTTCAAGCTTTTTTGAAGATCTTGACGGGCATTCCGCGAATTATACCGTAGGTTCGCCTCGCGCCCCAAGTACCTTTTGTTGTCGGGCTCTGTCGATCACTACGACTAACCTTTCATTAGCGGAGCGAGCAACATACCAAAGAACCACGAGAGCTGCTCTTACGATTCTCTCTACAACATTAAGAGCACAGAGAACGCACACAGCTCTAAAGTACGATTCCTTCGCGAGAACGATCAATCTATAAAAACAACACAGATCCATCACCGATAAACGCGATGGATCCCGGCACGCCCTCGCGTCCGCCGGACTACTATCTCGGCTATACCGGAGACAGCGATAGTCATGGCGCGCACGATTCTCTGACGGGAGCAGCCACGACGCAATCGCACACAACATCGACAAACCCTGCCGCTGTGCGTCTCCTGACTTCGATGGACGGAGGTGGCACGCTCGACGACGACGCCCTGACGCCTCCTTCTCTGCGCACTTCTGGCGCCCAGTCTCTTCACCGTGGCAGCATCTCAGCAGTGCCGCCTCAGCTCCCCGAGATTCGTCCTCTGGGATCATCGACGTCGTATGTCAGCTCAACAGCTTCTTTCCTTACTTCTCCTGCAGCGCGAGCTGCTGTTGCTGCTTCAAGCACCTCTCCCCTTTCCCTCCCCAGCAAAGTGGCTGCCGCTGTATCTACGCTGGAACAGCGCGAACAACGCAAACGTCGCCAACAGAGAGAGCAATGTGGACGACTTCAAGAGGCGAACGTGCCTCCTTTTGGCGGACATGAGCAGGCAGTGGGCGCACCGCACAAGACTGTCAAGTTTGTTCAGGACCAGTGTTCGTCTCCCACCAGTGTCGAGGCTCTTGGTGCATCTACCTGCCCGTCTCCGTCTCTCCAACGGCGGCCAGTGGCTGCCCTTGGAAGGGGAAGGACACCGACCATTAAGCTGCAACGAAAGATGCCGAACGGGTCCCGCCTAGAGCCTACCAAATCTGTGTCTGTGCCACGTCCCCTTATGCCACAGAGTCGAGGTACAGCAGGCCCTCCTCAGTTGCCTCCTCTCTCTGACGGTTCAACTGCGGGATTGGGTACCCTGTTCGGCAACGTTGACTTGCTTGACAAGGAATCATTCATCCCTCAAAGTATCCTCGATGGCAGAACCAGAACACATACACAACACAATGCTAACGCAGACAGACTTCGCTTCTCAGCTTCACAGGACACCTTCCAGGTCTCCACGAGTCCCAATCGTTCATCCATCGATCCGCCCATCATGATGCCACCACCGCCAGACTCATCGTACTCGCCTTTTCGCGGAGTGCGCGGAGACTTGCCTCGCTCAACTTCGCCTACGCGGCCATGGACGCCGTCACGCCGTAGTTACGCCAGTAACATGGCCCAGCATGCCCACTCAAACTCATTTTCCCCGGCACAGGCGCCCGAATATACCCGAGTACCGCCTTCTCCAGCGCAGTATGAATCTGCCGATATCAATGGAAGCCCGCGTCCTGGAACGCCGGCTTCTCAGTACGGAGGAAGCCCCCGTCGGCCTCTTCCACCGGCCCCACTTTTCTCCACAGCTGGTGGGAATGCTCGGACATCTACTTTTGCCGACGATGCGACTGTTTCCATTGCTCTGGGTGATGAAGGAGACATGAGTGAAATCACCGGCGTCAGCTCAGCTTACACTAGGCATAGCCAATCACACCGGCCACGCGGTAGCAACGCCTCATACCGGTACGAGGCTGCGAGCAACATGGACGATGAAGGTGATGATGATGACGTGTTCCGACCACACTCCGAGGTGTCTGGTGCCAGTCGCAGCCGCCAGACAATGTACGGCAACAACTTCTCCCAAGTCACGCTGAACGATCCTGAAGCGGGTGGCGATGACGAAGATGGAGGAAAAGATATCGGCGATATGTACGCACACAAGAACGGTGTGGATGACGACGGCGATGCCGACAGCGACGTGAACTACAGAAATGAAAAAGTTGAGCACTACGGTCCCGCGCCCGAGGGTCGGCAGGAGCGTCGCGGTGTTCGGGAACCTCACATGAGCAAGAAAGCCGTCCAGCTTATTAATGGTAAGCTGGTCCTTGAATGCAAGATCCCGACTATCCTCTTCAGCTTTTTGCCCCGGAGAGACGAGATCGAGTTCACGCACATGCGGTACACGGCCGTGACCTGCGATCCGGACGATTTCGTTGAGCGCGGATATAAACTCCGTCAGAGCATCGGTCGTACAGCTCGCGAGACGGAACTTTTTATCTGCATTACGATGTACAACGAGAACGCCTACGACTTCACTCGGACGATGCACGCTGTCATGAAAAACATTGCTCACTTCTGTGGCCGCAACAAGTCTCGCACATGGGGCGAGAACGGCTGGCAGAAGATCGTGGTATGCATCGTCTCCGATGGTCGTGAGAAGATCCACCCGCGCACGCTTGATGCTCTTGCAGCTATGGGCATCTACCAGCACGGCATCGCCAAGAACTTTGTCAACCAAAAGGCAGTCCAGGCCCACGTTTACGAGTATACGACACAGGTGTCTCTGGACTCTGACCTCAAATTCAAGGGTGCTGAAAAGGGCATTGTTCCGTGCCAGATGATCTTCTGTCTCAAGGAGCGTAACCAGCGGAAGCTCAACTCCCATCGTTGGTTCTTCAACGCATTTGGCCGCTCGCTCAACCCCAACGTCTGCATCCTCCTGGATGTTGGTACTCGGCCCGGCAACAACTCCCTCTACCACCTGTGGAAGGCCTTTGACACGGATTCCAACGTCGCTGGCGCTTGTGGTGAAATCAAGGCCATGAAGGGCCGCTTTGGAGGAAACCTTCTCAATCCGCTGGTGGCATCGCAAAACTTCGAGTACAAGATGAGCAACATCCTGGACAAGCCACTGGAGAGTGTCTTCGGCTACATCACAGTGCTTCCAGGTGCTCTGAGTGCGTACCGCTACCACGCCCTGCAAAACGACGAGACCGGCCACGGCCCCCTCAGCCAATACTTCAAGGGAGAAACCCTCCACGGCCAACATGCTGACGTGTTCACTGCAAACATGTACTTGGCCGAAGACCGCATTCTCTGCTGGGAGCTTGTAGCGAAACGTGGCGAGCGCTGGGTCCTGAAGTATGTCAAGAGCTGTACTGGCGAGACTGATGTTCCTGATAGTGTACCGGAATTCATCTCGCAGCGGCGACGGTGGCTGAATGGTGCCTTCTTTGCGGCTGTGTACTCACTTGTGCACTTCAAGCAGCTGTGGTCAACGGATCACACGATTCCCCGCAAGATTCTGCTGCACATAGAGTTCTTGTACCAGCTTCTCCAACTGCTGTTCACGTACTTTTCCCTGGCCAACTTCTACCTCACATTCTATTTCGTCGCCGGTGGTCTAGCCGACCCGACTGTGGACCCCTTTGGTCACAATATTGGATTGTACATCTTCACGGTTCTCCGGTATACTTGCACCCTCTTGATCGCTACCCAGTTTATTTTGTCTCTGGGTAATCGTCCCCAGGGTGCCAAGAAGCTGTACATGACCAGCATGATTGTGTACGGCATCATCATGGTCTACACGACGTTTGCGACGCTCTACATTGTGATTCGGCAACTGCGCGACTCTAGCACCGTCCTAAAAATCGGCAACAACGTATTCACCAACCTCATTGTTTCTACGGCATCGACAGTCGGACTGTACTTCTTCATGTCCTTCCTGTATCTCGACCCCTGGCACATGTTCACGTCGTCTGCACAGTACTTTACGCTTCTGCCCAGCTATATTTGCACACTCCAAGTGTACGCATTCTGCAACACCCACGATGTTACCTGGGGTACAAAGGGCGACAACGTGCTCAAGACCGACTTGGGTGGCGCTGTGGGAAAGGGTAGCACAGTTGAGCTGGAGATGCCGTCCGAGCAGCTGGACATTGACAGCGGCTATGACGAGGCCCTGCGGAATCTGCGCGACCGTGTTGAAGTCCCCCCGGCCCCCGTCTCCGAGGCGCAGATGCAGGAAGACTACTACAAGAGCGTGCGGACGTACATGGTCGTGACATGGATGATTGCCAACGGCATCCTGGCCATGGCCGTGTCTGAGGCGTACGGCTCCAGTGGTATCGGCAACAACTTCTACCTGCGCTTCATTCTTTGGTCTGTAGCGAGTCTGGCACTGTTCCGTGCGATTGGCTCGACCACTTTTGCTGTCATCAACGCGATCAATGTCATTATCGAGGGTCGCATTCGTTTGTCGCTCAAAGTGCCTGAGTGGATTGGTGGCTTCGGCTCAAAGATGAGCGAGACGATGAGCAGCATTGGTAGCAGCGTGCGGAGATGATGCTGTGCGGCGAGCTGAACAATTTTTAAATGATTTGTCTTGGGTCACTATTGGATTTCTTTGATACCTTGGGACGTGACTGGGCTGGAAGTAACGGAACGAGATGAGTAGATTGTACGAGTACGAAGAGCTGGAAAGGGAAGAGAGGTGGATGCTACGATTGGGTTTTGTTTTACTCTGCCCTTGCAAGGCAGAGCCTCCTTCTACGAGAGTGGCTCTATGTTTGGGACAGGCGTTTGTTTTGATGTTTCTGCATTTTTTGATATTTGTTGTTGGATTTTCTTGATAATGTGTGAAATGCTGTGAAATTGGATCTGCTTCAATATGCTCTTTGTGCCCATTTTTTATTACCCGCTCATTGCTCATGACTGACTTCATTTGATGGACACCGGCTTACTGTGCCCAGATTTCGTCCCACCGCCGTCGGTCTGTCCGCAGCGGACCATCCAAGCGGCCAAAGCGCGCCGCCGACGTGGTGTTCGCCTCTGGAAGGCACACCCACTCCCGAACACAGTCGGGCACCTCCTCCTTGACGTGTGCAATACAAATCAGCGCCTGCTGGTCCGTCAAGCCGTGTACCTGCACCTTACCCTGCTTGGCCGCCTCGCTCTTGACGATCTTGTTGTCCGCCGAATACGTCGCCGTCTCGCCGTGGTTGAGGAAGAGCTCGCACTTGTCCCGCACGCTCTCGTCCATGCCGCTAAAGGCCTCGTCAAGAACGACAATGTCGGGGTTCTTGACGACGGCACGGATGAAGAGAAGCACGCGCTGTGCACTAAACGACAGCTCGCCAAACAAGTAGTTGTCGGCCCACGCCAAGTCATTGGCATCGCTCTTGCTCGCCGCCGGGACGCTGCTGCCACCACCACCACCGCTGCTGGGCTGCAATTCCGTCGCGAACCACCGTAGACATGCATCCACTTTGCCAGGGGCGTTGGGAGCCAGCTGCGGCCTGGCACGGAACGTGTCTGCCCAGGCGCTCTGCACGATCTGGCGCACAGTCAGGCCGCGCGGCATGTGCTGGTGCACTTCGGGGCTGGAGTGGCCGACGCGGGACTGAATGTCCCAAAAGGTCAGAGGCCGTCCAGGACGGTCGGGTTCGGGCAGGCGGCTGCGACCAAAGAGGCGGATGGGCAGCGAGTAGGTCTGAGGGTGGTCGGAGCACAGCAGGGAGACAATGGTGGTCTTGCCGGAGCCATTGGGACCAAACACGCCCCAGCGCTCACCACGCCGGACGGTCCAGATCAGGCCTGGAACGGTCGAGCCATCGGCCACCGGTTGCGACCAGTTGCCGAGCGCAATGCGGTCACCATACTTGACGACGCAGCCGTTCATCTCGACAATCGGCTCACCCTGAGCGGCTTTTATCGGTTGTGACGATGTCGACTTTGGCACGTCCGCCGAAGCATGCGTGCTGTGGCTCGCGTCGTCGAAACCTCTGCCTTCGATGCCGCTCGGCGTGAGAATGCGGCCCATCTCGCCGAGCGCGTGCACAGGCAGTTTCTCGTCCTCGGCCGTCTTGCCGCTGCGCACACCGTGCACATAGTTGCGCAGGGTCTCGAGCACAACATCTCGCGGACCCATGGCGCCCACTTGGCAGTCGGTGCGCAGGTAGATCAAGTGGCTGATCCACGACGGCAGAGGATCTTGCGGGCGCGAGCTGAGAACAAAGCGCGGCTGCGCCTTGGCAGCCATACCGCTCAGCAGCGGGCTCAGCGATGCCACCGTGGGCGGGTCGAGGCCCATGAATGGTTCGTCGAGCAGCAGGACGGCCGGGCGGGTCAGCAGTGCACGTGCAATCCGGGCCCGGCGGCCCTGGCCATTGGACAAAAAGGCAACGGGCAGCTCGAGAAGGGGTTCGAGCCGGAGGTCTTTGATGACGCGGTCGAGAAGACTGGCAGGGATGCGTTCGTCTTCCTCGCCGGCGGCCGTACTGCCCTCTCCGTGGTACGGGTTCAGCTCGGTATTACCGAGGAGGAAATCGCGAAGCGAGAAGTCCGTCGTTTCTCGCCGTGACTCATACCGGGCAGACAGGTACGCAGACGTCGCCGGTCCGAGACCGGAGCCACTGCCGTCGGCGTCGAAGCCGACATAGCGGATGGCACGCGAGGCGCTCTTGAGACGGTGCGGCACACTGTCCGTCGCCAAGAACGGATAGGACCGTGCGGTGGGAGGCAGGCAGATGTGCTGGCCTCGCAGGGCCTGGAGCAAGGTTGTCTTGCCGGACAGAGACGGTCCCACAACGCACCAGTTGTGAGGCGTCAGATGGCCGCGACCTGCACCACCGCCATGGGCCGTATCGTCCGAAGGGAGCTCAAAGTCTAGATCAGAGAACAAGGGTGCATTGTGGTGAGCAATCCCACTTGCACCGCCTGACAGATCACTGACAGGGACAGAGTTTGGGTGGTGCCGGTAGAATGTGCCTTTGGCGATGCGGATGATGAGCGGCCGCGCCTCTATGAAAGAAGGCATTGTGCTGGCCTGCTTGTGGTATATGACGCCAATTAGGACGTATATAACAACAAGCGACCAAGGAACAGGAATTTGAGTTGTTAGATTAAAAACAAAAATGTTGTCCACAAGTCATGGTCACCAGAGTACCATCTTGAAATCTGCTGGTGAGAATCGGCATCTCTTATATCAAATCGGTGTACGGTCTATCGCAAAAGAAGCGCTGTCGTCAACTGAGCTCCAGGGGTCTTCCCCCTCACACTGCACTGTAGCTGCACGCAGTCCGGGGACGCTAAGGGACCTCCGTGCCGTTAAAAGTGTCATGTGAATAGTCACGTGTTGTTATCAGCGTTGTGAGCTAATCTCTCTGATTGGTTGAGAGGACGGCGCGGTACGAGCTGCGACAGCAAGCTGCAGCCTGCCTCCACGCCTTGTCTTAAGCAATCCAACCAACCTCATTGCATCACCCACAACATTACGGCGTCGTTCCTTCGAAGCAACACCTTGTCTCGCAGTCTCCAACCTTTCTTCGGAGTAATCGACAACGTCCAATTCATTGTCGCCCATCTGATCTGCACCACCGACCACTTCCGCCTTCCTCCGCCTCCCTTAAGATGGTATGTCTCTCTCGTGATCGATGCATTTGTGCACTGTTTGCATCGACGAGACGCTTCCCTTGGTCGATGTAGTCCGGCTACGCCTTGTCTGCCACCTTTTACAGCTCTACTAACACACCGGTCCTTCTCTCTAGTCTCTCCGCATCGTGCCCGTCGACGCACATGCCGACTCCTTTAGCCATGTCGCCTCCCGCGAACGGGGCGCCCCCTCTGCACCGGGTGTCCACGACCTGATGCGCCATGGTGTCGGCCCCAAGGTCGCGGCCCCCTCTGCCGACCTGTCATCGAAAGCCGCTGCCACCGGCGCCGCCGCGCCGCAGCTCGACTCCGCCCACCCTCTCGAGGCCCGCCTGAAGCAGTGGGAGGTCACGCGCGAGAACATGCGCATGGAGATGCTGCGGCGGACGTACGGCGTGGCTGAGCCGGTGCGCCGCGGGATGGAGCTCAAGATTACGCGCGACGGCGAGTGGCGCCCACTGGCGCTGGGCAGCGCGGGCCCAGGTAGCGCTCTGCTGCCGAGCGTGCACGAGGACATTCTGCTGGGCCGGGACACGACGGTCGACTGGGAGGACATTTACACGGGCGAGGAATCGCGGGCGGTGCCGACATTCCACGAGGAGATGGAGCGGAAGCTACGGATGTGAAAAAGGTTGACTTACTGTCAATAACGGATAAAGCGGAGGACGGAAGGCAACACCGGCTTCATTATTTGTGCCGTTCTGTAACAACACATTAGGGGCTCATACAATACACATTTTATCGCGCTGATGCAATCTGCTGCACAGGCCTCGTTTTACATGATGTTTGATGAGAGGGAATGTAGTGAACCAAGACAATACCGTCTTCGTTTATTATATTTTTTATACCGTGAGAACGATGTACAAAAGACACGGTCGGAAATGGGGCGAAGGCTGTAAACAAGGCAAGGAGGGGACCACTGGGAACACCAACAGGTCGGAGGGAATTGTAAGCGATGATATTGAGAAAAGACATGCACGTGAAGACATATAATAATAATGAAGGCGGAAAAATATACATGAACAAAGCCGTTGAAAATGAATGCCAATATAATAGGAGAAACCAAGCACGACAAAAACAAGTGCCAGCAAATCACAAGAAATCACAAGACGCCCGGCATCTCGTTCCCCCACCCCCCACGTAAAAAAGGGTTGGAACGATTGCCCAAAATAAACAAGAGGCTGGCAAACTCCTGAAAAACATGTAGGCAGACAGTAGGGGCGAGGGGCGGATTGGGTGGGCGACAACAGGGGGGGGATGGCCATGGTAGGCAGCTCTGGGCGGCCCCAGCCCGTGGTATTAATGAACGATTCGAGACATGACGGCCTCGTCGATGTGTGTATACGCTTGCGCGCACGCATGTGTTTCGTATGTATGTATATGCGTGTGGCAGCTTGCGTAGGCGGTAGGAAGAGACAAAAGCAAAAACCGCTGAGATCTGTTTATAAGATAACACAGCAGCCGGAGCCGCCCTCTCTCCGGCGCGCTTCACGCCCTCCGCTGGTGTTCTTAGCAGCCTCCTCGTCCTCCATCATCTCTGGCGGCTTGACAGACATATGGACGACGTTTGGCGAGTCGGTACTGAAGTGGTACTCTGTTGCTTGGTTAATCTACTGGGCAACCGGAAACAGGACAATGTAGAAAATACGTACTCTTCAGCTGCTCTTTATCGTCAAGCAGTTTGCCGAAATGAATCAATCTTATGCTGCTCGGGCTGGCCGGCTTGCTCTCCCAGTCCTCGCGCCACTCGCGAAGGATCAGCTCTTTCAATTTGTAGACAGAAACGCTGAATGGATCTTTGAGACCAGCTTCGGTCACGTCGGGCACCTCGACACCACGCTTGGTCAAGTACCGGTCGTCGATCTTGAAGGGATGGCGGTTGCCCGTGGGCAGAAGGAGTGTGATGTTGCAAATGAGCGCACCGCTAGCTGACGTTACAGGGGCGATTTCGTCGTCCTGGTTTAGAGCCTGAGAGTTGGATGTGGTCGAACGTAAAACGGCTGCCGGAGGCGGCCTTGGCGTCTCAAAGAAACCGCCCCCTGACGTCGATTCTCCCGCAGCATCTACCGAGCTCTCCGCTGCTCGTGCCTCAGCTGGTGCGGCAGCCGTGTCTGCCGCCGCGCCTTCGGCGTCGCCTTCAGCCTTTGTCTCTGGAATCGTCGTAGCCGCTGCTGGCTCTGCTACTGCTTCAGCTGCCGGCGCAGCTACGATAGCGTCGGCGTCGGCTTGTAAAGAGGACACCCCGGCCTCAGCAGTCTCCTGTACCTTCTCCTGTGCAACCGTAGCCGCACCCTCATTTGCACCGCTCATTTTCGCTGCAGTCGCTTCCGCCATTGTAAAGGTCGGCTGTGTCGGGACGAAAACAAAGAACCAATGCCGAACAGGTCAGGGATAATGCACAGGCACCGTATCGATGAAACGGAAAGTATGCCACTGGACAGGAATCAAGAACGGATCGGTCGTCGATATCGTCTATGCTAGCGATTGGATCTCGATGCTTCGCTGTCGATATCAAGATGCGTACGGGAGATACGACGGCGGCAATACCCGACGTATTTCAGACGATGTCCACAGATGGACGATGGTCGAAGGACGATGCAGCACGATTCGGCTGGTACGCTTGGTGGTCGGTCGAAGTCTGTAGCGCCAGCGAGCTGCCCATTGAAATGGTCACAGTGGAATAAAAAAAAAAGTTCGGTCGATCGCGTGGCTAGAATGAGGTGGCTAGGGTGTTGTAAAGAACGTGGCCTGGCCGTGATTCCTGCGGATGATGCAGACGATGTATCCTATTCCCGTGTGAAAGGGCAACTCGCCGTTCTCCGTAGCGAATGATACAACGGCTCTCTCTTAAGGGGTTGGGATTTGGCGTTGCTTGGTTAGCAGGCCGATAATGCTTTTTGTTGCTCTACCACACGCTTGCAGCGAAAACAGAACAGGCGTTGGAAATGAGACGGAGTGGGTTGCGAGTATCGTGGCGGAAGAAACAATACAATGGCGCCGTGGTCATCCGAGACAATGAATAAAGATCGATGGTAGAAAAAAGTTTATTAACAGGAGGAGGTTGCGTCGGTGCCGTCTGTTTCTCCTCGAAATTGGGGGAAGGAAGGGGAATCAATGGATGGGGAGGCAAGCGAGTCCAGAAAGAGACCAGGGAAAGGACAACAGAAACCGGCTAACGGAAAGAAGAATCAATGACAACTAGTGGTTCGCCGTGGAGGGAAGGAGCGAAGAACGGGGTGAGTGCACAGGGCAATATTGCACACTGTGTAGTCTGTTGGCAGGTTCCCGGGAATTGACTGGCAACATCATCACAACGCCCGAGGCTTGGCCGAGCGGTCCGGAAGGGCTGGCACCTGTCAAGGCCATAGTCAGGGCAAGGCTACAGGGGCGCTACAGGGGCGCTACAGGGACGTGCCAGCAACGATTAGGCCTAGGATGCACGTTACAGGCACCCAGCTAGCGCTATTCCACGAAAGGAGGTGTCGGACTGTGCTCTCAGCTATTGACAACAGGCAATTACGCCGAAGAGACGGGGAAGGAGCGTATGGACACAGGTAGTGCCGGGAGCACAAGCAAAAACAAACGAACGATGGCTGTAAAAGAAGGCGCGTCTGAACCCTTTATGTGCGATTTCGCGATTGCTGGGAAGGTGCAGAGGACTTGTTTTCGATTGGAGATGCTCGAACTGAACTGGTTGTGGCGAACGGAAGGAACAGGCGACACTTACATCCAACACTCTCACAGCGCAAGGCAGGAACGGCGGACATGTTTCTTAGCACTGTGCAAGCACGGTGGCCTGACTCAGTCTAATGAGCGCTGAAAGCAACGTTGAAGGGCGTTGATCCGTAGATGCTGCCAGATGGGAATTTTCTTTGTTTCGCTTAGAGCCCTCCGTAAATGGATGGCTGTTCAATGGCAAAGCTGCGCCCGCTGCCCCGTCGTTGTTGTGAGAGGCAGCACGTCGCTTTTGCCACTTCTGTGAGAGGATGTTGCGGTTTGTGGTTTCTTGGCTTTCCGTCTGTATCGTGCTTCTCCGGCATTTGGCAACAAATTGAATCTGCACTGCGTTGCGCCTTCCATTTTCGTACAGTATCAATCACCAGGGCACAATCAAGCAGTCCACCGGGATCCCGGCTTTGCCCTCCCAGCCAAGAGGCAAACTGCGCAGCACTATGCAAGATTTGCAAACCTTACTGTCCCGCTGACACCCCTTTACGAAATACTCTGGCTGGCTTCCTCCTGTTTTCTCACCTGTATTTACTGCCTCTCCTATTTGTCATGGGCGCGCAAATCGTTACCAAAGCCCGGGCGCGATATTTCCACATACACAGCCTACCGGATACGGCATCGCACATCGAATCACCGAACGACCGCCCCGTGGGTGTGGTTTGTGCTGACGATCAGCCTTGCTGGCCATCCGCCAGGCCACGCCTATGACGTATATTGTGAGATGGTTAAGTTCTACGGAGAATTGCTCCGTATGTCGCAGCACTTCTCGTGTTGAACAGTCCCCGGGAAGACGTCCTTTTGGTTTGTTCGATTGGCGATCCTCTGCTTTTTTCTATTTTCTATTCTCGCTTCTCATATCTTGACGTTACTACTTTTGTCCTCGCTTGCCCAATCACGAATGTTCCCCACCGACGCTGTCCACCACATCAAAAAACGTTGCACGGGCACTGCAACAGCCACCTGGGCGGCTTCGGACTGCTAATCGGCAGAGTCATTATGGAACGCCGTCTCTATCTTCGCATCCGGCGGCAGGACAAGCCGCTCTCCCTATTCCATTTTCAGACTGCCATTCGACGGCCCTATTGTGACAGAACACAAGACTTAGGTCCACAATTTCTGGGGCTTATCGGTGCTTGGGATCCGGGGAAGTACTGTAGTTGATGGGTACCAACGCCTACCTAGATAAACGGCCGCTGATGAACGTCGTGCAAGTTTGATGGAGATAATGACACCAAGATATACATTTTGAGTCGGATTTTCTTAACTGAAAACGGTACGGTCTCTTATCTTTGTATCTTGATTTCCCCGTCTAATTTTAAGGGTGCTGTAGATAGGAATGTCGCCATTTATGTCGTCTACTTGCCCTCGAGACATCACACGACCCTTTTCATCCGTCTAGCTGCTTGCGTGATATCGCGCGTTATTGTCACCACCCCACATCAATAACTGGTAGAATGCTTCTCTATTCTGTTTTGTCTCCATGTTTGGTTTGCACGGCGGCCTGGCCAGATGCGGCCCCAGGCGCATATTGCAATGACTACAACATGCCCTGCAAAGCCAATAAAATTTGTTCACCATGCTTTCCCAGCTCGAAGCCATCGTAAGTGCCCCTTTCCCATCAAATCAGACGGGCTGCACATAGACTCAGCCGCGTGGACTAAACCAGGGTATTCATACACCGCTTCGCCGTTCTGAAAAATACTTATCTGAAGGCTTCATGCTGTAGTTCGGTGCTTAACTCTAAAGTCCAGTCCAATGACATGACCAGCCGTATGTTCCCTGTGCATCTTGTTCATACTCACATGTGGTTCAATTTGTTGACAGTGTATTAACTTTGATACTTAAAAGATGCAAGATGAATATGAGCGTGCATATTCATATATCTATTCATAATAAAATTAGAACCCATCATTGGTGTTTGTGAAATTAGCAATGTATAATTCACGTTGGGAGAAAATATATCGAGGATGCCTTTGGTATTCATTTAGTCTTCGTGTATTTACTTGATGTTATCTGTAACAATTTCAAACAGAACTCAAAGTGGATTAAATTCAATGAAAGCGCTCACAGAAAATTAAACGAGAGAGACGTTCTTGTGCGTACTTAGAAGGAATACAACAAAAGTAACCGTTGTATCCTTAAACTTTAATTGTAACTGGCGGTTGAGGTTCGCCATCTTTGTATCACGATCATGTATCCTCTCTCCACGGACTCGCTATTTTTAAAGATATCGATACGCAGCGACCAAAAGTACGCTCATACTGAAATGATGTACAGCAAGTACATTGTCCGGGACTACCTAAGCGGAAATCGCATTCACAACATCGCTCCTTCCGTTTTGGTGGCAATGGCAGGCCTCGACTTCCTGCCCATCGCACCTTCCTCACAAGTGGATGCAGGCATTGTTGCTCTGGCAAACGCAAAAATTACACTATTCAAATATTTAAATTTCTGGCCGCCCAAAAAATACTTCCCTCTCTTCTTTTCTCTTTCTCTCCTCTTCTGGATTTCTCCTTTCTATCAACAACCGCCCGACATCTAGCGCTCCTATACGCGGACCTTATTTGGACATCGCAGTATTCCTCCCATATCAAGAGGTGTCACCGTTTCTAATACAAACAAACATCAACAGCTGGTGAGTTGGTATTCAGAAGCCTAGCCCTGGCCTGCATGAAACCCATCACCACGATTTAAAAATACTCTCATCGCACCTCGTGACGTCCTAGTTGCTGACTACAAAATCCAAATCCCAGATACAAAATCAACCATCCATCCTGACCACCATGTTTATCATCAAGGTGGCGAAGCTGGGGGCCTTGGCTCTCCTAGCCGTTAGCCGTGTCAAGGCTGACGATGGCGGTGACTGTACCGTCGGTCTGTAAGTGACAATGATTCGATGCAAATCCGTCACGACGAATGCTGTTAACACTCTGCCTCTTAGCGACTTGATTACCCGCACTCTTGGCCACATCACGTACACCCTTCTTCGACCGGACACGAGCAAGCCCTGGGAAGAATTCATGGAGGCGACGGACATTGCCCTCGCCGTGGCTGAAACTGGCGCCGTTACCGCTACTGTTACTGAGACGGCCACGGTGATCGAGCCTGTCAAGAAGGTCGTGACTGTCACTTCTGTTGAGACCGTGACCAATGTTCAGACTTCGGTGTCGACTTACACCGAGGATATCACCGTCTCCTACATTGAGACTCTCACCAGCTACAGCACTACCACTAACACCGTTTCTCCCCTGGCCGCTACGACCCCTGGCATCCCCGTTGATATGAAGCTTGCGAAGCGCGACATGACCACCGTGACTATCTATGGAGGCTATGGCAACCCGTCGACGTCCACAACTGGTTCCTCGACTACGACGGTGAGCGCCACATCTACCACGACCGTCTTTGGGACATCTGGTATGACATATGCATCGGGCCTGCCTCCCACGTCACCATCCACCTCGCCCAGCCAGTCAGGCAGCAGCCCTTCTCTGACTCAGAGCAGCGGCAACGGTACATTGAATACGACGACTGCATCGTCTGCAACTTCATCGGCGGTCTCGGTCACGGCTTTGTCGACCTCGGCCTCGACGACCCTAACTGTCTCTGCTGAGAGCGAGACGGCTCCGCGCCCCGCCAAGCCGACTGCCACTGTCAACTCCAGCGCTGGGCGAGGTGTGCCTGAGACCATAACCGGGGCCATGCTGGGCACTGTCGCTCTGTGGGCCATGTTCGCAATGGTCAACTAAGGGTAGAATTACGACGGAGAAGAACATTATGATTCTTCCCGTCCTATTCGCGAGGAAACGGGGAACGCGATTGTGGGACAATGAGGAACAGTAAGGGAGACTGATGGAGGTGGTGGAAGCCAAATACCGAGAGAATTGGGGGTACCGAGAATATCGAAGATTTACGTTTGAGAATTATGGCGCATACGACGCATATGCAGCTAAGAAGGCATTGCAATAGGAAGCAAAAGGAAAAAGGAGGGCCATCTCTTTTATCATGTAACCGCGAGCGTACGCTTTCATAGAATTCAACTTTTGCATCAAGCCAAACTTTTCTCGTACGAACAAATGCTGCCATTGATACTCGATTCTGTTTCTTATTACTCGTTGTCTCTCCAAGTAGTAAAACACCCTTTGTCTATGTACACGATAAACAATACTTACCAGAATTAAAAGGTGGGAAACAAAATGTAAAAATACATACAATAACGCTGGATCTGCGGGAAGGCAAAAAACATGAAGAGATATGAACTTTCCTAACTACTATATTTTAGCCGCCCCACCGTCTTACATCAACAAATCATTGTTCCCTTGCGTCGGGTGATATGCCGTCTGCGCGGCGTATTGGTTTACCAAGTAGCCAGGTGTACCGCCGTCACCCCCACCAAACGAGTCGGGCGCCACCACAGTGGGTTCCTGGATGCGCATCTGCGCAAAGTAGGCGTCGGCCTCGTCTACGGCCGACTGCGGGCTAGCAAAGCCGTTGCTGTTGAGGTGACCGTTGCCATTGGCCGCGGTCGGCTCACGACTGCGCAAGTCAATGTCCGACGGCTGTCCGCCGTGGCCGAGCATAGACAGGCTCTTGTTTGTATCAATGTACAGAAGATCACCGGCCGCCTGCCCAGGTTGCTGTTGCTGGAACATCACTTGCTGCTGTTGCTGTAGAAGCGCCTGCTGCTGCTGCTGCTGCTGCTGCTGTTGTTGCTGCTGCAGCTGCTGGAGTCTCTGCTGTTGCTGCAAGAGCTGCTGCTGCTGCTGTGATGGTGGTAGGGGCAGGGATGCGTTGGCAGACTGGGGGTTGAGCGGGCGCTGCAACGCGGGCGACTCGATGAGGCGGCGTGGCCGTGCTGAGCGGAAGACGGTTTGGACGGGCTTCAGGTAGACTGTGGCGAGGGTGCCTACGTTGAGGCACATCTCTTCGAGCGTCTGCGGGTCCAGCCGCTCCGACTCGGCCGTGATGGCCGGCTTTTCGCCCATGATAATCTGCTTGGCCGCCTCAATATCCGTCGACAGCAGGCGCCAGTACATGTATGCACGGTCGCGCAGGTCCGGGTTGTCCGTCTCTTCGGTGGCCCACTTGAGAACACGGGGGACCAGCTCCTGGCCCTTGGTCGGCCGTTGAATGAACAACTTGACCGTGGCTGTCAGCAGAGCAAGCTGCACCTCGACGGGCTCTTCGGCAAAGGAGAACAAAAAGTCTTCGAGCAGCACGTCGGCGTTCTCGATGCGGCTGGCGTACTGGCCGATGACCCAGACCATGGCGGCCTTGGCCTCGGGCTCGTCCAGCGAATCAAGGTTCTCGCAGAGGGTGCCGATGATGGACTCGTACTGGTTGGGGTACTTGCGGAATATGTTGCGAATGACGACGGTGGCCTCCTGCACAATGTATGTGACCTTGGTGGCGACGAGGTCGAGCAGGACGTTGATGCAGCGGCGGGCAGCGGGCTCGATTTTGATGGCCAGCTTACCAATGGCGCGCACCGCCTTGCGGACAAAATGGACGTCGATCTCGGTTGCATACTCGCGCAGCTCGGTGAGGACCTCGTCAATGTTCTTCTCGTTGGCAAGCATGAAGATGAGCTCGAGCTTGGTCACCTTGACGTAGATGGGGTCGTTGTATTTGCAGAAAAAGACGCGGATGTCGTTGCGCAGCACTTCAGGCCGCCGTTGCAGGATCAGTAGGGCATTCCGCAGCACTAGGTACTGGACCTCAGGTCCCTTGGCCAGCAGCGTGACGAGCGGTGGTGACAGCTTCTTGCAGAGGGCGGTGATTTGCTTTTGGTCGGAAATGTAGTTCATCAAGTACAGAATAACGCGGATGCAGGTAAGGACGACGGCCGAGTTGGAGTGCGACAGCCGCGGGGAGATGCGCTCTGCCAGGAGAGCGGCCTCGGTCGATTCTTGTGGCGTGTAGGACATGAGTGCTTCAAGAATGTACGTCTGGCCCCATCTACAAGCAATAGACGTTAGTAGGAGGCGTATTGGTGGGCTAAGATTAAGATCATGGGACTACCCGATACATACTCAGAGCAGTCGGGAAGAATGGCCACCATCTTGGAGGCGTTGTGGTAGTCGATGGTGAGCTTGATCGCATCGCTTCGCTCCCAAATGTCCATCAAACCGGCCAAGGCGCTGGCCACAACGGTCGGGTTGTCGTCGCGGAGCAAAGAGTTGAGACGGTCAATGAGGTCAGAACCCTCTACCATGTGCTTGTCGTGGTCGTACAGCTTGGCAACGCAATACGCTGCCGTCTTCCGCACGTACGGATCAGAGTCGCGAAGAAGGGCCTTGACGATTGGGACAGTGGCCTCAACAAACTCTCGCACATGAATGTATGACATTGTTCGCAGCGCAAGGGCTCGTACGAGAGGATTATTATTCTCCATGTCCTGTTTGTGCGGCGGTTAGTGGCGTTGCGTCACAAAGGCGTTGGGGGAACGGGAGAATAGGGGAACGGAAGTAATACGTTTTCGAGCACAGGGATCGCCTTGATCGCGATTTCGGGGCGCATTCTTGCGTAGTTGACGAGGAAGAGGAAGCACCTTGGAGAGGTCACACAAAGTTAGACAGTGCAGGCAAAGGGATACTTGGGAGAGCATTTGGCACATGCACCACCACCTTACATCTTCTTGATCTCGATGCTCTGAATGTGCATGCAGGCGATGATGTCCGGAAAGAGGGCGACCATGTCGTTGTTGCTCATAGTCATGTTGGCGACGATCTTCTTGAGGGCAATCTTCTTTGCGGCAAAGTTCTTGTCCTTCTTGCCGCCGCTGTTGAGCTCGAGGCGCAGCTCGGCGACTTTGCCCTGCATAGTAAGCGCGCGTGAGTAATAGGGCGGAGGAAGGTATGCCATAAACATCGTGGCGACGGTGGGGGAGAAGGCATGGGAAACGAGTGCTATGCGAGGCTGAAGATGTGGAGACGATGGGACGCGAGGTACACAACAAACGGCGATGTGTATGAACACATAAAGCACACTCAATGGGAGTAACCACGATAAATGGAAAGTATGAAGTGGAGAGATTGTGTACAGCTTTGGCTAGCTAAAGAGAGAGTGTGTGTGACAAAGAGCGAAGGGCCGCATGCTAGGATACGATGAAGCATATCCAGACACCGAGTCGGCGTCGCATCGTTGCGTCACATGTTGTTACGGAGACGGATCGGACGACGAGGTGGGGAAGCGCAGCAGTGGCAGAGGAGGGGAAGGATGAGAAAATCCTGTTGGTTGACAGCTGGATGTCGGAAAAGGGTTTGTGATGCAGGCAAAGGGACAGGGGAGAAGCAAACTGGAAATACACAAAGTATTCACGGGGAACGAGACAAACATACCCGAGCGAATAGCTTGGAGTCACCTCCGCCCTGTGAACTGGACATGACGACAGCAGTAGTCGACAACGACTGACGTGTGACAGATGGTGTGTGAGTGTGTGAGTGCGAATGGTGGAATCGGAGAGCCTTTGTGGCTAGGCGCAGACTGAATAGTGTCGACTGTTATCTCTTGGGGCCAAGATTTTTCTGGATTTGTTTCGCAATAGGACCTCGTGAGCACAGCAGGACGCACGCGTACGCACCAGCCGTCCAGAAAAGGAGGGCGGCTGCTCGGGTCGAGGCTGGTCCGTTGGTTGCGGGATGGGCCAAGCAGGGCAAAAGCCACACAATAAAAAGAGGGGGGACGACCAACCCAGGGCGCGTCAGGAGGGCAGTCGAAAGTGCGGAGAGCCCGACAATGGTTGGCTGTTCTGCAGCCGGGGTTGTCTCGATCGGCGGTTGGTCGCTGGGAAGAGGCTATTTCGAGACGAGGAGGGGAACACAATCGGTGACAGCTTGACAAAGAACGGTTGAAGGTAAACTGGTGGTGGTTAGCTCCGGAACAAGGAGGGGAAGCGGCTGCTCGGAATGAGCATGCAGCATGCAGCTTGCCGCAATGGGGCCGTGACCAGCACGACAACGACCGGCGCTCAAAGACCAGGCAGCTCAGATAATGCGAGGTTGTAGAAGCTGAACGTAGAAACAGAGCTCGGCCACATGCGTGTCGGACATGACGCATCGACGCATCAGACGGCTCTACGGCACCACAGCGGTGCAGCGAAGCCGGAGAGCGCCATAGCCCTGGCCAATCCAACCCAATGCGTGGCCGCTGATGCGAGGAGTGTGCGCTCCGAACTCACCCCGAGTATGCAAAGAGCTCCGCGTCCGGAGACGAAGTGGAGGGAGGAGCGGTCGGGGCAGGGGGGCCGATGGCGGGCAAGGAAGAACCGGCAGGCACGGCGTGGCGGCGGTTACTGATGCTGCGGGCGTTGCAGGGCGTCGCAAGCGTTGCAGGGCGCGGTGTGGTCGCGGTGTTGACGCCTGGCGATGGCTTGTCGTTGGAGAAAGTCTGGGCAACGAAGCGATGCACAGGGGTAGATGTCGTCGTCGGCGGCAAGGGAAAGCGGTACCGTAGCCCTGTTCTTTCCCTGGACCAACTATTTTTATTTTATTCAGTATTTAATATTAATTGCTCTTGCTCCGTTTTAAAATTCCCAGCCGTTTCTCGCATGCCCCTTTTGCCATACCGGGAAGGGGCGGTAGGGAGTGGGGCTTCACCACTGTCTGGGCCTGGTAAGCCGATTCTTCCACTGCAATACTTTAGCGCGTTGACGAGCACGCAACTGAGTGGAAAAAGTGGGTCCGCGGCAGCATCCACAAACCTCGACAGACAACGCTCCAACATCAAGCTTTCAACGTCGTCTTCCATGAACAGGCCATCCTCCTCCCTCCCCATGCGGCAGAACACGACAATGTCCGAGCTCACCACTTCAAAAACGGCACGCCCGCAATGGGTTGCTGACCTCCAGTCGCCGCCAGCGCCACGCGCCAAGTCCGGCAACATCGCCGACCCGCCGGGGTTTCCCTCACAAGCGGTTTCATCCAACAAGGTTGGTCGTCGCCCGGCGACAGGACGATACGGCATAGAATGGCATAGAACGCCAATTGCTAACTCTTGTGGTGACGATAGAAACGCGACGCAAAAGACACAAAGGCCGCCGTTGCGTCCACCGCGCCCCCCAAGAAGCAACAGACACCCGAGGAGATGGACACGCTCAAGGTCAAAAAGGCGTGGGAGGTCGCCCTGGGCCCCATCAAGAACCTGCCGATGACGGCCATCATGATGTACATGTCCGGCAACTCGCTGCAGATTTTCAGCATCATGATGGTGTTTATGGCCTTCAAGAACCCGATCATGGGCATTTTGAGCACCCAGCAGACGTTTGAGCGGTTCGAGACGCCCGGCAACCGCGGCCAGATTCTGCAGGTGAAGCTGGCGTTTGTTGCAATGCAGATTGTGGCCTTGGCACTGGGCGTGTGGAAGATCAACGGGATGGGTTTGCTGCCGACAACACGGTCGGACTGGCTGGCATGGGAGGTGCCGCGTTTCACGGCGGAAGTGGCTGTTCCAGCTCTATGAGGGTAGGATTGTGGCTGTCCTGTTGTCCCTTTGTTTGCGTTGGCCACCCTGTACAAGTTACAAACGTATTTTCATAGCTGTTCTCGCCTGTCTATTTCATGTTATTGCTTAACACAGTCCTTATAGACGTTATAATTGGTTTGGCTAGGCTCCGTCAATATATTTCGTTGTAAATTTGACACATGACGACTGTGTAACTGTGATGGGCGGGTGGTATCACCATGCAAGCTGCTGTGATAGGAGCAAAATATGATAGAATACGGTATTGGGCTGTTTTGATTGAATGAGGCATAAGAAACGAGACTGGCAAGTGCTGTATCTAAATAGTAATACTGCATAAAAATGCAAAGCGAGAGAAGATGAAAAATAAAAACCATGAAATGCAAATAAACAGCACTCCAACCATACCCTAAACATCTATATGGATAGGCACACGTTCTAGGCGCTCCCAACACCTATGCAATTACTCCTCATCAAAGAAGGTCTCAATGAACATGGCTGACCAGGGCATCTCGGCGGGTGTCTCCGCTAGCATACGCAAAATGGCGAAGCTCATTTCGCCGCCTCCAATATGTGGACCGCCGTCATTGTTGCCGTCAAAGCCTGGAACCGCCGTTGCGGCATCCGGAATTTGGACGTCCTCTACTTCCATCGAGGAAAGAGAAGTGGCAGGCGTAGAAGCAGAAGCAAGGTGACTAGCTGAGGTGGTTGACGAAGCGTCGCTGGTGGAAATGGAGCTCTTTGTACTGACAGTTAGTAATTCGACGTCCAGAGAGAGCATGGCAAAAGCGTCCATGTTTACCTTGACTGTCCAGGTGGGCGAATGAGCATCGTGCATGGTCAGATACAGCAGCTCATCGAAGAAGTTCGGCAGCGTCTGTGACCAGCGGGCCGTGGCCAAAGGTAGTGTCATGAACTGACTGCCGATGCCGTAGATTAGATTGGTATTAAACCCGTTGCCATCTACATGAGAAATAGAGTCAGAGACACCAGGTCGATTGTGGCTTATATGGCAGTGATTATCACCAAGGGGCAACATACCTGTCACACCGAGGTTTCCGCCGTTGGACTGCCCAGCTCCAATGCTATTCTGTATAAAGAGATGCCGTGTTAGTGCCATGCCGGCATCAAAGCACTGTACGTATGGATGGGTGGTAATTGCCATTACCACGAAAGACATGTTGATATCCTGCTCAGGAAGGTGACTCCTTTTGTGGGATTTTTTGAACGACGTAGACTGGCGAGACTGGGTTTATTTTATATGTAGGCAGAGATTGAAAAGCAAGTAGTCATAGGTACTGGAGAGGAAGAGAGGTCATGTATTTCTTGCCGAGTTGCGGGTACAGGACCTTCCTTTTATACTCAAGTTGGTGGCCATATTAGAGCAGAGTTTTCAACTTTTATATGAGAAACGCAGGTGCGTGAAGAAACATGACAGTATAAGATTTTTCTTCTGAACTGGGTAATACACAGCAAGGTTTAAGAGGGCACCCATGCGTTGTGATACCAGGCAGTTCAGGAGAGTAAATGAGTATGTGAGAATGTGAGTACATAAACCGTTCCGCGCAGAGTGGGGGTGTGAATTCGGTTGCCAGATGGGCGCTGTGAGCAGCACCTTTGTACCAAAAGGCGTGATGCATGATAGGGCAAGTCAGCACTTTTGGCCGGCAACGCTGGCTGAGGGAAGTCTCGGCCGGGGCTGGAGTCCCGAAACCGAAATACTTCAAGGGCAGTTCTCTCGCTACCAAGCCGCGGAATGATTACGCCTAGTGAAAGCTAGCCGCAGTTTGGACATGCGGCAACCGACTCTTTTTGGGAGGGATCAACGGGTTCAACGTCCCGTCAAACGTCTCTTTTTGGTCTGGCGTCCCGTCAAGGCCTCGTTGTGGTAAACTTCACGACAAATACATACAGACACCTCATAGGGTTTAGAAACAAGGCGCAAGATAACATTCTCTGTCTTCATATTCCAAGGAAATAACATAGCAGGGGTCGGTGAAAGGCAGGGGCCTACGTGGCTGGCGGAAATGGTGAAAGCCATTTCAAGCAAGTCAACGAGTGTGGTGGGTTGCAAGCAAGGTATACACCACGATGGTAGGATTTGTGCATTATTGTGGCACTGACGGCCGATGGGGCAATATTCACGAGGAATAGGACCTGGAGACTTCCATGTGGAAGAGTGGTAATGGTAGGTTGGAGGGTTTATGTGTCAGAGTCCGACCTCGTGGTGCTGCGATGAGAACAGACGACCGAGGCAAGGTGGGAATGGAAGACTTCACGAAAAATGAAATGAAGGTGTAGCCGAGCGCTTGATGGGATTCTTCATGGTCATGTTGGGCTGCACGGATAAATTGTCCCCTTCTCCCAGCGTAGTCCGCTGCAACGTACATTTTATTCGTCCCTTTTGACGAATGCAAAGAAAAAAAAATTTATCTTTAAGTTCGATGCTTTCTCATCTTATTTTTTTTTAAAACATTTCTTTTCAAACATCGGCCGTAGTCGAGTCAACGGAAGGTTAGGGAAGACTGTGCAGAAGTAAGTGGTTATCCCTTGCTTGGAGGACCTATTTCAAGACACATCGGACATGATGCATAATAAAGGAGAAAAAGGCGCGTATTGCAAAGTTGCCAACAGTTTTCACCCACAAAAAATGTTTCACTTACACACTAATCATAGAAAGTGGGGGGAATATTGAACATGACATTTCGCTGACGACGGGAAAGAAAAAGGAAGAAGCGGCACGAACGAACGACGCCCTCGTCCGCCAGTTTGCGAGGTGGAATGCAACAAATGTGGGAGGAGACAGGATCAGTCGGCTCCAGGCAAAGTACATGGACTGAACAAAAAATCCAACCGGAAGTCCCCCGGGCTGCTCCTGACACACCCTCTTTCGCTTTCAAAATTGGACCTGGGCGAGAAAAGGCGGCGAGAAAGGCCGCTTCCCAGGCAACCAAGCAAGAAAAATGAAAGTGCACTTTTCCCTTGCTGCTTTCGTGACGCCCTAAAGTGGTTTTCTTGTCTTTTTCCTGTCGCGTCTGGTAGTCTCCTGCGCCTTCGCCTTTTTCGGCAATGATTCCCTTAACCACAACACAGGAACAATCTGGAACACACGCTGCCTTGTCACGGCCCAGCCAAATGGACAGTTATTCCCTTGCAAAATTTTCAAAAATCCATGAACAGATGTGCGGGCGGTGTGGCAAGTGTTCCTAATCTCACTCGCCGAACGTAATGCGCGTCTTGTTGATGGAATAGAAAAGTAAACAATTCGTGAAAGGAAATCAAATGCTGGCTAGATGCACACCCCTCTTGATTCCTTCCTTGCGCGTTCTAGTCCAATGTATCCGTCCTGTAATACTAGGACGGATCCTTGCTCCCGTATTTGCACTCTTGATACTGTTTTGAGCTGCTTTGCGTCTCGACGTCGGACGTTGGGTTGCCCTGCTTCGTAATGGCACACCGGTCTGCGCTAGTTGCATAATCTTCTTGCATCTGGCAGATATCGCGATCTGCCCATTGGCTTGGGCAGCACCGGCACGCCCTGCCAGCTGATTACTCGTCGTCGTTGGGCGAACGCGTGACTGGCGGATGTTGCCCTACCGCGTTCCGAACCAAAGTCGTCTGCATTGACCGTCGCCTGACCTTGCCAGTTGTCGTTAGTTATTTTTCGTTGAGCTGTCCGGGTTAACGAGTTGACCAGGGTCACGATCGTCGTGGTTGTCGTGCTCATTTCCCTCACCGGGCACTTCTTGTCGTTGTCCTGCGGCCGCCTGCTCTCTGGCTTCACGCTCCTCTTCATGTTGCGCCCGTTTCTTGGCAAGACGCAGGCGGCGGGCCTCGCGCCAGTCCGGACCCCAGCGCAGCACCATGAGCATGGTCGGCGATGTCACGACGACCAGCAGCGCCCAAAAGGTAAAGTTCCACCCGCGGCCCAAACGCACCATCATGGACTCGATAAACGCCATGACGGCCGCACCAAACAGGCAACGCACGAGGTTGACCGCGGCCACGGCCGTAGCGGGCGCCTGAGGGTAGAGGTCCATAATGAGTGTGCTGAGAATACTAAAAGAGCCGACGACGAACAAGCCGACGAAAAAGATCAGGACGAGGGGCACGGCCAGTGGCAGGCGGTACTCGAGCACCCAGCCGTAGGCGATGACCGTGCACACGCCCAGGGCGACCATGGGAGCCATGGGGTACAGGCGGGCCTGTTCAATGGGAAACTTGGACAGGTCGTCGCCGCGGCGGTAGTCGATTGTGAAGCCAATCTTGCGGGCCGTGCGGCGGTAGTTCCAGTCGAGCAAATGGCCCTGCAGGATCGATGCCGTGCAGCAACCGACACCATATGGCAGGTAACACAGACCGATCTGGAGCTCATTGAGATGGTAGATGTCGGTGAAAATGGTCGACAGCGTGGCAACAATCATGATGAACACGACATACAGGATGGCCGTGTAGGCGAGGATCAGGGACAGGTCCTTTTCGAGCACAACGCTGAGCGTGCGCAGCGGATTCGGAAAGCGAATCTTGGTCTTGGGCGGCTGCGGCCGGTCGGTCAGCGGCACAGGGTGGCGTCTCTGGCGGATAAAGTCGAGCAGTGTCATGTTGATCCAGCGCGGCGGGATGGAGCCGTTGCCCACGACGTTGCGGGCCGTCTCGGGCACCAACAGGATATAGGGAATCAACAAACACGCGGTCACAATGCAGCAAAACCAAAGATGGACCGCCAGCCCAGGTACTGCGCCAAGATACCGCCAAGCACGGGGCTCAGTGCCGGTCCGACGTTGATGCCGGCACCCACAATGCCCATGTACTTGCCCCGCTCGGCGCTCACGGCGACATCGGCCACCACGGCGAAGCCCAATGCCAGGGTGCCGCTGCTGCCAGCACTCTGGAGCATGCGCAAGACCAAAAGGGCGGCAAAGTTCTTTTGCAGCGCGAGGCCGATGTTGACAACCAGGTAGATGGCCAAGGCAATGATAAAAGCCGGCCGTCGTCCAGCCATGTCGCCGAAGTCGCCGACGAGTGTTGGTGCAATGCCTTGGAAGATCATGAATGTGGTGACGGTCAGGTTGATGAGGCCAATGGAGACGCCGAGGTCCACGGCTATTGGCACCAGAGCGGGAAAATAAATGTTGGCAGTCATGGGCGAGATGAAGCTCGTAAATGTGACCATGATGATGATGTAGCGCTTCATGCCGGGAGTGAAGACGCTATAGGGTGGCCCGCTGATCACTCGGCTGAGCTGCTCAGGGTCATTGGGGTTGGCGGCATTGCTGTCGTCGACATGGCTGCTCGCATAGGCTGCAGAGGACGCGGTCACCGTGCCAAGAAGCGGTGGGCCGACGTCGAGCTGACCGGCCGCTACATCGTGGTTTGTGGCTGCATCTCTAGATGGTTCGGAACAGCTCATGGCGGCATCGGATGGGCTGCGGTTGGTTTCATTTGCAAGGAAGGAGAGGTCGGTGGGGGGAGCGAAAAAGTAAAAGAGGAAGGAATGATGTACGGAAGGAGTGGAAGGGGAAGGCGGAGGTGATAAACAGGAAAACAGGAAGGAGCGTTGTTATTGTGCAAAACAGAAAGAACGCAGGCAGTACCGTTGATCCCAAAAAGGAAAGAGAAGGGGAGAAGACCAGGAAGGAGAGGGCCACAGGGTGCCGATCAAGGCCGCGAAGCGGAGCTTTTCTTAGTACGGCGTAATGCTGTCGGGCCGGCCAAGGCCGAAGACGACAGTTTTGCCGCGAAATACGACTTACAACAGCCATGTGCACTTTCTTACTCGGATCTGATCTGCTTATTCACCTTGCCTACTGCCGAATCGGAACCTTTTCGCCGTGAAGAGGGACAAGAAAGGCATATGAAACCTTGATAGAAGCCTATCTTAAGCAAACAAACTTTGCAATTCATTGCAGCAAAGCCATTATGCCCCAGAAGTTTTTCACAAAAAGCGTACCAATGTGGAGATTGGAGGTTGAACCTGGTCAAGGCCAAGGGACAAGACCACGGGAAGGTTATTCCCGCCGTGTGGCAAGTGGAGACTAGAGTAACTCGGGAGAAGCAGCCACTGGGACAGCAGGACCAAAACCGGAGAACATTCGGCAGAGGGCCAGAGTCTGGAGCAGCAACTGGGCCAGGTCAAACATAGAATAAGAATCAGAACTCGTTGGCCCTTTTGACTTGGGTAGAATGTTTGTTCGGGTGGAGCCGTAGGCTCCGACATGGGAAGTCGAAGGAGAGACATACGAACGACGGCCCGAGTACGCCATCCAGTACGCTTTGCTGCCTTCCATGACAGCGTCGTTAGATACCTGTCTGTCGATCAACACCGGCACACGAATGAACTGCTCGGTGACAGTGGACTGAAATGTCGTGATAAATGCGATGGGTGCGACATGCCATGATAGGCCTCCCAGTTCGTCATTGGACTGTCTGTTCTGAGTGGTCGGACTTGTCTGATATGTCGAACACGTCTTGTTCGTCTGTCGTTGTAAGAGCGACCATAACCGAAGGCATCATGCCATAAGGTGATGACACCTTTGATCTTTATTCGGTGTCTTGTATTGTCTTCGTTCGCTGCGGTATCGGAGATCGGCAGAATCACCGTGTCGTTGGAGGCTCTCCGCATATAATTAGTGAAGAAAATGGACTAGTTCAAGGTAGGAAGATAAGCAATGGGTAATAGGACAGTACTCCGTGGAGAGAGTTTGCGTCGGAATCAGTGTTGCAGTCGGAGAATTGGAAAACGACGCGCAGAGGCTGACCCTCAGCAGTTATTTTACATATTTTATTTATTTTACCCACGCCGTACATTCGTATATCGTATACGACATAATAGTGCTTGACTGCTGGCGGTTTTGCAGAGGCACAGACGCCGAGGTCAACGGCTTCCTAAAGTGGAAAGGACCGTTTTTAAAGTGAGCTTCAGCCCCATGTGAGCCACAGTTGCGCATTGGCCACAGCTACGGCCCACACATCCAATCACCAAGCTATGGTCAGCTAAATCGTGGCTTCTTCCACAACGTCCAACATCATAAACCAACGACCAGACGACCAGATGACAACAAAAGGCCCCTTGACGACCGTAGCGCATGAAATTTACGATATAAACCGCTGTTCTTTGACACTGGCAGATTTACAGAGGCCGCACCACCCACGCCTCGGTGCTATACAGATTGCGACGCCAACATTGCGAGCTTCACATCGAAGCACACTACACCGACTTGCGCTGCGACAGACTGCACGGCTGATCAGATATTGAAGCCGGAGTTGACGGCTAATATACCACCAGGCTGGCGAACGATTGCGCTTGCGCAATGTATGCACTCGATCTGACGCCGGTCTTTGACCAGCTGCTGAAGAGCAAAGAGGGCGCGACGACGCGGAAGCCGCGATTCAACGCGGCGCAGACGGAAGGCTTTCTCAAAGAGGCCTACCGGATTGTACGTGTTCTTTTTACCATACCGGGTGCATATCCTCTGCGAAGCTAACGCTCTCAGAACAAACACATTGCGACGCTCTCCAAACAGCTGGGCGACGTCCGGCAAGCTTACCTCTCGACCGCACCGCCGCGACGTTCTCACCACCACCACCACCACCACTCCCACAACAATGCCGACCACTCCGCACCCACCTCCCTAACCGACGCCGAGCGCGAAGACATTGACGCCAATGCGAAGCGCCTGTTGCGCGACCTCAACGCGTCCATCCGCGGACTGGCCGATGCCGAGGCCCTGCACCAAGAGACGCAGCAGGCACTGATCCGGAAACAGTACGCGGGGCCGTCCTTTCGCTTTGTCGGGCTCGGCGCATCACCAAAATCGCCCGAGCAGACAGCAGCTGAAGAGGCGCAGACACAAGCGGCGGCGCACCATGAGAGCGTTCTGTGGTACCTGCGACAACGACTCCAGGCGTGTGGACGAGCGCAGCAGACCATGATGGAGGCACGGCTGGCACGGATGGTGGTGGAGACCACGGCAGCGAGTCAACAGCAGGCGCTGCTGGTGGGTGCGACGAATCCAGCGTCACGAGGAAGCGGGGGTGTGTCCGCGTCGGCTGCGGCGTTGGAGGAGGAGGAGCAGTGGCGGGGGGCGTCGCCATATGCATCACGCCCTGGGCCGCCGGGAAGAAGCGGCGGCAACGACAAAGATGGTGCGGAGGCCGATTTGACTGCCGAGCAGATTCAAATGTTTGAGCGCGGCAACCAGGACATGCTCAAGCACTACGAGACGACCCTCGACAAAGTTCGGTGCGTGTTCCTCCTTTCCTGTCTTTTTCTCGGTCTTTTGCATGCTGATATTATGTGCACGGATACTAACAAATCAGGGCCGCCGAACAATCACTTGTTGAGATCTCAGAGCTGCAGACCATGCTGGTCGGCAACCTGGAGATCCAGTCGGCACACGTGGACCAGATGGTGGCCGACTCCTTCACCACCGCGGAGAACGTGGCCAAGGGCAACCGCGAATTGAAAAAGGCGCTCGATCGGCCGAGCACGGCACGATACACATTTTACGCAGCTAGTGGCCTGTGCTTGTTTGTTGTCGTGTGGGACTTTTTTGTATAGGGCAAGACGAGGAGCATGCGTTATGTATGGATAGCTACGGTTGGGGGACCAGACAGCGGGCGATCGACGATGAGAGGAACACGGATGGATATCCCAAGGCGTTCTATGGCTTTGTTTGGTGGCATAAATTTAACGAAAGCGAGCATTTCCTTTACGTGATAAAACCACGGTGCATTGGCGACAGCGACTACCGATGCAAATAAACGTATAGCCTGCAGTCGCGCCGTAAAATAACTTTCACATTTTAGAGGGCATCTCTACTGCATGAGACAAAGGCATGGGTGGTGGGAGGGTGGGTAATTACAACATTGACTTGCGACGTCATTTGCTCTACTGGGCACTGGCGTCAGGGGCAAGTCAGATGGCTTGGTGCAAACCGCGCATTACACTTTATGTCTTGCATGGCGTCACCATCGGCATGTGCTCCAGGTTCCGTGAGGAATCCACCATTTCCACACCATTTTGTCGCTAATTTCGCCGCCCCTTACTGCTGAGAAAGCGCACCCTCTTTGTCGGCAGCCCGCCCACAGCTGAGCACTGAAACTCCTCAATGGCAACCAAAATAATAGCCTCGGCGGCCCATCACATGTGCCCCGTTCTGCCTCGATTACCTCAATCACATTCGCGAGGCATTCGGGCTTCTTATAAACCGTCGTCGCCGGTTTTCTGAATCGAGGGCTGTTTAAACACAAAAGCCCCTTTAAATCTCTCTCGTGCGCGCACAGTTTCCTCCGTTTATATTATATTTCCCTCCTCAGCACCCATTCATCGTATCACGACTTCAAAGAGAGTGGCCTCATATTACGCAAGGTCGCCGATTTTGCTCGCTGATCTGCCGACACGCCTCGTTTACATTTACGTACGACAGCGTCCTTCTGCTTTCGACAGGTTTTTACGTGCGCGCTTTGTGTCCTGCATATTCCCTTCGGCTCTTCGTCGTTGTCAGGATTTATGGTCGTCAGTAAAGACTAATACGATCCGCCGGCTTCACGACCCTCGTCTCGCTGCGCACATCCTTTTTTTGTTCTATTTTATTTGATCAATTCTCGTCACCCTTCCTGCGGCCTGTCCCCGACAGTTGTTGCCGTATTCTTCTATTTTCCGACTCTTCGCGTGGCCACCCGGACGAGCCTGTCGATATCGCGGCTCGCCCTAACCGTTAGCACTTTGTGGCGCCACACGACGCATAAAGGCGCATCGTATCGTCCAGTCCAGTACGAACTTTCGCCGCCAAACGCCAGCAGCTTTTCTCCGGCCGTCCCTCTCCCCAGGTCCGGTTCCGCACGCCACAAACAGGCTAGGGAGTCCCCAGTCTGCGCCTTCTCTTAACGGAGCTCCAGGCCTAAATTACCATCGCGCCAGCGCTACACGCCGCCTTACCTTCTGAAGACGGCTTCTATCTTGATCCCCAATCGCGGGTGTCGGACGAGTCCCCCCTCCTACGCTCCACTATTACGGCACGCCTGCCGCTCCCAAAACGAATTTTAGTGATACCAAGCCGGTACAACAGCAAAACTGCGCAAGTCCAGCCCCACATCTCACCCAACTTCCCTTCCCCCACCAGCACTTTCGCCAGCAGCTCTTTCCGCGTCTGCGAGTCATAAAATGCGTCCCTCGCCGCAGCCTCTTGCCCTTTCGGCGGCGTCGTCGTCTTCACGCAATTCCTCCTCCTCTTCTTCTCCAGCCTCTTCTTCGACATCGTCTGCTCCCTCTACCGCCATCTCCCGTCTTCAGCAAATCTCCAAGCACATCATGTCGACACCAGCAGACTCCGCTTCGCGCTTCCCGGCCGACATCGTGCCGCAGGCTCCCGAGGATCCTCTCTTCGGCCTGATGGCCGCCTACCGGGCGGACGAGAGCCCCGACAAGGTTGACCTGGTGAGTGTTCTTCCTCCTTTCGATGAATTCGTTGTAGCTTTGGACACATAGCTAACACGATCGAGGGCATTGGTGCGTATCGTGACAACAACGGCAAGCCGTGGGTTCTGCCCGTTGTCAAGAAGGTTAGTAACTATCAATCCTCCTTGTTTCCCAACCAATCCATTCTCGGTCGCGTTTCCAATTTTCTTTGCTTTTTGGTGTTCGTGTGGTGGAAGCTTCCCTGCATGCGCTCCTTCCTCGTGGCGGACAGCTCCCTTCCCAATCAGGCAGGAACCGGCCGTGACCATTGTGAGGCCATTTGTTGGGGGCCCCAGCTACTGCATCATTCGACCTCCAAATGGCCTGCATTTTGCTTTTCTGCAACCCCAATCACCCAGAACCCCGAAACCCGTCAATTTCATGCCCGCGTCAGTCCCTGGGACATCTCCTCCCGAGCCACCTCCGATATACCCCGAAAAGGGAAGGTTTCCCTGTTGCGCAAGGCGCGCCCCTCCATGCGCTAGCAAATAGGCTGATATCGCGTGCCTACATTCTGGGGCCCCTGCTACCTTTCCATCTCCACTCCAGTGCAGCAAACATGCCCAGCTGTGTCTTGCTTGCAGCTTCTGCTTTTCCGACATTCACACAACGACTAAGAACCTGCTAACCTGTGCAACCCGTATGTGCCCTGCAGGCCGAGACGATTATTCACAATGACCCAAACACCAACCACGAGTACCTGCCGATCGCCGGCTTGAACACCTTCACCACCAAGGCCGCCGAGCTGATCCTGGGCGCCGACTCGCCGGCTCTCGCCGAGAAGCGCGTCATCTCCATCCAGACCATCTCTGGCACCGGCGCCGTCCATCTGGGCGCCCTCTTCCTCGCCAAGTTCTACACCGGCAACCGCTCCATCTACTTCTCCAACCCCACCTGGGCCAACCACGGCCAAATCTTTGGCAATGTCGGCCTCCCCACCCTGACCTACCCCTACTTCGACAAGCAGTCGCGGGGCCTCGACTTTGAGGGCATGAAGGCCGCCATCCAGGCCGCACCCGCCCACTCCGTCATTCTGCTGCACGCCTGCGCCCACAACCCCACGGGTGTCGACCCCACCGAAGCCCAGTGGAAGGAGCTAGCCACCGTCATCAAGAGCCGCGGCCACCTTACCTTCTTCGACTGCGCGTACCAGGGCTTCGCCTCGGGCGACCTCGGCCGGGACGCCAGCGCTGTGCGCTATTTTGTCGAACAGGGCTTCGAGCTGCTCGTCGCCCAGTCGTTTGCCAAGAACTTTGGCCTGTACGGCGAGCGCGCTGGTGCCTTCCACTATGTCGCGCCCCCGCAGCAGGCCGGCCGCCTGACGGCCGAGGCTGTCGCCGACACCGTCAGCCGCGTCAAGTCGCAGCTTGCCGTGCTGCAGCGCTCCGAGATCTCCAACCCGCCCATCTACGGCGCGCGCGTCGCCAGCACCGTGCTCAACGACCCCGCCCTGTTTGCCGAGTGGGAGGACAACCTGCGCACCATGTCCGGCCGCATTATTGGCATGCGCAAGGCACTGCGCGACAAGCTCGAGGCGCTCGGCACCCCGGGCACCTGGAACCACATTACCGACCAGATCGGCATGTTCTCGTTTACGGGTCTGAGCGAGGCACAGGTCCAGAAGCTGCGGACCGACTTCCACGTCTACATGACCAAGAACGGCCGTATCAGCATGGCCGGCCTCAACACAAACAACGTCGAGTACTTTGCCAAGGCCGTTGACTCGGTTGTGCGGTCAACGCAGTAAAAAAAGAATGTGTGCTGGTTGCAATAGATGTGTTTCTACATAGACACCTTTTTTTCTCTCTTGTCAAAGTTGAATGCTTTTCTCGCCGTGTTCCTATTACAAAAAAATACATATTGTTTTCCCATTGACTCTCATTGGACGGATCACACAAAACTCACCTCTGAAGAAGTGCGTTATGGTTTTGCCTAAAGACGCCTCATAATAATCTGCAATTATAAGTTTTGGTATTTTAATAATGCCAGCCTGTACATATCGAAATTATTTTTCCTTGCTAACATGTTCCATTTCCAATATCGTCATGTCCACATGAAATCAGAAAACAACCAAAACGCATTTTGTTATTCGTGCAAAACAGTACCAGTAAAACAGTCATAAAACGTCGATGGAAAAACGAAACGGTGGGAGTGGCCTACATGCGTCGCATGATGGGGTCAGATTCAAAGTGGTAACCCCAGGTGTTGTCCAAGTCCTGGAGCAAGGTGCGCCACAGCTGGCCGTCGACACCCGGTCGCTGGCCAACACCCACCAGGTGCAGCCATAGACGGATGGCACGGAAGTCGCACCGCGATCGCCGCCGCGTCCACCATACGTTGCTAAACCGGCACAGTAGACCCATCCACATGCCAAATAGCCACAATGCCTTTTCGTCGCGCTCGAGCAGCTTCTGGCGGAACCCATTGTCGAGCTGTCCAATGAACTGGAAGTACTGCAGTAACGTGCGGTCGTTGGGCGGCATGTGTATGAGCTCCGCTACGACGCGAAGTGGCGCGCGGTATAACCGATCGGCTTCACTTATGGTGTCCTCGACACCGGAAGACGTCGTGGATGCGGTCGTGGTTGTGGTATTGGTGCTCGTAGTACTACCTGGCGTGCCGGGCCCGCTACCAACCGCACCGGGCGTCGATCGCCCAGACCGTGGCGTTTTGACATGCGGCCTGCCGTCGGTGTCCATGCCAGCGTAGTCACCTGTTTGATTGTGAGGTTGAGGTATGGATGAGGTTGGGGTCGGGGTCGGAGTCGCTGCCGGTGTGGTGACACCGCCGCGCCGGAAGTTTGGCCGTGGCGTCGCATCGCGCTGTAAGCCAAAGAGGTCCAGCCATGGCTGCGGAACCCGGCGAAGGCTCTGCCACGTGCCTGACAGGGTGCGTTGTTCGTCGTCTGAGTTGGCAAACAGCAGACGGAGCCGGCTTTTTTCACGCCACGGTGCTGTGGCAATGAGAAGCGGTGTTAAGCCCATCTGCAGCGCTAACCAGCCGAGGCGATTGGGGTGCGGGCTGAAGACCCATGACCGGCGCGGGTCGGGATCTGGATCGGCGCACGGCGGTGGAGGGCCAGGCATGCTGCCGTCCCATACAATATGGGCCTCATTTTCATCCAAGGGCATAACGAACGACAACATGTTCATGAGCATGGCGGTGATGAGCAACACATCAACGCCGAGCTGGCCCTGCACAGCGAACGGTGTCGAGAGAGCCGTCTGGTAGTTTTGCAATGCAATAGTTTGCTGGTAGTGCTTGGCAATGTGATACGCTTTGAAGCCAGGTGCCTTATGGGTAAGGTGTGCAGCGGCCGAGGCCAGTGCGGTGCCACGAAGATGCGGGAACTGCAGTGCTAGTGGGAGAATGGGCCCCATAAAGTTGGGCATCCCAAAGAGGTCCTTGCCCGTCACCTCGAAGTGGTAGAAGAGCTCATTCGAGGGTGTCCCAAGCTCTTGACTAGTGACTTGAAACGGCTGGACCCGCACGAGCCGGAGCGGGGGAACCAGTGGGGTGGTCCCAGATGGTACTAAGGCGTTACCTGACGCGTGGTATCTGTTATGGCCGGCGTGTCCCGGTCCAATGGAAAAGTTGCCGCCCTCCGGCGAGGGCGGAACATGCCTCGCCTCCGAACGGATAGCTGTGAGTCTGTTGGTTCTGGAGGCTGATGTAGCTCCATTTTGGCCGCCCTCTGCCTGCCGAGATGCAGATGCAGCGGTGCCCTCGGCACCTTCATACACACATTCTCGCTGGTTTCGTCTACATCGTAGACAGATCGGTATAGCCTGGTCACACTACGTGATGGGAGGAAATCATGTCAGTACAGGCCATGCTGGGTCCAGTATGAGTTGTACGGAATACAAACAAGTGACACAATAGCGTGCAGGAGTGCGGATAGAGATGGGTGGGGAAGACAGCAAGTGGGAAAGGTAAGATATGGGATGATGACCGACTCATGGACTCAAGGAAACCTAGTAAGCACGCACCTTGACTCGCCTCTGCTTGCAGCCCAAGCATCCCGACCGTGTCTTCTTGTGGGGCCGGCGACGTTTGTATTCCCGAACCTGGTTGCCATTGCTGTTGGTGGTGGTGGTGCTGCCGCCGTCGCCAAGCGAGATCACCTGGAACATGCCTGGCGCAGGAGCGTCGGGTAGCCGGACACGGCCCGTGGCGCTCATCTCTGCATATCGAGGACGAACCACAAGGCGAAGTAGGCCGATGAGAGGACCTTGAGCAGCCAAAGAGAAAGGGTCTGGCGCAGAGTCCCCACCTTTCCTCGTTGACGTTCTCCTCCGTCAAGCCTTCGAGGATGATTTGCGATCTGCGCAGGTGCTTCCGACAGCCGCAAGCTGGTCGTTGCTTTTGCAAGGGTGGACCAGCTAAATCGGGCCTCCAAAGAAGAAAGCGAGCAGAGGAGTCAATGGCTAGGAACGAACAGGCACGATTGGCCACGAGGACGAAGGGGGCGTGTGCGGGAGACGAGGGGGGTGCGGCGAAGGCGCGAAGACGCGAAGGCGACACCTGCGTCTTAGTGGATGCAAAGTGGACGTGTGTGCGGAAACAGGAGAGCGTGGCTATCACTGCCCGTGCCTATGGTGGCCAAACGGGGGCCAAACGGTTGGTAAGATGCGATGAGATGCAGGTAGAAAACAGAGACAGCACCCACAGCCGCACATCTATGCAAGGCTTCCCGAATCGGGAAAACGAGCCAAGTGCGGGTCAGGGGGAGGGGTGTAGTCAGGGCAGAGGGGTTAAATAATGAGTGCAAGAGAGGACCCCTAAGTAAGGAGAATTTCCGATTTATGCAGCCGCAGGGACGAATAAAGGCGAGTATTTTTCTTTCTTTCCTATGCCTTCTATCCCTTCGGAAGATACTCCCAAAGAAGAAAACGATGAGAAGGGACCGGATGGGGTGGGATAAAACGGCATCGGACGAGGCTAGCCCGCTTGCCCTGGCGCTTTTGCTTGGCACTGGGCTTGGTCTGGCTTGCGTCCCGGTTTTCTCGTCCCCGGTTTCTCTCTTCTTTTCGTTTTTTCCTCCCCAGGTCAACCCGTTGGTGACCCACTGGACAGCTCTGCTACCCGTATTGCAATTCTCCCGTTACACCCCTCCGTAGTCTGCGGCCCGCCGTGGGTCTGAAGCAATTGGTTCGTATCCAGAAGGCTGGGTGTGCGAGAAGAAGCAAGCAGACGGGAAACTGACGATGACGAAGATCGATTCTTCAGTCTCGAAAGGCGCAGGGCGAATGGTGTGTGATTTCTCTATAGGCTGCCAAGATGTGTTTGCCATGCAGTTTAGACTGAACACAAGACGAAACAAGCGAAGACCCGAGAGAACGGCCAAAAGATCAAGGCGTGGACCGGTTGGGCAAGCGGCAAAAGAGTGTGTGTAAGAAGACGAGATAGAAAAGAGGGAGAAATGAAGCCAAAGCGGAGGAGGAATGAAGAGGGGAAAGACGGTGTGGGGGCCAAAACTGGAGGGGTAGGCTTACGGGCTGGGTCGTGCTTTCCATCCCCTCGCTAGTCGTCGTTTCCTGGCGCTGGCGCTGCCTTTTGTCTGAGGCCTGTCCGGACGCCGCTGGGGAAGTCGCGGTGACTGGCCTCGTTTCCCTAATGAGGGAAGGTGCGGCCCAATCGTAATGGACGGCGGTGCTGTATGGTGATTTGACTATGTTCGAGAACAGATTTGTGACGGCATCTTCCACAATGTCCGCCGACTTTAAGTTAAAATAGACCTACGACAAGATATTTACACTTAACATCTTAATGTCGGACTTGGGCGTGTGAGAGCCAAGTAGCTCTCGTTTGGTAATGGGCTGCAACCTGTATCAGTGAATATAATTAAATACAATTGTCGACTCCAGGTGCTTTTTCTGGATGTGCCACAAATGTCCATCTTAAATAGGCGAAATTTAAATTGGCTTTCAATTGATCACTCTTGAAGTAAAAATAGAAGTCTATTATGTGTATGTGCCTGTGGCTGTATCCTACCTACTGATTTTCCTTGTCTCAGGCTAATGCGTCTATGGCAATGCTCTTCTCGAGCGTACCTAATAGTCGTTCAAGTCGTCATTTATGTTCCCACCCTTCATATCAATGCAATAAACTGCTTCCCTATGCTTATTTTGTGCAGCACCCCCAGCGCCGTTCACGACCCCGGGTTCTGTCTAAAGTTCATGCTGTAACCGCCCGTCTTCTCGTCCTTAACCATCTGGAAGTTGTCGGTGCTGATGCCAAAAGGCCGGAGGATACCATTGCCAAGCTGTTCGTTAGCACTCCGAGACACCTGTGCATGGGTCTGGTGGGATTAGGGAAACTCACCTCCTTTAGCTTGCCCATCATATCGCCCATCTCCGCGTCCTGTGCCGCTTTTGTCCGTGCCGGGAGGTCCTTAAGCTGCTTCTTGACTAGCTGCAGATCCGCACCACCAAGGGTCCCCGTCGGCATGGCGGACAATGTCTTGTAGTCCTCCTCCGCACCGGCCAAGTTCGCCCAGCCGCCCAGCTCGGAGCGTGCTCGGCCACGACGCAACAAGATTTTGGAGCGGATGCGAAGGATATCCTGGTCGGTCGGTCCGACAGGTGCCGGAGGCGGCGTCGGTTCTTTCGGAGGGGGTGGTGGCCGTGCAGCCAGCTTTGCACCTTCACTGATGATCTCGTCCTCGACGCTTTCATCGTCCTGTTCGAGCCCGTTTCCTTCTGTAGGTTCATCCTTCTTCGGATTGGCCTTCTCCTTCTCTATCCGCCTTTGTTCTTTATCGAGAGCTTCGAGTGCCTCCGTTGCGCTGCGGTTGGCCTGCTTCCAGTCATCTAGTTTGATGTAGCACGCAGCCATGTTCGACCGCAGCAGGGCAAGGTCGTAGAACAGGTAGGAAGGAAGGACTGAGACGGCCGTTTCGTAGGCTGTGAGGGCGGCATCAGTCTGGCTTTTCTTGAACAGCTCATTGGCCTGTTTCTTGTGCTCGTTGGCCTCTGCAAGAAGAGACTGCCGCGACGGAGAGAGCGTTAGTATTGTCATGATGGCTGGAGTAAGGCACATGCAAAAAGACATACTGCTTCTTGATCCGGCGGAAACCGGTCGATAAACTCCTCCTCCTCGTTGTCTTCCGGTGCATTCTCGACACCACTGTTGCTATTGTTGCCATTGTTGCCAACAGTGTCTGGCTCTGCCGCCTTGGCTCGCTCTTTTGCCTCGTCCTCTGCCATTTTGGAGCTGTGCCCGTTGGTCTGTATCGCTAAGTGAGCTGCTCGTGAGGTGGAGTTGACAATACGATAATGGCGATAAGAGAATATGTTGATTGCATGTTGATTAACGTTTGGTTGCTATTTGACGAGCATCTGATGGCGGGGTTTATCAAAGAGTGAGGTACAACTGACGTTGTGCTGGCAATGGCGCTAACACATCTAGCTTCCGAGGAAGGAGCCTGCCCCTGCCTGTTGTTCTGCCCCTCGGTGCCTTTCGTTCCTGCCATTTGCTTATCGTACACCTTTGTCACGCTGAAACGACAGAAAAAGAAAAAGTTTAAGTGGGGCCTTGAAAAGGCAAACGGCGACTCATTTTCGCAGCAATGACTACATCCAGGTTCCTTGTCTGGCTTGGCCTCAGTTTCTTCTCAGTCTTCCATCTAGAATATCTCACATTCTCTTCAATAGACTCGTGGACGCCCATTCAGATTATCTTGTCATTGGCCGCGACTGTTTATCTTGTCACCGCGCAGGTCCACTCCCAATCTTTCCCATCTCTTTTTGTTTATATATAAAACCCCCCCCGGAAATCTCTGGGCTTTGGATTCTACTTCTTCTTTTCCTCTCAACCTCAACCTCAACAACCGTCTTTTCCCAACACTGCAAGACTTTGGTCGCCGCCCTTAGCAGTTTGCGATTCTCAAAGTCTCACAACGGCTCGCAACGACACCAACAACCATGGCGCCGAAGACTGAGTAAGTCGTACAATGTGTATCTTGGCAGCCGTACCTTTGCACCGCATCACTGACACTGCACCAGCTTCCCCCCTGTCCGGGCCTGCCTGTTTGACATGGACGGCCTACTCCTTGATACCGAGGACATCTACACCAAGTGCATCAACACAATCCTCGCCCGCCACAACCGGCCTAAGATGCCGTGGTCTGTTAAGGCGAGGCTGCAGGGCCGCCCCATGCCCGAGTCCAACAAGATCTTCATGGCCTGGGCCCAGCTCCCCATCCCACTCGAACAGTTCCAGAAGGAGAACGCCGCCGAGCAGGTCAAGAACTTTCCCCACGCTAAGCCTCTTCCCGGCGTCGAGGAGCTGCTGGCCACCCTTGACAGCACCCGCTACTGGGAGTCCAAGGACACCGCCAAGAAAGGCGCCAGCACCAATGGCACCAACGGCACACCCGCCGGCCACCGCGTGCACATTGCCCTGGCCACTTCCTCGCAGACGGTCAACTTCCACCTCAAGACAGACCACTTGACGGATCTCTTCTCCGTCTTCGAGTCGCCCCGCCGCGTTCTCGGCGACGACCCTCGCATCGGTGCCGGCCGCGGCAAGCCTCTGCCGGACATCTACCTGCTCGCTCTCAAGACCATCAACGACACCCTCGCGCCCGGTGAACCGCCCATCACACCCGAGGAGTGCCTGGTCTTTGAGGACAGCGTTCCCGGTGTTGAGGCTGGCCGTCGCGCTGGTATGCGTGTCGTCTGGGCTCCTCACCCTGACCTCAAGGTCGAGTACGCTGGCCGTGAGCCCGAGGTCCTTGCCGGCACGACTGGCGAGGCTGGCGAGGCCGGTGCGGACACTCCCCCGGGCGAGATTGAGGACGGCTGGTCGCAGTACCTTCCTACACTCGAGTCGTTTCCTTATGCCCACTACGGCATTGTTGTCCCGCCGAAGACGACCGCTTAAGGTTGCTCTCGAGAACTTCGCTTCGTGGCGACCTTTGGCCGCCTCACCGTGACGGCCCGTCTCTAACCATTGATGGAAGAGCAACCCGGTTTGCATAGCGATCTCGGGTGGTGCAATATGTGAGGATGTTTACGACATAGAGATGGGGTTGCTTGATATATACACAGAGTCATGATACAAAGGCCAGGGTTTAAACTCAGGGGAGATAGAAAAGTCCGGATCATAGAATGATAGACGGCAGAGACATCGCCTAGTCGGTGCCTTGGAAAGGCCCAAACGAGACCAACGATATTAATGCAATGATTTACTTTCAATAATGAGCCAAAAACTATGGATGAATTGTCAACAAAGAAAAGATGAAAGGGTATAGTGCCAACCAAACGATAGGGATCCCTATTGTCCCAATTTTCCAATGCAAACCAACCACTCCGGAATCCCCCGAACCAAACTTCGGCCGTATATGATAGAGTGGAGGAGCAAAGCAAGAAAGAAACGAGGACACTGTTGCCTACAAAAAAAAAAAAAAAAAAAAAAAAAAAAAAGAAATAGACTAACAGAACCAAATCACAAAATAGTCATCCAAATATAAACCCATCTATAAACCCATCCAAAGAATCCGTGAATCTAGGTCTCTGTCCATAGCGGCGCTCAAGCAGCTTGATCATGTATGTAGTGGTCATATGTATCCGTGTGAAAACCCGTGTCACTATATCGGCCGTATCAAATAAATGTGAAGGTAGGTTATTGTGTGAGCAAGCAGGAATGCCAGCAAGGTATTGACGACTTTTCAAAGCGGAGGTGTAATGGGAGGGGATTGCGGTTTGGCAATTAGTAAAGCAAGAAATAAATTCTAAAAATAAATGGGCGAAAAGGTAGAATAAAAGAAATATAATATACAATCTTAAGGACTTCATGATTCAGAACGACTGGGAGTTGAAGTGTGCTGAATCATTGGGTGGTTTGTAGAAAGCCTTGTATGGGTGGTCAGGAAGGCTGAAATCGGCGTGAATGAGAGGATTCATCGTATGGTGTGGTCGGAACGGCATGCGTGCACTTGTGGGAGGTGGGGAGTGTGCTGACGATACCGCTGTTGAGGCTGCACTGTGTGAATGGCGATGATGAACATTGAACAGCATCGAAGCATTCGCCGTCGGCCACACTGGCAGAGACCTCCGGCTGCCACCGGAGGATGATGCCACGGATAGGCTAGTGGGATTAAATTCGACCTTATGAAGTACCTGTGAGGAGAGACTGGAGTCAAGACCGCCGGTTTGTCCAGGGCCGAAGCCGGGCTGGCCAAAGCCATGTGTAAGCATTGTAGCTGGCTGTGGCAAATCCATTGGCGGTGGAAGACGTGTTGAAGGCGAGGAGGAAGCGGCTGCTGTCACTGCGGCTTGTGGATGATAACCCGGTATATCGTTCATACCACGGCCCCATGTCTGCTGGAGTTCCGTATAAATTCTACCAATGCGCCATCCAGTCTCTGCTGTGATCTTTTTCAGAAGCATGTACACCTCGTCTTGTTCACGAGGGTCTCGAAGTACATGGGCAGAGATAGCCAGGCTCCGGATGGCCACACTGGCCACGCCCCGGTCTTTCGTATGGGCTACAATGCCGCATACTTGGTGGGCGTGGTGGCGCTGGGCCTCTTGGTTTTCAATGGTAACTTTTGGCTCGTCTGGATTGACCTGGTGAAGCAGGACCATAGCTGTGTGGTAGAAGAGACGGCCGATGACGGCAGTACGTTTGATGAGCCTGCAAATACTCCATTAGCTTATCAATCCCTATGCATAAGGTAGTTTCGGCGAGGGAAGTGGGATAGGTCTCGTACCAGATATTGGGGAAGATGGAGGCTGGAGCCGTACTCTGCGAAGGGAACAGATAGCTGAACGGCCGCATCGACCGAGGACAATCGCGGTTCCATATGGCACACAGCCGCTTGAGCCGCTTCCACTCCTCGAATCGGTTCTGCATATGGACTTGGTGATCGATGGGCGAGGGCTCTTGGGGAAACACGGCAACACCAGCACGAAAGTTGGCTATTTTTGCCACAATATAAAATATCCGATGAACCCACGTCTCTTCGTCGCCGCTGGTTGACATTGCAGACAACGACGCGGCAGTGGTGGTGAGTTCTTTTGATGTGGCCGTGTCTGCATCTTGGTGTGGTTTTCGGCTGCTGGCAGTGCTCTCCTCTTGCGCTTCTTGCATCATCTTACCACCTTGATCTTGGCTCTTGCGACGATCCTGGCCTGTGTTCGCTTCGCTGTTGTTGTCACCGAGCTCGTTTGCAAATGACGTATCGAGCCCCCATTGATCCGGATCCCATGCTGTCGGCCAATTAAATGCAAGGCAGCTCAGCACCTCCATGCCAATATTGAGCCAGAAACATGCGGCACCAATGCCTTTGCTCCGAGCATCCCACCCGCATTCACGGATAAGTGCACGGGCGCCAGCAATATGGTTCATTCGTTCGTTGGGCTTCTCGCTCATGATCTCATAGACATTGAGCACGACGGCGGTGGTAGCACACTCGACAATGTCGCGGTCCGGATTTTGCAGGCTTCGGAGGAGTTGTGTTGTTGCCGTGTCATAGTAAAACAAAGCTTTGTCGTCCTTGTAGGCCTCATTCACGAGCGTGAGATGCTTGACACCACAAGCAAGAAATGCATTCAGCATCATTGGTGACTTGAGTGCCACAAAGGGGATGATCCGGCTGAAGTGCTTGTCCCGGTCTAGCGAGTCCATCCACACGCCTACCTCGTCGACAAATACTTGCATATACAGTACCTCGTCTGGAGAGTTGAGATATTCTCGCTCGCCGTTGTTGCTGGCTGCTCCGGTGATGTTGTAGATATCCTCGAATCCTCCGGCTGCACCGCCATGGCCAGAGCCGGGTGCCACCGCTGCGACTGCCCCACCAACGCCGCCAGCTCCTCCGCTTCCCCTGCGAAATCCTGATTTTTCGGATGGTGGAGTCGGCAAGCCTTCTGGCATTGTGCCGTGGAGATGGCTGGCATGTCCGATACCGCCTCCATGCCTGACCGTCACTCTTGGATTCCCGTCCTCGGGGCTGTTCCCCACTTCGGCTTGGAAAGAAGCGACTGAAGACGGACCCCCGATTCCTTGCGGCACCATGGACGAGGCAATACTCGAAGCATCGCTGGCTTCATATGCGTGCTTTTCTTCTCCGGGCTCTTCTTGGGCAGGATATGAGACATACGCGTCGGTGTTGGCGGGAGCTGCAAGCCTACTTTGGCCGTGGCTGGATGTGACTGCTGCGGCACCGTGGCTGCCGGAGATGTTTTGACTGTCGTTTGGTAGGCTCTGTACTGTGTGTGTGTTCACAGGACGGAATTGTGTGGAAGGGCGTACTGTGGAGGAAGCAGTGGAAAAGTTAATATTACCAGCCTGCGTTTGGACAGTGGTAGTTGACCGTCGTCTCTTGACGGTAGAGGTCCTCTCGACGGGTAATTGCGGTGGTGATGTCAAATTCACTCCTTTAACTCGAGGATAGCGACCAAGCCCACCTGCATATTCCGAGGCGATTTGGCGAGACTCATCATAAAATGAAACTGCGGAAATCTGTTAGCATATATTGTGTTGTATCAAATGCATGATACAAACTCTACGTACTATTCCATTCGGTTGTCGGCGGAACAAAGGGTATAGACTTGGTTTGGATGTCGATGAAGTTTAACCGTAAGCCACGCTTGCACTCCCGATTTCCCTTGCGGCAGTTGAGACAGTCTGGCGTTCCTTCATCGCATTTCAGATGCCGTTCTCGACATGTCAAGCATCCGGTACGGACTCGTCTTGACTTGTTCGGTGCCGTAGCGACCGCAGGTACGGCAACAGCTGCCGGTGCTGGAACGGAGGTGGATGGCGACGGAGACATTTTTGATGCAGAAGGTGAGATCACATAGCCTGATGCGGTATCTCCTTTAACGAATTTTGCATTGTTTTTGAGACCTCCACTTCCTCTGCGTCCTTGCGAGTTGCCCCCGCCGAGCTGAATGCTGGACTGGCTGCTCTTTCGACTGTGTGATGTTGGCGGACGGCTGGTCACGGGGTCGTTGTTGCTGTTTTTACGACTTGAGGAGTATGCTAGGAGTCCGCCCCCTCCAACTCCACTCCCGATCGGAGACATGCGGCGGTTGCTGCTTGCAGTGGGAGGGCGGCTTCCCATGGATTGTTGCGAGGAGCTAAGTCGCCGTAACGAACCAGCCATCTGGGGAATTGGTGGTGGCAGCGGAAGAGGTGGCAACTGGGGAGTTGAAGATAGCATTGGACCAGACGGGACAATGGATGGTAATGGCAAAGTTGGCGGTGGCGGTAACGTTGTGGGATAGCTGCCTCCAGCTGAATATGAAGCGGAGAGATGAGGGCGTTTTGATTGTGAATAATCAAAATCATTGTCTAGGCTGTTAGAGGCGTACCGTGCCGCATTTTTATTTTCCGGATACACTTGCGATCGAGTCGCCGGGCCATCTGCCGGATACGGAGACCGACGTTCTCGGGATGGGTTCTGATACACTGTCGCTAACACAGTGGGCGGTGGATGCGAGGCTGTGGCCGGATCAAATGGCGGTTGTGATGCAGTGCTGGCGAGATGGATCGGCTGCGTAGACGATGATGGGGTGCAACGTTGGTCTGTCGCCCTGGGGCATGTGGTCAAGCTCATGCTGATGCAAGTCCTTGTTGCTCTCGCCGCACCACTGTAGGTGGGCACGAGGGCCGGGGGAGAAAGCTGTTGCACAGGTCTGTGATGGTGTCAAGATGAGCCACCTCACAGTGCTTGTCAGGACTGCAGAGGGGATACCAAAAGCACAATAATGGTCTGAAGTTCATAGACGCAAATATGGATGATCGCAGGCTCTTGGATTAAGTTCGGCGTGTATTGGCGGGCGGAATGTTTACTGCGTAACTTTGGTGTGTTCTTCGGCACTGCTGTGTTTTTTTCCAAGGAAAGATTGAATTGAGGCTTTTTTATTTTGAGCCTTTGTACGCCGCCATCCGCAGAGTCCTAAGTTACATGCGCTGGCGTTGTGGCTTGCAGGCGCTTGATGTCGTTTCGATCGGTGACGTCTTGATAAACCTGCCACAAAAGATGGAAAATGAGTTGTCGTGTGTTTGTTTATGAACACCTATCGTGGGTTTCTGATGTCTGCAGCTTGCCGTGCCCCCTCCCAAGAGTGTTTCCACGGCGTTGCAACCGTACTTGTCGATATATCGGTCACATATATAACTTGAACTGGTGGAAGTGAGCAAAGCCGCCAGACAATCTGCGGCGAGCAAATTGCATGGAAGGTAAGACAGGGGAACAAAGGTGGGAGCTGATGGCCAAGGGCCGTGGTCCAGAGCTCGAGACGGCGAGGTGATAGCAAAGACTGGCGGGTGAGTGGAAGGTGAAAACAGTAAAGTTATTAAGGGGACCGAAAAGTATGGGGTTTAAGCAAGGTCAAGAGACAGACAATGTATCGAAGAGGGTAGCAATCAAAGCAGCTCACAAGGGAACAGATGTGGAAACATGTTGCCGAGTATGCGGGTTATTAAAGATTGGTGGTACTAGGGGGGTGTGGCAGGCCAGCACAGCGAGATAAAGTGCCATGCAACAACCAGGGTGGGAGAAGTGTGAAAGACAGAGGAGAAGGAGAAGGTAGGAAAACAAATCAAAAACATAACACAATGGAACAAAATAAACCACAAGCACAAACAACGATATTGGTGAGGAGGACGAAAACAACCGATCGCAGAAAGAGGAAACGTATCCACTGACACCACAAATCAATATCGGAAATCATCCGGTACTGTCCGTCAGGGGGTGACGACGCCAGCGCCTGGTACGAGTCGAGGAGATGCAGATATCGGCCTAGAACGTATATCGGTATGTGTCGAAGTGAGGGATGTTTGGCATGGATGGAGTTGTTTGATCGAAGAAATCTTACGGCGTGCGCTGTGTCCACGGGGGGGGCGCATGCCCAGGGAACCTTTCACTTCTTGTATCTCGTTTCCTTCTCTATCTTGCTTGGCTGTGGATGTACTTTTCGTTCGCGTGTTCTGTCGCCAATAGGCTGGTCTGGGAGCAAGCCGTGGTGTCTTAAACCTCGAGCAAGTAAACGAGTCCGTACATTGCACAGCAGCTGCAGGTGGTTGTGCAGACACAAGAAATTGCCAGCATCAGGGGGTGGGGGACGTTGGCTCCACGGGGGGTGGATTGGACACAAGGGAGGTGAGGCACGAGAGGAACGATGAGAAGATGCGGGTGAGAGCTTTTCAGGAATATTTGTGCTGGCCACGGTCAAGATGCTAAAGTTGTGTTGTAAAGGGAAGCCACGACGGTTCCCCAATGTTTACTCAATGGCTTCCAAGGTGGGAAGGTGTATGACAAGCGGGGATTTGCAGCTTCCGTTGGGAAGAATTTCTTGGCGATGCAGACGGAAGGAGCGGATGCGAAGTTGGGAATATGAGGAAAGTGACAAGATGCGGAAGGGGCCATCGGCGTCATGGCTGAGGTCTACAGCAGCTGGAGTGGAAGTCACTAGGGAAGGAAGGTACATTCGACGAAGGCCTGTGCTGCACACGGGAAGCCTCGCACAAAGTGGCGCAAATTCTGTGTTTGTTGATAAAAGAGCAAGAGTGAAGGTCCCCAGCCGGGGAAGGTAGATCCCGACCGCTGCTGTCGCCTGCTGCCTTCCCTTTGTAAGACGTCCCCGACCTGCATTCTGCGCGATTGTTGTTTGCCCCCTTCGAAACTTTTCATTCACCTACTAAAGTTTATTTCTCTGAGCTATGCATGTACCAAAATCCATATGCGCACCCCACACAACAACACTCATACAGATATCCGGCAACGGACCGCAACCCACCCTTGAAGCACCAGGATACCCGAGTATCCGTGACGATCAGAGATCCATCAAAGAAGCTGCAGAGAACATGTCGCAATGCTGTGGAGAGCGGAAGAGCAGGGTTGGCAAGCTCCCGAAGACTGCGCTAGGATGAGTGGGAATGGTTGGTTGCGTTGCGTTGCCGTAAGGCTGGTCCAGTAGTTGATGAGCCCGACGAGGTTGTTCAACTCCCTTCTGGTCCACCGCTACAGGGGTTTCTGGCCAGGCCTCACGTCGCCGAGCCAGGCATAGCGACCAGGGCATGGATGTTGCCTCTTCCGCCCCGCGCCTCCGTGTCAAGTTACTGGCGCCAGGGAGGCTCCCCTTATCCGCTTTAACTCGCGTATGCACTGACAGAGATGCAGGTCCTCTTTCGATTGGCACACACCCCGTCTTGCTATCCGACAACAGCGACTTTCACTTGAGAGATCGAGTGACAACCTGACCAAGGCTGCAGGGCAGGAAGCGAACAAACCTGAATCGACGATGTCGTGGCGGTCTGATCCATGGATCGTGCAGGTCACATCGACGAGACGGCTCTATGGCCGCCTGTCTGACTCGAGTTCCTTTCCCGTACACTTTACGACCTGACGCAGAATGTCATGCCTGACAAATCGTGTTGGTCTTCTGCAACGTCCCGTTTCTTCGATTTCTTCTACTTTTTTGACAGCCACCTGGTTCTAACGTTTCGAAACCACCTCCAAGTTTTGACACAGGCACTGTGGCAGGGTCAAAAACAAAACAAGGCAAGGTTAAGCGTCAAAAAGGTGTGTAGGCTTTCAAGAACAAACGAACGAGAAGCCGAGTTAATTCTCCGAAGCGGACCAAATTTCTAGACCGTGCCCCAGTCGAGGGCAATCAAAATACGACGGCAGACGACCTGTTCCCTCTGTGCCTCCCATTATCCCATAGACACCGTTATGCTGTCAATGCTGTGGCCAATTGGCTTTGGGTAGTGGCCGCAACCTTTTTCTGCTTACGCCCCTTCTGTAGGTCCTGCAGGTGCCGCAGGCACTTGATTGATTCCCCTCTGGGTGATTTCGTTCTGGTCTCATACCGGTGCGGCTGCATGTTTTGCCAGGAGCACCTTGCCGGACTACAGAGTATTCCTTCTCGAATTGTTCTTTCAGATCGGCTTCGCACATCTTACGACTACTCGAAATTCTTCACAGAGCCCACGAAGCTTCCAAACGTGGTTGGCAACGTGACAACCGCGATGCCAACCTTTTCTTGGCTTTTGGGGCCGTTTGATCGACATGTTCGGCCGGAGTTGCAGGCGATGCGACACAGAGCCAGGGTGCCAAGATATTTGGAAGCTTCAAGAACTTCCTTGACAACTTATCATTGTCCCGAGCAGGTCCGCGGCGGCAAAGATCTGGAGTCCTTCTGACAAACCAATTATGTGATTCGGGCAGTAGAATACGCCAGCAAGCAGAACAAAACTCGCTGCCTCGGGTAATTCCTTTGAACATGGCAAAACTGAAGATGCAGCAATCCACTGGGGAATGCGACACACGGACATTTGTGAGGCCTGCTCCAAGGCACGTGTGCAGGTAATAATACAGTTGTCAGGCCGAACGAAAGACAAGAAAATCGCTGTTTCGTTTCCAATTTGCCTCATCGGTTGCTTGCCAGGTTGTTTTGCGAGCTTTATCATTGTTTCCTCTGAGCACACCTTCGCCAAAGGCCTTCAATACTGTTGTCCTTTTCTTTTCCTTTTGTTGTATATGACTTCTTGCCTGTCTCTCCCGAACCACTGACGACAACCACAGCAGAGCGGCGCAGCGTATTATCTGTCTCCTGTTCGAGAGACCGTGCGTTCGGAAAATATTCTGGGATGCTATCGGCCTCGACAATTTTTTATATTGATTAATATCCCGACGGGAGAAACCATACTGCCGAAGGAGGATTGAAATTTAACCATTGATATCGCAGAAAAAGGAAAATAACGGCCATCGCTTTTCTACTTTTAATATCAAGCATGACTGTGAGCACCCAGGCTCAAGATAGGCTTTGATGCTGATTTTCGCGGCAGGATAAAAAGGGGTTCACCTTACGCCTGCAAGGAGCGCGCGTCTTGCACTGGCTTCGCCTTTGCGACCTCGGAGAACCCTGTATCCGAAATATGCACCCTTGAGCACTCCTTCTGGAAGGATTCGAAGAGTGACGAGCAAATCTACACCGCACGTCAACGACAAGCCACCTTCCAAAACAACATAGAAACTCCCGAGCCGTGTTCCCAGCCAGTACCGGTTCTGCTTAGATATTTTACACTGCCGAATTTTCTTTTACTTTTCTTCGCAATATCAGGCTGGAGCCATGTGGCAAACAAAATGGAATGCGGCTAAGAAATAAAGGCCCCGTCAGATATACGAGGTTCTCTACACAAGTGTGGAGTTATCCAACGGCAATTTGACAATGGGCCAAGGGAAGGCCCAACTGTCAAGGAGACAGAAGTGGGAACATGCTGAGGGACTCTGTTTGCATCGTTTCGTCACACGGCTACCCCGGTACTTCTGTCCTCCTTGAGGAGCTCAGCTCAGAGAGGTAGCTTGGCATGCCAATACCAGTTCATAAACGATGTGTTGCAGATTTCTAACCAAAATATTTTGCCAGGTTTCGTCTTCCACAAACATAGTATATCCCCAAATGGCCTGCTGCTGGCTTAGTAGCCCTTGACGGTCTTGACGTTCTTGATCTTGTCCCAGACCCACGGCGTCAGCGTCGAGCTGAAGTTGTTGCTGAACTTGATGTCAAGGTAGTTGTAGCCTTCGTCCGGCACCCACTTGGTGGCGATCTTGATATTGGCATAGGTCTCAAGGCCCTCGACCGTCGGCTTCAGCGACTCAGGTAGCGGCGTCTCGACGCCGTTCTTGTACCACGCGGCATAGTACACAATGGCCAGCATGATGCGCACGTTGCTGGTGGGATTGGGCATTCCCGCGTGCCACAGACGCAGGTCACGCAGGACAATAGAGCCTTTCTTGATGCGCGGGTAGATGGGCGGGCGCACGGCGCGACGAGCCTCGAGCTTCTCGGGGGCGATCATGGGCTCGCCGAGCTCGCTGTGGTCCTTGATGTTGGTGTTTTGAGTGCCAAGCCAGAGTTCAGTGGAGCCGTTTTCGGGGCCGACGTCGACCAGGCACGTGTTAAAGGCAATGGCAAAGGGGTGCTCCGGGTGCTCGAAGCGGATGTCGGAGTGCACCAGCTGGCGCTCGCCGGTGGCGAGCAGGGTGTTGGAGCGGATGAAGTGGACCTCGGGCCTGGGGCCGAGGACGTTGGAGACGATGCGGGCGCCGTGCTTGTTGGCATAGACTTCGGGGAAGAGGTAGTCCTTTTCAAGAGGTGGGACCTGAGACAGGTTGCCGCCGATGGCAGCGCCTTTTGTGCCAGCGTTGACATTGAGATGGCTATTTCGCGGTCAGCGGAGAACGCGTGCAGCAAGGGCAAAGGAGAGGGAGCCCAGCGAGGACAAAGCAAAACCACCTACTTGAAGTGAACGTGGCCCTGGCCAGCCAGGAGGCGCTCGGTGTCTTGCAACATGCGGTTGTTGAGCTTGTCGATGATGGCTGCGTCAATGGCGTTTTCGACAACGACGAGACCATCCGTGAAGAAGGCCTCGATGGCGTTATAAAGCTTAGAGTCGCTCATGACGCCGCTGTCGCGCTCCTCGTCGGTCAGCGCGATGACCGTGGGGTGGTCAATGACGTCTGTACTTTGCGCCATGATGGGTGTCGAGGAACATGGAGGGAATGAGGACGTGCGGAATGCCCGTGGAGAGATTCAAGAACAGATTAACGGTCGACAAAGTCTGACTATTCAAAGAGAAAAGAACGTAAGTTGTCTAGCATTGGACGTGGGACTTGCTTCAGGTGGCCTTTTAGGATCTGACGTTTTTTGTATATCTGGAAAACCCCCCATCAGCACAACGGCGGCTCCGGAGTTGACCTTTGTCGGTTCAAGGCCTGCAACGTACGACAACGAGCGCCGGTGATCGCAGCAGGCCAGAAAGACAGCCGTCGCGAGATGACAGAGAGATCGTGGAGCGAGAGAGACAGGCCGACATTTTTCCTGCCACGGCCTACCCTTGCCCACGCTTGCGTTCGGTTTCTGTTTTGCACCCGACGCATGACATGCCCGCCGCCGTATTCCGTTGTCCTTTCTCCCCTTGTCCATCCCACACGTCCCCACCATCCGGGAAATCAAAAACAAAAGCGAGAGCGTGCGGAGAAACCCGATCGGCTGCACTAAACTAGACGGAGCCTACCTCCGCTCGGGCACGTTTTGCTTCTTTGAGCTCAACAGGCCTGTCTCGCACTGGGGGGAGGAGCCAGGAGATAATGCCAACTGGCTGCTTCTGGACTGCGGGGCGCGATTGATGGCAGCGGTTGCCGTGGTTTGGAGACGCCGACGTCGCAGAAGATTCGCAGGCACCGTACACATCATATTGGAGTGCCGGCGCGTTTTTCGGAGTGAGCACGGAATTGTGACCTCGACAACATTTACAGCCGTCCAATACTACAACTGTAACTGCGACAGGAACGCTATATTGATCGCAAATTCGAGACCGCAATATCGACTCCAAAGACACACATACACGCACACACACACAGAATGGCAGAACAGCAAATCTCGTTCAAGGTCGAAGACCTTTTCTCCGTCAAGGGCAAGGTCGTTGTCATTACCGGCGGCGGTTCAGGCCTGGGCAAGGCCATTGCAGAGGCCTTTGCGGTCAACGGGGCGCGCGTCTACATTTCGGGACGGCGGCAGGAAGTGTTGGACACGGCAGCCAAACAGATTGGGGGTGATATTCACACGTAGGTTCCCAGAGCCTCGCCTGCTTGGCTTGTTCCACGACGTACTGCTGACAAACGGCGCAGCATCCAGGGCGATGTCCAGACAGAAGAGGGCTGCAAGGCCATTGTGGCGGCCGTGGCAGCCAAGGAGTCCCATGTGCGTCGAGGCCAAACAATCGACGACCGTGATTCACAATGGAAGACGGCTGGCGACTGACGACTGACAAACTAGATCGATACCCTGATTAACAATGCGGGCGTCAACAGCCCGTGGCGCGTCCAGGCAAAAGATCACAACAATGGTGCGCGAGGATGGGATGTGTACTCATTACGAGAACGAACAAAATGATGCTGACATAATTGTTTAGCCGAGCAGGTGCAGAATCTGTTGATGAACGGCCTGACAGAGTTAGTTTTGCACCACAAGAAAAGATAAGTGAAGGCTGACGTTCTTGAGGATCTGTCGCTGACTCGACATAGGGAGGACTTTGATCGGAGTAACCAGAGTGAGCCAGCCGTATCTCCGCAACGAACACAGAGAGAGATCGCATATACTAACAGACAAGTCAACGTCATGGGCGTCTACTTTATGACGGTCAATTTCATCCCGCTCCTGCGCAAGTCCGCTTCGCCCAATGTCTGCGTAATTGCCTCGCTCGCCGCCATTGCCAACCAGCGCAGCATGGGCTCGCTGACCTACAGCGTGTCCAAAGCAGCCAGTGCGTCCCAGTCCCTGCCATTGACGTGAGCATCCAGTCTGACCAACAGCCGTCCATCTCGCCAAACTCCTCGCCGGCCGCCTTCACCCGTGAGTCCTTCAGCTTCCTGTCCCCGGAACTCCCTCCACGCATCCACGCACACCCCTAACATTGCAGAATGAACATCCGCGTCAACACCATATGCCCCGGCATCTTTCCCTCTGAAATGACGGGCACCACCGTCGGCAAGCACTCGTACGACATCAACCACCAGGCCAAGCGTGCCGCCAAGCGCTGTACTGCGGGCCGGACCGGCCGTCCCGAAGAAATTGTGGCGCCTGTACTGCTGCTATCCAGCCCCGGCGGAGCGTACATGAACTGCGCGCTGCTGACGGTCGACGGCGGCCGGCTGATGGGGGTATCGATTAACGACGGCATCCGCATGCCCGAGGACACGTACACGTGAGTAGATCTTGGCTATGGTGACGTGGATACAAGAGAAGCGAGCCTAACGAAAAATGTAGCGACGAGATTCTTGGTTAAAGCTAGAGGATCGGAATGACCGAGGGATGGTAAACCATGGATTTGTACATATCTCTAGTGTGGGAAAACACGTTGATTGTGTACACGAGTTCCAATCTTTGGAGGTATAAAACTATTGTGGCACGTTCTGAAACACTCTGGCAGGAACTTGTGCTTTTATACCTGTATGCGTGCACGTCGTTTACATTCGTCTTCTTTCCAGATATCTCTGCTCACTGCCCTTTTCAAAACACCCTATACCTCCTCGACCGCCTCGACCTGGCCAGCTGTCTTGTCCTCGACCTCTGTCACGACCGGGTCGCCAAAGGCACCGGCAATCTCCTCGAGCGACTTCTTGCGGGTCTCGGGATAGAAGAAGTAGCCGACGATGGTCATGACAATGGTGCAGCCGACAAACACGTAGTAGTAGTTCTCGGCGATGTTTTTAAAGGCCGTCGGGCCGGCCTCGGTGATGCCAATGTTGACGACAAAGTGGGACGCCGTGGCGAGGGCGACGACCTTGTTGCGCATCTCGAGGGGCAGGATCTCGGGCGGGTAGATCCAGACGGTGCTGCCCAGGAAGCTGTAGTAGACGACGGCAAACAGAAAAATGCCCAGGATGGCAAAGCCCTGGCCGACGTGGTTGGTGCCGGTGGCGAAGCCGCGCTGCATCTCGGCCGTGTAGATCTCGACGAGGACAATGCCGGCCATGCCCGTCAGCAGCATCTTGCGGCGGCCCCACTGGTCGATGAGCCAGAAGGTGGTGGCGCAGTTGCAGAGGAACGAGACGGTGCCGTAGACGCCCGCGAGGGCCAGGATGGTCATGGGGCCCATGCCCAGGCCGGTGTAGAGCGTGGTTTGGTAGTACTGGATGACGTTGACGCCCGTCAGGCTGGTCATGACCTGGATGGATATGGCCACGAGCGCGCGGCGGCGGTACAGCGCAAAGACCTGCCGGTACGACGTGATCTCGCGCGCCATCTCATACTCGATCTGGCCCTGCATCCGCCGGAACTCGTCGGCCACCGCGCTGTCCGAGACCAGGTCCCTGCGGATCTTGGCAAACGCGCGGCGCGCGGCGTCCACGCGGCCCTTGCGGATCAGCATGCGCGGCGAGTCGGGCATGAAGGTGACGAGGCCGAGAAACAGCAGCACGCCCCAGGGGATCTGCAGGCCTAGGGGCAGCCGCCACTGCAGGCTGCCGTAGGGCGCATGCGCGCAGGCGTAGCCGACCCAGTTGGCGACCATGATGCCGGCTGTCATGCCACAGCCGGAAATGCTGCCAATGAAGCCGCGGTACGACGGCGCCGAGATCTCGACCAGGTACAAGGGGACGCTGGCCACGAGGCCGCCGATGCCGACCCCAGCGATGGCGCGGCCGGCGAGGAACATGCCCATGTTGACGGCGCCGGTCTGGACGGCGGCGCCAATGGTGACGACGACGCTCAGAAACTGCAGAAAGCCGAGACGGCCGAGACGGTCGCCGAGGACAAACTGCGTGATGGAGCCGAGAGCCTCGCCGGCAATGAAAACGGCGACGACAGCGCCGGTCAGGCCAGCGCCCGGATGACCCATGTAGTCTTTCCAGCTGTCATGGGAGATGGTGGTGGTGGCAATGCCCGTGTCGAAGCCCTGGAAGGATGTCAGTTCAGATGACGTTTGGAGAGGCGGGAAGTTGACTTACAAACAAAAATGTGCCAATGGAGGCAAAGAGGGCGACGCCGATGGCGTACTGGTAGGCAGTCGTCATGTTGACGTGTGTCCAAGGAGAGATGGGTGAATCAATGAAGAAAAATGACAGGCAGAAAATACGAGAACAAAAAGCGGTGGATACAAAAAAAGAAAAGAAAACAAAAGGATCGACAGACGATGAAAGGCCGCGGAAAGGACCAGGAACCCGGGACGGAACGGGCATATAAGAAGGTACAGGAGAAGAAAAAGATAACGGGACGAAACCACGTCGATAAAATGATAAACAAAAAGTCAACGAGCTCGGATATCACAACATCAATAACAAAATACAGGGGCACAAAACAGGAAGACACCAAACGTCAAACTAAACAGAAAACGACATGAGCTAGAGGCGACCGTTCCAGTGCTGCCGGCCAGCAGCATCAACCCCATACAACGCTATCAGAAAACGTGGATGAGTCCCGGAAATCTGGGGAAGTGAAGAGCCGCAGACCAGACCGAGGATGGGGAATTGCGCACAGGATGAAAAGGATGAAAAAGACACAGATGCAACTGCCAGAAAGCGACGCACGCCAGACTTGGCGTGTGCAGACTAGCCTTGCCGACGAGACTAGGCTCAAGTTCGTGGAGCATCCGACGAGGATGGGGACTTGGGATACGGGGAAGGGCCACAATGGTCGGGGATGGCGCCGATTTCCACGAGAGTGAAGAGTAAAAAAGAAAAAGAAACAACTTTCGTGGGGATGCTGCCAAAGGAAGGGTGAGTGGTGCATGCCACAAGTAGCTCTCTGAACCAGGAGCCAGTGATCCTCTACGGGTGCCGACTAGGGAGCCACTTCATATCGTCAGACAAAAGTCCAGTTCGACGCCCACGTCGAGTCGTTCGCCGTGGCACCGTCGTCCCACCACCCATCACCCACGCCTACAATGAAGCTCCTCTATCCCACGTCCCTCGAGCTCGACATGGACAGCCTCCGCGGCTTTGCCGTCGAGCTGTGCCCCTACAATGTGGCCGTCCCCTTTGCCGACGAGCACCTCGACGCCGACATCATGGTCACCTGGATCAACACGCGGGCCAACCTCGCCGACGCCGCTGCCCGGCTGACCCACCTCAAATGGGTGCAGGCACTTGCGGCCGGGCCCAACGACGTGCTCGACGCCGGCTTCGACACCCGCCGCGTGACCATCACCGTCGGCGCGGGCATCCACGACGCCGCCGTCGCCGAGCACACCATCGGCCTGCTGCTGGACGGCGCGCGGCGGTTCTACGAGGCGCGGGACTGCCAGCTGCAAAAGACGTGGCCCGCACGCCTGGGCGGGCCCTACCCGCGGGCGGGCGAGTTCCGGACGCTGCGGGGCGCGCGGGTGCTTGTCTGGGGCTTTGGCGGCATTGCGGCCAAGCTGACGCCGCTCCTGCGCGCGTTTGGCGCCGAGGTGCGCGGCGTGGCGCGGCGACCCGGCGTGCGGGCGGGCGTCGAGGTTCTGTGCGACGACCAGCTGCCGCGGCTGCTGCCCGACACCGATGCGCTGGTGATGATTCTGCCCGGATCAGAGGCGACGCGCGATGCACTCGACGCCGCGCGACTGGCACTGCTGCCCTCGCATGCTTGGGTGGTCAACGTCGGCCGCGGCATCTCGGTGGACGAGGACGCGCTGGCAGACGCGCTGGACGCTGGAACGCTGGGTGGTGCGGCGCTGGATGTATTCAAACAAGAACCTCTGCCGGCAGACAGCCGATTGTGGGCGACGCCCAACCTGTTGATCTCGCCACATGCTGCCGGTGGACGGCCCGACGGCTGCACGGATTTGATTGCAGAAAACCTGCGCAGTTTCCTAGCAGGGCGGCCCATGAAGGGTGTCTTTCAGGGGGGGAGGTGAGCTGCAGTAGTAGCGTGAGACGCGGCGATACGCGGCGTAGACTATAGAACTATAATCATATATGGATGAACGATCACATTATGGACACAATACACAATGACTGCAGGTACATGCACGTCCGCTCAGACAACATCCATGTCAAATGTCTATTGATTCTGTCAAATCCATGTACCATCGATCTGCGCCTACTTCTTCGCTGCAGCCGCCAGCTTGGCCTCCTCGGCGGCCAGCGGGCCCACGACGCCCTGAATCCACTCCTGCTCCGTGCTGTCGCTGAACGGCGGGTACGGCCGGCGGCAGTGGCAGCTGGCCAGCGGGTAGCCGCGAATCGTGGCCACCACCCACTTGGTGCCGTTGATGCCGCCCTTGCCGAACCCCCACTCCATCGCCGCCAACCGGAGCTGCATGGCCTCCGCGGCCGCTACATCGCCCCGTTGGTACGCGTCGAAGATGGCGACGCACACCCGCGGGTACAGGTTGGCCACGCCCGTGATGGCGCCCGTGCTGCCGACCGCCAGCGCCGGCAGCAGCCAGTCGCTCTGGCCCGCAAGCGCGCAGAACGCCTCGGGCGCAAACTCTGCGCGCACGCGCGCCACCTTGGCAATGCCGCCGCACGTCAGCTTGACGCCGACAATGTTGGGGTGCCGGCCGAGGCGGGCGAGCATGTCCGAGTCGACGTCGAGCCCGGCCACGACGCCGGGGAAGTTGTAGATGAGCACGGGCAGCGGCGCGGCCGAGGCCAGCGCCTCGAAAAAGGCCACAATCGCCGCCGCGGTCATGGCAAAGTGAAAGTAGCTCGGCACCAGCACCAGCGCAAAGTCGGCGCCCGCCGCCGCCGCCGCCTTGGTCTCGGCAAGCACCTGGTGCGTGCTCTGCCCCCCGCAGCCGACCGCAATCACCAGGTCCGACTGGGCCGCCGTGGCGGCCGCGCGCGCCTCCTGGACAAGCTGCGTCTTTTCGTCCGGCGACAGCGTCACCGCCTCGCCGTTGGTGCCGGCAATCACGATGCCGTGCAGACCCGACGTGGCCAGGAACTGGAAGTGCGTGCGCTGCACGTCCCAATCAATCTCCTGCGCGGCCGTATCTCGAAACCACGTCAGGCTGGGCACGTGGATTCCCGGCGGGAAGGGTCTACTGGCAGTGATGGAGCACATTATGTGTGTGTGTGTGTGTGTGAGTATGTGGTTTGTTGTCGTGGTGGTTCGGAGAAGGAGGGGGGCAGTCGTTGTGGGAAGAGATGTGAGAATTGAGAGATAATGTGGGAAGACAGTCAAGTGATATCATCTACGTTCTTTGTCAGAACATAGAGATAGACGTACAGGGCCAGAATATTTTGTTTACTGTCTCCTCTCCAGCGCTTATCCTACATCGGACCTCTCAGCATTCGCCTTCTTTTGCTTTATGTTTTCCCTCCCTCATTTCCTAAGCTATACCCTACTCTGCCTCATTCACTGTCTCCAGTCCACGTCACGTCACCCGGTGGAAGAACTCCGTCGGTCTCGAACCCACCGATCCCAGCATTCCACCACTTTCACATCGTCTTACAATGGCTCTGCGACAGACACTAAACCAAAGGCATCGGCCTCGAGTCTGTCTGATCGGTTACGCTAAGTGCTGCCAAAAGAGGACTCCACTGTGGGCTTGAGGAAGCCGCACTTTGTCGAATTCACTAATTGCCGATCGGCCGGTCCGCTTTGCGAGCCAACAAGACCTCAGATTCCGTGCGTTGCATGCTCCGTTTATGTATCAACTGCTGCACTCGGCTCAATTATTTACTTTGCAGTAACAAGTATCTCGTTGCGAAGAGAAGGTCTATCCTTCCGCACGGCGAGATCGCTTCCAGACGTCTTCAGTACGGCCGCTTCACACCTCGTAGATAAAGCCGAGCATAGAATTCTTGTAGATTTCTCCTAGAATTGGTAAAATAAACACACCACAGGGCACGGCAGACCCCTGCAACCCACCGCCTCCCACGCCATGGCTTCTCCAATCGTCGGCACCGCACCCGTCGGGTCTCCCCCGCACGAGACCCAGACACAGAGCCCCGCCATCATGGTCATCGGCTCACTCAACGCCGACCTTGTCACCTATGCCCCGCGCATGCCCGTGGCCGGCGAGACCCTGGCCGCCAACGGGGTCCGCACTGGCCTCGGCGGCAAAGGCGCCAACCAGGCCGTTGCCTGTGCCAAGTTGGGTCGGCGGTCGCCTGCCAACAGAGGCGTGAATGCGACAGCGGCAGCGGCAGCGGCACCCGCTCGCGCCGTCGCAGCTGTGTACATGGTCGGCGCTGTGGGCGATGATGTGTACGGGCGAAAGGTGACGTCAGCGCTGTCGTCCGTCAGCGTCGACACGTCTGGCGTGGCTGTCCGCGCCGGCCAAGGCACCGGTGTCGCCGTCATCTTGGTGGACGATGCGGCCGGCGGCGAGAACCGCATACTTTTGTCGGCCGAGGCAAATGCGACACTCCAACCACAAGTCTACGCCGCGTCTCTCTCATTGACGCCCGAGGACTGCCTCCCGTCTCTCCTCCTTCTCCAACTTGAGATCCCACTGTCTACGGTTCTCCAAGTCCTGCAGACCGCCCGCCGCCAAGGCGTGCCGGTGCTGCTCAACGCTGCGCCTGCAGAGCACCTACCCGACAACGCCTAAGCCTGCATCGCCCGCCTCGTCGTCGACGAAACAGAGGCTTCGCTCCTCAGTGGGGCCACGCTCGACCTTGATGCGGCAGCGGACAGGCGGGACAGCGAGCTGGCGCGCTTCGCTGGCCACTTTCTGCAGCTGGGCGTCCAGCATGTGGTCATCACCCTAGGCGGCGCGGGGGTCTACAACGCCAGTGCTTCGACACACACGCACAGTGGCCTGGTCCCCGCCGCCCCAACCACCGTTGTCGACACGACCGCCGCCGGCGATACCTTTATCGGCGCCTACGCGCTGGGTCTCGTCCAGGGCAAAACCGTTGCTGCCGCTGTGGCTTGGGCCAATCGTGCCGCTGCAGTGGCTGTCGGTCGGCAGGGCGCACAAGAGTCGATTCCTTGGATGGACGAGGTGAAGGACGCCGACGCATGAGGAGGGGCGAACGTGAGGGCCCAAGACGCAAGGCCGAAGGTGCAAGGTCGGATTGAGGTCGGCAGATAAAGTGGACCCAAACTTACACGCTTGGCGTACCGCAATGATACGCCATAATTTCCTGTTTTAGACTAGTGTATCCGACGTACGTCGGATGCCGACCACCGCATATTACCACGTTGTCTTCGACACCCCGTGTTTGCTCGTAACTGACCCAGCTTAGCAGATAGAATCGCTTGAATCACTCGAGAACTTCATGTCCAGACCCATCTGTCCTTCCTTCCCCCACTGTCTCCGCACAGGCAACGCCAATGACCTTTGCGACCGGCTAGTCTGCTATTATCGTTGTCTGCCTTTTCTGTGAACTTTCTACTGTGCGACCAAGAGCTTCCTTGACGCCGCAAAGCATAACCCTTAACTGCATGTGTCTACCCAATTCGTGTGCCCTTCCATTGCGCGTCTTGTCCTTTGTCTGTACGAACATATCGTCTCTCCTATCTGAGAGCCCTCCTCGGTCTCCTCTGTCCTGGTCCTCGTCCACCCCTGCCATCTTCACAGTCCTGCCTCCACTATGTCCAAGCCCATCATCCTCCACCTGGGTGACCCCGTCCACCACAACATCGAGCTTTACGAAAGCCTAGCCCAGCAGTTCACCATCGTCAACCCGCCCCTCGCAGACCGCCAGCGCCCGGTATTCCTCGAAGCCCTTCGCTCGCGCAAATGGGGTGATTTCCAGGCCATTATGCGGCCCTTCTGGTCCACGGGCGGCGAGATGGGCCGCTGGGACAAGGAGCTGATCCCACTGCTACCCGGCTCGCTCAAGGTGTTTGCGTCGGCGGGCGCCGGCTACGACTGGGCCGACGTGGATCTGCTGGCCGCGGCCGGCATTTTGTACTGCAACGGCGCCTCTGCGTCGTCCGAGGCCGTCGCCGACATGGCTCTGTACCACATCATCTCCGTCTTCCGCAACATGCAGTGGTCCAACATGGCCGCGCGCGCGGGCGACACCGCCACGTTCCTGGACGCTCACCACAATGTGCCACACACAGCGCGCAACCCGCAGGGCCACGTCCTCGGCATTGTCGGCCTCGGCAACATTGGCCAGCGCATCGCCACCAAGGCCGCCCACGCCTTGGGCATGCACATCGAGTACTATGACCCGTTCCCCAAGACGGCCGAGCAAGAAGCCGCCGCCGGCGGCGCCAAGCGCCACCCGACGCTCGAGTCCATGCTGGGATCGGCCGACTGCGTCGTGGTGGCGGCGCCGGGCAGCGGCGGCAAGCTGATTGACGCGACACGGATTGAACAGATGAAGAAGGGCGCGCGGCTCGTCAACATTGCGCGCGGCGGTCTCGTGGATGCGGGCGCCGTGGTCGACGCACTGGCGTCGGGCCAGTTGGCCGCCGTCGGGTTGGACGTGTTTGAGGACGAGCCCCTTGTCGACCCGCGTCTGGTGGCCTCACGACAGGCAACGCTGACGTGCCACACGGCGGGTGGTGCGCTCGAAACAAACATTGGCTTTGAGCGTCTATCTATGGAAAACGTGCGCAACGTCCTGACGGGCCAGCCGCCATTGACGCCCGTGAACAAGCATTTGTTCAAATAAGCGCCTTGCTTTGTTGTTTGCTTTATTGTAAAACCCAAATTTTGTGCTTCCTTTCTTTCTTCACATAGATCACACAATGGCAAAACATGAATTGAAGATGGCGTGCATGACCGACCGGATGTCTACTCGTGCTTGCGCCGCATCCTGCCGGGCCTGCAGCTCTGCCAGCACCTGCGCCGTGATTTTCGAGTTGCCGGCCACCGTCTGCATCCGCATAATCTGCGTGTGGATCCACACCCGTTCCACCGGGTCAGGCTCTTCGGAACCCAGCATGAGCAGCGGCCACAGCATATTGGCGGGAAGCGCGTCCTCGGCATCAAGTGCCTCCACCAACAAACGCGCCAGGCGCCGGATCTGCGCCAGCGCTTCCGTCGCCTCTTGGGTTAGGGGCAGCGTCTTGTAGGCCACGCGGTGCAGGTGTACTTTGCTCGCGTAGTAGTTGCAGAGGTACGTACGGAAAGACCGCGTCACGGCAAACGCCAGATGGGCCGACACGTGTGCAGCCGTCAGCTTGCCCGCCACTGCATAGTCCATTAACATCGGTCGGTTGTCATAAAGCGTCCGCAAGTCCTTGGCAATGGCCGCCCCAATGTTCATGACATCGATTTCGTCCTCCACTGTACCGCGAGACCGATGCCATGGGTCAATGCGCGAGATCCGACCCATGAAGCTTTGCACCTTTTGGAAAAAGTGGATGCCCGGCTGGTACAGGATCTGGAACAGCACGTCTTCTATATCGTCCTGCGGCGGTTCAATGCCGGTCGGCGTGGCGATCTTCCCGTCGGTGCTGCCCATGGTGCGGACGGGTCCACCATTGGCAGCTCCACAAGCGTCACTGTCCATCTGACCGAGTTCCGCCTCAAGTGCACCCGCTGGTGGCGTCTCTGCAAGCAGCCCCTCGTCGTCTGTCGACAAAAAGAGGCCTTCACCGCCAGCCGATACCGCACGGCCGTCGAGTAGTCGAAGCCACAGCAGGAACTGCCGCTCGACTGCGCTGAACTTGCCTCCCTTCTCACTGCTCTTGAGAATATCGTGTGCACGTTTGAGGTTGGCATGTGCGGCATCGATACGGCCCTCGAGTATGTCGACGTAGCTGAGGAAGAAGAGAGTCGCCAGGAGGTTTTCTCGGTGGGCGCTCGACCTTGCCAAGGAAAGCACAGGTTGTGCGGCTGGCGCACGCGCCTGTACACTACCTGTCAGGAACCGACCATGAAGTTTGCTGTTCCCGTTCTTGTTTTGATTAAGGCCATTTGCGTCGTTTGGCGCAGCGACTCCCGCCGCTGCGTAGCCAACGTTGACGCCGGCATGGCCGTTTGTGGATGCACCCTTGTCGGTCGTGTTACCATGGTTTGTCGCGGCTGATATAGTCGTAGATTCTGTTGTCCCTGACGTTCCAGGCACGTTCTCATCGTTACCATGTCTATTCGTGTCGTCTTGCCGTTGGCCACCATCCAGGAGTACGGCCGCCGTGGCCGCCATTTCCATTGCGGCCAGTACCTCTGCCAGCGCGTTTTCGTAGTGGTTCTGTCGACTGGCCATCCATGCGCCCTCCCGCTGCACCAGCATAAAGTTGGAAAATGCCAAAATGGCCCAACGCACCATGGATGACACGTTGGCTCTGCCGACAAGCACGTGGCGCATCACCAGCCACTTCTTCTGCGTCTCGACCTCGGCCAGAATAGGCGGCGTAACGGCGTGTATAAAGTAGTCCATTAGGCGGTAGTTTTCGGCGACTGGTGCTTCGACCGTCTGTGGCGACAGGGAAAGCCTACGTTGTGTGGGCGTATTCCCGTGAATGTCGGTGGCCCTCTGTTGGTGTTGTATAAGGTTGCCGTTTCCGTCGGTCGTCGTACTGCCCGTGCCATTGGTTTGGTTCAGTGTGGCCCCTGTAAGCCCCGGCACTCCACCCATGTCGGCGATGAGCCCACCCACACCCATCTGGTGGCGCACATCCTGCCAAACGTCATCGGAATCCCACATAAAGCTTGCAAAATCGAAGACTTGGTTGACAGCATGAGTAGGTGGTGGCTGTGATGTTGGTTGTTCATCTTGTTGCTGTTGCTCATGCTGCTGTTGTTGGACGAGCATGCCATTCGTGCTCGGTCCGCCTGCTGTGCTTAGTAGGTGCGACGAAGAGGACGACGTCGACGCAGTCACCGATGTCGAGAAGCTACGGTCATGGCCAGAGCGGGGCCCGTTTTCTGCTGGGAACACGCTGCCGGATGCATTGCCGGCAGCGTCGTCGAATGGTGGCCGCTCAAGGGTCGATAGAAAGGCCGACACGGGCCGGTCCGGCAGCTGCAACTGCTGCTGCATGCCGTTGGCGGTATTATGGCCTTGGCCGTTGCTGGTGCCATTGCCTATATGGTGTGATGACAGACTGTGACCATGACTATTGTTTGATGAACCCACAATCGGCCGCCACTTGCACTCCATGTTGAGCCGCTCACAATGCGAGCAGCGTGGCCGCTGCTCATCGCACTTAACCTTTCGTCGCCTGACGGGCAATACATGTCAGTTTGCTAGCTCCGGCAAGGGCCATAGTGGAACTCTTGCGAGAAATATCAAGGCACATTACACCTCCAATCGGGAGCACCGTGTCAGGATCAACTCACTTGCACGTCAGGCAGCCTTCTCTTGAGCGAGCTGAGCGCGCCGATGGAGTTGCCGGCGAGAGCCAGGCGCCGCTGCCGCCGTTACTACCGCCACTGGGGCGCGGTGGCTGGTACTGGTTCATGAGTAGGTGGTGAGTCGGGCTCTGGCTTCACCGTTTCAGAGGCTGAAACTAAACGATCCCGGGCCTGGACAAGATCACTCAGGTATTGTTAAGGGCCCTGCTTCCTGTCGGCACGATGGGGCGACCGGGGAGCGGGACCACAAAAGGCGGGTGAAGATGTATCTCGCGTCCTGGTAATCCCTCAAAAGTAGAACCGGTCGGGAAACGAAATGACAGTGAGGAAGAAGAAGGGAAAAAAAGGGGTATCTCACAAATGAGCAGAATGGCACGAATAGGGTAGGCACGCAAGAAAAGAAGAAAACAACAAATAAAGCCAATGGCAGGAAAGAGCAACCATCCTCCAACTTTCTCCACCGTTTGCCTGGGGTCACTCCTTCCCCACAAGCAACACTTCCGTCCTTTCTTCAACCTCTGCCAGAGATACAGCGGTTACACGGTCCAGTTGGGACCCTCTACAGAAATTTCAGGTCTCCATTGGACAACTTAGGCTTCCCCTGAAAGCCGCTAAAACGTGGCCGCTTTAGCGCCCTCACTGGCTCCATTTCGCAAGAAGTGAGGCACATGTCAGCGTGCACTGAGACCCGCTACGGACCAGACCAGCAGCCTACATGCCCGCTAATGAAGTGGGAATAGTGCACGAGTCGAGGCAGAGCGGCAACATGGCAGTTTTCAACGACGATGACATTGCAAGTTTGTATACCGCGCCCGAGAATTTTGTGCACAGCGGGAGATCTTTCATGTGACGATATCAGTGATTGGTTTCGATGTCGATACGAATAAAGCCAAAATTGTACGACACAATCTAATTGTTTGAATTCATGGCCTCTTCTATCATCCAGGACTGACCGAACTGGGTAGATTCGATTCTGTATCTTAGAACGGACCTGTTTTACTTCTGGCTTTTTCCAATCTCGCACAGTTTCCAACTTTCAAATTTGTGCCTCAGATCATCTTCTCTAGTATCCCACATACCGCCAACCCATGTCGACCTGCTGCTGCGTGACGCCGCTCTTCTTGGCCTTGCGCTGGTCCGCCGGTGAGCCACCAAAAAGACGGTTCATGCGACGCACATGCATCAGGTAGAGCGTAATTGTGATATAAAAGGCGACCGTGCATGCCAGCAGCGTGCCGAACGCGGCATAGAAATGCGGGCTATCGTAGTACAGGTAGCTGCCCCAGATGTTGGACAGGCCGCCGATGGCGTTGATCATGGCAACACCGGCAGCGCGCTTGGGGAACGGACGGGCCATGTGCAGGTGCAAGGTCTTGTAGAGCATAATCTGGGGGCCGGAGCAGACCGAGGGCATGAGCATCATGGCAAAGTAGCGGGCGCCAATATTCAGTGTCGACAGAGCAACGATGTACGCGGCGACGGCGACGCCGAGGCAGCTGACGATGATGATGTACATGACGTTCTTGCGGTCGCTGATATACGACATAACATAAAAGACGATGGCGGCGAGAACGTAGGGCGGCGCTGTGAGGAGAAGCGTGACCATGCTGCTGTAGCCGAGAGTCGAGACGATGGTCCTGCTCGGTTAGCGTACAGTAATCGAGAGCGTAGAATCAATATACTGCAGACAGAGCGCACTTACGGGAAGAAGTTGACAATCGTGCCCATAGCTTGACCCATACCGCCGCACCACACGAGCGCCCAGATCTTGGGGTCCATCATCGCCAGCTTAAAGCCTTGCCACACCGTCGTCTCCTCGTGTGCCTCACCAGCGCCAGCCTCCATCTCGAGACGCCACACAGCATAGTCGCGTTCCACGGGCGTCAACAGACGCTTCGCATTGTGTGGGAACTCGGGCATGATCAGCGCAAAGAGGATGCCACAGCCCGCGGTCACAGTGCCCTCAACAATAAACAGCCACCGCCAGCCAGCAATGCCGTGCCGGCCATCGAGCGTCAGGCACGCAGCCGCCACAAAGCCACCAAAGGCGCTGCCCAGCATCTGGAACATGAAGAGTGCGGCCAGGCGCTTGCCCAGCTGCGAGCGGTCGTACCAGGCACTTAAAAAATAAAGCACCCCTGGGAAGAACACGGCCTCCGTCACGCCCAGGAACACGCGGATGGCCAGCAGGCCCGTGTACGACTTGGCAGCCGCGGTGCTGGCGCTGACAGCGCCCCAGACTGCGGCAGCGCTGCAAATGTACAGACCGGGCCGCGTGATGCGCGTCATGATGAGGTTGGACGGGATCTGGAAGGGCAGGTAGCCAACAAACAGGGTGGAAATGGCCGTGGTAAACTGCTCTGTGGTCATGCCGAGGTTGTCCATGATGCCATAGACCTTGGCGGCGGCGAGGGCAGAACGGTCGACATAGTTGAGAATGTACAGGATACCCATGATTGGCATGATGACCACGTCCATCTTGCGGGTCATCTTGACGCTGATGTGGCGCAGTTCCTCGTCGGACATGTTGGCGATGCTGTCGGGCCGGAGTATCGTGGCCAAGGGCTGCACTTTGAGGTCAACATCGTCAGCTGCGTCGTTCGTGTGGACGGCAGTGACATCGTTCGCCTCGCCCGCTTTGACGTTGCCGAGTTCAAAATTGCGTTCGCTGTTGGTCATCTTTCGTAGTTGTCGGAGTCGGTCAAAGGGGATAAGTAATCAGAACGAGATAATTGGCCTCGTAAGGCTTACTGGGCTCAGATGAAGCCAATTATGGATATGAAGAGGGTGCAAAAGAAATAAAATAACACTTTACGAGAAAAATAAAAGGCAGAAGACTGTAAGACAAATAAACTATGCGGGCTTGCAACTGCATCGCCAACCTTATACACGGCAATCGACAGTCGTGCTCGCTTACGAACAGAGCAGTCGCTTCATCCAAGACCTCTCCTGCTGCACATCTACATTAGAACTCGTTTACCGGGGTCTAAGCTGAAGGGCGTCATCACAGGGCAGCACAACTCGGACTATCGAGCGGGTCATGATGACCTGACCTAAACAGTACGCGACTGAAAGGAACGAAAATAAAAAGGTGCAGACGAAAAAGGGAAGCCGAGTACGAAGCATAGGCGTTTTTCATTCCCCATACTCCATCCCCACGAGGAAATCGGGGGTTCCCCACGAACAGCAAGGTATGTCGGATCGGATGACAAGGCGATTGGATTGTCCCTGCTGTGCACCTCCCCTTTCGATGTCCTGCCCGATGCAGATCAATCTTCTCGGTGGGTCATTGCATGGGAGGTTTGTCGTTAGAGACCCTTGCAGCGCGGCCGGGGTGCTTGGGACTTCTCCGCACACCGAAAGAGGAAATTATCGTCAACTGATTAAAACCTAGATGAACCTTAAACCCGAGGCAAAGGCCGGAAAGTCACGTCCAGATCATGATACTTTGAAATATTGATACCGAAAAATATTATTAGGTGATTCTTGCTGTCAGATATAGTCAAAGATTATGGTGTTGGGCTCTGTCATGAGCCATCTGGAAACGCTGATAAAGGGGAAGCAAAATAATTTGTCTAGATATCTAGGTGTTCATTAATCCATCGTGAGACGGTGTAAAATCAGAAGAAAAAAATAGTGACAGCAACAAGGACAGCAATAGGACAAAAGAGACGACCAAGAAAGGGACATTCATAAATCAAATATTCATGCCCGTATCCGTAGCCCGTCTCTTTCAGGGTGGTAAAAGTCAAGATAAAGAACAACCATCACATCGCTCAAGACTTTTGGTATCATACCGTATCAAAAAGAAATGGGGGAAAAAATAACAAAGGAAATAATAACAAAAGGAATATCAATATGGCAAGTCTCTACTCGGCATCTCCTCTATCAAGATGCCAAGCGAAGTTTGTCGAGAGCCAGGTCCAGGGCTGGGTAGTTGAGCTACTCCCGTGAGGAGATGGACGATGCCGAGGACGATGTGGACGGAAACGACAGCCCCGTGGGGGCATACGGCTCCGTTGACGCCAGAACAATCGGCGGATAGAAAGACACGCCGCCGCCCACCCGCTGATGGCCGAATGCATCCTTGGTTGCGGCACTCTTGCAGCGACGGCAGCAGGTATGCTGGTGCTGGTGGTGGGTAGGCGAAGTAGGCGAAGAGGTCGCCGAGCGGATCGACGTCGGCATCCGCGGGGCCGCCATCGTGGCACCGGACGACATGTTCAGGGGCGCCGTCATGGACTTGGCCAGGACACGGTGGTGCCGGTGGTGCAACGAGGCCTTGTCAAAGCTGCTGGTGCTGTGATTGAGGCTGCCGGGGTCCAGGTGGAGGTCGTGAACCGACGACGGGGCTAGGGTGGCCGAGTCAGAGTAGGTGTCGTATGGGTTCGTAAAGGCTGAGCCAACAATGCTGGCTGCCGCCTTTTCACGTAGCATGTACAGCCTAGGGAGAGAGGGTGGTGTTAGTGAGACAAGGCTCGCAAGAATGGGCAGGACAGTCTTACATTGTGGATGTAAAAGGCGACTCACTCTTCGCCAGAAACGCCTGGCAGGTTGCACATGCTGTCCTCCTTCTTGAAATCAAACGGAGCGGACTAAAACAAGAGAATGGGTGTCAGCCGATGTCACAGTCTCAGCAGTGAGAGAGCATGTGAGGGTTGCAATGCGGATTGCTACTCACAATCACCAGGCGAGGCTTGGTCTTCTTGTTCCGACGCAGGCTGAGAACGTCATGCAAGCGCGAGACGTAGCTCTTGAAGGCATGGTAGATTTGGGCGTTTGTCATTTTCACTGCCGAGAATTTTTTTTTCTTTTTTTTTCGTTGGTTCTTTTTGTAACGGGAAATGAAGCAAATGGCGATGGAGCGATGCTGTAATGTATGATGCGATGGTCTTGGTCTGATGCAGTAACGATGGACAATGACTGTAAGGTGTATCGTTGGAAATCAAATAAAACGAGCGACTGGGCTTTTGAAGCGCAAAAAAAGAAGGCCGAGATCAGGAACACATCAAGCCCGACGAAGATGCATTTATTAATGTCGAGGCAAAACGAGTGACTGGGTTAGATGCTGTGCAGTTACAACATGAAAATGATTAATCATGGGACTTTTCAGGAGGACAGGTAGGAAACGGTGGGAGTAGCCGAATCTAACACTCTTTTGAGTGAACTGAAAGGCTACTTATGAAAGAAATGCGGTGTCGTTTTCGAATGTACGTGTCGTCGCCGATTTTGGCTTCTTTTGTTTGGTTGCGTTTGATAAAGGAGTGGATGGCCTTGACAAAGAAGACCGAGTTTTTTGGTGGAAGACGTTTCAACGACGTGTCATGCTGTGAAAAGTGCGGTAAAAGAAAGGAGCAATGAAAAAGAAACGCTGAAAGAAAGTATTGAACAGAGGGACTGGAAGAACTAAGACAACGAGGCAATGCAGAGAAAAATGCAGAGAAAAGAGACGCGGTTGATGGTTTGCAATGGAGCGATGTGGCAGAACACACAAGACGCAGGTTGACGGCCAAAGTGTAGACAGACTGACAACAGAATGGCAGAGAAGTTGGTTTGACAAAATGGATGCTACTCTGTCGTCCCTTTTATTCACAGTCAACCGCGCCCTCGAGACATCAAGCATTCTTCGTGGTCTTCTTTCCTTTTGCCTTGCAAATGAACTTGGATATTTTCGAAATGTGTGCTTTCGTCTGCTTCTCTAGCCTTCTCCATTGGTCATTCGCCTTGTCTTGTGCCACTGGAATTCGAGCATGTTGTTTGGCCCCCAAAAAGGGATATGCATTCGCAAACGGCTAGCTGTGTTGAGCAAAGGCCCGAAGGGAGTCTAAGACAGGGAGCCTCACTGGTGAAGACTGAAGAACGGGCAGAAACAGGCAAGCAACGTGGGACTTGCGGCCACTTGGGGGTCTCCACCCGACCAATCTGCTGCCCAGCTCCAGATATTCGTCAAGGGCGAAACAAGAGGAGTAGGGGGACAAACGACGGCCAAAGAGGAACTAGGAAGCACCACAGCTGTGGCAGTTGAAATTGAAAGGGAGGAAGCAGGCACGAAAAGGCATGAAGGGGACGCAAACGCACCAAGGAGTCCCGTGTAAATATGGCCAGGCCATGGGCCATCTAGCCAAACACGTCAACAAGACTAGCAACAACTGACAATGCAAAAACGCGGCTGTCTTTTGAAAAATGGCCTTGATAGCAAAACATCACCAAAAGGTCGCAAAACACTCATTTCGGCGACAAACACGGGGAAATGGGTTTTTTTTGTTCGACGAGTTCGTGCTTCACTGGATCCCTGCCCTGTCGAATTCCTTCTTGGTGTCGAACCCATACCTCGACTTGCAGTTTGACCTCGAACGCAACGCGAACGCACGCGAAGAGCGGAGTCACCGCGACGGCGAACTTAAAGGAGAGTCTGAAACTATCAATAGAGCGTGAGATGTGAACAGTTCCTGAGCAGTTCCCGGGGGCATTTGCAAAGGAATGCTGGCCGTTGGACATTTCGATGCCCACTGAGATCGTCGCCTGGGGCGTTTGTTGACTCCAGTGGCCAATTTGGCCTCAGAGTCGTTATAAAGTGGCTGGATGGTGCACGAGGAGCAGGCTCACGGATGGGCATCGAGAAAGATACGTGGTAAGGTAGACCGGACGACTGGAATAGAGTAAAATGCAAGCCAAAAGAACACGCATCAAGGCACATCCCCCCTGCCTATCAAGGTGTACTGGTTCGTCGTTATCTCTGCCGGTGGAATGGGCCAAGAAGGGTCGATATCTCGAGAGGCAGTTCTGGGACAAGGCTGTGGCAGCCAACCATGCAGGGTCAGTGAGGAACGAAGCAGGAGGCGAAGGAAGAGACATCGACATGGTGAGTGGCAAGTCGAGGCATGGGACGGGGAACAGGGAGGGAGGCAGAACGATAAAACCAAGACTGATTTCAAGTATGTGTACAACATACGGAGTATGGCGTATTCAGTAGGACTCCGTACTTACGTGAAGGTCAGCTATGTTTGCGTTCATAAAAGGCAACGGCAGGAACGAACTCTTGCATTGGTGGCGCTTTCCTCCGCTCTTCTCCGACCTCCTTGGCAGGAACAGGCACAAGCCCAGGGACAGAAGGACCGTTTTAGTGCAGCCGGCCACTAAATAAAAATGGCACTCATTTCAGCCTCAAGCACATTCCTCTGTATCAAGGGACGGCGAGAAGAGGAATAAATAGTACAACAAGCAACAGCACGCCGTGAACGAGTGCATGTCTACTGACCCTCCCTTGCATCCATTTCTCCGTCCCTTTGCCCTCATATTCCCCTCATCAAAGCGCATTCCTTTGCCACGACGTGTATCGCGACTTCGACAGAAAAGGGGAAAGATCGTCAGGCACGAGAGACCTCTCGAGGTTGACATCCAACAGGGAGTCACCAGAACCAGCATTTGGCTTCAGTCTTGTCCAACTTTCTCACATCCCATGGTCCTCGTCGCACTCAACGTCCTCGGCACCCGCTGGACACGCGAGCAATCCCACGCATCGCCACCAATCCAAGGACCGAGGCGCGGTCAGCGCGTTTCATGCCCCGGATCCCTATTGTATCTTATTTGCCCTATTTCTCTCTCGCCACGGTATGTACACAGCCTTTACACAGCTTCATGATGCCTTAGCTATTGCTTAATTTCGTTGTTCATCATACTTGATTCCAGGCCACCGCGCTTGAGATCATAGTCAGCATCGATTTTATTTCTTGAACCCTTTGTCTTGCCTCCGATAAAAGTACCGGGCCTCTGAGACAATGCCCAGGACGCTCACCCGCCAACTCATCTTGGTCCACCCGAATTCTCCCTTGCCAGTCTCGTGAATCGCGCTGTCGCCTGCACACCCCATGTATATTACATTCTTCACGTCCTCGGAATGATACATCGACGAAAGTTCCAATAAAACAAATAGCCCAAGGGTCCCCTAACACCGTGCCACGACGCCGAGATGCGAAGCCTGAAACATTGAAAATCTCGGGCCAGATTCCAGAGCTATCTACTGGTCTCCATCATACCACTTCACACCCTCCTATCCATGCCGTTCTTTTCTCTTTTTTACTCATATCACCACGGAATGTTTCCATACACGTATTAGCTTATATTTGCGCTCGCGCCCATTTTTTCGCGTTCGTGCTTCATGTTTGCTCGTGCAGTTCATGTATTTCGCTTTACTATCGTACTATCTCTACCCTGCACTGCGTCCGGCAGGTCACGCCCGCCCTTGTCTATGCCGGGCCATCCGCCAAGTGGTAGCTCTTCAGCTTCACAAACTGGTCGAACCCAAACCGGCTCAGTGTGTAGCCGCGACCCGAGTTCTTCCACCCTGTCCACGCCAGGTCCGGGCTCGGGTAGTCGCACCGGTTCACAAACACCGTGCCCGCCTCGATCTCGTCGACCAGCGCCGCGGCCGCTGCACGGTCCTTGGTCCACACGCTCGCTGTCAGGCCAAACTCGCTGTCGTTCATCAGTCGCAGCGCCTCGGTGTCGTCCTTGACCGACATCACGGGGATCAGCGGGCCAAACGTCTCCTCCTTCATCACGAGCATGTCGTGCGTCACGCCCGTGAGCAGCGTCGGCGGCACAAAGTTGCCCGCTGCCGGCGCATGCTTGAAGGACTCGTTGTCTGTCGGCGTCGCATCCTTGGCGCCCTTGCTGAGCGCATCCTTGATCTGCTCCTCAATGGCTGCCTTGGACCGCTTCGACACCACCGCGCCGACGTGCGTCTTGGGGTCCAGCGGGTCGCCCAGAACGTAGCCCCGCAGCACGCCCTGCACGGCCTCGACAAAGGCGTCGTGGATGCTCTCGTGCACGTACACGCGCTCGAGCGCGCAGCAGCTCTGGCCCGAGTTGAACACGGAGCCGTCGACAATCTGCTCGGCCGCCCACGCCACGTCGACATCCGCGCGCACGTACGCCGGGTCCTTGCCCCCCAGCTCGAGGCCGACGTTGACAACACGGTCAGCAGCCGCACGCTGCACGGCCAGGCCGCCCGCCACCGAGCCCGTGAAGCACACGTGCGCCACGAGCGGGTTGCGCACAATGGACTCGATCACAGAAGGCGAGCCACTGTGGAAGTACTGCAGGACGCCTGCCGGCAGGCCCGCCTCTTCAAAGGCCTTGGCGACTTGCTCGACGACCGTGGGCGTCTGGGGCGACGGCTTGAGGATAACTGTGTCACCCGCCAGCAGCGCCGGGATAAGCGTGTTCACGAGAATGAGGTATGGGTACTACAGCGACACGGCGTATAGTTCGTCAGCCAAGAGCGCCGAAAGAAAGCGAGAGACGCGTTGGAAGGGGGACGTGTAGAATCGTGCAAAAAACAAGTGGGCCAAACACGTAGGTGTCGGCCATTGAAACATGCTCAATCCGCTTTGCGCATGGCGTGGGCACGAGAAAAAACAGAAAAAAGGGTCAAGAACAGCATGGGAGCTTCGGGGGAGAGGCCAAAAGAAGCCAAACTCACATTCCAAGCAAAGATGATCAAAACAGGCCCCACGGGTACTTTGCGAATGAACCGCTCAAAGCCCTTCTCTGCCTCACCCGGCGAGTCCTTGAGGGCTTCGTCGCTCGCCTTCAACAGAAACTCGGCGCGCTTGATGGCCGTCGAGATCTCTTTTCCCGTATAAGCAATCGGCCGGCCCATCTGCTCGGTGAGTTCGCGGGCCAGCTCGTCGGTGCGGCTGGCGAGCGCGTCCAGCGCCTTGCGCACAATGATCTGGCGGTCGCTCAGCTTGGTCGTACGCCATGTCTGGAACGCCTTGGTGGCCGTCTCCGGGAGCAGCGCGAGGTCGGCCTGTGAGATACCATTGCGCGTGACGACGGGCTCATTGGTCGTTGGCGAGATAGTGGTGATGACCTCGACGGACATGATGACGGTAGTCGGGCAGTGTCAGTGACTAAAATGTGTAAAAACCGTGTGTTTGACAGGGAGTTCACAAAAAGAAGCAGCATAGAAAGAAAGAAGCCAAAGTCAGAAACTAAAGACGGACAGCATCGACATCGATCTCGCCCCCACGGGCTTCAGCAGCATATGGGCCTGGCCGAGACCTTTGCCCCGCCTAACGAGCTCCGAAGCAGGCGCTATGCCCACTCTCTTAGCTTCCTATTCGAGATGATAAGACACGAGGTGAGAGTGGGTCCTCCAGGTGCCGAAGCGTTGGGCGGTGTAGCGCATTTTTCAGGTGGCGCTCATTGAAGACCGGCAGAATTTCAACTTTTTTTACTAGGATACCAGCAGAGAGCAAAAAGACGTCTCGAGACAGTGAACAACAGCAACCGGCGCAAACGCAATCACATCTTGCCAAGACGCCCCAAGCACACACCACAAGAACGATGGTTTCAGAAAAGAGAAATACATTTCTAGACGCTGGCGACAGCGAGGAGGAGGACGACGGCCACTACGAGTCCGAGGCTGACGAGGTGCAGAAAGGCGGCCGTGGCACCAAGCGGAGGAGACTGGAAGACGACGATGACGATGACGACGACGAGAGCAGCGACGATGATGCCGATATTGACATTGACGATCGGTTTCAATTCAGAAACGAGGAGGATGATGCTGGCGGCAAAAAGGACGCAGGAGACGAGGCGTCTGCTCGGTTAAAGAAGCAGCGCAAGGACACAAAACGGGCCAAACGAGACGACAGCGACGAAGACGAAGACGAAGCGGCCGGAGAGAAGGCCGACGAGGCCGACGACGTACCGCGGAAAGATAAAAAGACGTCCAAACTTTCAAAAAATTCGTCCGCCAAGGACGGTGACGCCGCCCGCATCGAGCTGCCCGGTGTCAACAAACCCCTCACCAAGAAGAACCTGGTGGCGTCCGAAAAGGCCGTCCGTCGCTCCGGTGTTGTCTACCTCTCCCGCATCCCGCCATTCATGAAGCCCGCCAAGCTGCGCTCGCTTCTCAGCCCCTACGGGACCATCAACCGCATCTTCCTGTCCCCCGAAGACCCTCTGTCACACACCCGTCGTGTCCGCGGCGGCGGCAACAAGAAGCGCTCCTACGTCGACGGCTGGGTCGAGTTTGTCGACAAGGCCGATGCCCAACGCGCCGTGGACCTGCTGAATGCGCAGACGATTGGCGGCAAGAAGGGCACCTACTACCGCGACGACCTGTGGACGCTCGTCTACCTGCGTGGCTTCAAATGGCACCACTTGACTGAGCAGATTGCAACGGAGAACGCGGAGCGCGCAGGCCGCATGCGTGCGGAGCTGGAGCAGACGGCGCGGGAGAACAAGGCGTTCTTGGAGAACGTGGAGCGCGCGAAGATGCTGGACGGCATGGAGGCGAAGGCGGCGGCCAAGGCCAAGGCCACCAAGGCGGCGGCAGCAACAGACGACGCCGCAGAAGCACCGGCAGCAGCACCATCCACGGCGGCGCCTGCAGCTTCACAAAAGGGCGTGCGGTCGATCAAACAGAAGAAGATGGTGGCAAGAGCCGACGAAGGCGAGCAGTCGGAGCACGTCCAAAGAGTGCTGAGCAAGATTTTTTAAGTATGCATGGACAGACAGCACAACGGACTATTGAAGCACTTTTCATGGCATTTTCTTGGTTTATATTCAGCTTGGGTTTGTAGACATTTACATACATTGGTTCTTGCTTGTGTTGATTTTTCAAAAAGGCTTATACATACTGAGGCACAAACAAATACTCCACGTTCTCATAACTGCAATGTTCACTTTAAACATTATCCAATTGAATGATACCATCATGAAACTACAGTAAGATGCACTTTCCCAACGCCAGAGGTAAATCGTAAAGAAAACCAGATGCCATGATGCAGGGGTAACGAGGAAAGCAGAAAGACACAAAAAGGACCGGCAATAAATGAACGTGAAGTCTTAAGAGGTCGAGCAGTCAGTTCGCGACCTACTCCTCCCCTCCTTCGTCGTTGATGTCCAGATCGTCGAGATCGTCCAGCAACTCGTCCAGGTTGACCCGCGGACCATCGTCGTCCTCGTCCTCGTCCTCGTCCTCGTCCTCTTCCCCCCCGTCCTCCTCCTGGCCCTCCTCGACATCCATGGTGCCGGACGCCTCCATCTGTTTCCTCCGCTCGGCGGCCAGGGCGGCCTTCTGGCTGGGGTTCTTGTACAGGGCCAGCGCGGCACGCAGCTCCTCGTCCTCCTCGACGTCCTGCAAGAACATCTCGTACTCGTTCTCCATGCGTGATTGGTCGGCTTTCTTGGGCAGCAGCTCGCTCTCCTGCTTGGCCATGCGCTTGAGCTTCCAGTTGCGGTGCTTGTTCTTGCGGCGGTTCGGGTAGTGCTTCTTGACGAGCACCACCTCGGGCACGGTCGCGCTGTACGCGTGCGACTTTTCAATCTCGTCAAACTGCGGGTTGTTGAAGTTGCTGCCCTGCAGCAGGTAGCCCATGGCGGAGTCGCCGGGCTTCAGCAGGCCGCCCAGGTGCGTGCGCGTAAAGTAGGTGGTGTCGTTGCTGCCCATGTCGGACGCGCGTGCCACAGTGGCCTCCGCCGGCAGCCAGCGGCCCTTGCGGGGCCCCGTAGGCTCAATATCCAGCACGACAAACTCGACTAGTTCCTTGACGTCGGCAAGCGGCGCAATGGGAAACTTTTCGCGCCAGTAGACGGGGGCCGAGATCTCGGCCGTCTGCAGGGTAGCGGGGTCGAGCAGGTTGACAGCAGTGCCGATGCGGTAGCACAGGGCAATCGGGCTGATGCCGCCAATCTTCTTGGCCATGTTGAGCGGCAGGGCGACCAGATCGTCCTTGCAGATGGGCACGATCTCAATGGAGTAGGCAAACTTCATCGAGCGCGTGCCAGAGTGTATGTCTTCGGAAATCAGCTCGGGCGAGTACGTCATGTGAATGGGCACGACCGACTTTAAAAAGTCGACAAACTTGACGGCTTGGTTGCGGTGGGCAAAGAAGAAGTCCAAGCCCTCCTTGGCCTCGGAGATGTTGAGCGCCTCGCGGTGCGCGCCGTGCTTGAGCATCAGCTGCTCCAGGAAAAGGAACGTCCGCTTGTGTGTGACCTTTTGCCGGACCTGGACGGTGGCGCGCCAGACGTTGTGGGTGTAGGACTTGGCGCAGTCGGGGCACTGATGCGTGCTGACAACGTACATGACCTCAAAGCTCTGGTTGAGCAGCACGCCGTCGGCAATGGCGTCCTGCACGGTGATCTCGACGCGCACGCGCCGCGAGTTGGGCTCGGTCCAGATGAAGCGGGCGTCGACAACCCGGACCTTGTTGATGCCGCGCAGGCGCTTGAGGCACATGGCCAGCATCTCACGCGACTCGGGCTCGGCGGACACCCATTGGTTGGGGGGGATCATCCAGCGGTTGCAGTCGCGGCAGAACTGGATGTTGGCCTCGCGGGGAATGTTCTTGGAAATATCGACGGTGAGCTTGATGCACTCGTGGCAGATGGCGCCGGCCGCAGTGGTGCCGTCGATTGGGGTACCACAGTTGTAGCAAAGAATACTGGAGCAGGTTAGCATTGGGCTAGGACCAGACGTGTCTCTCTTCCCTCCCCCGGGCGTAAGAACGTACGTGGCAACTGTCTTGGGGGCGTTGCCGACCTGGACAGCGTCGTCCAGATCCATGGTCGACATGGTGACGGCTTTGTCTCGGTTCTGGCGGTAAAGTCGCTTGTATGTAGTTTGTGGGTGAAAACGAAAAGGCTTCTCGTTCGCCAAAGGCACCGCTGTCTATGCTAGTAGGTGTGTTGTGTTTTGCGATGCTGATCTGGTGATAAAATCGGTTGGAGGTCCACCAGATGAGTATGGAAGTTTGCTTTATAAAAAAATTTGCCCCGCGATCGTTATCGATTAAAAAATCACTTTGGGTGGCGGTCTCCGGTTGATAAGCAGCTTTTTAGGCACTAATCGTCCCGCCGAGCCAAGGTCCAGTCCACAGAGAAACGGTCCTGTAAAATGCTTCCAGTGCAGTAATTACAACTATGATTCATAGTGAGTTTTGGGGGCGTTAGGGTGCTAAGCCTCGGTTCCACTTTATGAAAGACTCACACCAAACAGCCAGACTGCAACTCGCCTCGCCGCAAGGCTGTATTACGACGTCGAGAGACACAGAATGGATTATGTGACGACGTCTTCGTTCCTCCACATGCATAAGCCCGATATGCAAGACAAATCACCAGAAGAGGAACAGAATTAATTACCGTGGACGCCCAACTCTCACGCGACTCTATCGACTTTGTAAGGCGACATATATTTCACACTCATTCAGCTTCGTAGCTTCTAGTTATATAAAATGAGTTCAGGTGTTCTTCCCCGACTTTTCTTAATATTTGTGTAATTAATGGCATTTTCTTTTCTTTTCAAAAGAAAATATACCCCTAAGGGGTAGCCCGTAATTGATACTCTCACCTTCACAAGCCACCTCGGCCTCTCACAACGGCTGCAGCCACCCCTCGTAGATGCTCTTGTCTTCCCTCCGCACGCCCTCCATGGCGCCCTTGACGCCCAGAAGGCGCACGCGGCCGCCCGACTCCTTGCTCCACTTCTCCAGGAATGCCTCTAGACGACTCTCGGTCTCCTTGTCGTCCCGCACCAGTAGCGAGACGGCATCGAAGCCGCCCGCGCCGGGTACCACACCACCATAGACGCCGTCCACCTCACTCACTGCGTCCAGCAGCGCCGTCTGGCTCTCCGGCTCAATGGGCACGCCACTCTCTGTGCCCATGGACCGGACCAGCTCGCGGATCGACCGCAAGAGTGCCGGGATCGTATCGTCATCCGTCTTGCCGTCGCGCAGCGCCGTTGCCAGTGCGTCATTGCGTGTTTGCAGCGTATCCCACAGCGTCTTGGACGCTTCTGGAGCGCTGCTGCGCCATGCCAGCACCTTCTTGACCATGCTCACCGTCTGCGAGCCGCAGTCGACATCGCACATGCGCAGGGCCATGCCAGCGGGGAGAGCAACGCTGCCCTTGGCAATTTCGGTGTCCCATCCGGTAACGGGTCCACTGCCATTGCCACTGGCACCAGCACTGGCACCCTTCTTACTAGCAATGACGGTCTGTAGGGCGCCACTAAAACCCGGCTTGCCAGGCTCGGGGATACCCGCGAGCACCGACGGCGAGAAGCGGCGGTACGTGCACGAGCCGTAGACGGCGGCCGCCACATCAAAGCCAGAGCCGACCTTGCCCTGGGCAGCGCAGTGGGCGGCCTGGGCGAGATTGTGGAGCGTCTCACGTCCGGCGTCGGTCGACAAATCAAAGAGGTTGACGGGCAAGTAATGGCTCAAAATCGCAGCGGTCAGCGACGTGACGAGCGCGGCGGACGAGCCCAGGCCGGTCTTGTTGGCGCCCGCGAGCGTCGTTGGGAAGCGGGCGAAGCGGTTGGTTGTGGCAGTGGAAGTGGAGGAGGCGTTGGCGTTGGCGGTCTCGTTGGGCTGCGAGTAGTAGTCGTTGTCGGCAAGAATGGTGAGTCGGCATGAGTTGATCGTGTGCGCCGGGCCCAGGCTGGCGAGGCGACAGACGTAGGTGAGGCCGTACGACAGCGTCGTCTCGACGAACGGGTTCGCGTGTAGTGCCGTGCCACTGTTGAATTAGCGTGCGTTCTGCAGTCAAAACCAAAACCTTCGTTCTTGATGTGTCCCGCGCTCAGCTTACGTCCGGAGCTGCGTGACCTGGATGCCGCCGTCCTGGTCCGCCAAATGGTAGCCATATGTCCACTGTGCTTCGCGGAACTGGGGGCTGTCGACAACAATCTCGTTCAGCTGTACACCAGGGCTCGTCTTGATGGCCTGTGCAATAACGTTGATGCGTGCACTCAGGCCAAAGACGAGGCCCGTGTATGCGCGGTCCAGCACGAGGTAGCCGCCAGCCAGCAGCACCTTGCCTGGTGCTGAGACGGCTGTTGTGTCTGTCGGGCCTGCCGACATTGCGATTCCGCTTTTGCGATGTACTGCTCTTGTATTTTAAGAGGTTTTCAGTGAGTTGGAATCACAATCAATTAAGCGGGGAGGCAGATGGAAAGTCGTTGCCGCCGAAAATGCAGACGAAACGGGCGGGAAAAGGAGCTGGCAATGGAGCTATCCAGCTTTGGAAGCTTGTGCCGGTGGGGAGGGGAAAACGTGCAGACCCATTGGGACTAGATACCCACCAAAAAAGACGGTTGTAAAATGAAGGCTGGTTTTAATGATTAGGTAATCCACGAATCAGACTATGTTCTGTTGGTGACAGCTTTATTGAGGTACTTTTCCCCCGTTGTTACGCTTTGTATCAATATAGTAAGCGTCACAAGAAAACAAGGACCGGCGAGTTCAATAGGTTTTGACTGGCCTTCCAACAGGCGAGATCGTTCAAAGACTGATTGTGTCGTTGACCGTTGCTAACCGATCGTCGAGTCGCGTGCTCACGTGACTAACATTCGGTGGTCAAAGCTGCTTGACATGCTCCAGCCGTTGAACAAGTCAATTTATCGAGTCCATTTCCGGGGAGGTTGGTTTCACTTCTGGGCAGGTCGGTTATTTTTACCACCGATGCCGATGCCATGGAGTCAACGAAGCTCGGACATTTCCTCGCAAACGCAGTTTGTGGCATCGGAGATCGCCCCGTCAAAGTCGGATGCTGCGAACTGCTCGAGTCTCACTAGCAAAAGGCAGGTGGGTCAATGTTTGTGACCTTGAAGTAATGTTGACGACAAGCACTGGGGCTCGTTGTGAACCCGTGGCGCATGTAAGACGGATAGTCACGGCGGTCGATTTGACACAGGACTCGGCGGGTCATTTTCGTGGGGAAGTTGCAACTAAAGTCAATGTCCCGTGTGTCAAATTACCTGTATCAAGGTTGGTACTAGGACTAGGTTTATCAGATGGACGAGGTGTCGAGAGTGTTTGCCAGCATGTCATTCTTGGTTGCTACGAAAAAGAAAAAAAAAGAACACCCTCTACGAATGTACCTATGTACACATTAGACAACTTTTTGGTCTGGGTTGAAAGACACGTTGGATTTACTTTTTATTATTGTTACTGATGTTTTCTTTTAATTTTTTTATGATAATAAGACAACAACAAGAAAAAAAGGTTAATTTAAAATATGACGATTCACAAGGTAAAACTGAATATACAAAATCGAGTGCCTGAAATTTCTCTTCGAGATTAGACATACATATTCCGATGGGCTAAGACGAGTCAATTATCACAACGTCGTATATGACAGCCCTATCGTCATGCCAGTCGTTTGAAAGCCCTGCTCTTGGCTTCGAAGTTGTTCGTTTATATGTGTCTTTCCCTCGCCTGCTTCGCGCGCGAGAGACGACAATGTGATTTCTGGCATCAAAGAAGACATTTCGTGGACAAAATCTACGCAATATCGACTTCGGGGTCTTCAGTTGTCCGTTATCAGATGTTACCAAGTTGTCGCGTAGTACAAATCGGACCTTTCAGAATCCATGGAGACGGAGCTCGGGCAAGAGACTTGGAAAGTCCGAGCTTCAGCTGGACGTAAGACGCGGAGCATTCCCGTCCGTTTCATCAACCTCTATTTCGTACAGAATACTCCTTGCTTGGGAGCGTGGGGAATGATTCCGACTTCTCCCATGAATGCTGGCAGTGCCATTGGCGCCTGCCAGAAAAAGAGTGGACTGCACAAGGCTAAAGCAAGATCGTCCAATCGGCGCTCGTGCCTCAACGAAAGGATCCGGTCTCCTTTTCGTTGTCTTTTCTCCTGCGACTAAGATATGCTAGTGCTGAGGAACGCAACAGCCACCCACACTTTTGCCTTGGCCACCTAGACGTCACCTTTTAGATATTCCATCTCAGCTTCGGGCCTGTCGAAACGCCTTAATACTTCGTATATTTCGCCTTCGCCTGCGAACGCGAAAACCCAACACACCGCCAGGAGTTGGCTTGGTTTCCCCTGGATCGCCCTAAGACCGTCCTTTGCTAGCGGAGCTCACGTGCAGCGCCGGATTTTGACGGTTTTAGGCTCTTTCTCGAAGAAGCAATCTCGAACCCTGGTTCCAGCCGCGTGGTGGCTCCGGTTTCTCTTCGCTCTTGCCTGAAAGTTGTGGGTGCCAATCCTGCCACCATCGCCCCCGAGCCTTCCGTCCATTGTGTTTGGAGGCCACACTCTGTCATATTCGGACGCGCTTTGTACGGCATTATGTCCCCAGGCAGACATATTTGCAGTCGTGGCGCGTCATGGCTTCGTTAGGGTTCTCTTTTCAATGGGGACGTTGAGCGGGATACGTTCTTCGGCTCCTCCTCTTTTCGTACGTCGTAATCGTTGGAGCCCTGCTACGAAGTGGCCCGGTCTTGTTGCTTAGGTGGCTCCTTCCTTGACGAACTCTTCAAGGTCTTCAAAAAGGACAGGAAAGCGCCAGTGCCTTTGCTCGAACCGCTCGCTCGCACTTTCTGTATTCTCCCATTGACCTTCCAATTCAACGTCCAACTCTGGTTTCGCTTGCCATATTTTACGCGTTTCTCGCGCTTTCACTGTGTTGTGGCACGAGTTCTTTCCAGGAAAAGGAAGGAGCAGGCAGCCAGCGCCATCAGGTCTCGTCCTGCTAGCCTGAGAAGGCACAACCCTGGTACATACCCACCCCCGGTATTTATCACATAGGCACGCGGCCGGGACCCACCACTGGAATTTTTCTTTTCCTGCAATTTCTCCCGCCTTCTCTTTTCCATGCTGGGTCGCTCCTGTCCCCAGATAGACGGAAAAAAATAACAAGCTGGGCCCGGGAAAAAGCCGCTATCCCATTTTCTCTGTCTCGACCCAGTCACCGACCTTTGCTTTTGCTTTTCCTCTCTCATTTTTATAATCTTGTCTCTGACTCTCTCCCTTTTCTCCCTCTTGTTTTGCTTCGCTTTTCGACTTTCCAACTCTCTACCAATTCAAACACCCCTTTTAATTCAAAGCGCGTTTGTTTGGCGGCTACATTGCTGTCAAATGAACCTGCATTTGCGCATTCTCCTTTCCCTTCATGTAAGTTGTGAATTCAAAACATCGCCATACCACTTCCTTTCCCAATTCCACCTCTCACCGACTTACCACTTGCCCATGTATTCCGTTTTCCGAGTACTGACATATACCCTCCTCCGAAGTACCCCTCGCCACCTGGCTTCTCCTAAATGCCCACCATCTACTCCTCGCTCTACCAGACCTTTATCCGTCAAGGATTCGCAAAGTCTTTCACACACGGCTACGCCCAGTCTGTCGTCGCCGCCACACACCCCCATGTTCTAAACCCCCAGAACCGGCCGTCGTTTGCGCGGCGAAACTGCAATCGATTCGGACGCATCCAAGCGCTCCAGCTTCAGAGCGCCTTCCACACCCAGACAAGTGGCTCCGACCACAAGCAGCTGAGCCTCAACCATGGCGGCCTAGATGCCTACTTTGAGCACCTGCAAGACCTGCAGGCGCAAGATGAGACCGACAAGGAATGGGTGCAGTTCCAGTTCCAGAACCGCATCGAGTGGAAGCCGTCTGCCGCATCGGTCCTCGACAACGAAGAGGTGTCGGCCAAGGCCGCCGAGGCCGATGTTGATGTCGATGCCGCGGCTGCTGAGGAAGCGTCGGCCGAATTTACTGTTGCGCTTGGTGAAGAGGGAGGCCTCGCCAGCGAGCAGGCTGGGGAACAGGATGTTGCAGCCGCTGCGGATACCGCCTCCGCGGTAGAGGCTGTTGCTGTGGAGGACGTCCTCGCGGACCGTCACTCTGCGGTCGAAGAGGCGGCTCTCGCGCACATTGACGCCGCTCTCGAGAAGGAGATTGAGGCACGGAAGAACCTTGAGGCCCTGGAAGATGGCAAGGTCACTTCTACCTCGCCGGTTGCCGCCGGTGAGGTTGCCAAATCTCGTTCCGTGCCTGTGTCGCGGTCGCGGTCGCCTGTCCGCTCGGTGTCGCCTGTAGTCGACGAGCAGTCGCAGACCTATGCCGATCACCTTGCTACGCTGTCCGAGTCCGGACGCTATACCGAGATTCCGGCTGTGTTTGAGGCCATGCTGGTTGCCGGTGTTCAGCCCATTGCCAGCGCCTACAATGCGCTGCTGATGGCTGCTATTCACTTGCCCATTGACCGCATGGAGGTCATTTCCAAGGCCCTGGATGTGTACACCGACATGATTCGCCGCAAGGTCCTGCCGGATAGTGACACCTTCAACATTCTTGTCGGCCTGCTTGCTTCGCGCTCGCTCGAGCTAGCTGCTAAGAAGACGTTGCTCGAAGAGAAGCGCCTTCGCTATGGCGGCATGGACGAGCCTGGCAAGTTCATGTTTGCGTCCCACGAACTAGAGCATGCCATCGCTGCGGAGGAGGACCGTCTTGACTACGCCATCAAGCTGTTTGAGAACTCCGTTGCAGCCCAGAAGGCCGCGTACTCCTCTGAGACCTATCACCAGCTGATCTCGGCCTGCGCCCAGTCTGGTCGCCTCTCCGACATGCTGCAGCTCTTTGGCCACATGGAGGCGAATAAGATTGCTCCCTTTGCTGCCACCTTCCCAGCTATGATCACTGCGTTCGCAAACGCCGGCGACCTGATCAGCGCCGTCGAGTGCTACGAGGAGTATCGCAACTTGGCTATTGCAAACGATGCTGGCGAGCCCAGCCTTCTCGACCGTCTCGACACGCAGGTCTACGCTGCTGTCATCAACGCATACATCACCTGCGATAAGATGCCTGGTGCCATGAAGTTTTTCGACAAGATTAATGAACAGTACGGTGTTCGCGCCGCCAACATGAAGGACGCTCTTATCAACGATGGCTTCGTTCAGGGCTTCACCAGCCGCGGTAACTACGCAACCGCTTTGGAGTGGGTGCAGAACGTTGACAAGGCTACCCAGGCTCAGTCTCTGGGTAAGATTGCAACCGTCGCTGCCGACAACGGCCACAAGGACCTGGCTGTTGCCGCTTTCGATGCTCTGACCAACGCGTTCCCGTCTGCACTGTCTAGCATGACCGGACCTACGACCGCTCTGCTGGCTCTACACGTCCGTGCAGGTGATGTTGCCGCTGCCTCCAAGTACTGGCACATTCTGCGCAACCCTCTCGTTGAGGTCTCTTCGTCCTTTATCGAGCCCACAGCCATGTACGCTGTTGCCATGATTGGCTCGGGTCAGGTTGCCGAGGCCCTGGTTGAGTCTGATATTATGTTCGACCGCATCCGCCAATCGGCTGAGGCGAGGACCCACGCTGCCATCGTCGATGAGATTGAGGAAGGTGTCGCGTTCATCAACCGCTTCATGCAGGCTCGTGGTGTGACGGATCCCCGTGAGGATGCCTCTTCGGCCGCGTCGTTTGTTCCGCCTGCTTCGTCCTTTGTTTCGTCTCCGTTCCCGTCCACGCCCACGGTTTCAAGCTTCGACGAGACCAGCAACTTCGACCCGTATGCGCACAACACCGATTACAAGGGCTCGTCCCTGATTTCGGACGACCTGGAAGGGTCCCACGGCCGCAAGGGTCCCAAGCTGAACGAGGCGCTCAACCGGTTCCGCAACATGCGCCGTGCTGGCCGCCACCCTCGGTACATCACCTACGCCAAGCTGATCTCGGCCGCGTCGCGGGAGAACAAGATGGACCTCTGCCATAACATTCTTGCCATGGCTCGCGCTGATGTGCCCCTTTTGCCGCAGTACGCTGTCGTCCGCTACGGCTGGTCTTCGATCCTGGATGCCATGATTGGCGCCAGCCTGTCTGTGGGCAACCGTACCTTGGCCGAGCAGTACCACCAGGAGCTGCTGAGCTTCGGCTCTGCACCGTCTGCCAATACCTTCGGTCTGTACATCACCACGCTCAAGGAGTCCACCAAGACGTTTGATGAGGCTTCCGAGGCGGTCAAGATCTTCCACCGCGCCAAGGCCGAGGGTGTCGAGCCCAGCTCGTTCCTTTACAACGCTCTGATTGGCAAGCTCGGCAAGGCGCGTCGCATCGACGACTGTCTGTTCTACTTTGCAGAGATGCGCGCCCTGTCCATTAAGCCCACGTCGGTCACTTACGGAACGATTGTCAACGCTCTGTGCCGTGTGTCGGACGACAAGTTTGCCGAGGAACTGTTTGATGAGATGGAGGCGATGCCCAACTACAAGGCCCGCCCTGCCCCGTACAACAGCATGATGCAGTTCTTCCTGACGACCAAGCGTGACAAGGCCAAGGTGCTTGCCTACTACGAGCGCATGCTCGCCCGTGGCATCGCCCCGACCTCGCACACATACAAGCTGCTCGTCGACACTCACGCCACCCTCGAGCCCGTCAACATGACGGCGGCTGAGGCGGTCCTAGACCGCATTCGCGCCGCCGGCCAGACCCCGGAGGCCGTTCACTATGCATCGCTCATCCACGCTCGCGGCTGCAATATGCACGACATGGAAGGCGCCCGCCGCATCTTCGACTCGGTTATGAAGGACAAGTCGGTTTCGGCCAATGCCTGTCTGTTCCAGGCCTTGTTCGAGGCCATGGTGGCGAACCACCAGGTTGCCGATACGGAGCCCATCCTGGCCATGATGCGTGAGCGCCGCATTGACATCACGCCCTATATTGCCAACACCCTGATCCACGGCTGGGCTGCTGAGAAGGACATCGCAAAGGCCGTCTCGATCTACTCGTCTGTTGGTCGCGAGCGTCGCGAACCGAGCACCTACGAGGCCATGACCCGCGCATTCCTCGCTGTTGAGGAGCGCGACAAGGCCCAGGGTGTCGTTTCGGAGATGCTCCATCGCGGCTACCCGAGCGCTGTCGTCAACAAGGTGCTTGAGCTCCTTGGTGGCGGTGCCGGTCATGCCGACGAGGCCGCCGCTACCGTCGCTGCGCCGGTCGCCGCATAATTTTCTTACCATCTTTCATTTTGATTTATCGTTTCTATTTGTCTTTTGTCGCACAGCGTTGATTTCATGCGGCGTTCTTTCGGGCCGGGCACGGAACGCAGGGAAAAAGGGCAACAGCCGGAGCGTTCAAAACAATATTGTTTTATTTTTGAGCCACACTTCGGTTCTTGGCTCTCTTCTCATTTCTTATTTTTTTGGGCACCGGCTTGCTCTTTTCTTCCTTTTTTTGATTGCGTGATGAATTTGGGGGTCACCTTTCTTCCCCCATTTCTCTTTTCATGATTCTCTTCTAACATTGCCCCCCTTTATCTTACTTCAATCATGAACCCGGCACGGATTTACGGAAGGGCAGTTTTATCTGCGGCGTTTATCTTTGCTGTTGGTTTTCTCGGCGTACGGTTTTTTATTCTGTACTATTACCCACATTTGGTTTGCTTTTGATTTTTACGGCGCAAAAAAGGGGTAATATTTTAGTATATTACAAAGGGGGAGGACACCAAAGACCTCCTACCCCCGAACGGCTTGGAACGGCGTTTTCAACTGCCACACAACTTAGAACCAACTCAACTCTACCAATATATACCTTACACCTTCGCGTGTACCAAAAATCAAGGTCTAATAATACTATGTAATGTGACGTGAATGAAAGGACAATAGCAAAAGGCGTCGTAGAATATGTAATAACGGGCCGATCGCGTATTTTGGAATCGTCTTTGTCATTTCTTCACGTTGTGCATGAAAGTGCCTCGGGGTTTGAACGTTCATAAATACGAGAACCTGGGAGCTGACGAGACGTGCTGTGTAGTCACTGTTTACAACTGCTGCTGTGTTAGGCTTTCCCGCAGGAATGGTGTCTCATTGGAGCCGGCGGCCAACCCACCACCAGCCGTTCCCAAAACTATCCAAGTGAGATAGTTGGAGGGGCTGCCTCTTCTTTTGGGGTGCAAACGTTTCTGTTTCTTCCCATGCAGCATAGTAGTCGTATGTTCCCAGTTAATAATAGTAGGTTATGTCTTGACTTTGGCTTGTGTATGAACGGTTGAATCAAATGATTTCTCCTGCCTGTCTTCCCCAATCGAAGAACAAAGTACAACGCACCCCCTCTGGCACATTGAAGGAGAATCAAGCGTGAGGAGAAGGCATACAACAAATGTAAAGTCCCTTTTTGGACTTCCTTAGGCAGAAGATTTCATCACAATCACAATGCGATGCGGGGCTAAGGCAGGGATAATGGCCAGAATATGTTCCTCCTGCAGTGACTGGCCTCGAAGGAAGCCTCGATGACCCTGGCAAAGTGGGGGGATTGGAAGCAATGCAACGGATTCGTCGAAAAAAGGACTCAAGGGTTCCACCGTGACCGGGAATTTGAAAATAAGAGCAGGGGGTACCAGACCACTGGGTCGTGACCCAAGTTCAAGAGGGGTGGACGGCCCGATCCTGTCAAATACTCACAATTGTCCCCAGCCGATAAAACCGCAAGTCGTTGACGGGACTTGTATCTAAATTCTGTACCTACTGGGGTTTCTACCTGTCATGTTGAAGCTCTAGGCGGCCTTTTTTTATGGCGAGAATATGGAATACAGGAAATCAAAGCACGATAAGACAATGGGGAGTTTGTCAATGTATTTGCACAGTTGAGGGGTCGTAAGCCCAATTGCCGTGCCACACCACGCCATGCAGCACTGACCCGACAGACTGGGAAGCTATAGCTGAAAAGGGAACTACTATGAAATATAGAAAAGTGGATTTGCCGAAGCTCGACATAATTCGTCGCTGACGCCTGGCGGTGAAGCTGAACCAACAGCCAAACGGCCAAGAGTTTCCGCGTATACCGCTACCCCTAACCACCCTTGCATTTCCGTCCGCCTTTCCCCTCTTCCTGCTTCCTCATATCCTCGATCAAAGCCGTTGTGGCGCGAGCATCCGCCGCAATCTCGTCTGGCATCCTCGGAGGGCGATGGATGCACTGAAACAGGTTTTCCTTAAAGTCCAAAGCAACAAGTTAGAACATGCCGATTAAACAGAAATGGGGGTATGGAAGGAAACTTGGGCAATAAAAAATCAGTCAAAGATTTAGAACAGGAGTGGCACGAACAGGTACCAAGCAGAGAGAACCACTGGTCCAGCCGCCGGCATTCAGAACCAAGGCATCAATGTTTCCGGAATCCACAGGCATCATAGTGGGAGAACAGATTTCGACCCGCTTCATATTGTCGAGGAAGCAAGGCCGCTAGGAACGGCCAGTAATTTAAAAATAAACGGTATGAGAATAGGGCTTAAGATAGAGAGTTGGCGATGTGGGGGATAAACGTTGAAGCTAGTGAAGATGATCCAGAAGATGGCAGAAGAATAAAAAATAAAAAGGATCAGTCTTTTAAATGGAAGGGACCAGCGGCCTTTATAAAGCTGTTTGCAAAATCTGACTTGCAGCATCTCTTCCTCGCTTGCGTCTTGGGATCAACACTGAGCATGTAGGCAAGGCATGGTGGGTGGTAGTTGGAGACATGCACCGTTGTTGAGGTGCGCCCTGGTCGGCATACTGATAATATGGATAGTGTTTTATGGTTTTGGCCGCAAGAAGTCAGCGCACGGTTTTATAAGCCACATAGTTACAAGGGATGGATTGTAGATTTCCTAGCCGCGGTCCCTCTCACGCAGCATACCAGCTTAACTGCGAAACGTGAAAAGTGCAAAACTGGACGACCAATGCGCCGCCTTGTTCCCTACTATCCGTACTCTCTTCATAGGTGAATTTCCGTACAAAGCGATACTATTCGAGTTGGGAGCTTGAATCCTATTTCATGTTGAGTTCTCTTTTCCGTACATTTTTGCACAATTTGTGCCATATGTGCCTACCTTGTGGACGCGAAATGTGCCCCCCTGCAGGCACAATGTGTGCCTTTTGTGCCATCCTTTCTGACCTACCATTTTGGTGCCACATGACGCCTGAGGTCCAGCATAATCTATTTCATTTTCCCACTGCCTATTATTTCCATCACCCTGTTGTCATATTCTCCTGTCCCTAAAGACAATTGCGTAAGTGGCTGGGTGGAGACCATATGCACACCACTGGAGGATGTCGATTGCAAGGGCCCAAATAGATTGGCCAGGAAGAAGGGTAAACAAAAACTGACTCCAAATACGTCTTTTATTTTATCTTTCCCTCAATCCTCGCGGTCTGTGTATAGCCGACGTTTTATTTCAGTCATCCCTAATCTTGTCGTCGTCGTTCCCGTCTGACAACAGGTGCCCATGCCCTTGTATGTCGTACGACGTTCGTAGACGTTTGTATGTGGACCGTTCCGTGCCTTTGGTGCCGTCTTAGGGTAATGTAGTCTGGGGAATAGAGCGCCCCAGCCCAAAATTGTCCTCTAGCATACACGTGACACTTAGTTTACTGACTAAGCCTCATGCACTAGTCCGCAATCGGCAAGTACCTCTGTCGAAGACGTCCTACATCTACGCTGTAAGATTCAGAATGTTCAATTTTCGGCTTCATTTCTGGCTGAAAATTTTATCCTCGGATGTGCCCCTCTCCCTCCCATTTACATTTTTTTTGTGCCTCGGCAGTACCTTTGCTCTTTTTTCTTCTCACAACTTTAATTGAGCTGTCGAGCAGGTTTCAACAGACCGTGAAAAGATAAAAAAGGGTGACACCAAACAAGCCCCTTGAGGTAGCTGTGGCCTTGAATAACACACGCAGACGATACCGACACACACTCTTCCATTATAATTAATTTTATTGTTTTTATTATTACTATCATTTTGGCCACAAGTCAGAAAGGTGTTCAGCCATGTTCCGCAGCGGCGTGACCACGGCAGCGAGGGCCGCCACGAGAAGCGCACCACCGATCGTTGACGGGATGGCAGTTTCCGTCGTGGGACGTGGTATGGCAACCCGGAAAAGCGGCACGTGGGGCCTGACAACGACGCCTACCAGGATACAAAACGCGGCGACAATAGCGGGTACAGCGGGAAAAGCCACTCGCAGGTTCCACGCCACTCCCACCCATAGCACAGCGGCTGCAGCCCCGCCAGCGCCAGCACCGGCGACAAGTCCAGCCGACGATGGCCAGGACACCATCCCCGGCACCTCCATCCGTGTCTTCCGCACCGTCGCCGGCCTCCGCGCCTGGCGCCGCCAGCAGCTCCTGGCCGGCCGCTCGGTCGGTCTCGTGCCCACCATGGGCGCCCTGCACGAGGGCCACTTGGACCTGGTCCGCGCAGCCGCCCGCGACAGCGACGCTGTCGTCGTGACCATCTACGTCAACCCGACCCAGTTTGGTGTCCACGAAGACCTGGGCAGCTACCCGCGCACCTGGGAAGCGGACTGCCGGGCGCTCGCGGGTCTTCAGGCGACCTTTCAGCAAGGCACCAGCACCAGCACCAGCAGAGGAAAGATCGAGGCCGTGTTCGCGCCCACGACGGCCGAAATGTACCCGTCCGGGCCCCCCAGCCAGGAGATCAACGGTCCCGGCAGCTTTGTCACCATTACGCCTGTGGGCACGGTCCTCGAGGGCGCGAGCCGCCCGACCTTCTTCCGCGGCGTGGCCACGGTGTGCATGAAGCTATTTCACATCGTGCAGCCGGAGACGGCCTACTTTGGCCAAAAGGACGTGCAGCAGACGGTCGTGCTGCGCCGCATGGTGCGCGACTTTGCCATTCCCCTGACCCTGGTCGTGGGGCCCACGGTGCGCGAGCCGCCCGACGGCCTGGCGCTGAGCTCGCGCAATGTGTATCTGGGTACGCGGCGGCGGGCCGTGGCCAACGTGCTGCGGCGGTCGCTGCTGGCGGCCGAGGCGGCGGCGGCCACCGCCGCCACCAACACCGGTGGCCCGCGCCTGACCCACGACCAGATTCTGGCCGCCGCGCACCGCGTAGCCGACGAGACGCTGGCAGCGCAGAAGCAGCTGCCGCCCCACGAGCGTGCCCTGTTTGAGATTGACTACCTGTCGCTGTCCGACGCGGACACGATGGAAGAGCTGGCCGCCGACCAGCGCATCGACCCGACACGGGGCGCCATTCTGAGTGGTGCGGTGCGCATGTTGCCCGTGGAGGATCCACAGCCCGGCGAGGACCTCGGCCACAGTGGCGGACCGTTGGTGCGGCTGATTGACAACATCATCATCCAGCCGACAGAAGAGCAGTAAGGGTCAGTTTGGAGTGAGAGGGTACCATCGTTGGATCAGACCTTAAACTTGCACACAATACAGCGAGCATATGGACAGTAGCATTTTGTATTTGCTTATATAAAACAGATAATTTACAACCATGAGATATGTACACAAAAATATTACTAGTACCAAGAGCTACGGTAGCCGAATGGTGATGCACGAGCAGGTGGCACCCGGACGACCACCGCCTTTCCCTATGTTCACGCTCTCTTCTACTATCTTTTCATATCCGCGCTGGTGGCGGCGTCTGTCGGTCGAGTGTCCGCCGCCGCCGCCGGCCTTTGCCCTTGCCGGTCCCGTCGCTTTCGCTGCCGCTGTCGCTGGCCGCGCTGGTTGTACTGCTTGTGCCAGCGGGACTGGCGACACTTGTGTTTCCCGCCTTGACAGCCTCGTCAAAGAGGCGGGCGCCGACATTGTCCGCGAGTGCCAGCACGCGCGTGCTGACCGTAGCGCCATCGCGCCGGTTTTTTCCCTCCCGGCGGCTGGCGGCGATCTTGTCTGTGAAGGCCCAGAGCCTGCCCTCGGGGCGCAGTTCGCCGCTGGCCGGGTCCCGCGGTGTGCGCCATTCCGGGTCGAGCTGCAGACGCGGTTGAGACGCTTTGGGGTCGTCCTTGGAGCGGACAACCCGGATAATGCCTTCTTCCTGGAAGCGCTGGTAGGCGTTTTTGAGCGTCTCCTTGTTGACAGCCTCAAAATACGAGAGGTCGCCCTGGTGGTACAGGGTTTTGCCGAGCTGGATCGTTAGTCCGTGCAAAGTATATATCAACGGAGAGGGAACAGGTGAGGGAAACAAGGGATAGGGTCACGTACGAATTGCGCAGAGTTTTGCGCTTTGGACACGTCGATCCAGACGTCGTCCGTGACGCTGGCTGGCGGTGTCAAGCCCATGAGGGACACAGCGGCGAGCCAGCTGGCCTCGATGAAGGGCCAGATCAGGAAACAGTAAAAATCAAAGCTCTCTCGGCCCGAGGTGCGCTCGAGATCCGACAAGCCGACTTTGACAATCTTGCCCGGCGCGCCGTCTGCAGCCGCAGGCTCACGCTCCAGGTGCAGCATGCCGTCGGCCTCGAGGCCCCGCAGCGTGCGGTCCAGATTGGCCTCCAGGCCCTCGCTAGCAAAGATAAACTCACCGCGGAAGAGGGTCGATAGGAACATGACCTGGTCGTACAAGGCCTCGTACGGAATGTCCTGGTTCGAAGGCCCGCCACCCTGCTTGATACGCGTGTACATGGCGGCGCTGACGAGGGCCTCGGAGATGAAGAGATGGATGGTCATGTTGCGGTAAAAGGAGAGCTGGAAGCGGTCGACGGCGTAGTAGACGGGCTCGGCGAGGCCGCCTATTTCGCCTACCAGATCCTTGCCGAGGACCTCCAGAGCGCGGTCGATAATGTCGGGCAGCGAGGCCGAGTGGAAGTGGGCGACGCGGCCACCTTTGGCGCGGATGCGCGTCGTCAGCCACTGGACGCGGCGGATTAGCTCGGACTTGCCAACGCCACGGCCACGAAGAGTCAGCAGCACAGTTCCGATCAGCGCAGTCGGCATCACAACAGACACGTCGTTGATGTCAGCCAGGACCTTGTAGCCAAGCGTGCGCAGCAGCTTTTGCCGTACAGCCGGGTCCAAGGGCGGCGCAGAGGGGTTGGGTGGTGGTGTGCTCGCCGACGCATCGGATGCAGCTGTCTCTTTGAGACCTGGGCCCGTTGCAGACTTGGTCGTGGACTTGGTGCGGGACGAACGGCGGCCGCCTCGTGGTTGAGCAGGCGTGGGCCGTGGTGCCGATGGCTGGCCTGTGAGGCGGACGAGCTGCTCGTCAATAAAGCTGCGCAGGCTCCAGGGTTCGTGGAAGCGCACGTCGACGCGGCCGAGCTTGAGCGACAGCACGGACGAGCCACCCGTCAGGAAATCGGACAAGTTCTCGGCCTTCTTTGGTTGGCCCAGAAGTTCGGTGACATAGCCCTCGGTCTCAATGACCTTGTCGTACTGCGTGCTGACGGGGATGATGATGGTATCGTCGACACGGCCCGACAGCAGACTGTCCAGAATGAAGCCCAAAATACCAAACTTGGGCGACAGGAGCTTGCCGGTGCGCGAGCGACCGCCTTCGATGAAGCACTCGAGGTTGAAGCCGCCCTGCAGCATCGTGTCAACGTACGTCTGCACGAGCGTCGTGTACAGCATGTCGTCGCCAAAGGAGCGGCGAATGTACATGGCGCCGGCGTGCTGCAGAAAGCTGCCGACCAGCGGGAAGTTGAGGTTGTCGCCGGCCACGACAACGGGCATCGCAATGCCGAGGCGGTAGCAAATCAGCTGCAGGCCGACGTAGTCCACGTGTGAGCGGTGGCAGGGCAAAAAGACAATGCTCTGCTTGGCGTGCTGGGCGCGCTCGGCGACCTTGCGCAGCATAACAACGTCCTCGCTGGCGACGTGGATGCCCTGGTGGTAGGCGCGCGTGAGGAGCTGCGTGACAAGGTAGTAGGCGCCGCGGATAAAGGTCTTGCTCTCAAACTTGCAGATCATCCTGTCGGTCCACTGCTCGGCGAGGTCGGCGAGCCACGAGGCGATCTGGACGCGGCGGCGCGTGCGTTTCTGGCTGTAGTCGGGCGCATCGGGAGCAGGCAGCCATCCGGCGCGTTCTTCGCGGGCGACCTCGAGCTCAGCCATTTCGGCGATGCGGCGGCGCAGCAGCGGGGCGGACAGCACGGCCGTCTTCATGTTCTCGGAGAAGCCCGAGTAGAAAATGGGCTGGCCGATGACATTGTCGTAGGCGCGCCAGCCGGTGCCCGAGACGTAGAGCGACACCTGGCGCAGGAACTGCAGGGGTTCGGCGCGGAAGCTGTGCATGGGCTTCATAAGGGCCTCCTCGCGGGTGTCGTCCTTGTCGAGGGCGGTGCGGGTGGGCAGTTCGACGCCGCTGGGCTGAAAGGAGATTTTGTCGCCCAGGATCTTGATGTCCGGCGCCTCGTTGCGCGAGGGATTGTCGTCGGGTTCGGACATGGTGATGATGCCGAGGCAACGACTACGGCGTGTAGAGGAGCGAGAAGACGTATGAACAGAAGAAATTGTAGAAAGGCGACGAGAGGAGAAGGCCTACAGCGAGGTAATGTGACGACCAAAGGGATGAGAAGAGGAAACGAGAGATGGGGTGACAGGAGAGACGAAAGGAGGACAAAAGAAAGGACTACCGTCTTGGAACAACCATCACATTGACAATGCCTGGTTGTTAAAGTGCAGGACGCAAAGGTGCGGAGAAGAATCCATGCGGCCCGCAAGAATCTGCTTTGTCGGTAGCGGAATCAAGAAGGCAAATCAGGAGTATCGCGGGCATGTGGAGAGAGGAAGACACAACAATGGAGGTGGGCGTGGAGGAGATGTGGGAGGTCATGTGGAGTGCGTTAGCCGGTGCGGTGGAGGAAAGAGCTAACAAGGCCAATCGAGGAAAGAGCAGCGAGCAACAAGGGGAAAGCGGAAGGAGGGATCGAGAAGGCGGTGCGCTACTACCGAGGCCTAGTGCCCAATAGCTGGGCGGCTTTCAGGTGACTCGGCTTCGCTCTGCCAGGCTTTCCCAGTAGCGCAAAGTACCAATGCAAGAAAAGTCCCGGGACCAACAGAGGAGTGCGTGTGTTGGCGAGGCTGGAACTGCACGACTGGATTGCAGCATGTGTTTGCAATGTGCAAGGTCCAATTGAATACTAGCTGGAATATTTTGCGTACGAAAATTTGCATGTGGTTCGACATGCACTACGACGTCAGCACTTTGAGTGTGATGCTGCGCACTTGTTTTAGCGCTGTCAATGACACTGACTGCAGCGGGCCAATCCTTCAGCGCAGAAAATACGTGCAGGCTCAGTAAGGTGAGCCAGTCCCCACTAAATTGTTGCAAACCTTAACGACGGCCAACGCACATCCGATGACAAGCGCAGCCTCGTCGTAATCTACAACACTTCACAAATTCGCAAACACTCCCGCCCCCTTGACAAGCGACACCCTCTTATATCTCGACCTCTCCCATACCATGGCGACACCTACACGAGGTGCTCTGCACCGGCTGCTTGAGCGCGCGCACTCACCGGACACAGCCAACCAGATTTTCACCGAAAAGATTCAGCACCGCGAACAGTTTCTACGACCAGCCTCGCCCGGCCGCGAAGAGCGTGCAGAGCGCGCAGCCAACGGCGGCTCTGCCGCTACAACGACATCGGCAGCAGCCGCTTCCCTTGCCGCCGCCGCCGCCGCCAACACTGCCGCCGAGCTCGCTGCAGCGGGTGCGTCGGGCCACAACGGCCGCGATGCCCGCCGGCGGAACCGTCGGATCAAGCAAGAACAGCGGCAGAACCGGGCCAAGACACTAAAACCAAAGCCGCTGTCGTCGCGGCAGAGGAGAGAAATCGAGGCCAGGGAAGGCAAAGAAGGCAAGGGGGTGGGGAAGGGGAAGAGGAAAGCACAAAAGGTGCTGTACAGCACCTTTGTTCCCCTCCACCGGCTGTGGTTGGGCTACATCCGCGAGGTGCTGAGCCCGCAGGAGCTTCGGACGGGCGGTGCAAGCGCGGCGGCCAAGCTGACGGCGGCCGATTTCCACGGAGCACTGGTGGAAGTGACACGGAGTGCATGCGTGGGCCGGGTGGGCACGCGAGGCATTGTGTTGCGGGACACGCGGTTCGTGTTTGAGATTGTGACGGCGGCCAACGAGGTCAAGATGGTGCCCAAGGACGGATCCTTTTTCCGGGTCGAGATTCCGATCGAAGAGGAGGACGGCGGGGGCAAGGCGGTGGACGGCAGTACAGAACCTGCAACAGCAGCACCTGCGCCAGCTGCCCACACCCCCACACTGGTCATCGAAATCCTCGGCTCGCAGTTTATGCACCGGGCAGCCGACCGGGCCGGCCGCAAGTTCAAGCAGCATTTTTACAAAGAGCTGTGATGAGCATTGGAATGGTGGTGAAGCGTTGGGGAGAAACGGAAGAACGGGCGACAGGACACGCATTATGATACCCCCTCCCTGCGGCCAGAGTGCCGCTTGCATTATTCAGATAGACGCAGACCAATGAACATGTACTTTTTTGTCTATTGTTATACTCAACTGCCTAAACTAGAATATGTCCCACAGACTGACTTTGCCGTCTTTGCTGCCGACGGCCAGCCAGTGCGCCGTGACGGCTTGGCGCAGACGGCGTGCCTTGACACTGGCGTCTCGTCGACTGCTTTGTGAAGCCAGGGCTGTTGAACTGCCGGTCGGCGCCAAAGCCTTTTCGTCTTCTCCTTTGCTTTTGCCTTCATCTTCACCTTCTCTCTGGGTGTCCGCCACGACAACCGGCGCAAATGCCACGGCAAAGCACCCCGTCTGATGCCACTTGAGCACAGCAACCTCCTTCATCGTCTGTGCCGTATACACACGCACTCTGGCGTCCCAGCCAGCTGTGGCAAACAGGCGGCCATCGTCGCGGATGCGCAGGCCCTGCTGGCCTGCGTGTTTTGTGTTGATCACTGCGAGAGGTTGTGTCTCGACTTCGACGGGTGCCAAGGGCGTCGCTGCTCCTCTGGTGGGCGTTGCATTGGAAACCGAGGAGGGCGACGCTACCGCTGCCGCCTTGGAGAGAGCGGCCGAGAGCAGAGACACAGGCTTGCCGGCCGATGTTGGAGGTGCCGGTGGCGATGCAGGAGATGCACTTGGCAATGTAGAGGCTGGGACAGCAGCGGCCTTTTTTGGCGTTGCCGGTACACGGATCGGATGCTTTGCGACCACGGCATCCGCGGCCGATGTCAGAAAATAAGAACGGTCGGGTGCGACGTCCAGCGACAAGATCGGCTGGCTGTGCGGCTGTGCGCGGTAGACAATGTCGGCCGGTCCGTCGGCGCCTTGGCGGAGCAAGGCGGCCACAGCCACGCCGTTTTCAAAGGCTGCAATGAGCACCAGTGTTGGCTGGCTGTCGTCTGTCGCTTCTGTGTCTGTGACCGGCGCATAAAACAGTGCCAGGGCCATGATCATGCCCTCCTTGGTGCCCAGGCGGACTGTGTTGATACGCCGCTGCGACGGAAGGTGGTATATGTCGGCTGCTTCGAGGGTGAGCGTGTTGGGCACGGCCACCAGCCGCTCGGTCGGTGGTGTCGATGTTGGTGTCAACTGTTTGTCGGTAGATGGCATGCTTGCTACCGTTGCATGCGTCGTCGCGGCCGTCGCGGCCGTCACAGCCGCCACGCTGCCCAGCAGACCACACCAGGCAAACGCGCAAAAGTTCATCGTGTTGACGTCGAGCACGTGCACCATCCAAGGCTGCGGGTGGGATGCCGACGACGCTGCCGAAGACGGCGTCGATGAAGCCTCCTGGTCCAGCGGAAGCAGCGTGCTTAGGCGCGCCTCGTCGGCCACGCCCACCTGCCACACCACCAGCCGGTGGTCCCGGCCGTGGGTCACGACCTGCCCTGCATCGTCCCAGGCGGCAATGCCCAGGATGCTGTTGTTGTGGGCACGCCACACGCCGCGGGTGCGTACAATGGCCAGGTCCCAGAGGGCGACGTAGCCGTCGCTGTCCCCAGTAACGAGACGCGTGTCGGCCGTCATCGTCGCTCCGGCCGCGGCCGTGCGGTCCAGCCGCATGAAGACAGCTGCATGGACCTGGGCGCGGTGGCCGCGCAGGATGGCCGTAGGCTGCGCGGGCGGCCGAGCCGCAACAACAGACGTTGACATTGAAAGTGTGGCGATCCTTTTGATGGGCAGAGAGAGGAGTTGTCTGCGGACAGTCTATGCTTGGTCAAGCCCCAAAAGCGGTGAGATTAGCATCAATTCCAGAAACGCCTGTAGCGTGTCCGTGGATGCCTCTCAATGTCGCCGAATTTACGGTCACATGGTGATCTGATAATTAAATGATTCCAGTTTGTTCGTGATTTTTGATTTTTTTTTGGACGTTTTGCCCTTTCACTTTTGCAATACAATGCCGCTGTGGTACCTTCCCTCTTAATTCCGAACTTTGGTCGATCAGTCATCAGCAAATCAGAATGCAAACATCTCTTGTAGTATAGTGGTCAGTATACGGGCTTGTCACGCCCGGGACCCGGGTTCAATTCCCGGCGAGAGAGCTTCGATAATTCTGTTTCTTTTTTTGCTTTTAGTTCTTCGATATTTCTGTATACTTTTTTCTTTTGAATTTTTTATTAACGGTTTTATTGATATTGTTTTTGTAGCTGTAGATATTCTTCATATATTTTTTTTTTAATTCAAATAGTTCTCGTCCACTTTGAGACCTTTCAAACACTTTGTGATCAACATGTTAAGTACAAGTCAAGTATCCTCAGATCTCCATCATATCTAGACAAAAAGATTTATTTTTTTGCAAAAAATGTAAAACAAATCTACAAGTCTATATTCTATTTCATCACGATTTCTTATCTAACGGCCAGCCTTTATATACCTTATATCGATCCGCCCTGTACAGTCGAAATCCAGAGACTTTTCATATCTCTGTCCCATTTACTTCATCAATGTACTTTGGCGCCCAGCTCCCGCATGATCCATTCGTAAACAGCCCACTGGACAGCGTTGACGACAAACGCGCGCGCACTGCAGACGCCGAGGCCCCTGAAGAAGACAGACGTGCCGCCCTCACGGTAGGCGATCCGGGTGATTTCAAGCGTCGACAGTCGGCGGGGCTGACGGGATGCTGTGGAAGACGAGCCGAGGAGAGGTGTAGTAGAAGTAGCAATAGTATTTGGAGATGCTGCCGCCACGGGCAGCAGCGCCTGGGCTTGTACGCGCGTCTTGATCACATCCAGCGGGAAGACGCTGGCCCAGGTGACGACACCTGCCAAGCCGCCACACATTAACGTCGCAGCAGCGGAGGGGGTCGTCGAGGCAGACACGTCGACATCGCGCCCGCCCTGCTCGTACCGCCGCCATGCATCCGTGGCCAGCAGGTACGACCAAAAGTAGAAGCCGTAGCCGATGCTGTCGCGCAGGGCCGTGACGGAGCCGCCGAGAAAAAACCCGCGCAGGCCCTCGGCGTGCCACACCTGGCGGGCGATGGACCACGACGAGGAAGACTTGGAAGGTGCTGCCTGGACCTGGCCGGGTGTCTGGCTGGCGGAAGGCGACGATGATGCCGACGGGACGGGGCCAGCCAGTGCCAACTGTGCGCGACACTTGATCAGCTCGGTGGGCGCGCTGACGATCCATGTGGCCAGGCCAGCAGCGGCACCGGCGACCCACGTCGTGGCGGCACTCGTTTGCGGCGGAGGCGATGCGGGCAGTTCTCCAGACGGCGACAAAGGTGTGCCTATCAAAAAGGTCTCGGCCTGCCGGTAGGACACGAAGAGCAGCGCATTGAGGGCGCCATAGCCGAGGACGGGCGCTGCGGCACCGGTGGCAAGCGCAGCCGTGCGCTGGAAGAAGGAGGGGCGTGCTGCACCTGAGCTGGCGGCACGGGGACCGGCAGCACCTGAACCCCCAAATGGACCGAGCCGGGCATCCCCCCCCGCCTGAAGACGGACCTTGACGAGGTCGAGCGGGTTGCCGATTAGGATACCAGCCGCGCCACTGATGTAGCCGGCCCAAAAATCGGCAGACATGGCGGTATGTGCATGTAATGTGCTGTGTTAACCGCAAATGTGGGAATGGCCGATTTAAAGCGAGGCAGGTTTTCAGGCCTAGTGTCGGACTTCATTTGACTGCTCGATCAGAGGCCACAAGACAGTTAATGTTTGCAGTTCTAAAGGTCGCTAATTTGACAAACGCGGGGGCCAATCGTCAGGCGTAGATCAGCGGGAAGTCTACTGATCTACTCTGTAGTCCAAAGGTGGCCCCCCCAAAAATGTATCTCAAAATCGCCCAGGTTATTTCAACAGCAATTGAAAGACGAACATAAAAAAGGGCCATTCACAAAATAGAATCGAAAGTCGATGCGACAAAGATAGCAAAAATGGACCGCCCTGGAACTCGAAACCAGAATCTTTACCGCCGGAAAGCAGCGCCTTATCATTAAGGCCAAGGGGCCGGTTCTGAGGCAAAACGCCAAACAATCGAGACTGTTGACTGTCGTACGGGAAGCGCAAGACACTCTTTGGGACTGCCGTGAATTAAAATCTTTATGCATTTTTATTTTTTCCAGAGTAGTTAACTTTGCTTGGTGTGGGTGGCAGAGTGCAATGTAGCACGCCGGCCGTTCTCGCCAACTATCCAAGACCAAAGTGAATTGTCCTTCTCTTCACAATCTCGGACCGACGACACTGGGCCAGGTGGCTTTCCCTTGATCGCTTGGCTTGCCTCATGCGTCCTGGACCGTCTTCTTCGTCCTCCACTGGCTGCCAACAAGATCCCTCCGCTCCCTGCTCCGAATGTATATGTATAAGAATTGAAGAAACGTGAGAAATAGACAGTAAAAAACGACTATGAACAAAGGCTGGAGCACAAACAAAGTTTTTAAAAACGACGTCTTTGCGCCCGGCGCGCTGATGAAGAAGGAAAAAAGACTAGATGACGCACTATAGACAGAAGATATGAAGGAAAGAATGCGGAGTGAACGTGAAGGGGAATCGAAGAACAAGGAAAGAAGTCTAGAACAGTAGAAAAGAAACTAGAGAGAGGCTGTCTCTGGGCTGCAAGGGACAACCTCCCAAACTGCATCGTCTAGAAATTCTCCTTGCCCCAGACGAACGAGAAGCTAATGAACAAAGAGTGGTTAGCAAAATTTCCTGGCTGGTCGAAAGTATACATTGCAAAAGGCGGATTAGACGTACCCAGGCTCGCTGTACTTGTTGCAGAAAATGTGCAGCGTGCTGCCGAGCCCCTTGGGACCGCAGAAGAACACACCGGCCTCGGCAGGCGTGTGCAGCTTGCGAATGCCCCGGAAGATCATGTCCCAGTTAGGACGGCCGAAATTGGTCGGCGCGCGCAGACCCGTGATGGCGTCCTTGTCTGCGTTGGCATCGTTG